CCTTTTCGGAGCAAAACCCTGACCAAAACCCTGCCGCTTTGGCGGCAGCCATCACAGGGGCAAGCATCTCTTTGGCTGGCCAGGATGGTGATCTACCTCTGCCTCCGAACGTTGTCCCGCAAGATTGCGGAACGAGATCCGGAGGCAGAAAAGCCGGGCAGCCTGCTCCGCGTACCAAGTAACGCGCGAGGCGAGGCGGCTTGCCTGGCGTAGATGCCAGCCTAGATCTCGAGGGAAATGCTGACCCCCAAATCAGCCAGCGCGCGCTCGTCAGAATTGTGGCGACACCTCGCACAAAATCTGGATCGGCATCAAGGTAGAAGGGCCTTCAGCTCTGAAGGCCCGGCGGCTTTGGAGGTTTTGCCAGCCAGACGAAATACGAACCAAGGCACCACCTGGACAACTGCCGGGCGGTGCGACGAGGGACAAAGGCGGGGGCTGCGAAATCTATGAAGCCGCGAACCAAAACCCTGATGTAAACCTTAATTTTTTCAACCCTTAATGTAACTGACGACACAAACGTGGAACGCGTCTTCCGTCGACCACTTGTTCCGCAACTTCTGTCGCTCGCTCACAGACTATCAAAAGGAAAAATCCCCCCTCCCCATATCGAAAACGAAATTTGCGATGCTGTATTTGAGTACACAAATCAGATTTGTCTCGCTGGCGAGGACTGCAGGCCCATATCAGGCCTGAGTAGACAAGTTTTGGCCTAGGCGCTTAGCATGGCAGACGTCTACGCTGTAGGAGCAACAGCATGACAGACCGCCTGTAGAATGTGGCGGAGCCTGTAGACTTGCCTTCATGCAATACAGCGACGATTTGTGGTCTCAAATCTGCATCACAAATTTTCAGAAGTGTCCCGGTTTGGTATGGGGAGGGGGGATTTTTCCTCACAATACAGACCCGTGGTACACTAACGTTTTCAGCCCCGGGGCCCACTTCTGCAGTTCGTTCTTCCAGTTGAACACCGCGTATGCATTTCAAATATCCCTGGATGTCTGGAAACTTGTAATCCTGGGTTGTGAATAGTGAATGCTGTGTAATGCACAGCTGCCAAGCATGAGAAATATTTGTGAGGCTTTGCGTTGCGTTTTTCGCATGACAAACTGCGTTTTTGCATGACAGGCACAAGGGTCTTTTCTTGGACACGCATCACAAATTCTTTACTCATGCCAGACACGCATGGCAAACCTTGCATCCTCTCAGACCCAGACGTATTTGCAATGCATACCACGGCGGAGGGAACGATGACCAGGTGCGGGCCCCAAATTCCCTTGTTCACCGCCAGGTAGCAGAAGGTGGCGATGGTTTGCACCGTTTTCCCCAGGCCCATCTCGTCCGCGAGGATGCCGTTCACGCCCGTGTCGTACAGCTTCACGAGCCAGTGCATACCGACGTGCTGGTAGTGCCGGAGGTGGCCGCGGAGGAGGAGAGTGGGGATGGGAAGGAGCTTATTTTTGCTGTGTTTAGTAGAAGATTTATCTTTGGACGCTCTTCTTGTTTTGGAAGTTTTACTTTTTTGTCCCATCTGATGCTGCTCATTCATGATCTCGTGCAGATTCTTGCGCTCGGCCTCTACGCCCGAGCTAGGGGGCGGAGGCCGCACTCCCTCTTCTTCATCATTCTTCTCAATCTTCCGCCGTTTTCGACTCCTTTCGGCAAGGTCGATTTCATCGTCATCATGCTGCAGCTGCTGCTGCTCCTCTACTTCAAAATCCTGACTCGTCTTAGAAGGCTGTGCGGGCGGCCGCGCCTTGGACAAGTATTGAGCACTTTCTTCATCAGTATTTGCAGCTGAGCTTGGTGGAGTAGAGGACAATGGCGCTGCACCAATAATAGCCGCCTCAGCGGGGGTAGTGAGGTCATGGCGATTTTTTTGTCTTCGCGCCAAAAAACGACGCGACTTCTCTGACCACCATGCCATTGTGAGTAATGTTATGCACGACGGTACGGCGGTCGCTAAAAATCTCGAGCTAGAGCTGGCCTCCATTTGGTTTCGAATCGAAAAACCTTGCTTCCCCGCATGCTATGGGCCCGCCAGGGCCCCCGCTAGGGTCGGCCTCTTGGGAGCCCCAAATCGGGCCCATAGCATGCGGGTTGGCTTTTTGCTTTTGGCGGACTTTGGTTTTTTTTGTTTTTTCTGTTGAAAAGTCGCATCTTCTGGCCTTCAGTCCGCCTCTGAAATGGCGGATTTTGGTGGCCTCTTTTGCGAGGCCCGAATGTGGGCCAAAATGGGGCCCATACCATGCTGATTCGCGCTTTTTTTCGTCTTGGCATTTTTGCGTCGCCCCTTTTTGGGCGCCCCAAATCGCCAGAAACCAGGGCGGTGGGCGCCTCAGAAGGGCGCCCCTTTTGGCGGCTCCCTTGCGTCGTTTTATCAAGCGGTAATCGATAGAATCCGCTCGCGCTTGTTTGACAGCAAGGCCCCGGCCGCTTGATAAGTGGAAATCTTTTATGTCCAAAAACACTTCCGGCCGCTTGGAAACTGCCGGTCGTTTTGCAGGTGAGGTGTCAAAAAGATCGCTAGATTAGAACGTTCGTGACCTCACTACATACTACCCGCATTCATATCCTCTTCGTGTGCCTCTGCGGATGATCCACCACCTCTACCTCCGGATGATCCACCTCCTGTCGCTGTCAGTCCGATCCTCACGCCCAGGCCCCGTCCCAACATGTTTGTCCGCCCTTGATTTTCCTCAACATCGAAGTCTTCCAGCATTGCGTTGGTAAATTCCTCGGCGGTGCTCAACAAATTCTCGAGCCGCGCCGCCCGGTCCCGGCTCTGTACCACCTTCACCTGCTGCTTTTCCCCGATCTGGTGCGCTTTCTGCAGCTTGTCCCACAACGCCTGGACCCGCCCGGCCTGCTCCTTGGCGCGCTCGGCTGCCTTTATGGCGTTCTCAGCTGTTACATTCTCAACTGTTACATGGATTCGTAATGCAAGAATGGTAAAAGTGAAAGGAGGGAGCTTGCGCGTCTTGCATGACAGATTTGGCACAGATTTAGACGCTGTCTAGCCATTCGAGAACTTGTCATGCGAAGCAGCTTGATGGTCTGGCGGCTCATTGTCATTTTGCATCACAAATTCGCGTAACAGTTGAGAATGTAACAATTGAGAATCCCATAGCCTTGATCTGCGCATTGCGGATCTTCTCGATATTGAACAAATGCAGCATAGTATGCAAGAAAAAAACTGTGTAAGTGTAACTCTGTAATGCAGAACAGGCAATAAAGTTACACCTGTCATGCCAGACAGCCATGATCTCCTCTCTTCATGTGGATTTTCCCTTACAAGCCACGCATGACAGGTTTTCTCTGTCATGTAGAGCAAATTTGTGATGCTGTCAGCCAAAGAAAGTTACACTAACACAGTTTTTTTCTTGGATACATAGTCTACTGGTACCTTCTTGCTCACCCGGCGTCTCAGCCGCGGGCGCAGCGTACACACAACAATACTAGAGCAGTTGTGTGTGGGCTCATGTTAATGCTCTTCAAGATGAATAAGGTTTGTATGTACTAGTTGCTCAAATTTCCATCTTTGTCACCTTACCCGGGACAATCTTCTTCGCTTTTTGTCCACCTTGAATAAAGTAAAAAGATAAAGTCCACCTCAAACCACTTGATGATTTTTAGCCAGAAAGATGAATTTCGTGTCTGTGCTCTCGGAATGATGTAACGCGGCCGCTGAAGCTGATAGTGTCGTGAAACAAGAAATTATGCTGTGTCTAGAAAGACGAGTAGAAGATGCGGCCATATTTCATAGATGATAACCTATATTTTGTTTTTCATATCAAGAACCTGAAGCAGATCTACGTACACCGATACTTCCGACAGAACGAAAGAGGACAGGATGCGACGTTGGTAGATCATAGCATTGTACCAGAATCAATTGCGATCTACTTCTCCACACGAGGAACGAGACCTTCTTGTTTAAATGGAACTACAAAACAATTTCTGGAACATTCAAGAACAAGATTGGACGCGCAGAGGCTGCGCAGCCTCGATTTTTTTTGCTGTGCAATCAAGAATAGAGGAGGTTGTTTTGCTTTTGTATTTGTAGCAACAGGGAAAATAAGTAAATAGAGATACATCTTTTTTGCATTTGAAGTAAACTAAAACAAAAACAGCTTTTCGTTTGTTCGTGTTCATGCTCGGCAAGAAAGCAGCTCCTGGCACTACGAAATCTAGAACCCTCCCTCTTATTATAGCTTCCTCCTTTCTTTCCGCACCTCTTTCTCAGCCAAGACCTTCTTAGAAGCCGCTGCTTTTCTCTTTTCAACCTTCGCATTCCGCCGCTCTCTCTCCTTCTCCCCGAGTTTATCCAATTTCTGTTGCCGGATCTGTTTCCGGACGGACTTGTCGCTGTGGAAGTACGGCTTCGCAGTGTTTTTCCCAGACATAATTTTCTCCTTTTCTTTTTGCTTCAATTCCCGTTTCTTCTGCTCGAATTCCGTCAAATCTTGCCGCTTCTTCTCGTCGTTTTGGAATTGCTGCAGCTGCTTCCTTTTCTGCTCTAGTTGCCTCTCACTCGTGAACATCTTCTGTGCTTTTTTGGAGAAAGTTTTTGCTCCTTTAGTTCTTTTTCCACTGCAGTTGCTGATCTCTTGTTTCAGTTCCTGCATCTCCTCCTGTCTCCTCTCCTCCAGAAACGAGTAGTTGCGACTCACGTGCTGCATGTTCAGCGTCCCGCAGTGGTCCAGAAAACGCGGGTCCATCGCTTTTGGCCGCTTGGAGCAAAGGCTTGTCGTATTTCCAGCCTTTTCTGCACCACCTTTCATCACGCTTGCCACTTTCGCTTGTCGCTTGTTCGAGGTGATCTCGATCGGCGCGTTCTTCTTTTTCTTCTTCTTTGCCCCTGGTGCACCTACGTCCGCGTTATTTTGCTCGCTTTCGACAACGCCTTCCAAGATTTCGGAAGAGGTGGTGGACCTTCTGCTTGTGGCCGCAACCAACGCCGGTGGTTTCGATCCGGATCTTCGTGGGTTTGATCGTTCTGCATCGTCGTCCGAGGATTCATCCATTCCCGCGGCGGTATTGCCAGGATCTTCTACGCGGCTTGCCATTCTCGCAGCCGCTAGCTTTTCCATGATGGATCTGCCCCTAGCTGTTCCGGAGCTAGGTGCTTGTTTTCTGTCAGAACCTGTGGAGGAACTGTCGCTGTCGCTGGAATAGAGGCCCATTTTGATCGTACTCCTTGAACGAGTATATTCTTAAATATTCAGCTTGATGAAAGAGATGAGGTTGGCAATTATACCGCAATAACAGTATATAGCTTGGAGAAGAACTAATGCTTGTTAACACCCACACAAAAAACGTCGCCGTCGTCCGTTCTTGCCTGAAGATACATCGCATGTAACTTTGCCTTTCGCTTTGACATTCACAACAGTTGTGAACTCGTCACTAAAATATTGATCTTTTGCCCTGCGTGGTCGTGTACTTCGGATCATTGCGATTCGCCCAGTGGAACTGCTTTCAATTTTGAATTGAATCAATGATGATCCATTCCTCTATGCTTGCAGCAGAAGCAGATCATTTAGAAACACAAAAAAAAGAACATTTTTCTGATGTGATCTCCAGTGCAGCAGGATCCGTACTTTTATTTCCACCAGAAAAGCGAAGTGCTGTTTGAGGTAAAAGTATGTGTGCGAGATGCCGACATAGATGATACATTTCAAATGATCATGCGGAGGCTGTTTCGATGAAAGCAGATGTGTGTATGTGTTCGAATGGAAGCGCGGCATTCCGGGCGAAGGTCTTGCTTTCGCATCCGGACGCAACCACACATGGAACACTATCGAGAGTAGCACAGCAGACTACGATGCGCCGACTCATTTCAAGAAAAGTGCGCCGACTCATTTCATTATTTAATAGTACTAAAAAGACGTTTGGAGTGCTGAGGGTTGCGAGTCATGCCATCATCTTCTTCTACCACCATCGCATATTACGCCCTTCCCGGCATGGAGGGGCAGCATAGATATACATCTCTATATTTTGGCTCTCTATCTAAGTCTCCGATCGAAGTCGATGTCTGCGCGAGTTTTAGTGATCGCAAATGCTCTTCGTAGGTATTTTTCCGTCTTCTTCGTGGCTGTTATCAAGCTACCCAAAAAGCTGGAACTTTGAAAGAGTTACAACAATGAGAGCACTTTCTAAACGCTGCGCAAACTGTCTCAAGTAAGTATATTTTTATATAACTCGCAAACACTACCCATTGTTCTGAATTTTCGCTAGCAGCGCTCTTCTTCCAGGACTTACGGGAAATGAGGTTTTTGGCCCAGAAGACGAGTCGGAGTCTGCCCAGATGAGTACAAAACTCCCTGCCAGGTCTTACGAAGGTTTTTGGTCGTTATACAGGAATCCCAGCGAGTGAATCTCAACGGTTGCACCCCAACGCTTTGAGACGCCTCAACGGATTCGCGAAGAGCTCAACGACTGGTCTCAACGGTCTGCGCACAGAAGAACTGCGTGGCGTGAGGGTGCGCATCAAGCCCCGGCAGCAAACGTCTCAGAGGTCCTGCCAACACGAGTGCCGGCGAGCGGGCTCGTAGATAGTTAGAAAAACGCGCGAAGGCAGCGCGCATAGTGAGACACAGTCAGGGCACACAAGCCAAAGGGGCACACACAACGGGCCGGGCAACAATAGCGCAGGAGAGCGAGGAGAGAGTCGTCGGGCAGGGCAGCCGCCGCCGGCCGGCCGACCGGCGGCGGCTGCCCTGCCCGACGACCCTAAACCCCAAATCCTAAACCCGAAACCCTAAACCACTGCTGGTCGTTGAGATATATTTCTCAACGTTGGGCTGTGACGTCTCAACGTTGAGATCCACAAGCACAGTTGAGATACCTGTAGTACAACCCAGGTTATTTTTCAAGTATCTGCGTAACGTTGTAAACTCACTGTAGAACTTGATAAATTGAGAGCTCGAGAAGTTCTGTCTACTGCTTCTCAATAAACAGCGTGGCCAAGTGACTTTGCACTTGTTACGCTATAGTTTCCGACTTCTACTTCAAAAAAAATTTGTTTTGCAGTGAGCAGGATGACCTAAAAACACCCATAAGCAAAGCTATTAAGAGTCTGTAGAAGTACTAGAAGAGTAAAAGCGGAAGAAAATTAAAAAAGTGCACATAATAAAAAGCTAAAAGCTGTAAAGCGAAAGCGTTAGAAACCTAGACGCACGATCAACAAAGTAAACGAACTACGATGGGAACAAGTACTAGCAGCACTAAGTGACTACGTGTCACGATGTAGCTCGGTACTAATGATAGACGTACTAGTAGGGGTACTAGTCTCCTGCGTGGTGCTGTACTGAAGCGCTTTATGCTTTCGCTGTGGTGTTTTAGCTTTGCGTTTGATTTCGGCGGTTTGTAATCGGTAGAACTTGTTTTTTGTAGGATTTTACTCTTCTTTCTTAATATTTTGCTGGTAGTACTATGAATGGACAAAGTGCGAAAGTTCAGTATTAACTATTGCATTTTCTGAGCCGTATTTTTCATTTTTTAAAATGGAAAAACCGACTTCGATTGTCATGAAAACTTCTTTTGTTCATGGAGAAAACAATTTTTTGTCATGCAAAAACCGACTTCGTGGGAGCACAGGTTCTATCTGAACCACCGACGTTACCGATGCACGGAACCAACATTCTTTTCACCGACGCCAGCACTTCGTCTCACCGAAAACCAAAACGCCATCATTTCCGGAAACTCAACTTCAACCGAGCAAAACAACTTCACTTCCGGAAAATGCGAGCTCCTCTCCACCGAGCTAAAATTTCGAATAGTTGTGGTTTATTACAAAACCACAACTATTCGACCTCTCCAACACAATTCTTCAAGTTTTCAATTTAGACATCCGAAACCGACTCGCTTTCTCGAACTCACGTCGCGCAATATCGGCACGCGCGACCGTGGGACCATCTTCAAAGCTCTTCATCGTTTGTTCTTGGCGAAAGAAACAGCTATCGCGTCGCCATATCGTTTTTGCCTCCAAGTCCGCAGCAGAACTCACGGCGACTTGGGAGACCATATCCATCACGTGGTGGGTAGAGCGAAACGCTTTCAGATATGGAAGACAATCTCCCATCATTTGACAGCATTGCTTCTCTGCGAAGAAACTACATGTAGCTTCTTCACGAGAGGACGGCGAAGGTGTTGACACAAACGCCACGTCGAAAGACGTGACGATAGAGAAGCGCTCAGGTTGTTACTTTTCTAACAAAAAAACAAAAGCTCGAAGATTGCACTTCCATAGTGTAGAAGTGCTTGTCTTTCGATGAGAAATAGATATTGACACTCGAAAGACAGTAAAGAAATGTTGCGAATATTTGCGAGTCAGCAGACGTAGATGGCGAGACGTCTAAGCTGCCGACTCTAAAGAAGGCCGGTGTAGCCAAAGCACTTTCGCTTCGCTGAAATCTCAGCGATTTTTCTAATCGAAAAAGAAACTCATAATTTTTTTGAAGTAAAGTAAACAAATTAGCCCCGTCCGATTACGCAGGAAGGACGCGGGCTCTAATCAGACCGAATTGCGGCAGCTCCAGTGGAGTTGACGAACTCATGCTGATGAGTATCAAGCTTATATTTCTAAAAGTAGTCCTGCACGTATGTGCGTAATAGCTTCCGTATCTACAGACAAAGCCAGTGCTCTATCTTCAGCGAGAGGTAGAAAAAAGATTACCGACAACGAAAGTCGAAGTGGCAAGTTTCTGAGCACAAACGCATCTCGTACGAGTTTACCTCTAGACTACGTGTCCGCGTCTAAAAAGGTAAACTCGTCCAAGGTGTTGGCTCTGCTTCGCTTCGCGTTGGGCGTTTCGTCATCATCCGGCTTCGCCGACTCGATCGACAGCTCGCTCATGCCGCGGGGACGCAACAACGCCGACTGGCTCCGCAACTTCGTCTGCTGCTGAAAGAGCTTCACGCTGCTCGGTCCCGGCAAGTTCATGCTCATGCTGTGCGACGACGAGCTGCTGCTGCGATCGCGGGTGGACTCCTCCGCGGAAGAGGACGCGTTCTGCTTGACATGCTCAGCCACCTTCTTGGGGTCCAAGTAGGCCTGGCAAAGACCCTCGCTGTCCCAGGCGTCGTTGTTCTTGACATCGGTGTAGAAGTTCAGGGACTGGCCCACGTACGAGGACTGCAGCTTCGTCGCGGCAGCGCTCAGTGCGGCAGCCGCCTTAGCAGCAGCAGTAGTCTTCTTAGCCGGCTCCTTGACCTCAGCACCCTTGGCACCCGGGGGCTTATTCAGCGGGGCCGACAAGCGGCACTCGGCGGGCAGGGAGGTCGCGAAAGCGCGGCTCGGCTCGCACTCATGCCTGATAGTTTGAGATAATGACGAGTATGGCTATGAGATCACAGACAGTACGTTATAAGCTATGACTATGAAGCACTTCACTAACAACAGATGATAGAGAGCATGACGATGATGAGCATCAGATGACACGGAGCATGATGATAATAAAAATACGGGATCAAGGTGTCGAACTTCAGGTCACCGACCCAGGCAGAGCGTGGCCATCTCAAACTTGATTCCCCTCGCCTTCTTGTCGGCTTTGAAGTCCAAGGCGATGGCCTTCTCTTGCAGGATCCATCTGGCACCGCGACGTCAGCTTCATCCTCTCCATGTGGAAGCTAGTGGGGATCTTAATCGGCACGACACAAACTCTCGCTAATTGTTCGGCGGAGAGCGTCCACGTCTGTCCCTGTTTCAGCCCTTTCTTGCACCCGACGGCGTAGTGACCCATGTTCAACGAAAGGCAGTCCGCCGGAAGCTGATTTTTGTTGGTGACAGTTTTGCTCTGAAAACAAAGTCTTTCGGAGGTGAGTGCTCGTCTTCTAACTCTTGCCCATTTTCCTCTTCGCGCTCACGTCACGCTCACGACTAAAAAAAAAATCAGAAAATCAGAAACCAAAGCACGTCCATCAGGGCATATTGCTGCTCGGTCGCCGGTTCCTTGGCCTTGGCCCGCGACTTAGCCACGCACTTCACTTGAAACCATTTGGCCTCTTCCGCCGATTTTAACTTTTCCCCTAAGGCTTCGGTCTCCTGGCTGAAAATCTCCTGCAACTGCTTCCGCTCGGCCTCGCTGGTTTCTTTGTGCTTCTTGCGCTTCTCGTCGTACTCCTCCTTGGCCGCGTTGATATACACCTGGCGAATAGAACCGGAAAGCTGGAGGCTGAACGAACCCGGGATGAAAAGCTGGCTATCATAGGTCACTATGAATTTCGAGAAAACCGATGTCGCAGCCAAATTCCAAAAAATGCTATACGCGAAAAAATATTGGGACTTCGATACATTCTTGGCGTGATCAGTTAAATCCAACCAAAGCGTCCCGGGAATCACGTAGAGCTGTATTGCGAGATAGGTACTTCTGCAGACGGATCACACGCGATCCGTCGTCGAAGTGGAAGTCGCAGCTCACGCACACGCTCACGCAATGGACGCAGATACAAGCTCGAACTTAAATACTACTGAAATAAAATCATGAAAAACGCCTTGGCTTTCTTGCGGGCAATCATCTCCGCCCTCGTGGCTTTCTCCATGGCCTTCAAAGTGGTCTCCGCGTTGGACTGCAGCGCCTTCGCATCGGCCTGGTAGTTCGCGGCCAGCGAGTGCAGCTGGCTCTTGATCTGGCGGACCTCGGGCGACATGACTTCTCCCCGAATTTCGCCACTTTTCCCATCGAGGTATCCCAGCGCTTCATCAGTGGCATCGCACTCGATGGCGATCTGGCTGCGGACTATTCATAGGCAAAGTCTTCGCTTTCAAATACGAACTTGCTTACATGCGTTAAAACTTGCATTAGAAATTTGATCAGCGTGGGCATCTTGATACTTGAAGACCTCGATCCCCTCCGCAAGCGTGACCGTGGAGCTCAGCGTCTTGTTGTCGGCGAGCCGCACGACAAAGGTACCGATCACCTTCGAGGAGTCGAAGCATGCACGGCTTCTGCAGGTTCGCGCAGGTGCGGACCACGTTCCCGATCTCTTTCAGCGCGGAGTCGTCTAATCAGGTGGAGGGTTTGGGGCGACTTCGCCCGCTATTTTTTGGCTAATTTTTTCGGGATTTTTTAAAAGTCCGGGCAAGCAGAAGCGGCCCCGACGGCGCTGCCGCCGGAGGAAAAGAGAAAGCCAGCGCAGCGCGGGGAGAAGAAAGCAAAAACCCCAAGGAGCTTCCTGCGATTGTTGCGTGGCGGCCCGGATGGACAGAGCGCGGAACCATGCGAAACCCCATGCCCAATGAGAAATATACCCGGAAAGGAAATACCGGAAGACGGAAACCCTCGGGCCCAAGATAGACAACCCAAACGGAAGCCGGGGCCGGCGAAAGTCTGCGCGGGTCCTGGATATCTATGGGTTGGCCCACATCCCATCCGCAGCGGGTTTCTGCATTTCCCTGCTACACTTCCGCGACCGGCTAAATCATGCGGCTAAATCCCGGCTAAATCGGTCGGCTAAATCGGTCGGCTAAATCGGCCGGCTAAATCGGCCGGCTAAATCGGCCGGCTAAATCGGTCGGCTAAATCTATGCGGCTAAATCGGTCGGCTAAATCGGTCGGCTAAATCTTGGCTAAATTTTCCGGGATTCACTTCGGAAATCCCGGCGATGCCGAATATAGCCGGCGGCAAAATGCGGAACCACAGGGATTTCGGGAAGGAAAAAAAAGTCAGCCGATTTAGCCAAAAATTTAGCCGGGGAAAGGACACTGATTTCCGCAAATTTGAAAGGACCCGGGCGTCTTGGTTTTTAAAATTCCAAAGCCGAACACAAAGGAAAAAAAAGGGGCGGCGGCCGTCTTCGCCTGAAGAAGAGAAATAACACGCCACACGGCGCGACACAGAGCACCACCACAGAAACCGCCCGCCGCGCTCGCAGGATTCCCACCCTAACGCAAAAAATTTCGAAAAATCCACATAGCGCAAAAATAAAATCCAAAAAAAAACCAAAAAAAATTTTTTGAATTTCTTTGCTTCCCCGACGGCCTGGCCTATGTGGGGCAGCTCCCGAGTCTGTTCTCGCCCCTGTTTGTCAGAGGAGGGCCTGGCGTAGGTGTCGCATATTTGCCCGCTTGGGTGGTCCGCATCTCTTGGCCTCCGCTCCTGGTGATGAGAACCCAGAGTGGCGAATCCGTGTGGGGTTGGGCCTTCTTCTGCCGGGGAGCAGAGGTCTCCTCGTGGCGCATTTTCGCCACAGAGGACTTCTCTTTGGGTTTGGCCAGGAAAAATATTAGAAAAAATTTGAAAAAAATTTGGGAAAAATCAAGAGGCGCACAAAAAAATTTGGAAAAAATTTTAGAAATTGGCCAATTTGCAAAAACCAATGGGGTTTTGCTAATGTCGCCGATTTTCCGAAATTTTTTTTGGCCTTTTTTGAGCGCCATCGAAATTTTATCCGGCCGAGTCGAAATTTTTTTTGGGCAAATCGAAATTTTTTTTAGATTTTTCTTGGCCACATGCAAAGGAAGTTCTTCACTGCAGTTCGAACGCATCCGAGCGCCCGCGTTGTCGAGCAGCCGCGCCCATCATGCCTGCGCGCCGCATCCCGCGCGCTCCCGAGGCATTTCGAGCGCGCGCGGCGTGGCGACTTCGTGTTGAGTTTCATCCCATTGCGAAGCACCGAAGGCAGCGACCCACACCCCCCCACCCTTCTGGTGCAGCCTGCAGGATGGGCCCCAGCTCGCCTCCGGCCCAAGGGCCACCCCGCTACCCTTTGCGAAAATTTTAAAAAAATTCAGAAAAAAGTTGGATTTTTCGGCCCAAAAGCGTTAGGGGAAAAATCCGGCGAAGCCCGCGGCTTTTCGAGGTGACAACACAAACAAACCCAAACACGCCCGACCAGAGGTTGCGCGCAGCACCTGCAAACACATGCCCGAGATGCCGGATGCTTTGCGCGACGCAAAATACCCGGCGCACCACCAAACGGAAACGTGCCAAAATTGTAAGGCTCCACACCCCAAGAGAAACCGGGGCGAACGTCTAAACTGCAAAACATAGCCCGCTAGCAAATACAAAACACCCGGCGGCAACAGACAACACAACGAACCCATCGCCCCTATGGCCCGCCGAAAGAAACAAAACCAGGCGAGGCGGGCCAGACAAAGTAAGCGGCGCACCACTTGCGAGGGCGGGGCTCAGCCGGTCCGGCTAACGCAACGCCTCGGCCGACACGCTTCGAAAAAATCCCGAAAAATTTAGCCACTTTTTAGCAAAGGAAATGGCCCCGCTGCCCTCTACCTGAGTCCAATTTCTGCTGCTCGGCCAGTTTCTTACCGAAGCTGAGGCCTCCGTCGTACTCGATCCTGAGCTCCTCGGCACGCTTCGCAGTAACCAACGATCCGCACGCGCCATCTTTGTCCTGGGGTGAGTTTACGTAAGAGAATGCTATTGGTTTTGGTTCGCGCCATTTGCTTGATCTGAAAAATTAGGACGTGACTGGAGGTAGTGCTACTGCAAGGAGAAGTTAGTATGCGCTGAAATAAGTCAAAATCTGAAATACGGTCCAGACAGCGCCCTGAGTCTCCGGCTCCGCGAAATCCTCCTCCTCGTCGTCGGACAGCAGCCCGGCACTCTTTAACGTCTTTCCCTTCGGCCGCTTTTTGTTCTTGTCCAGCTTGGTCTTCCCCTTCATGGCATTTCTGCACATTTCGCTCACCAACCAGACGAGGCACTGGCTGCGCACGCTATCCGATTTCTCGTCTTTCAGCCAATTCAGGCGCGTCATCTGCTTGATCTCCTTCATCTGCTTCTTGTTCAAGGACACCGCGTCCCTTCGGTCCGAGCAGGAGGTGCGTGAAGGTGTCCAAGATCATGTCGGTCAACGCGGGGCGGAGGTGGCGCAGTTGCAACTCGAGCAGGCGGGTCCTGATGTCACAATAGATATTGATACAGATACACAGATACTGACACTGATACTCGCAATCGCATTGCAAAGCGAATTCGAAGCCGAGCGCGAGGCCGAGGCGTTCTGATTTTGCCCTCACATCGAAACGCACAAGACTAGTAGAGTTGTCGAGTGAGAGAAGGACGAAAGCAAAGCACTTGCTCGCTGCTGTTGCAGCAAGCTCGTGCGCGCAGCCGTCATCTTCAATACTTCTTTCTACGTCCCCGTCTTGCTTCAGCGACAGCGTCAGCGATGCGATTGCAATGCAAAAACTCCAATTCCACTCACAGGCACATACTCAGGCAGGAGCTGCCGCTCCGTCTACATCTAGAAATAGACTCTCACCATACCACTTAAGTCGCGGCTTATTTTTGTCTTAGCTATCCGCGTCACACTGTCACTGCACACAGACATCAGGAAGCTGTGTAGAATGAAAAGTAGATGTAGAAGTAGTAGTAGATCACGCCAACACTAACGCAGACTAGTAATAAAGAAAAAGCGTACTTCAGCAGCGTAGTGGACTTGCTGCCATCCTTGGAGGAACTCAGGCGCCGGATAGTCTGCAGCCACATCGTCTGGGACGTACCGAACTCGCGGCGCGCTTGGTTGATGATGTTGATCTCGCCCATGCCACTGATTCCCTCGCACTGGCTCTGGTGTTATTTGGTGACTTTGTATTCAGTTTGAGTCTCATTTCCGCGAGAAATCCTGAGCCGTAAGATCAGACGCGAGCATCAGTCTCTATTCTAAAAATTCGCGCGATCTGCTCCGCAAACCATGGCGCAGCATAAAAGTAAGCACCTCGCAAAAAGCCAGCTCGTTGACTTTTTTTCCCGGGTTGTTTTTCTTGTACGCTTTCAGTTCGCCCTCGATCTGTAATATAGTTGTGCTCATTTTCATTATTGCAGCGACTTTTTCGAATCATGAATACCTCAGAAGCGGCAGCTACGACCTTCGCATCACATATCTCCGCAGCGATGAAGGGGAGAAAAATCGCAGGCAAGAAACAGAGGCCCGCCCTGAAGCCGAACTTCAAAAAGACGCTGAACAAGAAGGCAGTCGCAGCGCAGAGGGCTGTCTTGGGAAAGAAGAAACGCAAGACCATCACAAAGCCAAGCGCCCGCAAAACGCCGAAGCGTTTGGATGTTTTTGATAGCGAAGAGCGCTCCGGGTCGCTCACGATGGGAGACTGTCTGCGGTTCGGCGACGCATTGGAAGCATCAACCGGCCGCAAGAAGGAAGCGGGCAAATTTTATAAACTCGCGTGGCTTGTGGCGTGCCTGACTGGCCGGCGCGGCATGGACGTCAGGCTATTGCAGCGCGGCGACTTAACTTTGAATACCGTCCGCATCGGGAATTCAAAACTGGCGACCACAAAAGGGGGCCGGGGCAAAATCAAGAGTGTGCCCATCGACCCGAGCAAAAAAACAAAGGACTTTTTGCAGGAGATGATGGACCACATGGATGGCAACGGGGTCGAAAAAGATGGCCCGACTTTCAACTTTCAGCGCGAGTCCTTCGAGAAGAAAATCCGGGAAGTCCGCAGAGTCTTCGTGTGCAAAGACAAAAAATCATCCCCGCCAAGCATAATAACCTCACACACGCCGCGCAGGAGTGTGTGCTCGCACTTGTTTGCGAAGAAGGTGTCGCTCCGCGCGATTATGTCAACCACTGGGCGCGCCAGTGTAGACACACTGCGCAGATACATCCAGGGGGATTTCACATTTCAAAGACTAGCCGCAAGCAAATTAGGAGTGTGATACGATGCAGGTTTTCTCATGAAATCAAAAAAAACGGCGAAGCTGTAGATCGAACTTGGAATGTGTATGCGAAGCAAAGAACTACTATACGTCGGCAAAGACGGATTCGCACTTTTCGCAGAAAGTAGCTTGGAGCTGGCCTTGATTCGACCCGTTGTCGAGTCTCACAAACAGACGCAATGACTCTGGCTGTCTGTCTTGTAAGATACTCGAAAGCACGAACGTCCCGTAGTGTTGTATGAACAAAGTCAAAAAGTAAAAGATACGCATCACCGGAGTGCTTCATGAGCAACATCGCACGAAACGCGATGAACTTTAGGGAGCTGACTGAGAGTTTTCTTCGGAACTAACTGCGAGCGGCTGGCTGCTGCAGCTACGTGTGCACTTGATGCGAAACACTTCGAGCTCAAGTGGGGTCTATGTGTGTCTCATCTCCGGTCTATTTATCGGATAAACAAGAGCCGCGAATAGAGCGACTTCCTTTGTCATAAGTCTCCCACGCCTTTATGGCTAAGTACCTGGACCCTAACTGTTCCCACCCCGTCGGGTCCTCCTTCAAAAACTCCTTGCCGGCTTGGAAGCTGTGGCTCAAGGCGATGACTTCCAAGAGCTTGTCGATGGAAACGACGCAGCGCCGCAGCCTCCTCATCTGGTAGGATCCGGCCCTCGCTCATGCAGTCCAGGAGGTACAGTCTATGCTTCTCGTTCCTCAGCATATTCCACTTCGACTGCTTGGACTGCGGGGCCAGCTCCTTCGGGATCTTCGTGCCCTGGACAAACTTGTCGTCGCGGTGCCGCTTGATGAACTCCACCATGGCAGCCTTGGTCACCTGATGTTTTTTCATGTGATTGCGAGAATTATGGTGCACGAGAAACATATATAAACCACAAAACTCAACGAGGACGCGCATCGACAAAAGCATCGGGATGACACTTCTGAAATTGAACAAATTCAGGCAAAACAGCGACGCAATGCCTCGCCCTTGCGCCACGCGCGCTTCATCTGCTCCGCCTCCAAGTCCGTCGGCATGGTCTCCGTAATTTGGAGACTTTGCCCCGACGCGAGGAGTTCGATTTCCATTGTGAAAGAGATGCGCGACTAACAAATGCGACAGAATCTTGCTCGGAAGCTGTTTTCTTTCATTGGAATGCGATGGATTTGCGAGCTTTTCCATGTTATTTTTATCACAAAGAGAGAGCTTTTGCATGCATCACGCAGACACTTTGAACGCGTCACACAGACAATTTGGAGACATCGCGATGGGATTTGCAAGAGCTCACTTCATTGGGGGACGAGCGCAAAACTTTGTGAAAATGTGATGTGCGAGAGGACGACCTTTTTTGATCCAGAGCGCTAAAGTAATGAAATTCGCCCTGTCCTAAAAGTGTCGGATTTTAGTAAATTACTAGAAGTCCTTGACTTTCAAGATTGTTTTACAAAAAAAATTAAGACTTGAGCGGAAATCCTGGAAAAGTGCAAAAATATTCTTGAAAATCAATGATTTCTAGTAATTTACTAAAGTCCCACGATTTTAAACGATGGGGCTTTTGCAATAAATGTCGGACATTTCATCGCTTGGGAAGCGGAGGCTTCTGTGTCGGGGTGGTGAAAAATCATGCTCGGGAAGATCAGATCATGCTAAAATTTCTCTGATTTATCTCTCCTCGCAACTGTGAGTGGAGTGATCGGGACCTCTTAATAAGACTCAGCTACAAGGTGGGCAGGCTGCTGGGTCGGGGAATCAAAAGCACTTTGCGCATCGTCTCGAACTCAATTTGCGCCCTTTTTCCTATCGGAGAGCGGGTATAATTTGCATTCAAACTCAGGCAAAGGAGGCAGCTTACATATGGAGTCTGGGCGCTTATGTTGCGAAAAGATCATGGACCGAAAACGCGAGCTCCATTCTGGCAAGCTATCGCGCCACATCTACATCACTTACCGACAACGAATCAAGTGGCTCAGCATCATTTCCTGCACGTTCTGAGTCTGTGCGTCGTTGGTATTTGCTGCGAAGTTTCGCATGATGTTTGATGCTTCCGATCGTGAAGAGTTTCGTTTTTTATAATAAAAAGCACAAGCTTTCATAATTGAACTATAGTTCAGATTCAATTTCAATTCGAAACAATTTTGCGCTTTTTCAAAAAAAAGCATATAAGTCTTTCATAGACGAACGTGCTCGGCTCGTGACATCTACGTGCATACTGCGTCTGCGAATTTGTAAACAACAACTCGCAGGCGGCAGGCCCAGATGGTAGTCTCAGCCACGGATCGGCATGTCGCCCAATACAGATTGATCGCTGTCGTCGGAATCCTCAGCCAGCTTCTCAATCTTCTTCGACTTGGTGGAGGCGATGTCGTGCGCGATCTCCCGGCGGGCAGCATCCTCCAAGTCGTCACTGACCAAGTTGTTGCTCGGCCGCGGAATCTTCAGGATATCGCACACCTTCGCGACGCAGCGCTTGCGGGCAGCGGAAGCACTAATCTTGTCGGTCATGCGGCCCGCGGTGGTGCAGCCCACTCCCGTAGGTTCAGAGTCTTCATCACCAACATCACCGGCCAGCTCGTGGGCAACTCCTCTCCAGGTCGCCTGCTCGGGGCGAAATATGAAGCACACCGCGTCGGGCTCGAGCTCCGGAATCAACTGCTTCTCCGGCACCTTCGGACTATTTTTGCGAAATTGGAATCGGGCTGGAGGTGTCAGTCAAGATCTCTTCATATCTTGGTCATAATCTTCATCATCAATCAAACGCACTAAAGTCGAAGTGAAGTCATGGCCGAAAAGTCAAAAAGTATGTAAAAACAGTGCAGCAGCGTGAACTTGGGTCGTCCGGTGCCACGACTCTTCGCGAGACTCTCCCTCGTACGGATCCACAACCGCGTGCTTCTTCTTTTCGGCCTCCGGGTCCCACTCCTTGGACGAGTCGAAGAACACTCCAGACCGCTGCGCTCTCTGCTCCAACCAAAAACCCTTGTCGACGAAGAGCCAGATCCTGCCGCAAATAAAGTGCGCGCGGGCGACTTTTGCGATGGAGGCGCTGAGGAAAGAGCCGGCGCTGGGCTTCTTGTTGTCCTCCGCGGATCGCGAAGCCCAGTGGGGCACGGTCATCACCGAGCTCACCTCCTCGCTCACGAGGAAGCAGTCGCACTTGTCCGCTTTGTCCATCAAGTCCTTCGGAATCTCTTGCAGAGGAATTCTTCTTCCTAGTCTTCAACAGGTTCAGCCAGAAGCTGGCCGGGTAATCAGAATCGTTGGCGAGGTATTTGGTCGCTTTTGGCTGCGGCTTCGTACAGCACCCCGCAATGTCCCCTTTTTTCATCGGGACGCACGTCGCGCGCTGCGTGTGGCCTCGATTACCCGTGCGAGAGAAGCAGAAATAAGGTGGCCCATCCATGCGATGGGCGACCTTTTTGACTTGGATGTGGCCAAGCTTCGCAAAGAACTTTTCGAGCAATTTGGTCCCAACTCCGCCGCACCACTGGCGGAAAAGCGGCGCGCTCGGAATGTGCATGCGGATGGCGTCCGGAATGGTAAGGGCAGCCTGAGTGTAGAGCTTCGCTGTAATTCGTTTATCAGTGCGCGCAGCTACAGTACCAAGCGAATACTGAAGAGCACACAGCTACAGAATGCAAGCGCACTAGTTTCACGGAGTTGCGCAGAGGTATTGGAAGCGACACGAAAAAAAATACCTTCTGCGGAATCAGAGGACAGCACTCGGCCACGTTCAAGTCATTGCGCGCACTGGTCTTTCGTTTCCGAAGCTCCGCCTTCGCGGCGATCAGGTGCGGGCGGTGCTGGAGAGAATCGGAGGGGTGGTTCATCACAGCCCTGACATCGCACGAGTTCTGCGCCATCGCCTTCGAATGCCGGGGATCGAAACGACGCTTCCAATGCTCGAGGAGATTCCGGCACTCCAAAAACGTGACGGGCTCACTCCGCGCGATGGAGGTGCGGATAGCAGCCCTTTCCTGCCGCATGTTTGGGCACAGTCGTTCGACCTCCATCGCTGTACTGTGAAGCGATTCGACGCACTGCATGCAGGGACTGCTCAGGACGAAGATGGGTCCGGCCAGGCTGAACAGCTTATCCGTCATCGTTCCCTTTTCCTGCATCTTCGTCAAATCCTTTTTCAGTTGTTCAATGAAATAAATCAAAAACGGATCAAGGGCGTCGCGCTCCAAATCGTGCAGCAGCTCGGCGCGCCGTTTCTTCGTATCGTCGCAGAAGAGCTAGCTCAAGATGTGCGGGAAGATGTACAGCTGCGCTTCCCGATAAACCGTTTTGCAGAAAAACGAGGGCTATCCTGTGCAAAAGTATCGCGCTGGTTCTAGTTCTACTTCTAGTTCTCGTATAAATAGCATGACAAATTTTCTCAGCGCGAGAAATCGAATTTGTAGTGCGGATTTAGTTGAAGTTGAGCCTGGGATTGAAGTTGAAACTTGTGGCGCATGGTTACGAGTAGGAGTACTACGAGCGCGATGCTTTTGCAGAGGATAATATCAGAAGGCGCTCTCAGGAGGAGCTGGCGAAGCAGCCGCTTGATGGTGTCCATGGAGGACGGCGAGCACCGGTTTGGGGCCATCTGCTCAAACTTCGCGTCGGAGAAGCAGATCTTCGGGTCGCGGATGGTCCGCGCATGCGAATGCTGCAGCTTTTCCAAAACGGCCTCAGCGCTGGCGACCTGCTTCCAAAAGTCTTCGTCTTCGGCCGCAGTCTTTGCCTTTGCGAAGATGGCCTTAGTTTCTTTCTTTCGATCTTTTTCCGACATGCCCGCAGTACCGTTCTGGATTGCAAGCTTATATATTCTCCTTCAACGCGGCGAGAGTCGGGCGCGCAGTCATCCAGCGGCGCTCCATGTGCTGGGGAATCCTGATGTCATCAAGCCACAGCTTGGCCGCCTGTTGGATCTTGGAAACACCTGAGAGCGAAGCTTTTTTATGAAATAGAAAAAGGAGTGCAACAATAGACGCAGCTTGGCTTGAGCGTCGAAATTATACACGAGCATCCTTATTCTCGTGCTCAGTAATGAGCAAAAAAACAAAGGCGCCAGCGTATCACTATCATCTTCGTCGCAATTTATTTTCATATAGCTACCTTCTTTGAGTCCGTTTTTCTGGAAGTCCGCGATGTCCATGATGTCCTTCGCCAAGATGTGCGGTTGATGGGCCTGGCACACGTAGTGCAAAGTAAACGTCTGCAGAAGGCGGCGTCCGCCGGGATTATCCTTGGCCCGTTTCATCCTCTCCAAGTTACACGCATGGGAGTAGAGGCGCAGCCGTCGGTAGGCCTTCAGGATGTTGCTCCCGGCGTCGGAATGGCAAAGCCAAAAACACAACGGGTCACCGGGATGATACTGCGTCGCTGCGCCCGGAAGCGGCGCGAGGTTACCGATGATGGCGTAGATGACGGAAAGCACGTTGTCTGCATCAGATCCGCCTCGTACCCCTTTCGGCGTGTACTGCCGCAGCCGGACCTTGCCGGGAGTCCCGATCGCTCCAAACTCCGCCGTAGCAATGACAAACTCGAGCTGAAAGAAGCCATCGGCGTCAAAAGTCGTGCCGTCAGGTCCGAGTCGAAAAAAAGCCACCTTGCGCGGGGTCGGAGGAGTAATAGACAAACTCAGCTGCTCCCTACGCTTCGCCTGGTCCGCGTGAAATAGGAGCACGCCCTTGCCGCCGTCCTTGATGTTGAAGTCCTTGCCCTTGGCAATCATGTCCCAGCGCGCCGCGTTACCTGCGTGAAAGAGCGTCAAAGTTTTCAAATTTCCCATTTTCCCGCGCATGTGGATGGCAGTCATTTTTTTTCAATTTTCATCATCACCTGTTGCAATTTTTTTCATCATCGCCTATCGCTCAGCTCCGTATCAGTTGCAGCTGCAGTCAGTTGCAGTTGCAGTAGTAGTTCCAGTTCGAAGCCCTATTGCTAGACTTAAAAAACCAAAATAATTTGCGCCACATATATCGTCGAGCTCGTTTCTCATGCCCATTTCGAGCGCGCGGCCATAAGCGTCTTCCTTGCGCAGCGCGTACTTCGTGAAGGCGGCGTCGTCTGCTTTGCGCTTTTTCTCCGCGTCCTGTTGCTCAGAAACCACTTGAGCAATTCCTTTGTTGTTCTGCAGCACGCCACCGCGCCCACCTTCCTTCTTATCCTTCGACGAGTCCGTGTGCTGCAACCGCGACAAGGCGGAAGACACAAGCTCTGCGTCAAACAGCTGCTGCAAAAACTCGACCTTTTTCCGCGCAGTGACGGGAGAACGGCCAATCACGAAACCGACGCACTCGACCTGCTCGCCAGCCGTGAGAGTGGCAAAATACGACCACTCCACGGCGTCTTTCCACTCTTCCTCCACGAAAGCAGGCCGCTTGAACTTTTTATCGTTGAAGGTGAAGGCCAACCCAAGTCCTCGTCTCTCGTTTTTTCTTCGTCTTCTTTGACCATGACATGGATGGAAATCCGGTATCTGATCAAAATTGTTTTTGTTTTTCCTTGATGTTGATGCTGATAGTTGTTGCTATTGATTACGAGCGTCATTGTGTATGCGTTTACTTTGATCTCGAGGCACGGGCATTCTCACATGCGCCGAGTCAAAGTTTAATCTTGCAACCAAATCTAAACTAAAACCGACCTAGTCTCGAGCTCCTCAATGGCAAACTCCTGGAGCCGCTTGGTGCGCTGGTACTTGTCGGCCATGACGTCGGCGCGCGCGTTTTTCTCCACCTTCTCCTCCTCGGTATCCATGTCATCGATCAAAGTGTCGCTTTTCTTGAAAAGACCCTTCTCTTTGTGCGCCGTCTTGCAATACCTGAGCAAAGTTTTTCATTGTCGTGATGATGTTTCTGCTTCAAAAACAACAGCAGCACTTGTTGACTGAAAAGAGATATCGAGACTGTATGTCTTGCATGATGAGCATGAGCTTGCTCATCATGAACAAAGTCTGCACTGCTTCGAATGGTAGACAGAAGAGCGCGTCGTCTTGGTCTTGGTCTTCGTCTTAGTCTTGCGCGTTTAAGTGACAATATATGTACTGGCTCCACTTCTTCCGAATTTGTTCCACCGCGGGCACGGGGGTCGGCATGTACTGGGGTCGCAGAAACTCCGCCTCGTCGCGCGCAAGTTCGGCAAAAACTGTCGCGCCCTCCTTGAGCAAGTCGCGCACCTGTTCGAATGTGCTGCAAGACCGCACCATATCGAGGATGGGGCACTCCAATTCGTCGCGTTTGTAGCAAGTAGTCCCGGCGACCAAGTGCTTGCACTCTTGCGCGGCAAAAGCTTCTTTGTTACTTTTGCGCTTCTTGTCCGGTGGCGGCATCCGGTGCATGCCCTCAGTCAAACGTTGCACATGCTCCGCGGATCTCAGCGGATTTACCCGCGGACGTAGCCTCTCGCCCTCTATCGCGTGCTCCAACGCCTTGAGGAGCAGGTCGGCCGGCAGCGAAGGCTGCGCCGACGAAAAGTTAGAGCTCCGCGCCTTTTTATAATTCTTCCCCTTCTCTTCAAAATCTTTTTCCATTTTATAAACTTCTCCCTAGAAAAAGTTTTTTTTTCCAACTGATGCGAAGGGGAAGAGAAGCATCAAAAGCAAATGAATCGAAAAGGAAAACCAAAAGCAAAGCGACAACTTCCAGCCAGATGATCCTCTTCGTGCTTTGATCAATCCATCGCGACAGATCTTGGAGCTTTGATCGAGACCACTTCGCGTTTGGATCCAGGAGCAAAATCATCAAAACCGTTATCATCTATCTTGCGCGAAAAACGAAACCGTCGCCATCTATCTTGCGCAAACTAACGCGACGAAAACAGGAGCAGGAGAGTCGAACGCACAAGCTTTCTTCTGCGTGAGATCTTTTCTGTTTCGCGCCCCAGACTCTGCGCATCTACTTACTTTTCTCCTGTGCGTTTTGCTTTTAGTTTCTGCTTCTCATTCTATTTATATTTTCTACTTCTACTCCTGCTTTCTCTTCTACTTTCTATTTCTCCTCCCCGAAACTCATGCTCGACATAGCAGCGTCGTGGCCGCTCCTGCTGTGGCTATCCCCTTGGTTGGGTCGCTCCTGATATTGTTGCTTTTTTCTCGTTAGCATTGACATTCTCTCTATACGCGAAAGACATCGGAGGCGCATATGTAAAGTCTCAAACTCAAAACCAAAAGCCAAAAGCATTGCAACTCTGAAAATGCGGACGACTCAAGCGCTCCGCTATCATAATGGTCATGCTCAATGAAACAACAAAAACGTGACCTGCTTTCCCCTTCTAGTTCTCTGCCATTCGTGTGCTTCGCCTTTCGCTTTTCACTTCCAGCCTGCTATAACTGAAACGCATTTCCACAAACCCGCCATAGCTGAAGCGCCATAGTTCGAATAGTTGTGGTTTTGTAATAAACCACAACTATTCGAAATTTTAGCTCGGTGTAGAGGAGCTCGCATTTTCCGGAAGTGAAGTTGTTTTGCTCGGTTGAAGTTGAGTTTCCGGAAATGATGATGTTTTGGTTTTCGGTGAGACGAAGTGCTGGCGTCGGTGAAAAGAATGTTGGTTCCGTGCATCGGTAACGTCGGTGGTTCAGATAGAACCTGTGCTCCCACGAAATCGGTTTTTGCATGACAAAAAATTGTTTTCTCCATGAACAAAAGAAGTTTTCATGACAATCGAAGTCGGTTTTTCCATTTTAAAAAATGAAAAATACGGCTCAGAAAATGCAATAGTTAATACTGAACTTTCGTACTTTGTCCATTCATAGGTCGTAGTCCGCTATAATACAACGCCCAACGATTAAGTCGCAAAGCAGTTTAAAAAATGCTATCTAGGTTTTAAGTTTACCATGCGTATACGCATCTAAAACATGATTAGCTAGATGTTTAAATAGCTAGCAGGAACGACCGCTCCGGATGTGTCCACATCCGGAGCGGTCGTTCCTGCTAGTAGCTATTTAAGTATCTATTTCAATAGTTACAAAGTGGGTCTTTGCATCACCTTTTCAATAGCTAGGTAGCATTTTATAAACTACTTTAGGATTTAATCGTTGGGCGTGTTATATGGATCGAGGTGGTGGTGGTGGTGGAGGTGGTGTCCACCACCACCTCCTCGTCCGAGCGCACGACCCGGTCACAGCAGCAGTAAGCCAACAGCCCCGCCCCGGCCATGCACTCAGCAACAACTGGGGGTTTTTCGCCAAACTCAAGCAGCGTTTCGGCTGTCGCGGCGTGTCCCTTTGCAGCTAGCTGCGGCACGGAGTTGCAGTGGTTGTGGATTTCCGCCAGACTGGTATCCCCGGTGTGGTCCGTATCAGCTGCCAACACGCCGGGCATCTCCTCGTCGCTCAGCACGCCGTCGTGATTCCGGTCCTTCTTTTCAAACGCACACAGCAACCCGGACTGGCACGCGTTTTTCAAAACCGACCACTTCCCGGTCTGCTGGAAGGACTGGATTCCCAAGTCGATGGCGTAATCGGAGAGACCACACGTGTCCTTTCTCAGCTTCGTCCGCAGGAGGCTTTGTTGGGACTGAAGTGAGTTTTTTGTTTTTTTTCTTGTTGTGCACAAATGCAGTGGCGGAGTTGTAGATCTTCGCACTTGCATGATTATTAAATGATACTGTTATTTAAACGATGAAATATATATTTCACCGTTTGCAGGAAAGAAAACGATGAGCGAAAATAAAAATCACAACTAAAAACGAAGAGTTGTAAAGTTCCTTCGATAAATCAAAAAAAAAAAGCACCTGCAAACTCTGCATGGCCATTTGATTGTCCACCAACATCTCCATGCTTGCGATAACATCCTCCAACTGCTTGCTCGGCTTTCCGACCTGCAGCATGGTCGACTTGGCTCCCGCAGCAGCATCCTTTTGCGACAGCCCCTTCATCGGGGCCACTCCAGCTCCGTATCAGAGTGCACAACTCGTCGCCCCCCTCCCCGTCATTTAAATTTCTCATGCAGATGATGTACTAGAATACCATCAAACCAACTACTCCTTGAGATTGGTCGTGATGATTCGTGTGTGACAACTTCCAGAAACCCAGACACAATCGAAGTCCATGTTCCAGGTGTTGATGGTGCTTGTCTCACTCGCCGTAGACAGCGAACTTTAAATAAAGGAGAGGGGAGCGACACGCTGTGCAAATTCATACTCCGCTCGCAGCGCTGAAACCTGCCTTCTCGTTCACGGCGACGGCTGTGATGTTTAGAAGTGTCGCACTTGTATTGATTTATTGTACGGCACGTTTGCAAAAATAAATGGTGCAGATCATGCAATAGACACCAGAGTTACGCGAGGGCTTGTGATGTTGCTCTGGTTGACTGTGCTTCGAGTTCCAGGTGAGGAGTGATGTTACTTTTCATGCACTACCTATATAATTTTCTTTCTTTCAATTCATGCAAAACAAATTCGCAGCGCTGTTTTTTCGACGAAATCGATGAACACAGAAAATAAGTATATCTAAATATACCCTGTTTGGCGGGGGGGGGGGGTCGACTGCGTTCATCTGGCCGGTCGAGGAGTGTGTGGAAGCTCCAGACGAGGATTGCCCTTTGGCGTTTTTCTGCTCCCCCAGCTTCGCCAAGGCGAAGTGACTGGTGTCGTACAAGGAAACCAACAACGCGGTGAGAAAGGGCAGCAGGGGAATCTTGTTGGGCGCAAGAACAGCGACCTCGCACTTGTTGGCGCGGCCACGCATCATCTTCCGTCTGATGTCGAAGATGAAGCCTGAACAAGAAGAGCCTTCTACTTCGACTTTAGTCCTTTTTCACCACGGCAGACCTTTTTGTTCGAAGAACCAACAATATTGATATTCTTGATTCCCGTTGTTCTAAAATTCTAGTGTTCCAATCCTGTTCGCCATGTAATGCGCCATGCTTTCAGAGATAGAAGATCTTCTGGCTTTTCATATTAGAGAACTCGACATCAACTGCTACTGAACTGGTAATAATCGGTCGTTTTGAAGAACCTCCCTCCACACCTGCTCTGACTCTGAAACACAAGCGGCGATCACTTTACTTGTTGAAACTTGTATTTGTCTTCGGTTTCATTCACGGTTGAACAACAGCTTCAAGTATGTTTTTAGTAGGCAGACGGTACTAGGACCAGCAAAGAACGAAGCACGTGCCTTCTCGGAGAGAAATTGGCTTTGCAGTCAGGAAGGAAAAGTAGAAGAAGTCTAGGCTTGTTTAGTCTCTCTCAGCCCTTTGCCTTTGATTTTCAAGACAACTACCAAATATCCCACTTAGTAGCAGTGGACAAAAAATTTGCACCTGCATACACACACTGATTTGCTCCTCTTGCTCTTGTGAGAAACGAAAGGAGCTCTGGGATTTGATGTAAAAATTTCTTCTTCTTCTAGTTATTCTCGAATTGTGGCAAAGCAAAGAGCGACACACTGAGCGATCTCTTCACTATAGGAAAATCAAGATACACAATGAGAAAGAGTATGGAAAATGCATGATAAGTCGCAATTTGATTGCAAAGTAGGCTCTAATTTGGTGCTTAAGTAAAGGAAGCTGTTGAAAAGATCGAAATCGGCGGCGCCCCGTGTGGGAGGAGACCGCCGTGATATTAGTCGAGAGTATGTTATCACCTAAACAAAGTTTAAAGCATTTAATTAAAATTTAAGTATAAGTATTTTAGAAGCAATATAGCAAAAATGGAAAAAATATCAAACAAAACGAGCCCTACACACCAGAATCGAGAAAATGGTTGGGTTAAGCTCGTGAAACACACTAGAGTTTTTTTGATTTTGAACGAATTAGGATCACAAAAACCTCGGAAGAACCTCATCTTCTTCATCTTCTATAGGATTCAAACACTAGACCTAGAGTGCTCCTAAAAATGAAAAAAAATTAAAAAAATTTCAAAGCATCGCCACTTTCGGCGTTGAAGCATGACTCAAAAGAAATCGAAACTGCAGGCCCGGAGAAACCTCGCGCTGTTCATGGAAACGTAATTTCGAAAGCTTGACCCCTGTTGCCGGAACCAGGTGCCCACGGTTTCCCGATTTTCTGTCTGATTCGACGCGGACATCAGCCCGGACATATGGCTATTCGCGTCCATCCGGTCAACGCCGTGCGCGTACACGATATAATCGCTGTCGGAACTGGTGCTGCTCATGCGACTTGCGACACCGGCGCCCTTTTTGGTGCTGGTCGTGGCGGTTTTCGAGGAAGCAGTCGAGGTAATATTTTTACCAGCCTTTTTCCCACCGGGATTCGGCCCTGCAGGTTGCGCACTGATTTCCGGCGCTGAAGTTGCGGGAGCAGTGCTGATGGAATTTCTCGATGATGAAAACAGTGATTCCCTCGCGAAAACCCCCATCGACCCCCGCTCCCCCACCATGAACAAGTGTTTCTTCACCTTCCTAGACGTGAAAATCCCGGTTGTCGCCGCGGTCGAAACGAAATCGAGCTTACTCACTAACGTCGCTAAACAGATCTTCACGTGACACAGCGTCAACAAAGTTGGAACGGGCAGTTCTTTTGGGATCTCTTGAACGTAGAACCAGCGTTCGGGCACGAAAGACTGTGCGTCGTTTCCGTACTTCCAGGTAGCAATGTTGGCGGAGGAGGTGCAGTACAGAAGGCAGTTGTTTTCGTTGTCCGTGTGAGGGAAAAAGGTTCCGTCCGGTAATACCTCCGACTCGAACACCGTCACCCTTCTTTCGTCCGTCTTGGGCATCGGGTGCAGCCGGATGGTTTCCAGAATCACGTTGTTCAAGAACGGGAGTTTGTGGTTCAGCTTGCCGGAAGTTGTGCCCAACAAATTCCCAGCAGTTAGCGGCGTGGCATCCAATTCCTGGCGGAGTTTTTGCAAAACGTGGGGGTGCTTGGACAACTCGAAAAGACTGTACTGCAAGATATGCGCAACAATTTCGTACTCGGAAGCGAGTAAAGACAGGCAGAAATCGGTTACAATCCGCCGGTCCATGGCCTCGACGGAAAGACAGTCTTTCAGAATCAGGGTTAAAAAGTCGCTATCAAATGTAAAAATGTCTGGGTCTGGAAACTTGTAATGCTGCGTTGGGAATAGTGAATGCTCTGTGATGCACAGCCAAGCATGAGAAATATCTACGCTTCTTTCTCTTTGTGTTGCGTTTTTCGCATGACAAACTGCGTTTTTGCATGACAGGCAAAAGGGTCTCTTCTTGAACACGCATCACAAACTTTTCGGTCATGCCAGACAAGCATGACAAATCTCGCATTCTTCCAGACCCAGACACTTTTGCATTTGATAGTCGCTACTGGCGTTCGTCTGGCGTCTTGTCAGCTCGCTCAACTCCAAAATTCTGTCGTTGACGATGCTGGTGCTGTAAGCCCGCAGGTCGCCGATCAGGCCGGGAAGCTGGGTGTTGTACTATCAAAGTGAAAAAAGCCCCCACCCCATATCGGAAACGGAAGATGCGCGAATTTGTGATGCTGTATTTGAGTACACAAATCGACTTCGACTTGTATTGCTAGAAGGCCAATAGACGAAGCTGCGGCCGCCTAAATTGCAGGCAATCTGTCATGCTGTTTCCCACTTCCAGCTGCCTCCTGTCATCCTGGAGCTGCAAGGCTTTCCCACGCTAGACAGCACTACAGTCCGCATCTTTTGCCTTCTAGCATCACAAAGCTGATTTGTGACCACAAATCTGCATCACAGATTTCCGTTTTGATATGGGGAGGGGGCATTTTTCATTGTAATATGTACCGGATGAACTTCCTCACATTATTCGGGTCCTTCACAACGTTCCCCAGGCCGGCGAACTTGTACAGCAGTGGGTGGTAACTGGTGGTCTATGGAAGCGTCAGGTTTGAAATCGTCAAAGTTGAAATAATTTGTAATGCATAAAATGCATGACCCGAGGTACGTGTGTTGCAGAGCAGGCAAGTGGGGCCGATTGTAAGCCTGTTTGGGGCTACAGGTCGAGCTGCTAAAGTAGCATAAGAGAGTCGCCCTTCTTTGCCTAAACAGCATGACAAAGTGGATTTAGGGACGACCGAAATTTGTCTTGCGCCACTTGAAAACTGGGTTCCAACTGGCATCCATTTTATGCATGGCAAATTATTTCAACTTTGTCGATTTCAACTCTGACACATCCATATGGTCGTCGCATGCAGTAAGGTGTCCGCTTGCTCGTTGCCGTAGGTGACTTCCGCCATCGTGGACAGTGTGTACTTGTGCAGCTGAAAATCCATGTCCACGTTGGGCGTGATTTTTCCTGACACAAGCTGCTGAGAACTGTTAGTACTTTGCGGATAATTATTCTTTTCCGTTATGTAGATTGAACCCAGGTTTTTCAGCGCCTTTTTCGATTTCGTCTTTGCGGTACTGGTATTTTTCTTCGTACTTGACGGAGCAGGAGCAGCTACTGTCGCCTGACTCGCGGCTTTGGCTGTTGGCTCCTGCTGTCCGCGCGGCGACTGCTTGTTGATGTTCTCTGCGGTTAAATAGTCCCGCTGGAAGGAGACCCTGTTTGTTCCCGTTCCCCCGCTTGCACTATTGAGCGGTTTTTTGCTCGTGGACAAGGGGGCTGTTGTAGTACTTGGTGCGGCCTGTGGACTGTCAGACGTGTTCAACGATGTGCCCTCCATGTTGTACCCGACGTTTTCACTTTCCCGCCGCGAACTGTTCCGGCGGAGAACGTCGTCGGCGTTCGAGAAGGTGCTTGCAGAGCGCAGTGCGTCGTATCTGTTCTTAGTCGGATCATTCTTCTCGTTCTGTTGTGTTGACAAAACGCCGAACACGTTTGTTTTCTTGTCCGATCCAGATGAACCACTGCCTACTGAGTCCTGTTTCAGTGGCCGGCTGGTGGTTTTCAGATTGCCCGCGGAGAGTGGAGGTGCAGCCGCAGTCCTCGCGGTCACCTTCCCAGTGGCCTTCACACGAACGGTGCCAGCAGTTGCTTCGCCCTCCGGCTTGGCCAGTCGTTTCGTACTCGACACCACGACTTTTGGGGTCCGGGAGACGTTTTTGTTCTCGTCGTAGAAGATCGCCAGAAATTTGTCATCGTTTTCGTCCTGCAACAACGTGTCAAAAGTCCACGGCGGGGTCACGTCAATGTCGAGGGTGGTAGGTCCTTGAGTGCTGGTGCCAAAGCTCGCGCTATCGATGCTGTCGACAAGATTAAATGGGGAAGCGCCGGAAGTAGTGGTCCCGCCAAACATCAATTCCTCAGGTAGGTTCATTTGCACAGCCAACGGGATGTTGTTCATGTTGTTCCGGGTCGCGATATTCATTGGAGACTGACTTATGTCGATCTCAATATCTGCATTGTCCTCCTCGTCTTGCTCTCTTTCCCCGTAAAACAAAAACCCACCAGGACCCCGGTGGGACGGAACATCATTTTCAGAAGGAGGAGCGTGAACTTCATTTCTTACACTAGCACCGCTGTTCATGCTGCGCCCTCGCTGTTCGACGGAGGAAAGAAGAGACGCTTTGGACGATCCGCCACTTATTTTCGATGAGGTTTCGAACCAGCTTGGATTTTTGCTACTCTCCCGGTAAAACAGAGCAGGCTGGGTGCCGCTGATCCGCGTCGCCGACGGTGCACGGCTGGAATTCGTGGAGCTGCGAGCTTTGTTCGTGTTGTCTGCTATAATTCCAACATCCGTAGTAGAATTCTTGCTGCTCCGAGCATCATTCGCAGGAGCATCGTTCGCATTGACACTAGCGGTCGAGGAAAGCGTTGTAGCTGCTGCACCTCCTCCAACACCCGATTGCGATTTCGGCCTGACTCGCGCGTTCACCTGCATGCGGATTCGGTCCGGCGTTGGGCTGGCAGAATTATCCGAGGGTGACCGCACTTTCACGTTCACTTTTGCCTTCACGCGGATGCGCCGCGGGTCAGACGCACTACTTGATGTGCCCGCTTCTGTTGCAGTTGTTCCCAAAACCGCGACAGTCTTGGTCTCCTTACTGTCCTGCTTTTTCACGGGAATTGTCCCCGTCACTGGTTTATGCATTGCAAAAATGTCTGGGTCTGGAAGATTCTGAAACTTGTCATGCACGTTTTGTGTGAGCCATGATGTCAGTGATGCATGCCCCAGCATCACAGATTTCGCGAGGGCTTCTTGATGCCTAGTCTGCATGACAAATGCCCTCTCCGCATAGCAAAAATTGCATTCCCTTTGCTGCTCATGCATATACACATTTTTTTAGAATCCAAACGCAGCATCACAAGTTTGCATTCTTCCAGAGCCAGACATTTTTGCATTTGATATGGTTTTGACAAGCTCCGCGGCCCTTGCAACTGGCTATGAAAGCCTCAGGTTGGAAATCCTCAAAGTGGAAATAATTTGTGATGCATGAAATGCGACACCAAAAAGACTGTATTGCAGAGAACGCAATGGAGGCCGACTATTGTTCTGCTAGGGGTGAAGAATTGGAGTGCTGCTCAGCACGAGAGAAGGGCACCCCTTTGCCTTAACCTGCATGACAGACATGCTTTAAGTGCCCGGGAAATTTGTCATGCGCCGACTACAAATGCCGCTTCAACTGGGGTCGCTTTTTTGCATTACAAATTATTTTCACTTTGAGGATTTCCAACCTGAGGCTTTCATACTGCCCCGGCCCAGTTTTCGACCTAACGGCCAGCATCTTCGGCGGGGCAGACCGCTCACGCTGGGCAGCTGCTGTTGTTGGAATAGCAGCGACGGTTGCACGCTTGTTTCCCTTTCCAGTCGAAGGAGTAGTTCCGGACGACGCTGCTGCCGCAACGGTCGACGTTCTGGCCGCGGCTGTCGTGGCCTTGATGGCGACCTTATTTGAAGATGTGCCGCGCTTTGCTGCTTGACCCGCACTAATGTTCTTGTCAGCATTTATCCGGAGAAAAAACGTCCCCACACCAGACTCAAGATGGGAAATCTGCTAGACAAATCAACCAGCTTTCGCTGTTTCGCATGACAAGTTTGCCCTCATAGTGTGTTCCTGTTTCGCTACTTCAGCAGCATCACAAACCTAGCATGTCATGCTGATTCTAGCATCACAAATTCCAAAACACGACTAGGCAATGCTTCTCATGGGGCTCCGCATGAGAAACTTTTTTGGCATGCAGAATTGCATGACAACTCTGGGGTGGGGACGTTTTTACTCAGAATAGCATTAGCATTAGTTCCCAGTCCCCCGAACGGTTCCTCTAAAATGGGCGCGAACTCCGTGGACCGCGTCGACCGCGGGCGTTCTCCCGGAGACGAAAGAATTCCTGTTTGCTCCCGCGAGCTCGCCGGGGAAAACATCGAACCCAGGAGCTGACTGCTGCCCAGAAACTCCGTTTCGTCCCCCCGGGTCGCTCGCTCGCTGTGCTTGTTCTATCGTGAGTAAAAACGTACCCACACCAGAGTCAGGATGGGGATTTTGCAACACAAACCTAGGAGCTTTGTGAGTCACGCATGACAAGTTTCAGTCCGTAACGTAGTGCAAGTTAGCAAGTGCAGCCGCATCACAGATTCATCTGCGCATCCTGTTCACAGCATCACAAATTCCAAAACACGACTGGAAATGGCTCTCATGGGGATGCGCATTACAGGTCTTCCTGTCTTTGCAAATCTGCATTACAACTCTGGTGTGGGTACATTTTTACTCAGGATATGTTCCCGGACGAGTTCAAAGCATTGGAAGAGTAAAACCGGCTCAAGTTGTTCGCATACAAGGTCATCATTTCCCTGGCCAACGGGGATTGCGGCAGGTCTTGGTTTATCCGTGCGTTGTTCATTCCGCGCGCCGGCAGCAAATTTTCGTTGTTCGTCCGGTAGCGATTGATCGAAACGGTGGCGTTGTCGTTCTTCGGAATGTTTTCCATCGTGCGCGTGTACCGGGTCGCGCTTGTCCCGTCGTCTCGAACTAAGGAAAACAGAGAGTTGAAGCTGTTCAAGCTGATCCTCCCCACGATCGTGACCACCGCAACGGGGATTTCGGCGACCTGCCGCACGAAGCCCGCGTTTTCGGAAAACACATCCGAGAAGACAGAAACCGAGCTGCTGTTCCTGCGGTGCGACTGTGCCTGTGTAGTAGTTCCACTGCTTGTCACGGTCAGAAGTTGCGAGCGCGAGCGGGCGGAAGAGCCGCCAGTCAATATTCCTGTCGCACTAGTACTTCCGGTCAAATAGTTCGCGACAGCGCGAATCACGTCCCGGAAAATCGCCCAGAGTGCCTGGAAAAATTCGGACACATCGTACACACCGGAGAGCACGTAGCTTCTCAAAGAAAACGGCTGTCTCTGAACCAACGGCTGCTGCCCTGCTTGGACGTACTGGCTGGATTGGCGACTGGAAGTAGCATTCTTGTCGGAAGAACCACCCGAGGATGAAAGACTCTGTGTGCTCATATTGCCGGACTGGAGGGCGAAATTCGGGTTCTGAGGGCCAAAGGAAAAATTGCTGTTCGGTTCGAGTTTGATGTTGGTCTGCCTTGTGCTTGTATTTTGCACGCCGCTGATCGGCTCATTTTCCTCACTAATCCGCTCCAAACCGTCCTCGGCAGCGGCCGAACTCCGTTGCGTACCCCGCCCCGCTCGGGGCAAGAACGCCGTCGCGCGGCCGTACTCCACACCGTAGAAACCCGCAGTGGATTCGGGTTCGAAATTGTAGCCGTATGCTGTGCAAAAGTATCGTACTCGTACTAGTTGCAAACATGCAAGACAAATCTTCCTCCTAAGGTAAAACAGCATTACAAATTGCATTTTTCTTCCTGAAATAGTTTGTGATGCAATTGATACTAGTACGAAACTTTTGCAATGCATAACCCGCTGTCTCGGTCGATCTTGGAGTCTGCAAAGGTGGTTGGCCGAGGACCTGCTCCCGTTTTAATGTTAGTGGTCTGCCGCGCTTTCTTATCCGCAGTTGAAGAAGAACTCCTGTCCAGCGAGTACCGCAACGTCAATTCATCGACGTTGCTGTCCCGCTGGAGCAAAATTTCGCTGCTGTCCTGCCGTTCGGAAGACCCGCGATACCCGACAGACGACGCCAACGGCCGCCAGATGGTACTAGCCGTGGACGGTAACACCCTCCCGCTCTTGTCCTCTGCGTTCTTCAGCATGCGGTCCGTCCAGGTGGACACGGGCTCGGTCCCATTCCCGATTAGTTTTTTGTTCGCATTCGCATTGTTGTTTTCGTTCCCGAAATTCACCGCGCGGGACTGGGAGAGCAAAACGTCGACAAATTTGTTTGCTTGTTTTTGAAACACCCCCAGAATGTACTCATTCACAATCTCGTTCTTGTACTTCTCGATCAAAATCTTCTGCTCCTGGGCGAATCCTGGTGTATAATTCGCAGTAGAATTTTTGTTGTCCCTGTCGAAGAGCAACGCAGCAGCGAGATCCTTCTCGGGAACATCCGCGAACTGCCAATTCTCCTTGTTCTTATTCTCGACAAAATCCAAGCACTCCGGATCTTCCGTCAACACTAGGTGCCGCATCGGGTAGGGCAAGGGCACGTACAAAGTCGTGACCCTTTGGCTCTGGTGTTGCGAAGGAGCTCCGTGGACGATGAATTCCGGAAACTTTTCCTCGGTCGCCTCGTCGAACGCAGCTCTGACCGCGAGTTTGAACGATTCCGTGTCGGTTCTGCCATAGTTGAAGACGTAGTAGTTTCGGAATTGTCGAAGTAACTCCGGCAAAAACCAGATCTTCCGATCCGCCCGCAAACAGTTCTTCGGATTCGCTCTGATCCACCGGAAGTAGCAATCGTGGGCGAAAAGAAGAATCAGTGGGGTCCCGATAAGCAAGCCAACGTTGTCGTTGTCTTGCAGGGCTTTCAGAAGCTGGTCGGGGTTTTGGTACCCGGTCAGCTGTATCCTGTGCAAAAGTATCGCACTCGTAGTAATTGCAAGCATGCAATACAAATCTTTTGCTTAAGGTAAATCCGCATGACAAATTTGATATCTCATACTGAGGAAATTTGTCATGCATTTATACGAGTACGATACTTTTGCAATGCATAAGCTGCTTGATGGTTTGGTCGCGAAGTTTTTTTGTGATTCTCACAAATTCCACTGTCTTCGTGATCGTGAATTCGTAGAAACCGTTGAAGGTCTGGATGACAATTGTCCCGAAAGAATTCACTGCGGAAGAGGCGGAAGTTGCGAGGGAGGTGGAGGAAGACGTACCGGTTGGTGGAGGTCCGCCAGCGGTTCGTGCTGTTGCACTCGCAGTCACAGTCGCGGTACTAGCAGCTCCAGTTCGGTTGCTTCGCTTCACGAAATCGCCTTCTTCGTATTTCAAAAGCTCCTCAACGGATTTGTTCCCTTTTCCCGGCCGCATAGCTGCTGCACCAGAACTTCTCGCTGTCGCTTGCTTCACCCTCGTCGACACAATTGTCACTTGGTCCGCCACAGCTCGGTAAACGACCTTGACAGGGTAGGCAACCAGTTGGTAACAGTTTTTAACCACATTCCACACCAACATCCCGGATTGCTTCAAGAAATCGAGCAGTGTTTGGAAAAAGTTTCTGAAAGCTTTATCCACCTGCTTGGAAACTCTTTGCAGAAAATCCTTCCCAAATAGCCCATCGACCTCCGGCGCGCGCCTGGTGCGGAGGGAGGCGGTGCTGTAGGGTCGTTGCCCAGCCGTCCCGGTGTACTCGTGTTCGTAGGGGTTGTAGTGGTCTTGGTTCTGCAAGTGTTCGGAATGGATCAGTTGTCCGTACAGACCCTTGCTGGTTTTCGAAGTTCCGGTGGTTCCGGCTTTGGTGGCAGCAGTCGTCGTGGCCGCCCCTTGTTCTACTACTTCCAACACTTTATTTCTCCTCTCCCCCGAAATCGTCAGCGACCATTCCTCGTCCAATCCGGGGAAAATGAAGACTAAAACCCTCTTCACCGGCTTGGATAACACCACGTTTTCGTAGAACCAGCTCCTCACAAATTCCACCGACCCAGAGAAGAAGTACACAAACCCGTCATACGGCATGCGGATGATGGAAACCGCGCCATCCAGAGCGAATTTTAGCAAATCAACGCCCCCGTTCAAGACATTCACCAGTAGCTGCGCCAAATCCTGGGTCAACGCCCCGGTTCTATGCACTGCGGACTTCGCGTGTTTCACCATGGCACTCGCCAAGTCCTTCACTGTGTGGTCGTAGAAGTCGTGCAGCGCGTGATTGGTAGAGGAAACCACGGAACCGGTGGAATCGACCAAAACTTGCATCTTCTCCCCGGTGAGGGAAACGATTTCGTGCAGTTTCAGGTTGGATTTCTCCAAGGTCTCGACCAATTCGTACTTCAGATTCCCGATGGATTTTTCTGTTCCGGTGATGATCTGCCCGGAAACGTCTTTCAACACCAACGTCACGTTTCCCAGGTCATCGTGGATCAAGTGTGTAAATCGATTTTGCAGGTCAGAGGCGACTGCCTCCGTCAGCTGCTCGGTCCCGTAAACGACTCTTCCAGCCCCGTCAGTCACGTAGTGGGCGATGGTTCCGTTGAACTCGACGACATAATGGGTTAAACTCCCGGCAGCGTCTGCGGCGGCGACCGCGCCCGCCTTGAGTCCCGCGAGACCGTCGAGCCCCACGCCGGCGAGCCTCTCCAACGCCGGGATTTCTCCGGCAGTGGAGGGGGAGCTTTTCGGGATAAACGTGGCTACTTGTTCCCCGCATTTATGTTTATTCGCGATGAACAATTCTTCGCCATAAGCGTACAGTTTCCCCAGAGCCGCTTCCTCGGCGTGCTTTGCCAAGTCGTAGGTCGATTTCACAGTGCCGACGATTCTCTGCGAGCCGGAGACAACCCGCCCGGTTTTGTCCACTAATTGGTGGACCATCTGCCCCGAGGCGTCCACCACGGTCTTTGCCTGGTGGTTAGCGGAACGGACAAGGCGGTTGAAAATGGAAAGCAAATCCTCATCCGTGAACAGTTTGATGTCCACCAAATACTCGAACACGTCACTCGTCGGCGCCTTCGACGCCAGCCACTTGCTGTCTTCCAAAATTTCCCCCGTGGCTTTGTTCACCACGTAGTTGAGCGTGTTGCTCGCTTCGTCTTTCAACGTAATGATGAAACTGGAGTTCAGATCTGCGGTTTGGGACAAATTCCCGAGTTGCTCGAGATTCCGCATCTGCTCCTCGGCGACCTCCCCGATCACCTTCTGGGAATTCTCAATCACGTTCCCGGCCGAATCGGTCATGTAGTGGATCAGTTGATTCCCCTGGAACCGGCGTTTTAAAGATGGTTGGCGGATAAAATTCTCCAGCTGTTGCTCCAATTGCTGCGCTTCGGTGGTGAGTTGGTTCAACGTGTCATTAGTGAGAGCATAATTGGCAGCTGTTTTTTGCGTCGCGTCGACAAGCTGTCCGATGTTTTTGCCCGTGCGAGAGACTTCGTTGTTCACGTTCGTTAAAATTTCATTCCCTGCAGACAAGAATTCTGTTTTCCCGAGTTGCGCAATCCTTGCCATGTCGGAGACGGTTTCCTCCAAAGTTTCCTTCGTCACTTCGACCACAACAGGGAGAGTTTGCAACGCGTGTCCACTTGCGTCCTTGACCGTGACGTAATTCGCCTCGGCGATTTGCTGCAAGTGGTCCGCCTCGTCGCGGATGAGTTTCTGCACCTGGTTGGCGATCTCGTTGGTATCGTGGAAAAAGTTCTCCGCGAAGGAAAGCTCGATCGACGCGGAGGAGCCCTCGGCGCTAGTAGCTCCAGTAGCAGGAACAGCACTTCTAGACTGTGTCTTCGGAAAGAATACTTTCCCGTCGTCCTGGTTCACGGCGAAGTACTTAGCCGGTTGCGGTTCAACAACAGCTGTCGTTGATGTGTTCTGTCCACTTGTCACTGTCCCCTCTGCCTTGAACATGACCGTGTTGGACCCGTGGGACAAGACTTTCTTCCCCGGCGCGGTTAAAGTTCTGGATAAACTGTCCATTTTCTGCGGTTGCACCGCGGTGAAAACGTTGTTGCTTGATGTTCTGTCGTAAGTTGTATTGGCCATCATTTCGACCACATTGTCGTTGTCGGTCGTCGAACTTCGCACCAAACTGCTCATAGCGGAAGCCGACTGGTCGGGGATGTCGGACGTGGTCATCTTCATATCCTCGGAAGTAGATGTTGACCCTGTCACTGCGCGGACGATTTTCGTGCCGATTTGCGAGGGGTTGCGCAACACCTTCCCGACGATTTCTTCCGAAATAACCTTTCCCGTGTCGACTCTTTTCAAGGTGTGGATCACCTCACCAGTAACATTGATGTTCTGAAACAGCTCCGTATGCTCAGGAATCGGCTCCAGGACCATTGCGGACTCGGTTAACTTCACAATTTCCGGAATCGCCTTGACCTTCCTGCCAGTCCCATCTGTCACTCGGAGAATCTCTCCGAACCCGGGCAACGTCGGGACCGAGAGGGTTACCGACCCGGAGTACTCCCCGCCGCCGATTTTCTTACCTTGGAGAGACCAGCCCGGACCGTTGAGCATTTGCCGGAACCGAGAAACGAAATTCCCGAGGTCGCCGTACACTTTTTGCCCGATGGAGGGAACGTCTGCTGGCCGCACCGTAGCGAGTCGCTTCATGGATTGGTTCGCCTTCTCCAGGTCCTCGGCTAACAACTGCTTCAGCTGCTTCATGATCGGGTCGTCTTCGTTTCCGAAAGAACCAGATTGCCGCTTCAAGAACTCTTGCTCAAAAGTGGCGCGGAAATCCACCGCAGAGGGGCTGAGCGTTGTTTTGAGTGGGTTCTCGGAATTCTCTGGTAACCCGATTCTCCCTGGCTTTCCCAAACTGTCGAAGCGGAGCTTCTCCGCTCCGGATCTGAACTCCCACGGGGTGGTTTGTTTGCGGAGAAGAAAGTCAGAATCTACTGCGCCGTTCTTAAAATCGTTTTCGTCCGTGTAAGACCGCTGCATCAGCAGCCCGTTGTTCCAATCCCGCTCGATCGCGTTTTCGATCTTCTGTCCCGACCAGTTCTTTTCGATCTTGATTTTCGCATCCGGCGTGCTTCTTGAGCGCAACACGTTCAGGATCGGGTTCACCTCGAGGTTCCGGACCTTTTCGGAGATCAAATAACTCGCGGATAAGTCAGAATCCGATAGAATCAATTCCGACCCGTATTGCTCCTTCAATTTCTCCAACCCATTCTGATCCGCAATCCCGGACAAGAATTCCCCGCCCTGCCGGGTGAACGCCCACCAGAAGAGTTTCCGCTCCTCGTTCATGACCCCGTACAAGACCGCGCCCGGTTTCACTTTGGACGTGACGAGGTCCTTGAAGTCTGACACGTGCAGGTGTACAGACCCGCGGTTCAAGTAGCTTCTTTCAATCCGCCCGTACGTTTTCTCGATGTTCCTCACGGGTAAACAGTTCGATTCCGCGCGGAACCACTCCTGTGGGAAGTCATTTTCGATCTTTTGGGACAAGGACCGGTCGATCTTGTGCTCGGACCCGTGTTCGAGTCTTGTCCCCTCCTTCGTGTAGTCCGTATGTTTCCGGATTGGAACGGGTAACAACAGTTCGTGTTCCTTCTCGTGGATTTCATGCGCCAACTCGTGCTTGTTATTTCGCGCGAATTTCCCGGTGACGGTTTCGTACCCGGACATCAACCAGTCGGAGAAACTGGAGGCAAACTCCTTCACGTCGTGCCTGCTGTGATCGGTGGAGGAACCAATCGCTGGTAACTGCGGGAGAAGAATTTCCCTTTCTCTCGTAACCTCGATGTTGATCTTGAACTGCATCTCCCCCAGATACCGGCCGAAGTGGTCCACCACATGTCCCGCCTCGTCATTCACTTTGCCGAGCAAATTTCCGGATTGATCCACCACATGGCCGGCCGTGTCGATGACGTGGCCGACGATCTGCCCACCCGCGTCCTTGACTTGGGTGTAGAGACTGGAAGACACGTCGATGTCGTTCCAGTTGAGAGAAACCGGTAAGTCCGGCAGCTCCGGCAGCTTGATCTTGGAAAAGTGCGGCTTGGGGAGTTCGAACTCGGGGACGACACTTGGGAGGTCGGGGAGCTGCGGCATGTTTGGCAGGTCGACTTTCGGAAGCTCCGGGATGGAGGTGAGGTCTGGCATGGAAGGCATCTCCGGCATGGAAGGCATGTGCATCTCCGGCATTTTGGGTACTGAGGGCAGGTCGACTTTCGGTAATTCCGGCATGGACGGCATTTCCATTTTCGGTAACTCCGGCATAGAAGGGATTTCCATTTTTGGCATTTCCGGCATGGAAGGCATATCCATTTTTGGCATTTCCGGCATACTCGGCATTTCCGGCAGGTCCACCTTCGGCATGGCGGGAAGATCCGGCAATTCGGGAAATTTCACATCCGGCATCTCGGGCAGAAGTTCCGGCATCTTCACGTCCGGCAATTCCGGCGCGTGGAACGACGGAACTCTCGGCATCTCCGGTAAAGTCAAGCTCCCGCTGAACTCATATTCCTTCTCCGGGTTATCAAGTGTAAAACTGTCTGGGTCTGGAAGAATGCGCGATTTGTCATGCTGCTTTTCCATGACCCATGAGGTCTGGAATGCCGGAGCTAGCATGACAGATTCTGTGCACTCTCTCTCATGCCTATCCTGCATGAGAAACTCCCTCCCGACTTGGCCAAAACTGGACGACTTTTGGTAATCACGCAACACAGATTTTTGCATGTTTCAGATTTAGCATGACAAGTTGCATTCTTCCAGACCCAGACATTTTTGCATTTGATACGGGTGTAAAACCAGCGATTTGATGTGGAACATGTCCTCAGCCTTGGACTTATCAAATGTAAAAATGTCTGGGTCTGGAAGATTCTGAGATTTGTCATGCATATTTCGGATCACGCAAGTGGCGTCTGATGCAGGCAAAAGCATCACAGGTTTTGAGCACGCCTCATGATGCCTGTCCCGCATGAGAAACTTCCTACTTGCGTGCCAAGAAATGGACAGCTTTTGGCGCTCATGCAACACAAATTTTTGTGTGTTCCAGAGTTTGCATCACAAGTGGCAACCCTTCCAGACCCAGACATTTTTACATTTGATAGGACTTGATGATCCCCAACTTCTCCACCCCTTTTCCCGGCAACGAGCCCAAAAACTTTCCCGTTTTGCTCACCACCTGGCCGGTGCTGGTCGCGACATTGCCGATAGCTTGGCCGGCGTGGTTAAGGACCTTGCCCGTGTGGTCCACCACCGTGCCAATCTGCCGGCCAGCGGAATCGATATGGAACTGTCAGGATTGACATTAACAAAGTTGAAATAATTTGTGATGCATAAAATCTATACCAGTTGGGCCCACAGTTTCCAATCGGCGCATGACAAATTTTCCTGGCCTCTGAAGCACGTCTGTCATGCTGTTTCGGGCAAGATGGCTGCTCCCTGTCATGCTAGTCAGCAACCCAATTCCTGACCCTTGCCAGCACTAGAATCTGCCTCCCTTGCGCCTTCAGCAATAGAGTCGGTCTTTGTGTCGCATTTTATGCATGGCAAATCCTTTCAACTTTGTCGATTTCAACTCTGACACATCCATAATCGAAGACGGTGAGTTCGGAAAGACCGGACAACCCACCGATGATGTCGTGGCGGATGCGGCCGGCGCCCGTGTAGACTTTCCCTAGAAGTTTGCCGGTGGCGTCAACGACGAGACCGAATTCACCAACAACGTGGCCGATCACCTGAAGGATTGGGGTGGTTTTGTAGAAGAGTAAAACTATTTCTATTTCCTTGCTTTGCAAGTACTTACTTAAGTGTAAAACTCACGCACTTTCAAGGTTGTATGTACCTGCATCATCGTCGATCAATAGTGCGCACGAAAAAATCATGCAAAACACGTGCTCGCGTGACGATCGCACAGATGCATGCGCGCATGAAGTTCTGCGCGTAACTTTCACAGACGCAAAATGGTATACTTAAATGCAATCAATATACACAACTGTTCACTATATGTGCATTCATACAGAACACCATCAAAACCCAAAATCCTATCTCCTCAATACCTCCCCGGCGTCATTCACCACCCTTCCTGTTCCCTTCACCACTTTCCCGATCACGTTTCCGACGGAATTTTTGACCACAAACAGCTGCGTGCCCACCTCGTGTCCGTAGTATTCCAAATTGGTCAGCAACGTCGAACTTTCCTCCGCGTGCTTCAGGTCGAGCCCGTTGAGCATCTGGATGTTCTTGAAATTTTCCCGAAAACAAAATTTCAGCAATCCGCAGCTGTTGTGCACGTGGAGCGCGAGAATTTTGACCCCGCGGAAGGAATCGGAGAGGGTCGCGCTGAGGGCGGCGGCCGCGGTGGTCGTGAGCGCGAGCGAGGACTGGATAGGCTTCAAAAGGTACAGAGTGTCCAACGCGTAGATGAAATAGGCATTCAACTCGTAGAAAAACGCGACGATTATGTTCGACCCATCGTACTCCGGGATGATCGTGCTGCCATCCGAGGTTGTAAACTTCACCGATTGATGCGCTTTTTGTAAAGGGAAGTCGAGTCTCTTGCTCATCGCGGTGCGGTTGAAATCCAATTCTAGCTTCCCCGTCAAATTGATCTGCTCTGTCTTGTCGTGCCCAGCTGAAGATTCCCCTCCTGTCGAGAAATAGTCCAGCAACCCTCTGCCCGCGCCGACGGAACGAAGAGAGGGAAGTTTTGCAACTCCTTCTTTCTGAATGATCTGATCAAATTGGACTGATGTCACCTCTGGTGCTCGGGGTTGGACTGTGGGACTAGTCGAGGAAGCTGCTGCTGCTGCACTCCCAACAGCGCTGGCACCACCAGCTATGTCCATCCCACCCGAAATAACCGCTCCGGGGAGCAAGCTGCCCATGCTCGTCGTGTAGATGACCCCGTGCTGGCCGCGGTAGAGCAGACCGGGGCCGTACACCGCCTCGATGGAAGGGGGTCCATTGTGGAATTGGACCGACCGTTTTTCCCCGCCTTTCAGCACGACGGTGATATCGATGATTTCGCCCACCGGGATTTCCTTCGCGAGCACCCCAACCGACTCGGAGAGCCATTGCACCAGATCTGTCCAATGTAAGCCGGCGAAGTCGGGAAGCTCTTTCGGGTAGGGGGAGGACTCCCGGGCGTAGGCGTTGAAGGTGACGGAATCGATTCTTTCCGTGAAATCGAGCTTTTCGACTATCATGGCTTTATAATTTTCGGTGCTGGAACAAATCAGGAGATTTTGGAATTTATGTTTTGGGATGAAATATTTTTTGCTGACGTTGGAGCTCAGAGCTCACGCCATCTTGAAAACTTTATTTGTAGGGTGTACAACTACAACTCAGGGTACAAAAATGTTTATCATTTTGGGGTAAAGCTAAAGCGATGTTGTTGTAATATTCCAAATTTAGGATATTGTTGGGGGTCATTGAATTATCCTGACGGGCAAAACAAAAGAGGAGGACAACATGAAGGACAGCAAAGAAAATGGCTGCATGAAGACGCTTTATACGCCACGACGAAATTTGGATTGCACACGCACGATGTCCTGGTGTACGAAAATAAGCTACTTAGCAAGCAACCGAATTTCGAAGTACGAGCAAGTTTTGGCAAACCGAAAAGTGAAAAGCACGAGACCGACGATAAGATTTTTCAACTATTCCTTCTTGAAGAGGCGCACGAGACCGAGACTGAGCGACAGGTATCTTCCATATGAGAACGTGGACGTGCACCAAAGCAAAAGCATGAAAGCAAAAATGCACGAGAACCGATTTCAAAATTCTAATAATTCCGTAGCAATCACAAAAACCGAGTAAAGTAGTATTCCTCATGACTGAGGAGAAGAACCCATAATTAGGTACAAAATCATATCTAGAAGTACAGTGCAAAGCTGCTACTTCGCATCCATCTGTGTCAACATCTTCTCATTTCATTTTCCAAAAATACATCGTCTCTACTTATGGTTTCTCGAAGACTTTATGTTCATCCTGCACAGAGAAACTTCTCCGCACAAGAGAAGGTACAAAAGTGTCTTCGTGAAATGGTGTTAGTCATGTTTACTTCTCTTTTATTTCTCATTCTCTTGGGATTTTTCCCTGAAATAAATTACTTCTTAGTTCAGTTGTTCGAGTGCTGTCCTCTACATAGCGATCATCTCTACCGCATCTATTCGTGTTCCGAGAAAGTATTAGCCCTCCCACAGCCTCGGTCTTGAGAAGACCACATCATCAGCTGTATTCTTTCTAATACTCTTCTATCCTGTGTCGTGCAACCTTCACGTCCTCAGCGGTGAGATCAAAATTCTCCAGAATTATGTACTCACTTACATCCTTCAAAAGTTGAAACAGAGCTCCGGGAAAATGTTCCGTCATGTGATTTTTTTGTACTTTTACATTTATTTGTTGATGGTGGTTCTTGGAATATTAGGTTAACAAGCTGCTCATTCCTGTTGTGAAGTGTTCAGTTCTTGTTCGAAAAAAAATACACGCTTGTAGTACAGATAAAGAAGTCCCTGTACTTCTAGTCTTTACCAACAAAAACCGTGCGCCCACTGGTGCGACGCAGATATTTGAAGGCGGAAGTGCCGAGATTTGTAGTTTGTTCAGATTGTGACATCAGGCAGTAGATAATTTTGCAAAAATCAGATAAGGCCGCTGCGTTTGTGGTCCTGTTCAACAGGCTGCGCTGTAAAAATCTAGTACATACTGGACCACCATTTCGACCTCGACCACCAGCACCACGACCTCGCACTCACTTTTCCGCCCCGTGACGGAAGCCGTTGGAGTGCGGCGTGTGAAAGTATGCATTGCAAAAGCATCGTACTAGTATAAATCGCATGACAAATTTGCTTAGCATCATCATCATCATTGAGACGAGCCCCCTGTGGTCGTCCTCACGGTGTCGTCTTGGCCCTAGGCTGTTTCGGACAGATGTTGGTTGTGTCCGGCAAGAGGACGGCTCTGCATGGGCAAATGTTGGTAATGTCCAGCGAGAACTCTTCCGTGGCCCCATTTTCTGCCGGTTTTTGGCTTTCGCCAGGATTACCCGCAACGCCACCCGTGGACAGTGAAACCCATGGCAGGCTTTCGCCAGGCGGTCCCGGGGAGGCCCTCCTCTTGGCACAATGTCGGTTAGATACCAATTTGCACCCCCCGGAAGCGAGGTGAGCCTCTCCTATGTTGGTGCAGAGCACGAGTGGGGTCATGGGCTCGGGTGAGTAGTTGGGGGGGCTACTCAGGGGGTACTGGGACTGTTCGCCGAACTGTTGCCGGATATGAAAAGTTTTCGGGTCTATTCACAACCATGATCGCAGGCTAAGTTAGGCAAAAACTCCGCTGGAGGTTTCGCACTGGTGGCCTCCCATGGCGTGAATATGTTTTGCGGACTTGATTTCTTCATCCGCTTTTCTTTTGTTTTCATGCAAGGTGCTCGGCGCGAGCCCTCCTGCCGCTCCGTTCCGTATCTCGTTCCCGTCGCCGCTCTGCCTCTGCTCTTGCCGTACTTCTCCGTAGTAGCCACCGGGGCTGTGGGGTCCACAGGGGTGAGGATAAAGGGGGTTCCGGGGATAGGGGGCGGGGTTCCCGTGCATAGGGGAGGGGGCGGGGTTCCCGTGAATGGGGGGGGTCCCGGGGGTACAGGAGGCAGGAACCCCAGTCGCGCGCCGGCTTTCGGTTTATCCGTCTCCTTCCCGGATGGGTGCAGGAAGTGCAGAAGTTGCTGGGCCTGTAGGGGTGGTCTGGGTTCGGGCGAGGAGATCGGGATACCCGGCGACGCCATTATTCTAAAGATTCTGCATTCAAGTCTGTCAGTGTTCGCGAGGAAAGTGAGACAAAGTGAAGAAAACTAGCAATGTACAACCTACAATTACATCTACGGCCCCATATGCAATTTATCCCCACGATTACGATTTTCAAATTTTCCTCTGAAACCCCACGACCGAACTTGGCACAAAGCAAACCGACGTGAAGAGGAGACCCAAGGAGCCACACATGCAAAAAGGAGGCCAATAGCCATGAGTAGACTCAATACGTTCCCTCATGGCTATCCACCGTGGCACCGCAACAAGTTTGCAGAAGATCTGCAATGGTCATGACCGCGAGATTCTCACACCGAGCTGGACCGACGTCAAAAGTACGATAGACGCGCATGACTACCCCTATTTATATACCCCCGGGGGAGGGGGAATATGAGATTTGCAATGCGGATCTACCTTGAGAATGAGATTTGTCATGCATGAATGCGATTAGTACGAGTACGATACTTTTGCACAGGATAGAAAGGCCAACGGGTTGATATTCGCGTTGTGCTTCATGGTCGCTTTGGAAGCGTATTGAGAGGAAAAATCCCCCCTCCCCATATTGAAAAGGTATGTTTCCAAAAATTTGTGTTGCGGATTTGAGGTCACAAATCACGTCTGTCTTGCAAGAAGACAAGGGCAGAAGCTTCCGCCCCATTATGGAAGCGATTTGTCATGCTGTCTGGCCTAAAGGGGGGCCGTTTGCCATGCTGAACTACTAGACCCATACGCCCCTACCTAGCCTGGGGATCTGGCCGCAGTGCCTCTGTGCAATACAAAGCTGATCTGTGGTCACAAATCAGCATCACAAATTTCCGTTTTGATATGGGGAGGGGGGATTTTTCATTTTGATAAAGCGTGCTTCTGGCGAAAAATCTCGTTTTCGAAATGCTTGGCCGCCTGGAACCGCCCCTGCTCGTCGCGCTTCCCGGTCGCCTCCGCTTTCATCTCCTTTTCAATCTGGGAAACCAGCTGCTGCTGGGTCTCGGAACCAGGGGAAGTGGTGGATTGCGGGGAGGCTGTGTTTTGGGATTTACATTTATGATATTAACCATCTGCTGCTTGTTGCATTTATTTTGCAACATCAGCTGTCGCACTTTTCATGCAAAACTGTAAGACCCTGACCTTCGTATTGACCTGTGACGATCCTACTCTTCCTTCATCAGATTTGTCATGCATAAACGCCATCAAGATCAACAATCACGATACCGGCGTTGGTCTTTTTCGGCGAGCGCTGGGCACGACGGCGTCCGGCCACCATGCGGCTCCCGGGGCGTTTCAGCTCCCCGAGCTCTTTCTGGGAGACCGACATCGCCGTCATCCTGTGTGGCGACGAGGGGTAGTCGTCCGGATTCCGGTCCGTTTTGGAGCGGGAGGGGGGAAGGTGGCAGCTACTCGTTGTATTCGACGTTGGAAATTTTAGGGTCGAAATCCGATCGTCGTTCTCTGCGTACTTGTAACTTTATTTATTAGACCTACATGCGAACTCAACACGATGTGCCAACAACTGTATTGATGTCGTGGGGACGACGGCTAACTGAAAGATGAATTTGCGTGTATCTATTGATTGCGGGTAGATGTAGAAGGTGTGTTTGAAAATTGTCTTTCACAGGTGTTCGAGGGTAGCCTCTATTTCGACGTGGTTTCTTTATGTCTTCTTCGTGGTAGATAGGAGGGTGGTGTGATGTAAAATCGGTTCCACTAGTACCTTCTATCTTTTACTTTTCCTCTGTGTCAGCGTAGTCACAAATACTCATGGTGATGGTTTTATTTTTCTAGAGAGCTGCATTGGTATTGGGTTCAAGAAGAGCAGCAACAAGGCACAGAAACGTCTTACCGCCATTATCAGGGTATCCATATGTAGTTTGTGGAATCTACGGAAGGATCGTCGTGCGAAAAAGATCGTTCATCTCTATCGGCAACCGTATCTTTCATCTACTTCGGGAAATCTAGGACCGACTTTGTTTTTGTTTTGTTCCTTCAGCTGCACCGTCCGTTCCACAACAGTTTTTCACATGATGCTGGACTTTACTTTACTTCCTGTTGAACACAAAATATACTTCCGCCTTTCTCGATAAGCAGAGCAGTTTTTGTTGCTTGGCCTGCTCAGTTTTGTGGCAGTGCACGTTGTTTGAGTAGTTAGAGCTTCTTTCATCGCAGCAAATTGGTGCATAAAGAGTTTGGAAAAAACACAGAATAAGGAAAAAAGTGGTAGGCTTTAGATAAGTAGAAGTTTTTTGCAGATTTGCAGAATAGTGAAGATAGCAACGTACTCTTCTTCATCAAGCTACACACAACTCGTGCCCCGTCCTCTCGACCGCTTGGCTACGAGTTCTTCTTCTTTCACATTCTACACAATTCATTAACGTCAGCGGCTGAATTTGTCCAGCGCTGCCTTCTTGTGGTTCAAACGCGCCGACTCACACTTTTTCTTTTTTTCTGACCGCGCGATTCAGGACGCCCTCGCTGGTCTTCTCCACGCGGCCCCTCGTGCAGTTTACGTAGATGAACTACGAAAAGCAGTGCGCCAGGCCAAAAGGACCATGAGGCCGAAGGTGAAGTAGGAGCTGACTTTTTCATGCCTCAAATAGTGACAGAAGCAACTCAACTTCAGCTATGCCCAATAGCACGTTTTTCACTTCCCGCCAGCCGACTAGCACGTTTCTCGCTTCACGCCAGCATCTCCACGGCCTTCGTGTATTTAGGCATGAATTCCTTTTTTCGGGACACAAAAGCGCCGATATCGATGACATGCTTCGAATTTTCGGTCGCAACACTGTCGGGGAAAGCCTTTTTCGTGACCTGCATCTCATCTTCTCCGAGAGCGACGGCGACGGACTTCTGCGCAAGGACGTCCACGATGCACCTGTTGTAGTAGCGGATTCTATTTTCTCAACATTCTCATTTTCGCGCGACAGGCTTCATTTGCTATGTTCTCTAATGCTCAGGACGTTCATCATCATCTTCGTCCATATGTAGTCATGTATGCCTATGCCGACGCGAACGGCATAATTTTAAAGTAAAAGGAAAGACATGCAAAAGCAAACAAATTCGTCAGTACAGAAAGAGTGCTCGCAGTCCTTTCTCCTTCTTCAGTTCCGCGAGCTGGTTTAGTAAGTCTTTCTCTTCCACGTTCTGCAGCAAAACCTCCGGGCTCCCAGCGATTTCCAAGACAGCAATGCCGAATTTGATTTCAACTTCCTTTCCATCGGCACCACTTGCGCAGCCGGCCGTGAACTCTTTGCAGTCCGCCCGTGTCATCTTCCGCGCGCCCAGGCTCGCGATCCACTTAGTCTTCGCTGCGAACATTTGCAAAGCGTATTCCGTGACCTTCTTCTCCGTATCGAAGCCGCAGCGGAGAGCGAGAAGCGTGACCGCAAATCGGTCTTCGGCGCAGGTTGTCGGGGATTTCAGGTTCAGCGTGTCGGAGAGAATCGCAGACATCAGAAGCTGCGCGAGAGACTCGGAGATAGGCTGATTTGATGTTGATGTAGTAGTTTTTCGGACGTTGATTGCTCGTGACGCTAAGTTCATCGGTTGTGCGCGAAATAAAGGCAATCATATTGCGAATAAATGCAAAGAGATGTTATGAATATCAATATAGTATCATGCACCATCAAGAAAACAGCTCTCAGTATAATCTATGAAGACAAGTAGAATTATATATACCTTCTGCAGCTGGAGAAACAAATGAGTGATGATTGTGCTCATGCTGCCCCATGGCCTCAGGTCCATCCAGATTGGGGAATCCGTCGCGAAGCTGCGCGCCAGGGCGTGGTGGTCAATGACGCCGACCACGTTCTCCAGGAGCTTGTCCTTGATCAGCGGCACCATTTGCTTGGGTTCCGTATGGTCCACGAGGCAGATGGATTTTTTCTCAATATTTTCGATTTTCTCGAAGAGCTGTGGCCGGGCAATTTTGCACTGCTCCAGGGCAAACACGATTTCACCTGTTGTGGTAGTTTTTGTTTGTACATTTTTCAAATACAAATTTCATGCTTTGGTGTGCCAGGGGAGAGCAGCAGGCGCATTCAAGTTCATCGCAGTCCTAAATGATCCAGAACATCAAGTACCAACTTATACAAACAATTATACCGTTCAAATTCTCTTCACTGATCGCCGGGACACCGTCGAAGAGAGCTGCAGCGCCGATCGCGCCAGCCACCGAGTCTAGGTCCGTGTTGATATGCCCCACGAAAACCGCATTCTCGCCCTTCTTAAACGGGTTCGGTGCGTAGAGATCGTCGTTAGCTTTGTCCCAAGAAGTCAAAATTCTCTTGCTTCGCATATACGGACTGGGAGGGAAGGCGGTTTCCGTTCCTGAAGAATGCTCGGACTCCGAGCGCGATCGCTTCTGCGCGGAACGAGACCGCTTCTGCTGAGCCGCTGCTGTCGTGCCGTCAGGACACGATGGTCTACTACCGTTGCCATCTTCTTCCTTCGTGATTGGCGATGCCGGTGCCGAAGACTTCGAAGTTGTGCTGTCGCACGGGCTCTTTGCGGAAACGTCTCTTATTACAGGGAAAAGTGTTAACGTTAACGGTTTTCACAGATTGCAGTCATGCATCACAAATGTAGCCCAATATGCATGCTATGCATGGCAAATTCTGACACGTCTTGTGATGCATTTCTGCATCACAAATTCCGTTAACGTTAACACTTTTTCTTGTGATATCCCTTGGTGAGTTATCATTCTCAATTGATCCGGCTGACGCCGTAGTCGCCAAGCTGGCAATGCTAGTGGTGTGAGGAATCGTCATTGTCGATAGTCGGCGTCGGGTGATGACGGAAAGTAGAGATAGCAGGTAGTTAGTAGACTTAGTGCACGTATCAAATGAAAAGTTCTTGTGATAAAACGGCTTAGGAAACCGAAACAAGCTTTTAAGAAAAAGAGACGACGACTCCGGCTCCGAGGGAAACTTTGTCCGGCGGGCTGAAGCACGTCTCAGGAAGAGGTGTAGGGAAGGAATGATGTTTTCCTTTATCTGAAAAGGCGTCTACTACAGAGCTTTTAGTTCGATACAGCGAAAAATCGTACAAGGATACGAGAAGATGGCCTGGAATAAAGTGGTAGAGAAATTCAAATTGTTCAGACGTTGATAAATTCATACTCGAAAACTTCTGTTCTTAGTACTCCTCGTACTAGGAGCAGCTGTAACAAGATAATTTTTGCGCAGCTGATGCACAAGGCACACTCGGATCTTGCCGATCGACCGAATTTGAAGATCCAGATCTTCGTCATCGCTCGATCTTCCACCTTGATCTTACTTTCTCATTTTAGATCGTGTTCTGCCTCGCGACACGAACAGGTTGGATCCATTTCATTTGCATATATTTACATTTTCAGTATAATTATAAATCGCATGATCTAGTAGATTTCATCACCTCCGCCTTCTTTCGTACCCTCACGTCACCTTCTCAGGGACCGATTCACATTTTTTTGTCAACAACTGGAACTACGACGGACCAAAAGATCTTGATCTGCCTTATTTTCTTTGCCACGAACAAAAGACACGACTTGCAGACGACGACGGACCTCCACAGGAGAATCCGAGGAGAAGCATTGAACAACCGAACTTCGATGAACATGAACCGCAACAACAAGAACCGCAAACGAAACATTAACTGCATTGCTTGATCAAGAACGAAACAGCCGACTATAGAACGGTAGTAGTTTCTGCTATGTGTACAAATCCTTCGCGCAGGAGCGAACCCAGATGGAGGATGGCAATCAAGGGACACCAGGCCAGTTCCGTAGTTTCCGATTGTTTTCTTCTTCACTTTTGGTTAAAAAAGTATTTTCATCCCAATCATCTTTTTGCTACAGGTGAATGAATTTTTGGTCCTCTGTAGTTCACGACTAGGTCGCAGTCGTTGGCCTTGTCATGATCCGGAAAATTCTTGAAAGAGATGCGCACTGAGTAGATTGTTGAAAAAATGAATCGTATGAAACAGCAGCACCCGCCGTCGGTCTTCCTCTTCTTCCTCTTCTCCCTCCTCACCACCCTCCTCCCCGCCAATCTCGAAAACTTCTTGATTCAGCCACATCGCCACAAAGCCAAGCGCCAACAGAATAATGCCGGCGTACACACAATACTGCCAACCAGTACTGTCCGCCGCACTGTAGCAGCAGTCGTAGTCGGCTCGCGGAAGCTCGTCCGTCTGAACAAAGCTACTCCGGGGGCGTGGTGGATTGGATTGTTCGTGGTGGACACTAGTAGTTGTAAAACTTCGTCCACTTGTTCCTAGTGGTAGTGGTGTCATTCTGACGGCCACGGCTCCTGCTACGTCCTGTATGGCGCTCTCAAACGTTACATTCTCAACTGTTACATGATTTGTCATGCAAATTTACAATCAGAATCGACACGATCAAGCTGCTTCGTATGGCAAATTCTTGAAATGCCAGAGAGGCTGACAATCTGCGCCAAATCTGTCATGCAAGACGCGCAATGCCTCCCCTTATATTTTTCCCATTCTTGCATGACAAATCCATGTAACAGTTGAGAATGTAACGTTTGAGAATGCCATATCCTGCTCATTCATGTTGTACTCGTTCATCCGGTACAAGGTATGAAAGCGCCAGGTTTGAAATCGTCAAAGTTGAAATAGTTTGTATATGCATAAAATGCATGGCCCGAGGTGCGTGCGTTGCAGAGCAGGCAAGTGAGGCCGATTGTCAGCCTGTTTGGGGTTACAGCTCGAGCTGCTAAAGTAGCATGAGAAAATCGCTCTTCTTTGCCTAAACAGCATGACAAACTGGATTTAGGGACCGACGAAATTTGTCATGCGCCACTTGGAAACTGGGTTCCAACTGGCATCCATTTTATGCATGGCAAATTATTTTAACTTTGTCGATTTCAACTCTGACACATCCATACAAGGACGGCGCACCGTACTGCTGTGCTGCTGGAGTGGCGGCGGAGTTCGAGCTGGCAGCTCTTGTGTAGTGCTGTTCGTCGCTGATAAAAACAGTCTGGTGAACATTGCCGCCACGACCGGGATCCAATGTGCTTCGGGGACTAGAACGACCGGGCGAAACGCTCGATGCGTAATAATTTTGATTGCTGCTGTTCCTGTTCGGGGAGCTCCTTGCCGCACGTTGGCTGTCGGAACCACGAGCGGGTGAAGAATGTTGACTGCTGGTCCTCTCGGAGCTCGAGTTGTTCTTGTGAACAACTATTCCGGAGCTTGTTCCTGGCACTGCCATAATCCTGTGTGCGGAATTAATTGCGTGCTTCTATCTTCGCAGATAGCAAGAGCACGACTTATCAAAAGAATACGAAGAATTATAGACTGCTGCTTGGCTCTACTTGGTGTATTTAATCTTTATACGCTGTGTAGCAGAGCAAAGGCAGACACAGCCAGAAGTATTATCTTGTTCTAGGTATCGATGAAGTAGAAAGAACCAAAACTAGAGTAGACCCGGCTTGCTGCATATGCTTATGCACTCGCCAACGACCATGAAAGAAAAGAAAAAGAAATCGCGACTTTCCGCACCGTGGTCGATTGCAGCAGCGAACTGCCATGAAACGATGTGCCCAACGATGAAAAATCCTGCAGATCTTTTCGACGAATGACGAGTGGAAGCAGCGATAATTATATATCACGACGAAGGGCCAGGACACAACCACGACAGATATTTTTCGGACGAGGGTTCGCAGATGCAGTTTCAACCTTTGGGCCGAACATCACACCACACATTCTCATCCGTACAACTTCACTGCCAACGAGCATCGATTCCTCCTCCAGGATCAGAGTCAGCCGACAATCTTGATGCTGCATGCGTAGGTTCTTTCGCTTACTGAGAGGGAGTGCGTCCGTGTGCACGATGGAGAAACATCTTACGCCAAGTTGGAACAAGAAAATGCACGTCTTCGGAAAAACATGGGTACATCTGGAACAAGCTGAGGAAAAACTGAGTCAAGCTGGAATACTAGAAGTAGTGACAGGAACATTCATAAGCATAAACGCACAACGAACATATCAAAAACTAGTACTCAGTAAGTAGACAGCGTTACTAGTGTGGGGTAGTCAGGAGGACATGCACATAAAGACGTAGCGAAACAAAATGACTGTAGTGTACTTGGAATGGGAATCACGTTCACATTTTTCAGATTCAAAAACGAGAAACTGCGTCCGCATTTCGACAATGAAAAAAATCTACTCCGCACCAGATCTTCTAGTAAAACGGTTTTTTCATCGATCCCCCGCGTCCGCTTTGTACCGAAGCTCCACCACCGAGCATATTACCCTTTTTCAAACTCCCGTTCCCAACCGTCTGCAGGATGCTCTGCTCCATGAAGGCGTCTTCCGTCTGCGCGTTGAGCCCGACTCCAGACAGCAACGCCGACGAGGACTGCAGAAACGACAGATCCGGTTCGTTGGTCGACTGCATCTTCTCGAGGAACGCCCGCAGCGCCTTCTTATCCGACACTAACCTCGCCACGTCTTCCTTGAACTTTTCCGCCTGCTTCCGGCCCAGGAATTTCAGCCGCTCCCGCTCCGCCGCGCCCTGCTCGATCTTGCGGTCCTGAGACTTGACCAAGTCTTCCAGTTCCTGGATGCGCTTCTCGTACTCCGTGCACTGCTTCTGCGCCCGGACAATCTGCCGGGCATACTCGTCGCGCTCCTGCATCGCCAGCCCGTGCCGACACTCCTCGGCAAGCTCGTTGCGTTCCTGTGATTTTTACGTCGTATAATTTGTGATGCTGTTCTACTGCATACAACGTGCAGAGAGGTATAAGAAGTAGAAGCTCCTAGAGTCTGCAATGCAAAACTACGAAAAAGAGTGAGCTCTGTCATGCAGAATCAACAAAGAATAAGAACACGAACAAAATTATATACGTTCGTTGTCTTCGCCAGAGTGACGCGCATGGAATCGAAGGTCTCCTGATTTCGGTCCGCATCGTGTCGCAACCTGGTGTATCAACTGCAAATATGTCTGGGTCTGGGAGAGTGGAACGCTTGTCATGCACATTTTGTATGACCCATGATGTTTGTGATGCATGCTCTAGCATCACAGGTTCTACTTTACGGGCTTCTTGATCATGCCTATCCCGCATGAGAAATGCGGGATCCCCATAGCAACAACTGGAGTCCTCCTGCTCTTTATGCTATAGTACAAATTTTTTTAGACTCCAAGGTTAGCATCACAAGTTGCAATCTTCCAGACCCAGACATATTTGCAATGCATATGGTCACTTCGTCCTGCAGGTCCAGCATGCGCACGGAGGTTTTTTCGCTCTCCGTTTTCAGGATCACGTTCTGCCTGATCAGGGCCTCCAGATCTTCCAAAAAGGTTCGCGGCAACACCGCCGGCTCGGAGCGAATCCGGTCGCCCAGTTGCGCCGCGGCGTCCTGAGATTTTGGATATTTGAGAAGGAAATTTGATGTCATGCGGTCGTGCTCGTGCGACCCTCCGACTAATGAAACGACCAATGAGTTTGACTGGTTTGTGATGCTAAGAATGTAGTAGTTAAATGCCGAGAATGAAGATCAACATGTGCGATTGCCCTACTACTTAAAAAATGCATTGCTGTATTGATGCTGTCTTCTTCATAACAAGTAAGTAAAAATTACCTCGATCTGCCTCAGCACTTGTTCTATCTCGTTGGGTCTCCTTTCCGAAAAGCTCTTCGGTCGCTGCCACAGTCTCGCCTCCGCGGGGGTCTTTCTCTCGGCCGCCCGCAGCCGCTCGCTGTCCTTCATGCTTTCCGCCTGCTGCGTGATGCCGTCCAGCGTGCGCAAGGCGCCCGTTTCCGGGGAATTGAAAGACCCGCGGTTTGGGTCGGAGAGCAACGACCCGGAATTCGGCAAATAGTTCAGGTTGTTCTGCTGTTGACTGGCGGGGGCGTTGGAAATGTCAAATTTGTCGAGCTCCGCCTTCCAACCGGAGAGCTCCTTGAAATGCCGGGTGAGCATCCCCTCGAGGGCCTCCTCGCTCGAGGCGACAGCCTGGGGACGGGTGGTGGACATGATGCTTGGAGGTGAGTCAAATTGAATAAAAACAAAATCAAACAACGAGCTTGGGATGGATAACTAATGTTTTGTTCTGTCTGAAAATAGGAGCAGGAGTTTCAGGTTGTGTATATCAGGGCATGTCAACTGTGTGGGATTGGGGTCAAACAAAAGTCAAATCTACAGTAATTGTACTACGGCAAACACGGCTTGTTCAACAAGCGCACGAAGATTTCCGAATCGACGAAAAGACGACCGAGGGAGAAAACTACGCACGAAAAGCAAAAGTAGAACGTGAACGATCACCAGAAGTTGCTGTGCCTGTGCACCACGAAATCACAACGAAATAACAATAAGTTCGTTACACGGAGGCCAGGGCTAGTAAGTATGAACGAAACAGACGAAGGTTGTAACTTGGACGAGGTTTTGTACGCGCGGCGCGTTTATCGCAGGCAGAAACAAATCAAGAAACTTTCTCAGCACGACTTAAGTTGTACGTGTCTCGAACAAGAAACACTGGCTGACGATATTTACTTTGGCATCGCGTGGTCTTCAAACCGAAAAGGAATACCACAAGCCACGAACTCCTGAACTTATTCTTCTTGATTAGTTTTTCTCTGTTTTGTCACGACTGTAGCGTGCTGCGAAAACTCGCCTTGATCTATCCTCCTCGGGTCAAAGGTTATGATTCTCTTGGTAGTACCTCCCAAAGGCGGATGTGCTGGCCTATACCTTTCTACAAGCTGATGATAGCTCTTGCTGTAGTCGTACAGCAGACCACTAGGGCCGCGGGGCCCACTGCTCCTATCATCATGTTTGTTATTGCCGGCCTCTGGTGCAGCTCCTTCTTCCTCCCCACCTGATCCTACGAGCGATCCCATCGCAGAATCCTCGTAACTGCCTGCTCCAGGAGCCAGCTTTTCCTGTTCATTTTGTTGCGCACAGAACCCCAAGTTTGTGAAGCCAGGGACGCACTGCTGCTCCGTACTAGATCGCTTTATTCCGTCCTCAGCATCAGAAGAGGAGCTTGCGTGACGACCAGCAGCACCGATCACATCGCTATTATGAACTGCAAAAGTAACGCACTAGTATAAACCAGCCATGCTCCGGCTGCCGCCGGAGCGCAAGGCTGTTGGGCCGGGGCAAGACTGCTTGCCGATCGGACCACAACCCCACGGGCCTATGCAAAACGAAAGAAACATACTGGACTCCGGCCCCCGGTTTGCGCCGCACCAACCCGCAGGACCACTTGCGCGCTTCCCGCGCCTGTAGGCGCTCTGCGCAGGGAGCAGCTGTAAAGAACACCGGGGGCGAACAGAAGCCGCCCGGCGGGAGAGGGTAGCGCGAGAGGGTGGCGCGGGAGGGTGGCGCGAGAGGGTGGCGCGAGAGGGTGCGCGAGAGGGTGGCGCGAGAGGGTGGCGCGAGAGGGTGCGCGAGAGGGTGGCGCGAGAGGGTGGCGCGAAAAGGCGCCGAACCAAACAAGCCCGCGAATGGCCTGCAGTGCCAAATATGGGCACTACCATGCGGATTTGCGCCCGCTTCTTTTTTTTTTTACCCTCTCGCAGACCTCTCACAGACCCTCTTTTGGACCTCTTTTGGGGGTCCCCGCTAATAGTCCGGCTATACTCGCGGGTAGAGGTCGACAGAGGTGGCCGAGAGGTGGCGGAGAGGGTCCGCGAGAGGTCGCCCCTTATTCGCGCCACCTCTCTCCACCTCTGTCCCCCTCTCGCGCCCCCTCTTTTTGACCTCTCTGCACCCTCTGTGCCACTTAGGCGGCGCCTAAGGGTGGGCGCTTACTGCGGGCCTTATTCGCGCACCCTCTCGAACGGGGTTTCGCGCCACCTCTCCACCTCTGTCGACCTCTTTTCTACCTCTGTCGACCTCTTTTTTACCTCTCGGCCACCTCTCTGGGACCCTCTGTCTACCTCTTTTTTCGCATGAATATAATGTATAGTAATTGCAATACAATTTGGCTCAGCAACATTACGTAATGCGGATTTGCCTTAGGAACTAGATTTGTGATGCATAAATGCAATTAGTACGAGTACGATACTTTTGCACAGGATAGCTATCCCAGGTCCGGAATTCATCTTCGCGAAGGGGCTGCGGCTTATTTTCACCTGCTGCTTCATGATCTTCCCCGGCTTTGATGGGATCATCGACACCTGTTTCACCACCTCCGGCCGCCGAGGACAACGCACCAGTAGCAACCGCAACGCTTCGCGTCCCCGGTGACGAGTCCTCCTGCAAGGGAAAAATCCGGGTCGTCGCCGACAAACTTTTGTCCGCCAATACGGCCTTCCCCTCGACCAATTTGAACTGATCCCGTCTCCGCCCATTGCTCACGCCAGTGAGTTTCTTCTTTACCAGATTGTCCAGTATCCCGTTGTACGCAGACTCCCGGTCATCCTGGCACAGCTTGTGTGCCTTCCGCATGGTGTGCCGCACGTCGATGTTCTTCGGTGGGTACTTGGATATGGCCCGCTCAGGTGTTACAGTCTACTCAACTGTTACGAAGAGCAACGGAGACTCGTACTTGCGATGCAGGAAAGAACGCTAACGCACGATTTGGCTTACATATGCTCACAGGATTCGTCCCCCTGACAAGTTGAAGCTCTGCCGTCGCCGTCCCAAACTGCAACTGCATGAAAAATCCGGCAAAATTTTCATTGCAAAAAAGCCGACACGACTCTGTGCGTCTCTCATGCTGATCTTCATACAACAACCAAAATCTTCCAGAACCAAATTTCATTAGAAGTGTACCTGCTGAGATTGTAACACCTCAGAGCAGGTCATACGATACCAACATCGGTTTTTCCGCGCGTTCAGCATGTACTCTTCGACCACAGTGTTTGGTAACTTCCGTAAGTATTCCAGCAAGTTGTCCGTGTTCGCGATGGGCCATTTGATGACGAACTTACTCGTGTCCAGAATGTCCTCGAAAGGAAGTTCCCACTGGTATCATATGTAAAAACGTCCCCACACCAGAGTCAAGATGGGGAATCTGCTAGACAAATCAGCCAGCTTTGGTTGTTTGGCATGACAAGTTTGTCCGCGTAGTGTAGTGCTGTTTGAGCTAGTTTAGCAGCATTACAGATCTAGTATCTCGTGCTGATTGGAGCATGACAAATTTCAAAACCGCATTACAAAATGCTTCTCATGGGGCTCCGCATGAGAAACATTTTAAGCATGCAGAGTTGCATGACAACTATGGTGTGGGTACGTTTTTACTCAGGATAACTGGTCGGAAAGGAGAACCGGGACGCAGTTGGTGAACAACGACTCGAAGATATTGAAAGAAAAAACTGTGTTAGTGTAGGTGTTTCAAAAATCACTATTTTTTTTCATATGCAAAACTCAAAAATTCTCAAGCTGCGGCGCAATCCCCGACCTGGTATGTGTTGATGTTTATATGGTGAATTTATATAGTCAAAACTAGCTACGGTTGCTTCGGTATATGTGAATAGTTAAGGAGGCAGGACTCATCGGTGCTGGCGACGGCTGACTGAAGGTCGTGGAGCTTGATTTCTGGCGCAGAAGCATTCTGGCCCCAGGTGGGGCCAAGTACCGACTTGAAGGAGTACTGCGACGATGTCCGGCGGGTTTCGAAGCAGAAACATGAGTCCTGCCTCCTTAACTAGCTAAAGACAATTATTACCGAAGCAACCGTTAGCTACTTGCATTCCAAGCACCACAGCAAAGGCAGCATTAAGAAAACCGGACTTACCTGCTTTGAAAAAAATCTTGAGCTTTCGCTATTAAAAAATATCGCACTTTTTGAAATACCTACACTAACACAGTTTTTTCTTTCAATAGAAAAGCCGCAAACTCCACCCGGATTTACATCCTATCAGCTTCAAAAGTATCGACAAACTCGTACTACAAATCTGCTAGCTTCCGAAGGCCAACTAGCCGCAGTATGACAAGCTCCGTTTTTCTTCTTGTTCATGCTGAGAAAATCATTTCTTGAATGCATATGCACCCTGTAGCTGTACTATGGCGTCGTCAAGCTTGTATTTGCCTCAAGCTGTAAAAAATTTTCCGCGCGCCTTTTTTTGTATTTGATATCCATCACGTTGCACACATATAGCCCCCCACTATGGTGCGCGCCTAATGAACTAGCTAGCTTATTCGCAGCGCATCTCAGTGGCTAAAGACGGAGCTATCCGGCGCTGCTGCTCCACGGACTTGCCTCGGAGCGCCCCTGCAGCCTGGAGGTGCTGCAGCAGGTCCTCTTGCAGTCCAGCCGCTAGACAATGGGCCTCATTCTGTGCAAGTCGGTCGGAGTCGAGGGCGCAAACGGAACCTGCCCCGGCTGCGCCTCCCCTTGTTTCTACTGTCGCGCAGCTGTGCGCGCGTGTACCGGCAGGCGCGCGCGCTTTTTGCCTTTGCGGCTTTTTCATTAAAATGCGAAAAGCCCGAGAGCCTTTCGGGAAGGGTTCCCAGAGGGGTTCCGGGACCCCTTTTGGGGAGGGGTAGCACCATCGTGATTCGACGAAAAAGCAATAGGCTTTTTTTTAGGGTTCCGGGCACCCCTCCGGCCCCCCCTTTTTGGAACGGCTCCGGAAAGGCCTCCGCGGCCAACATATGTGCGTGGTGCCCGCTAGAGACGAGGAGGCCAGGGCCTGTGTAGACATCTCGCGGGGCGTTTCCAGCCTCACACGCTGACCCAGGCCATAGCGGCAAATAGCTGCACGGAGAGAGCAACCCGGGAAACGGAGCAAACATTGCGCGCGCCCTGGTCGGAAAGGAGAACCGGGACGCAGTTGGTGAACAGCGACTCAAAGATATCCTGAGTAAAAACGTACCCACACCAGAGTCAAGATGGCAAATCTGCTAGACAAATCAGCCAGCTTTGGTCGTTTGGCGTGACAAGTTCGTCCTCGTAGTGTAATCCTGTTTAGGTAGTTCAGCAGCATCACAGATCTAGTATATCATGCTGATTGTAGCATCACAAATCCCAAAACACGACTACACAATGCCTCTCATGGCGCTCCGCATGACAAACCTTTACCTTTTTGGCATGCAGATTTGCATGACAACTCTGGCGTGGGTACGTTTTTACTCAGGATAGAAGAGCCGCAAGCTCCACCCGGATTTACATCCTATCAGCTTGTTCAAAAGTATCGACAAACTCGTACTAATTGCAGACACGTGTGGAAAATCTGCTGCTTTCCAAGGCCAACTAGCCACAGCATGACAAGCTCCGTTTTTCATTTTCTTCTTGTTCCTGCTGAGAAAATCATTCGTTGAATGCATATGCGTCTTGGTCTTGTACTAGCTAACGATACTTTTGCAAAAATGCATACCTCTTGGGATGAAGCAAAACTTTGCGTTGCCCATCGCCTGGTGCATTTTCCGGAGCTCGGTGAACTCGGAAATAAACAAATCCGGCTCCGTGTCCTTCCAGTTCAGAATGGTCTGCCGAATGTTCGGCCCTCCGACCCAAGGGTGCGGACCTGGTGGTCGGTGGAGTTGTAGACATTGGGACCGACGTATTAGTTGTACAACTTGAATATCAATTTACATCAATGAACTTCTACGCTCTTGTGCTAAGCAGGCACTGACGTCGTGCCACAAATGAACGAAGCAAGTTGCAGGAGTATTCAATCACATTTTGTCATTTTTACCGCGCACCACGTCCGCCCGTCCGAAGAAGCACCCCAGGTATTCCCGCTCCGCCAACGGTTTTGCCATTTCCTGCAGGGAGATCAACTCCGTCATGTCCAAATTCCCGGGGATCACGATGTCCTTCCAAGGTTGCCAGGGGGGCTCGATGATCCAAGCTAGGTCGTTGAACAGCTCTGTTTCCGGGGTCAAGACAATGGATTCGGGGATGTACGACCTCCAGGACTTGGATCAAAAGAAAACAAACACCCATGATCCATTTTTTGCATGACAAACACATGCACAGGCGTCGATACATGTTTTAATAGATGACAAATTGCTACATTGGAACAATGGGTCTTTTTTTCTTCTAAACCATAACTCGAACACAGACGTGGACATTCCAGATCCGAAGGTGAAAACGTGGTCCCGTCCCCGACTGCGCTTGAAATACGGTAGTTTGTCCACCAAATCGATGTAGATTTGGTCAATCTCTTCCATCTTCCAAATGTTCCCCTCCAGCATGCAGATCGCGTAACCCGGCACGTAGAAAAAATCCGCTTCGTCCGGATCTAACGTTCGGAAAGAGGAGGCGCGGAAAAAGTCGTGGATCTGCGTCTCCATGCCCCACTGCCCCCGGCCGCAAAACATCGCCCCGATGGTAAGCTTTTTCAGCTCCGGAACTTCTTCCTCGTCGTACACGTAGACTTTGATTTTGTCGTGGAAGCTGTGTTGCAGCGTCTCGTCTTGCTGCGCAAGCAGGCTGGAATAGTGGTTGGGAAGTCTTGGTAATGTGTGTTGATCTACTCAAGTTGTAGTGTTGTCGTTCTCGTTCTCGATCCAAAATTTTTTTCATGCGTTTTTACGTATCAACAGCTTCAGCGCAACATGAACATTGTAAGAGGCTGCACGATTAATCGACCCCCTTTTCGATACCGAAAAGGGGGGTAGAAGCGGGAATCTGACCGAGTTTACCCCCCCACGCCCCCCTTTTCGAAATTCGGGGGCTGTTTATCGCGAAGCCTATCGCGAGTCTGAATCCCGGCGGCACGGCGCGTATCATCCCTTTCGCCGCTTTGTTTTTGCAAAAGCGCAGCGGCAGCCACATGCGGCACCCAGCTTCGCTGGATTGCAAGGCGCGCTACAGTGCGCAAAGTACACATCGCCGACGCTATGGAGCGAGTTCTCGTTTGTTGTTTTTCTTTTCGGAAAAAAAAGCGCAAGGGAAGCAAAGCGTAAGCGACGCGCTTTCTGCTTCTCAAAATAAAGCCGGCTCCCGATATCCCAAAACAAAGGGGGCGGCTTTCTTTCACAGAGCCCACCAGCAGCACAGCTGCCCAGGAGTAAATCATCTCCAACTTGATAGCAGTCCCAGCTGGTTGCAGACGTAGGCCGTCGACCTACTGCGCAGAAAAAGAGCTGCTTCGCAGTAGCTTGGGCGCAGTTTGTAGAGGTAGACCAACTGCGGAGCAGCTCTACTGCTAAAAAACGGAGACGGTTCGCAATGCGTCATGGCGAAGCTTCTTCGCCTGCGCACAAAGACAGGGCTTTCACAATTGCACAAAAACAGGGCTGCCACACAATAGACCACCAGGGGGGAGGTACTTGTGACGCAGCATTGCACAGCCAGCCTCGGGATGTTGCAGCGACCACCTCAGCACTTCCTGCATTTGGAAAAGCTGAGGCGGCCACTTCGACCACTGGGGCGGCACGTTCTCCGCTGCATGTTCTCCGCTGCGCGCACGTAGCAGCGCGCGCCGCGAGCTTAGCTTTTTTTCAGTCTGCGCGCGCGCATTGCACGCTTGAAGCGTTTTCTGTTGTTGCACCCGTATGCCGATCCGCGCGCGCGCGCCGCGCGCGCCCAAGAAAATTCTGCTGTTGTGTTTCATTTTGTTCCAGCCACACCGCAGAAACCGCAGCAGAAGAGAGACGCGCTGGGAAGCCGCAATAAGAAAACGAAACTTTTTTGCCGGGGCGGGGAAATTGCGGATTTAGATTTGAGGTCCGAGAAGGAAAATTGGTTGGGTCCGGAGGGACCCGGCCATGTCTGGATACGGCCCGCCCGCCAGACGACCGACCGCACCTACCCCCCCCTTTTCGGTATCGAAAAGGGGGCCCATTAATCGTACGGCCTCTAAATGATGTAATGCCAGAAAATAAAGACCACTATACCGATAGGTGTCGAGTAAATTCTGTCTTAGCCTCCGGATGTCCTCGTCCATGATGGGCCACTTTGAGTTATCCAACAACCCCGGGTGCACGGCCGACAGGTAATTTTCCAGAACGCTGTACTGCGAGATCGCTTGCTGCAATCCGCGGAAGTCGGTGTCTTCCGTCACGCGGCCCTGGTCTTTCACCGAGTCCAGCGTCCACCGGCACGTGTAGTAGAACAGCGTGGAGAGCCCCATCACACATCGCTGCGCCTCCTGGTCGAGCACGTGGGAGATCCGAAATTGCTGAAACAGGGGTATGACAAGCTCGATGTTCAACGGGTAGGGGATCCGGCTCATCTGCTCACGGAAATCGAGCCAGTTGATGTGCTCGCTGACCGCATTGTCGCAGTTCGGCGAGCCCCAGAGCTGCCGTTTCTCCTCGGCCGAGGGGTCGAGAATGGCCTGCGTGAGCGTTGTCAGGAGTGCGTGGAAGAGAAGAAGGAGAAGGTTGAGGGTCGTGGTCGTCTCTGCGTTCATCTTTTTGAGGCAGTGTGCTGGGTGCTTCTGCTGTTTTCGACGGCGACGGGTCCATTTCGGATGGAGGAGAGAGCAGAACGCAAAAGGTGAACGACGGGAAAACGATTTCATTTTGTTGGCCTCAGTACGAGTCGTCACATGACGATGACCACTGTTTGGCTTGGCCTACTTCCATCTCTATTTATTGCCGCTGCGGCGCACCAGCTACGCCTAGGGCCGCGCGCACCTTAAGAATTTGGCAAGCAGATGAGCGGGATCGAAAAAGAAAAACTAAAACTGCAATCACTGTCTCATAGAACATCAAGGATGCAACAAAAACAACGATGATGAAGGTGATCAATCTACTACTCGCGTGCGGTTCCTGATGCTTGTGGAAGGCGAATGGGACGAGCTCCCACCCGTTCATTGGAACTTGAATCTTCAACACTGTTTACAACACCACCCGCAGGAAATAACAAGCGAGTACCAGGGCGGAGCAGTAAATACTATATTGTTCTTGCGAATCCATTCATTGCTCAATGTAGACCTAAAAACACTTTATCGACCGGTTTGCGCGACGAGCCGAGCGTGCCTTCTAGACAGAGTACTACAGACTGACACCACCGCCCGCACCACTCGTTCCCCCATAGACGCTCGGCACCACGCCGCCTCCGCCCCCCGGGTCGACCTGCTTTACGGAGACATACCTAAAATCCTCGCGCCAGAAGGATCCAAAGCCGAACCCTCGACTACTTCGCTGGTTCTGTATTCTACTTGATGATGTTCTTGTTCCCGTGCCGCCGAACAAGTTAAATTCTTGCTCGTCTTCCTGCTCACTGAAACCATCAATTACACTTCCATCATCCATGATTCCAAACTCCGCCTCTTCCTTACTCCGGTTCCTGCTCACCCTCCCCGAGCCGAGAGACGCAACAGAAGTTTTGCTGCGGGTTTTTCTGTTCGAGAATGACCCGAACGCGGCTCCACTTCCTGTTGCCCGCTGCGCCTGTTTTCTCACCGCACTGTAGAGCCGCTCCACCCGTGTGGTTGTTGTATTCTTTCCACCTCCGCCTGTGGTAGTTACCGAACAGAAGCTGTGCTGCGTCGCCTCAGTCTTCAACAGAACGCCGAAGGTGATTAACAGCAAGACTAGCAAACAGCCAAAACTGATGCTGAACCAGTAGAGCGATGATTCCATCGCAGAAATGTGCGCCAGGTTCTTGCACTCGTGCAGGGAAATCAGGGGAACTTTATAGTAGTTTTGTTGTGGCATATTAATCTTGTTCCGACGATGGTCTTGATCTTGACCTTCTCCGCCTGGTGCTGAGGAATCAAAGCGCCCGGGCCGCGGTGGAAGGTGGCTATTTGTGATCTGCTGGATAAATTGGCTTGCTATTCTCGCCACCGGTTGCCCAACTTCGGCGTCGAAGACCAAAATGTCAGACTCCGAAGATTCCCCCGAAGCGCCTCCTGTGTTCGACGTCCCGGAAGAAGATGAAGAAGACCCAACAGCTTCCGAAGACGCAGATGTTGACACACCAGCAACGGCGCTCGCTGCGGAAGAAGCTACAGATCCAACCCAGGACGATGTAGATGTTGAGTCACTACCTGAATTCCGCTCGTCCTCTTCGTCGTCCTGTGTCACCGTCAGTACTAGCCGTTCCACCGTCTGCTCCTCGATTACCTGTTGGTTCGAGCCAACACCGTTCTTCGAGATGCTGTTTTCGGCCAAGAAATCACTGTTTATCAACACCGGCTTCTCAACCACCGTCCATTTCAACTTCGCGAAGATCTCCGCGGCCATCGCATCCGTGGATTGCTGCGCGGAAGAGGTACTAGCTTCTGTTTGGTCGTAGCTCGTCGTCCCGGCCTCCCCATAATTCATCTGCTGCGAACTAGAGTAGAAACTAGTACCTTGGCCCCCGCCCCCGCCGTCATTCGCCACCACAGCCGCAAGTTTCGAACTGTCTTGCTGAAGTTCTGGCAACACAAATTTCGGCGGTCCCAAGCCGAGCTTCTGCCACGTCCGGTAGGTCGCAATGATGTCATTCGTGAGTTTTTGCTTCAAGGAGACCACGCCATTCGCTAGACTTAACAGATTGAACTGCAGCTGGCTATTCTCATCTTCACTGCTCCTGTACGCGCCGCGTGGCTGCAGGTCGAAGCCTTGCTGGGTCCAGAGCTGGAGAATTTGTGGGTGCTCGAGGAGAAAAACCGGATACACGAAGAGGGTAGCGCGAAGTTTGCTTCGTCTGATAAATGACGAGGAAGACCTCGTGCTGCTCTGCAAATTCTTCTTTTTCAGCTCCTCTTGAGAGAAAACTGCATATGATCTTGATTGATGGGCCCCCGCAGTAGTGCTAGGTTTCTCTAACTTGTTTGCAGTGGAGGCGGAGGCTGGAGAAACACCAGTTGCTCCTCCATCGGCGGCGCGGCTTGGGCTTCTGGTTCTGGTGTAGTTCTCCTTCTCGTCCTCAAAATTGTCCATACTGTACACCATCAACTGCACGAGCACGCCGGTGAGCCGTAAATTGTTTTGCACATTCATCCCTAATTTCGCCGTTATAGCGATGTGGCTGCGAGGAGCACTGCTGCTGCCGCTGTCTCCATCAATATTGCCCGAAGTAGAGCCGGCACTTACGCCAAAACACTTCCGCAGCTGTGCCTTGGGGAAAAAAGTGTTTAATTTGGCCGCGACAGCATTCGACGCGGAGGTGGTGGCGGAGGAAATAACGGCGTTGGGTTGGTGAGCAGCTCCTCCACCTGTACGCCCACTTGCGATCGCGGTTGCTGTACTACCAGAGCCGAATCTCTGCACCTCCTCTACAGCCAAAGCCAAGGCGTCCTGAAACGAATCTGGGCTCCAGGAAAGCAGCGGTACGCTTGTTTGGAGGATTTTCAGGATCAGCTCTGCCTTCTCCGAGGTGTCGAGTGGTTGAAGGGGCGGAGACGAAGCAGCAGAAAAGCTGCGATGTTGTGCACTAGCTGTATCTTGCTGCGATGAAGTACTATCAGTCGCAGAAGATTTCTTTAGATTTCGTGCGTTGCCGCTGTCTTTAGCAGCACCTGTGCCCGCCTTCTTCTTCTTTTTTGTCGCCCCCAGCTTTCCGAACACTATAGCATCACGCATGTAGACCTTATCTATGATTCTGGTCCCCTCGTCAAAAAGTCCCGCTTGAAGCAAGTGCCGGAGGAGAAAGTAGCTCGCGTCACGGGCCGGTATGCGCGGACTCGGGTCACGCAGTGGCTCCGCAGCCATTGTTGCAGCAGATGACCCAGCTGTCACCTCGACGGCGGGCCCACCGTCAGAGGACTGCGACTGGGATGAGCCTGCTGGCGCTCCGGCTTGCTCAGCGGCGCTCGTTGCCCGTACAACTGACCCACTTTCACTTTTCGCTCTGGAACCACTTGAAGTAGATACAGCTGTCGTCAAACTATGACTACCTTGAATCAGCACCACAACGTGGTCCCTATCTTTCGAAAACCTCGCTGAGAAGAAATTCGCAACCCTTGCCAAATCCGATTCGCGCGTCAAGCACAGTTTCTGGACGCCTTTGTCAGGAGGAAGGGGATGAAGATCTGCATCTGGTTCGGCTTCGGCGTGTCGAGGACGATGTGTGGTCTCCTCTAGTTCGAGTTCCCGATCGCGTGCGCGCCTACTTCCTGGCGGTCCCATTCCCACGACTTGATTGAAATTCGCATCACAAGTTGCTATCCTTACCACGTTGTACGTTTCTCCGTCAGGGTACAGCTCCCGGAAGAGCCGAACAGGATCCCTCGCCAAACTGTTCAATTTTCCACTGCCAGACCCAGCTGCAGACGAACGGGCAGGGGAGGACCTTCCAGTCGCCCCACCATCTACATCTGCGGCTCCACCGCCAGCGCCTGTAGATCTTGTTGCGCCGATGATAACAAATGTTTTTCGTTGCTGCGCGGGGCCAAGGTCTTCCATACTAGGGAGGGCGGATATTAATCCTGGGGTCTTTATCTTCTCCAAATGGACTTGAGTTGGAAGAACGAGAGCAGATGAAGATCCGGTTGTTGTACCACGGTCGCTACTCTCACTTGGCGCCGCGCTGTTCTCGGCGTGGTCGCAGAGCTCCCCCTCCAAATGCGTCCAATACACTGTGGTCACAAGCACGCCAAGGGATGCGAAAAAGATGCCCACGGCTAAGCCACGGAGAAGCAAGAGACTCGTCATGATCCCTAAAAGTACTGTCGACCAGTGAACACGTCGACGCGAATCGAAAAAGAACTCTGAAGCGTGTTCATCTTCTATCTAGTGGCTTCGTCATGTAAGTATGCCCTCTTGAAGCTCTGTGGCGGATCATTTTAGTATATCTTGATCTTGATCTGACACGATGAAGCAGTGCTGGATGTCGTGATCTCTTGCGTTGACGTGGTCGTGCAGCACGAGCAAAAAAAGCCTTGAGAATGGTAAACGTAAACATAAACGACCACAACCAGAATGACATTCCGTGGCAGATTCCAACAAGGCGATGGATCTTGTTCACTTTCATGATCAGATGCAGAACGCATGCCACTTTGATGCACACTCATATTGCACAACGTCCGCTGAAATTCTTCCAAACAAACGATCCACTTCTAACTATTCCCTCATCGCGAAGAACAAGACTCGTCTGGGGGCCCTCCATATAGTCGAAGAGGCACGAGCTACAACGAAAAGATTTGGGTGGGAAAGCAATCTGCTGGAATCGATCTGTCCCTTGTTGCCTGTTGGCAGCTAGCCTTCTCCTTCTCCGCTGTCAGAACCGCAACGGGTCCTGAACGACGAGCGCTGAAATATTACGGGTACGACAAAACACTAACACTTCTATAGCGTGGTCTTCTACTAGAAGAAGCTGCTTTAATTCTTGAGAGGGATAGAATGGGGAAACGGGAGATGAAGAGATCAAAAGAAAAGCTTGCTAGTGAAATAAAGATATTTGCAGCCTCGGCCTCCACAAACAGTACATTGAAAAAACTTTACTTAAAAACTGGAACTGTTGGTGGAAAATATTGCGAAACTGGGAAAATAGAAAATGGTTGATCATGAGCGGACAGCGAGTCTCCTTAAAAGTAGATTCAAAGCCTATCAATTAAGGATCCCCACCAGCACGATCGTTCTCCGGCCGCTCCGACGACGGTTCTTGTATTTTCAAAACTTTATCCCGCGTGTTCTGCTTTTTCAACTGCTTAATGGCCAACGTCTGCTGATGGTCGCCGCGCGCGGATAAAGCGTTGACATTCAAAACCACGTCCTCGTCGTAAAAACTACCCCGATCGTGTTGTTGTTTTCTCGCAACATTTTCCGCAATACTCGCCATGTGGCTGATGTCAGCAGCCACGTGCGTTCCGTCGTAATTATCCACACTGGCTTTGCTATTTGGGTAACCATTTTTCCTCTTTTGGTTTTTCCGCACACCAGCGATATCGATCGACGCGTCGGTGCTCGCGGTCGCCGCGCTGCTTTCATTCGTCCCTCGCTTTAACATCTTTTCGGCGCCAATCGTCATATTTTCCCCATCACCACCTTGGCTACTAGAGATTGCAAGAAAGTTCTCGAACCCCGAAACACTCAACCGATCACCCTTCATCTGCGTCTGCCCCGCGTCTGTTACAGACCCGGTGCCTGCTCGTGCAGCAGCACTAGAGCGGGCGGTGGAGTCCTCACCTTGCTTACTTCCGTTCTTCGAGAGTCCGTCCTCTCCTCTGCTACCTTTTCCTTTGTTGCTCTCGTTGATCCCCTTCCGAACGTGGTCTGGCAGGGAAACGTTCATCAACGCCCCGATTTCGCGCACTTCCTTCTTCCACAGTCTCCGCGCCGTTTTCTCGGACGCGGCTGTGGAATAAAACATTTCCCACATTTCGGTCTTGCAGTACGCGTAGACCATCATGTCTGTCATCGCGACCGCCGTTTGCGTCTTCTTCACTATAAAATCGCAAGTCAGCGAGAAAAAGTGCTGGACGGTCAGGTTAGCGAGGATCGCAGAGAGGTCTAGCCGATCTTCCATTGTTCGCTTGATGTAGTACAAGGAAAACGCGATCAGCGCGATTAGAATGAGCGTCTGCACGAGGTATTCTACCCAAACGACTTTGTACCCCTGCCATCTGCTCTCTTGGTCGTCGCCCTTTTTATCAGAGCGCATCGTCTTCAAGAACCTGCCTGCTGTCGCAAACGTCGCGCCGATCCAGGACAGAATCAGTAACAAAATCAGCGTCAGCACCCAATCTCCCCCCATCGTGGCCTGCTGGACCAAAGCGAGGGCGCAGCCGTAGAGGGTGATGGTTAGTATTAAAACACACAGCATCAACACATATCCCCCGTGCTGCGACCCTGGGAAGAGCGCTTTTTGGTTCAGCAACGCCTCCGCGAAACCGTTCGCCAATGGGACAGCGATGGGCAGCAAGGAGAGGAACGTGGTCCCGGCCACCGCCAGGCTGAGCGAAGACGTGATCGCGGTTTCGGTCTGGGCTAGGGACCAAAGGGCCGCAGACTTCATCCGCCGGATATCTTTCTGGGCACTGTGGAAGTCCTCCTCCAAATTCCGAATCGCCTGCTCTCTCTCCCGTTGCGCAAATTCCGCGTACGCGGCCAGCTTTTCTTCCAGGGTTAAAAACTGTGGATCGTGAAGATCCGTCGTGTTGCTAGATGAAGCTGCTGCGCCATCTTCTTGCAGTTCACCAGTTGCGGACGAAGAGGGAAGTAGAACGTGGTTGGTGTTCTTCGTCGGATTTACATTTGATCTACCTCCTGCAGTCGTGTCGCCGTGCAAAGTTGAGTGATCTTCGCGTTGATTTTCATTTTTGCCAGAATTTTGACTCACATAGTGACCCACCTTGTTGCCCTCCTCTTTCGCTAGAGGTAGAGGCGTAGGCAGGTGGTCTCCTGCTGGATTAGTTGTTGATATTGTTGTTTCCTTATTTTCCATGCTTGTTCTTCCAGGGCTTGAACTAGTACCGCTTGCTGTTCCTTCGTCCTTGAAAAACACAACAACATTCGGGCTCGGGGCGGGTAGGCCAACGAAGGGCGTATCAGCATCGTGAAGTAGTGAGGTTTTGTTTTGCTGTGGTCCTCCTCGGGAGGATGACGACTGGACCGGGAGCCCTTGTTGGAGCGGGTGGTCAGTCGAAACACTGTTTTCAGCTGAAGAACCCAGTAGTCCACCAGAGGACAACGAGTCGGCAGTTACAGGTTCTGCAGGCTTTGCGTTCTGTTCCTGATCATGGTTCATCTTTACGATGCTTCTGCTGTGCATCTGCAGCTCCTGTGTCTGCTTCTCCTTTATCTCACCCGGCAGCGATGGACTTTTGCTTGTCTTTGTCTGTTGGATTTTTCCACTGTTCTGTTGGTGTTCCAAAAAACCAAGACTCGCAGAGAAGTCCTGTCTCTTCGAGAGAAAAGATTTGGAAGAGGAAAGAATTTGGTTCTGTTCTTCCGCCTCAAGTCGCCCCGCGTGGTGGTTGTTTACGGCGCGAATCCACCGGAGAAGGTTTTTGTCTTGATCGCTAGAAGTAGTACCCGCAACATCTTCTGGGTTTTCATTTCCATTAGGAGCAGAACTCGGAGAAGTCGATGCAGGTCCTGTAGTGCCACCACCAAGTGATGTGGCTCCTTCTTCATCCATTCGCGTGGAGGAGGTCGTGGAACCAGCACCTGCGTCAACACTGCTATCGGCTACGCCACCAGGAGGTGGAGAAACTGCAGCCGCTACGGCTACGCCCGCGTTAGGCTGTTCATCTGGCGCACTATGCAAGGACAACGAAGATCCAAGAAGTCTATCCTCACTATCTTCCACCACATTTCCTAGCTCTGTAGTTGTCCTACCCTCTTCTACTGAAGATCCCGTAGCTGCAATAGTACTCGGCGTCGACAATTTTTTCGCCGTTGTCCTCTTTAGCTTCCTGCCCAAGGGCGAGTACAATTCTTGTGCGGAGGGGGGAAGGACCAATGACTCCGGGTTGTTGTGTTGTTCCGCGTTTAACAACCTGTCCACCCGTTCCACTTCCTTCTCAACCGCGAGAATCAACTCATCCGCCTTCAGTTCCGCGTTCTTCCGGATACTCATTTCCATCTGTTCAATTTCTTCCGTTGTTGGCACCGTTTTGTCCGGAACTTCCGTGAACTTCATCATCGTCGACACGATGGACTCCGCCTGTCTATCGACTTTGCTCCTGGTCGTTGGAAAGTCCCCCTTTTCCAATGTCGCCCGGAACGCCAACGTGGCCTGGCGAATGGTTCCTCTGCTGACAAAGTGCGGGGGAAGCAACCAGGTGGGGATGAGATCGAGAGATTGGACTTGCTCCGAACTCTCCCGGTCCGGACGGGAATCGGCGTCGGCACCGTGGGTCGTGCGGGTGCGATTGGAAGCTGCGTCACGTGCTTTTATTTCCAGGAAAGCTGTAGTTCCAGCCTGCGCCCCCTCTGCATCTGCTGGATGTACTTCTTCTGGAACGGAAGTTGGAAGTAGAACTGCTACATCTTCTACTGGCTCTTCGATTTTTGTCCTGTGCCGTGCATTGTTGCTGTGTCTGAGGTAGGTGCGTTTACTTTTCAGGTTGCTGTGCCTGCTCAGCGAAGAAGCTGCTGTGGCAGGAGCTTGAGCTTCTGCGTCGTCTATTTTGTCTTCTGCTTTTTCTCCTTCCGCTTTATCATTGCCAGCAAGTGCAAGCTGCGCTTGCTGCGCCAGTGGTTCTTCGACGTTTTTTGTCGTCTTTTCGTTTGGCCGCCCTGCTGCTACCTGATGGGAAGGCGCTAAAAGCAACTCGTTCTCCAACACTGGCGCAACCACTACATCCGCTTCCTCCGCGACACCCACACCAGAGCTGCCCGAGACCGCATCAGTATCGTTCTCGCCGCCTGATGAAGATCCTCTTGTGCTGCTCCTGACAGAGTTCTTGTTCGTAGCACGCTTCTCTGAAACTTCTACTGGAGATGCTTTATCACCCTGCTCAGAAGCTTCATGATTCTCCCCCAAGACCACCTTCGGCACCGCCATACCGCGTCCCCCGGTCAAGTCGCCGAGCCACCCACCCTTCCCCGCCGGGGGACTCAAATACGGGGGCAGACCAGCACTCTCCTGCAGCGGCGCGCTTGTTGGAGGAGGGGCCTGTGGCGAAATGTTGTTTCTCCTCGATGAACCTGTTGAAGTATCAGCTCCTTTCCCCCCTGCGACGGGATCTTCGCCCTTGCCATGAAGACCGCGGTGGTACCGAGTAGACGGTACTACCGGACCAGAAGTATCTCCCGTTGATGGCGCGAGAGATAAATCTTCTTCCACACTTCTGTGCGCCGGAGTAGACCCCGGGGGTATAGGATTTAGGTGGATTGTGATGTTCGGGCTCTTTCCAGCCTCTGAATAGCCTTGCGCGAGTTGCACCTCTTCCTTTTCCGCGTAGCCCAACGCGACGCAGACCTGCATGTAGTTCATGGCCGCCTCAAACATCACCGGGTTCGTGTAGTCCAGACACTGATTCCCCGCGGAATTCGAAATCTCGGACAATCCCGTGCTTGTCTGCTCAAAACACTGCTCATACGCCGTCGTGAGCTCCGCCGGAATGGGAATCGAGGACGTGGTTCTTTCCACACCGACCGCGTCCGCGAACAGTGCGATCGGGTCATCGAGAGATGATATCAAAAGAAAAAAGTTCGTCACGATCACTCATGGGCATTTTTGCAATACAAAATTGTCTATCATGCGTAAAAATGCATCACAGCCACACTTCATAAGGGATTTCCCTAGTGTTTCTGCAATACAAGGAGAAGTTGTGATGCTAAAAAAATTTGTAATGCAAAACCTGCAACTTAGTGACTGTGACAAACTTTTTTCTCTCCATAGATGAAGATGAGGCTGCACTACTTGTTGTAGAACCGATTTTATTCGAGCTTGTAGAAGTAGTTCTATCGTGGATGCACAACTCCGTGATACAAACTGCGGAGAGCGTTAGTGCGCAGTCCAGTTTGATGTTGTCAAACGCGTCCAGCCAGCGGCTCCCGTGGTACGTGCACCAATTGTTCTGTGCCTCCTCGACGTGCACCGTCAAAGCGGAGAAGGGATTGGTCGCCACCGCGGGAACTTCCACACTATCGTATGCAAAAGTATCGCACTCGTAGTAATCGCATTCATGCATTACAAATCTGGTTCCCAAGGCAAATCAGCATGACAAATTCAATTTGTCGTGCTGAGCGAATTTGTATTGCAATTACTACTAGTACGATACTTTTGCAGTTCATACACACCCTCCTGAGCCGACTTCTCTCGCGCCGGTAGGTCCCGCAGCCAAAGTGAGTTCGTTCCGAGGAGGTCAAAGCGGGCGTTGGATTTATTCTCGACGTCTATTTTTTCGTTTTTCTCCTCCTGTGCTTGTTTTAAATATCCGAGGTTTTCGGCAAGCACCAAGGTGTGGTTCAAATTCGCGCGGGCGAAAATCGGCGTGTGAAATAACTGGGTCAGCCCCTGTTCGCACAAGACAATGTCCATACCGTTGCGGTCGATGAAGGAGCGAAACGGAATGGCTAAATACAAAAGGAGCGGGATACCGATCTGGAGGGCCCAGGAAATCCACAGGATCACCTGAGAATACCAGGTAAGTTTCAGAAGGGATTTTCGGTACTTCTCCTGTTTGTTGCTGGCTGTCGTTCTGTGGTCTCCACCTGGAGGACCCCCGGGATCTTGATGCTCCCCATCTGCACGACCGTCAGGCGAAGTCGTGACACCTGTGGTGGTGACGTTACCATCCTGCTCTGCAGCGATATGAGCAAGACTCTGTTGCTGGGCGTGGTCTACTTCAACATCTTGCGTGCCCTGCCTTTGACTTTGCACTAGACCGGATATGATTCCGCGGTGACTACTGCTGTCTGGCGCAATGGTCCCGGGAGCGCCTGCTTCTCCACCTAGTACGTCAGCACGGGGACCACCGCCAGGTGGCGCTATGGTCTCCGGGTACGTCGTGCCGCCGCCGGCACGGCTGTTCTCCGTGGACGACAAAATAAATCCGTGCATTCCGCGGTTGGAAGCCAGAATGGACGCGTCGTAACTTTGCGGCGCGGAGCGCAGATCGTGGCCGGATTGCGGCGGGAGGATCAAATCCGATTTCAAGTTGGGAGTCATATTCCCCTGACGATGCTGGGACGATGGTGGTGCAGCAGCAGTAGTTGTAGCTGCTACTGGGAAGTTGTATTCGGATACATCCGTTTGCTCCGACACACCCGCGGCGGCAGCTGCGTGTGGCCCAGAGGGGTTTGGGGGAAGGTTGACATCAGAAGTCTCCTCGTCGTAGAAATGGAACGGGTTCTTGTCTGTTGTAGTTCTTCGGGAATAGAAATTGTAGTCGACGGCCGCCGGTCCTGGTTCCTCTACCGCACTAGTACGACGGGAGAACATAAAAGCTGGTTGTATCCTAAGATTGTCAGAAGTTCTTGTCACACGACACTGTGGCTCCTCGTCCAAAACTACTTCCACCACCTCATCCACTACAGACTGGTCTGACTCCTCGAAAAGTCTTTCCGGCGTCCCAATGTAGAAGTCACTCCTTCCTGGTCCGAAAGCTGTAGGTAGTGCTGCAGCTGCACCGGGCGCTGCTGCTGTCGTGGGCCGCCCGTCGTTTGTTCTAAAAGTCATGTTGGCCGAGGATTGTCCCGATGAAAAAGTTGATGCAACTCTTGCGGTAATCACGTGCTGTCCACTTTCGCTGCCCGAAAAACTTGGCCGAATCAGGAAACTGGACAAATCTTGATCTTCGTCCTGCTGTTCGAGATAGTCATAGTTATTACCCGAACAGGAACTACTGGAGCTACTGCTACTACCGGATTGTGACGACGACTGAAAAGCGGCTATATGCTCGCCTTCGATATTGAACCCCGAATGATCTTCGCGATCAGCGGTCCCTTTCCTCTTCACGGACCCAGCAGCTTTGATGTTCACATTATTCCCGCCCTCAATATTCCGCGTCCGCCGCCCCGGAAGATCTTTATAGTTTGCCGATGTCATCAAACTTTGGTGGATTAAAGCGTGCAGTTTGTCCTCCTGCTCCCCGTCCTCCCGCTGTTTCGTAACGTGGGCGTCATGGTCCTGTTTACTACTCTCGTCGCTGGTACAACTCCCGTGGTGGAACAAATGGTCTTCGTAGTCATCGTGGTCGTGCCCCCGGGGGGTTGACCTTTTCGCCGCCGCACTGCGCTTCGCGCGGGCCGACAAAGATTTAAACTTCGACGCGGACTTGCCCAACGACGCGAGAAACGTGCCGGTGAGGGCTTGCCCGTGATCGATTGATGGGTCGACATCGTGATGATGTTCTGCTCCCGCTGGTGCATTTCTGTCCGCTAAAGCTGAAGCATTAGTCTCGTCTTTGGAATCGGCAGGAACAACAGTGTTCCACTTTTTCGTCTTCAAGTCAAACGTCTTACTGTTTTGCTTGTTGCTGGGCGAAAGGCGCAGGAATGAACTGGTCGTACTGTTCCCCGCAGCGCCCGCAGCAAGCTTCGCGCCGGTGGCGGTGAGAGTGATTGTCGTGTCGTAGTCTTGGTCGACGTCGCGTTGATCCTGCTCCTGCACAACGATGGCCGCACCTCCTGCTGCGCTCGGTCTAGTTATGCTCCCATGACTCGCGACACTCAAGCCACTTACAAGCTTCAACGCTGAGCTGCCCTCGGGGTTTTGGTCCAGCAAATGTTGCCCACGCGACCGGAGAGCGGAAGCCGCTGGTGGACCATCATCATCTTTTTGCTCGTCTTTGCTTTCCTTATACTCCCCCTTCTTCGGACTTTCCGCCAACAAAAAACTGGGCCCAAACCCTAGGACAATGGCGAAGCACGTTCCTAAAAAGGAAACCAAATTCACCGCGAACAGAATCCACTCATCGACAACCAGCACGGTGACGAACTTCTCCAAATTTTTCGCGATCTTCGCCCCAAAGCCGGAAGGCCCCCCACCGGTTGAGCCCGGTAGGTCCCTTTCCAGAATCGTCGCCAAATCATGATGGTGCCCGGACTTCACGACCGCGAAGTCTAAAATGATTTTGATGAAGTAAAACAACGGGACGCCGCACAAAAGGTAGCTGTAGCGCCAGGTCAAATACCGCGAAACCCGTTTCGTTTCGAAACCCGCTTTGTCGGACTGTTTTTGGAACCTGGCGTGGACGGGGTCGTGGGTCGCCGTGGCGGGGTCTTCCCACAGACCGTTCAGGAAGACGGCGAACGGGTGAAACATCGTGGGAGGTTCTTGCTGGACGGGTCGCCGTGGGAGCAGCTCGAAATCAACTCATATGTTTACCTTTAGTTCCTTAAGAACAGAGATGAAGTTTATCTGATAGTCCGAACTGCTTGAAGAGGGCGGGCTGCGACCGTGGGGGGGGTGAGGTTTCTGGGGACGAACAGGGGGCCGCCGCTGCAGCTGCAGCGTGCCAAATTTTTGCAAATGGGTTTTCATTCTACAGTTGGTTCTATCAGAAGAGTCCATGGGTTAAAATGAAAATTCAACAGCAGCTGCAGTACTACTGCATCTTCTTAACTGTTTATGTTTTGTGTTTGATGTTGTACATGTTACTTGGCTTTCTTGCGAACATTGGTTGCTGGCCCCAGAACGACCTATTTCTCGGCTATACCATCAAATAAATGCGCCAAACCTAAATGCGCTGCGGATAGTACGAATTGGTGCTGGAGGAGTCACTGACGCATCAAGCGCAAGAGCAAGACGTTCTCCATCATAATGCTGATCGGGGCAGGCAGCAGAACGAAATTCATATACTTTGAACGAAGACGAACCATGAAATGAATGCGAACGACAAGACAGGGCTATGCTGGCCAATACTGTGTGCGGTGGACGAGCTGCAGTGATGAAGATAGGCCACAAAACTCACGAAGAAGACGATTGAAGTAAGTAGTACTGCGGCAACAATCGACCATTGACGAAAGACGAAGATACAGAACTTGTCCCTGAAGACAAACAACCGCAAACCGGACAGAGACGCCAGAAGAACGCGGCTTAGCTCGAACAACACAGCACCCACCTGGTATCGAGTGTCATGATTTTCGCTAGTCGTAACCAGACAGCTTCACATACAGACCCGCATGATCGGAATGGACAATCGACAAAAACTGTTTTCAGAGAAAAGCAAAAGCTCAACAAGACGAGGCAGCAGCAGCGACTCTGAAATAAATGTATGCATATTCAGATTCACGAGCTTACCTTGTTAATCTTTGCTATCGTACTTACAGTTTTCTTCAGCCTGTACTCGATGTCACCGGCTGCAAATCAAACGAGGCTGCCTTGGTAGTTGACAACACCTTAACCTTTTCTAGTTTTGATGTGGTTTTTCCTTCTCGCCCAATATTGTCCTCCTCGTTTCCACTTGTAGTCGTCGTCGTCGTCGTATAGTAGTGATGATGATGGTGAACAACAGTCTCAGATGGCTTATTCGGTGTTTCCCCACCACCACGAGTAGTACCAGGTGCAACTCCACCTGCAACTACACCAGGACTACTGCTCTGGTTGTGATCGTGGTTATGGTGGTGATGTTGCAAATGCTCTACCGGGCCCATAAACCCCGCGATCCCCAAGTCTTCCGCCGAGGGCGCGGGCACCTTCATGAGCGTCGCGACTTCCCTGACTTCTCTTTTCCACAATTTCCGGGAAAATCTTTCCGACCCGGCGGCAAAATGCATCATCTCCCACAGTTCGGTTTTACAATACGCGTAAACCATCAGGTCCGTCGCGGCTATCGCCGTCTGGATCTTTTTCACCATGAAGTCACAGATCAGCGACAACACTTTCGTGAAGGTCAGATTCCCGAACACCATGCCCGCCACGTCAATTTCCACGTCCTCGGGCACCGCGCGGACCGCCCACCAGAAACCGAGCGACACAATCAGGATGATGACTACCGCTCGCGCGCCGTAGTCAAACCAGATGATAATGTACATCTTCCACCGTTCCTTGTCGTCGCCCTCGTCAAATCTCGTTTTTTGGAGTTTCACTGCCGTGACAGCACCTAAGAGAAACCAAATGAGAATCAGCAGCAAGACCGCGGTCAATACCCAATCGCCGCCGATAAACTGTTGCAGTAACGCCAGTCCGGAGGCGTAGAGCGGGACGGAAATCAAAACGCACAGCATCAAAACCCACGATCCGTGTTGACTGCCCGGAAACATGGCTTTCTGGTTCAGCAAAGCCTCCGCCAAACCGTTTGCGAGGGGGACGGCGATGGGGATTAACGAGAAAAACGTCGTGCCCGCCACCATCAAGGACAAAGCCATCGCGATGCTGTCGTCCGATCGAGCGAGGGTCCAGAGCATCGCGGATTTTAGCTGCCGGATCTGGATCTGCATCAGGTGGTACATATTCTCCATTTCCCTTTTCGCGTACGCTCTCTTCTCTGTCATGTAATCCAAGTAGGAAAAGGTGGGCGGGGCTGCTGCTGCAACATTCTGTGACTGTGCTCCACCTCCACGTCTGTTCAGATCGACAGACGGCGCGCCGTGTCTTAGAATGATTTTCTCCTCAAATCGTGGCCCAGTAACTCCAGCACTTGCACCTGGAGGTGCGTAATGCTTTGGAAAAAGAAGCATTTTCTGCTGCCGCACTGGTCCTGCTCCAACGTCGTGCGCTTGCGCAGTCTTCGTCGTGTAATCTTGTCCAGAAACCACATGACTTGTCAGCGGTCCACCCGGGGCATGGCCCAGCTGCACCTCCTGGTCCTGCAAGAAGAGGGTATTAGCTACTGTTTTTCTTGCCCCTGACGAATGTTGAAGCACTTCGGCTCCGTCTACTTGGTGTGCTCCCAGGGAGGTGAAGGCACTTGTCTCAGCTGCCGCAATTGTCGAAGATCCGCTGGCACTAGTAGTGCCCGCGTATCCATTCACGGTCGTGCTCGTGATCGGAAGATGGCCATGGCCATCGTGGTAATTTCTCCTACTCCTTCGCAGCAACAAACCGCCGCGCCTACCTTCACTGGTATCGGGCGAGATGGACAAGGAGCTGCTCTGTTGCACAAATTTTCCGCGACTGCGACCCCCGCGAAGGTTAAAGTACTGACGTGGAGACTGCGGTCCCCGCAGTAGAGTAGAACTAGATGCGTGGCTCAGACCAGGATCAGTTTCGAGATAGTGCTCCCCTCCTGGTCGCAGATCCTCTCGGCGGCCGCGGTGCAGAAAGCTAGTAGCCTCCTCGATAGTAATAGTACCTCCCTGAGCCTCCTGATGAAGTGGTTCGTCATCTGCGTCAGGGGCATCAAGAGCAGTTAAGCTGGTCGTGGAGCCTTCATCATGATTGCTTGCACTTGGACTTGACGGCGTGATCTTCGCTGTACTATGTTTACTGCGAATAACGTGTGAAGCAGAATCGGAGATATTCATCACGTTGCTACTCTCCGGAAAGTTGCCAAACGGAATGTAAAAGTCGTGGTCTGCTCCTGAAGTTTCTTCTACTGTGGTCGGCGAGGGCGTTACTAGAAGACCGGACTTTTTTATTTCCTGCGCAGCAGAAGTCATGCCCATGATCTCCGGCGCCGTGCCGCCACCAATCTCCATTCGCCCCCGCTCGATGTCCTCCATGGCGAGGAATTTTTCTTTCAACATGTCGACGAGTGATTTCGCCTTTTCCGCCGCAGCGTCAACGATTTGCTGCTCCAAGGTGCGCAGTTGAGCTTCGTACAATTCCGTTGCATTTCTCAACTTCATCTCAGTACTAGAGCCATCTTGATCTTCCGACATATCCGGGTTGTAGTTTTCCTCGTTATTGTACATTCGCATGTTTGCCAACAGCGTGTCCATCTGCTTATCCGCTTCCGTGAAATAGCTGCTGTAGTTACTCTTCCTCAAGGACTCTGTGAAAGCCAGCGCCGCGGCGTCCGTCGCTTTGCGGCTCACCGCGTGCGCGGGCAGCATCCACACGGGGATCAGTTGCAGGTTCGCAATGGTAGCGGTGGATTCTATCGAAGCTGCGGAAGGAGATGCTGCCGCGGCATTTGAGCTGCTGCTCGGGAAGAATGCTACACCTTCTGCAGGTGTTGCAAAATGGTGTAGTCGCTCATTTGGATCGTTTGGGTCTACTTCAGAGCTGCCAACGTATTGACTGGCCCGCAGCGCGTCCTCGAAGACGTGTTCCATTCCAAACGGGGGCGGATCGGCTGAGAAATCTTGGGAGGGTATTGGTTGTGACTCACGTGTCCCATTTGGATGATCATGGGCGTGAACGACCGCTCCTGTAGTTTCGGGAGCTTCACCGGGATCGTTTTCGTTTTCCGTTTCTTGTTCGCCTTCGCCTTCCTTCATCCTTTCGGCGTACGCCAGTTTCGCGCAAGTCTCCATGTAGGCCATGCCGGCTTCGAAGATAGCCGGGTTGCTGTAATCCAAACACGCTTCTCTGCTGGCGAAGCAGTGGCCGGTGTCGGAGGATGCCTCTCCGGGGAGCATGTCCCCCAAAACCGCCCCGTCGAAGAAAGCGCCAAAGGGGGAGGCGAGTGGATTGGAAGTTGTACTTGGTGAAGAAGTTGCAGCTCCGGGAGCAGCAGCAGCACTACTTCCAGGAGCAGTTGTGACAGGACTACTTCCCTTGATGCACAGTTCCGCAATGCAGGTTGCAGCGAGGGACAACGCGCAGTCTGTTTCTACGCCGTCTAAATGGTCCATCCACCGGCTTTTGTGGTGCACACACCACTCGGCCTGGCTTTCCTGCCGCCACGTTTGTTCCAGCAGATCGACAGGAGCACTCGTAGTTTCTTCACTGTCATTCTCTTTATCTTCCCCAGTATTTCTTTTCCGTTCCGTCCCCAGCAGGTCAAACCTCGGTGGGTTCGTGTTTTTCATGACCATTTTTGTTCGGTCCACGTCGAAAAACCCTTTTTCCTCCGCTAAAACTAGAGTCGCGTTGATGTTTGAGCTCATAAACACCGGAGAAGCGAAGAGCGTCCCCGTGCCGACTTCGCACAGCACCTCGTTCAGCCCGTTCACGTCGATCCAAGTGCGAAACGGGACCAAGATGTACAACAAAAACGGAAAGGTAATCTGCATCCCCCACGAGGTCCAGATGAACACCTGCGAAATTTGGAGCAGCTTGATCAGCGAAGTTCGGTACGCAATCTCTTGCTCCGAAACCTCATGGTTGTAGTTCCCGTCTGCGGGTACTAGGTGATCAACCGTGTTTCCCCGCGCTCCTGCGCCGACTGGGAGCAGACTGTCGTTGGCGCCGTTAGCTCCCCCTGCCTCAGGAGAAGTCTCTTGTTCTTCCATTGCGGTGATGGAAATCAGCTCTCCCGGTGCTAGCCCCCCACCTCCTGAGCGCAGCAGACTCAAGTGCGGCGTCGTGTAGTTTGCACCGCGGGCACTTGCGCCTCCGGGTCCGGCTCGCATCGAACCGATCCCACCCGGCCCTCGCGAGGCCATCGACATCATGGTGGATCCCGGCGCTGCGGACCGCAAAGCACTGGCGTTCACCCCACCGGCGGCGCTTCGTGTGCTGGTAATTGCCCCACGGTAAAAATCCTCGTCGTCATCACTGCTGCTGCTGCTTTCCGAGGAGATATGATCCCCGGCCGACCGGGGGCTTTCGTTGTCGTTGTAGAACAGGTGAAATTTGTCCTCCGAATCTACTCCGGCTTGTGTCGGGGGGCGCGCTGTAGGATGGTCTTCATCTTGTTGACCTGTAGTTGAAGAATTCGATTTCTTTTTCAACGCTTTTGACTTGCTTTTCTTGATTTTTTTCTTCAACTTCGACTTACTCGAGTCCTTGTTTTCACCACCCGAATGATCTTCCGAAGAGGCCGCTGCCTTGGTAAGCAACTCCTGCAATTTTGCTTCCTGCTGCGCGTCTTCTATTTCTTCGAGCGATTTGGGCCGCGTGAGCAGACTCAGGTCGTACGATTGTTCTTCGGATTCGTTCTTCTTCTTACTAGCGCGACCTGCACCAGAAGCAGTCATAACTTGCGAATTCTTACCACTACTGCTGAAGTTCACCGCCCCCGGGAGCTTGTTCAAACTCTTTTTCCGCACAGAGGCACGATCTCGATCCGCTCCGTCTGGTGTAGAAGTTCTTGCTTCCGCCGGGGACGAGAGGGCCACGACCTGGTCATCTCCAAGTTGTTGCTGTACTGGGAAACCTTGGTCATCCAACTCCACATATTCGTAGTCCGCCAAGCAGCAGCTGGGCGCGAAAGTCAAAATCGTCCCAATAGTGAAGCTCAAGAAGGTGTTTACGCTTAACCCCGCCCAGATCCAGTTGTCCACGCTCAATGCGGTGAAAAACGCTTGCATGTTTTCCGCAATCTTGGCCCCGAAGCTCGCGGGCCCGGAACCTTCTGTCGCCTTTGGTAAAGCGTCGGAAAGCATCTGCGCGAGGCTGTCGCCCTCGCGCGCGACGGAGTAGAAATCCAGGATGCACTTGAGAATGATGAACAGCGGCACGCAGCATAAATACGAGTACCGCCACGTCAAGTACCGGGAAACCCGGCGGGTATGAAAGCCAGCCTTTTTGGAAATGAGGTCAAAACGGGCGAAAACCGGGTCGTGATCCGCGACCGCGGGGTCCTCCCAGATACCGTTCACCAGGATAGCGAAAAAGTACCACATTTGGAACGCTTTTCGTTTTTCGATTTCGGATTCTTGTGCCTCAGGAGGGTGGAACTACGCGGGTTACGTCGGATGAGTCGTAACAATGTAGAGAGACGAGGGAAGACATTAAGCAGGATGGTAAAACTACTGCCAGGGTAGTTGATGTACCTGTGCGTCCTTCACCTTCTTGCGCGCCAGATTGATAGGTAGCACGCAATACAGGTAGACGTAGTGGCGAACCGGTATTGCTAGCGGCCATAGCGAGACCCATAGCTACTAACAGATGATACAACATTATACATGGGGTTAGGGGAAAACTGAGAGCTCATGATGTGGCACTGACTGCTATTGTGTTCAATGTCTCTGTTTTGAAGTTGAACTAAAGCGAATATACTTTAGTAGTAAGCGAGGCAATTTGTACTACCAAAACAGGACGACTTCCTACTTGAGGTGCTGAACTATGGTTTTGGTTTTCTTCTGAAGACGAACGACAAGACTAACGGAAAAGAGAGGACGAGTGTGACCACGCGATGAAAAGACAACGACTGAAGAAGTGCTGACAGGAAAAATGTGGAGCGCGAAGCTCTTGTCGTGTACGATAAGGGACGAGGAGTGTTTTGACATTCAGTGTTTGATGAAATTGATTTCGCAAAACCGTGCGAAAAAAGTACGAAACGTGACTTGCGGTCATGGATGAATGACTTTTCGATCCGGCAGGGGCAAATCAAATGACATTGGACGATTAAGCTATCGTTATCGATGAAATCAATCACTTACATGTTCTCTTTTCCAGTCTGTGTGAGTGTGACTACTGCGTTTCGTTTGATAATATGTTGAGGCCTCCAAACGACGTTGGAAGCAGCTGCAACGATCACAGCAATTCCGACGGCCTGAAGATACGGCACCCACACCGATTTGTCCGACGTCGCCCGGCCCAACCACACAAGAACGATAAAGACGAGGTTGAAAAATCTCTTTCTCGTCTACCACTGCCACACAAATATACACTGCGGGCCGATGGCGGATGAAAAAATGACTTATTCACGAAGACACAAAACGAAGGAACAAACAGAAGCTGTGCTGCGTAGTTGGCGGTTAATATTTTCAACCTGCTCGTGGTGCTGGTGGTAGCTGTTGACCCCCTTGAGCTACGTAGATCTTCATCTTCTTCATTTGCTCGCCCGCCTGCTGCTGCGCTTGTTTTTTCAGAAAATTCATTTGTAAAAAATTTGTTTCTCAAGGTCGCACGAAGACCTTGACTGTGACTCCTGCACTTCAACTTTAACATCTCAACATTTGGAAAAGATGACGCTCCTTTGTTCAGTTGTATCATTATCAACAACATCGAGAATTCATTTCAGTTCCTCTTTTTTTGTGACAGCAACCACAACAGCGTGATACAAAAAGAGTCTTTGAGTTTTCTTTTTCCACGTTCACATAAGATTCATTTCCGATCGGAGAGCTATCGACGTTTCATTACCAGCGCTTTTTCTTCGGTGCAGCAAAACCGCTGCATCTTCTGGTAATATACTTATGTCAGTAGATACGTTTCGAATTTTGAACCTGACAGCCAACTCGTGAAACTGTGTGCTGAAGAAATACAAGAAATATCAACAGCGCATGTCGTTTTTCCTGAAGCTTAACCAAGACGAAACCTTAACCTGTGCTGCGCGGAAGCAGACCAAACGAGAAGTACTCTAGTAGTGTGTCATCGAATTTTCCGCAGTCGAGGTAGTTTATTCGCACTACACAACTGCCGCCCGTTTGCACTGCCGAGATTCTGTGTTGTATTTTCCAAAAAGTTGTAGCTAGTTGTATTCTCTAGCAGCCGTCGGTCTATTCAGAAAAGTGTAGTGGTAGTTTCAGCAGTGTCTATTCGCCTCGAAGTAGACCTAATCGATTTTAGCAGCCCAGAACTATCATGCCACTGCTGCTCTATTGGCAGCTTATAGTGATTCTCGATGTTTTTTTCACCTCGTCTAGAGGTTTCGCGTAAACATGATGCTGATCCTCATCCTGTTCTATCCAATAAATTCGCTACCGTAACAAGTTTAGCATTTACTTACAACCCCGTCGAGAAACGAAACTACAAATAGGCAATCAGATAGGAGTTTTATGCCACTGTCTATCTCTTTCTGCTTTTCTTTTTTCATAAATTACACCAGGAGTCCTGTCGTGCTTCCTCTACCCTACTTGTCGTGGGACTCTTTTTTTCTCATTTCTCTGCGTACCGTTAACCCATAGATGCAAGAAAAAAGCGTCATCCTATGGGACACAGCACACTCTCATCCTCACCAGGAGTGGCTGGAGTGAAGAGCTAAAATTCTTCATCATGGTGGCGTTTTTCGAGTTGTGTTGGTGGGTACCGGTGTAGGGTTTTGCTATTGCTTCAGAAACGGAATACAAGATATTCTATTGCGGACGGTGCAGTTGAGAAATCTAAATGCTCCTGTGTAAGCAGTATGACTTCATCCAGTTTTCTTGTGGTGCCGTGGTAGGTACAGGTACAGGTACTATTACATAAAACTCGCGCTATCACTAGAACCGGATGGATATTACTTAGCCCGTCCCCTGCAGCTCGGTCGCGCGAACGATGTTGTTCGCGTGACTACTTGCCGTATGGTGCCTGAATCTATCCGACCCTGAGTATTGTTCTTGGTCATGCTCGCATGTGATCACTAGTATCCTTTTTTTCTACTCCCGTACGTACCTTCCTACCATAACTGCAGCGAGCGCCTCCTCCCGCTGGCATCAGTTGCACTACAAGGAAAAAGTCTTTGTGTGGTGGTGGTTTGTTGTGTTATACAGACTTATTACCTTGAATCCATCGCGCAGAAGTCCTCAGCGATGTAAAGTAATTATTGTCCTTGTGGGGGGCTACTCTACCAATCTTTCTTCAGACATCTCTTCTATTCCAACGCTCTTATAATATCAACGTGTACACGCATCAGTTTCTCGTCGGTAGTAGTTCTTTCGGTTGACGTTTTTGATTCCGTATCTTCTAAAACAAGTATCCAAAAAGCAGCTGATAGTTGATATTCCTTCTCCAATAAATCGGTATGAAAAAGCTTAAGTTTGCTCGAGAAGGAATTCACTTGAAACGCCATCAAGTGGTTGTAGTTCATCTCGGTTGAGACTATTCTATTCCTTGCAGCAAACTACTTTTCATCTCTTAGCTCGCCTCTGCTCCTTCTACCAACATTTTTTGGCATTTCTAACTCAAAAAATAGAACGTCAACTATTCGAGCGTGTACGATTAGAATTAAAACGTGCTGGCAATAAAGTACGGATTTCATTTTTCGGTTGCAATATTTCTATCGCAAGGTGCTCTAAGTACAACAGCAAGGCTCAAACCTATTGACCGCCGTCGTGGTCATCAACCACAACGCAGAAATTTTCCGTGACCAGAGCGAAAACTTGAAGAGAGATCGAAAACTCGTACGAGTTTCCGATCCCACTGCAAATGTTCGGACCGAACGGAAAAAGCCACGAAGGGGAAGTCGCTGACAAAGACAGCGCTAGCGCTAGGCTTTGTTCCTGATTTACTTCGTTTTGATATCCGAAGGCACCGGCGATATTTCTACCGCTTTTATATCGTTGAGGATGTTCTAGTTGTACTACCCTGTGTAAAGAGAATTGCCAGTTATTGTCAACAGCTGTATACAGAAGTTTTATCTGATAAAGAACCATACATATTTGAGGGCGGTGAAACAAAGCATTTAGTAGTTCATATTTATCCAAAAAGTAATCATCTTCAATATCGAAAAGTCAACCTCCTAGGTGCATTTTTAATTGGGAAAAATATGTTGGCAGAGAGTTGAGGAATTCTTGTATCTTGGTCAAAAGCCTATATCAGCTGCATTACAGTGACATCACTGTAATGAGAAAATAAGGTAGTACAAAGCTAGCTTCAGTGGTCAAAATATATCGGAATTATTTTTAACATTCGGTGGCGAAATTTCGTATATTTCAGTAAAGCTTGCCTTATGGGCACTCCCACTAAAGCGCTCAGAAGTTCTATTTCGAAAATGATACGACCAAGACAGAAACATCCTGATCTTTATTTCGAAATAATTTTTCCATCGTACTATCCGTCGTAACAAGTATAACATTATCGTAGAAAATAAATCGGATCCTGTCGAGTCCTTCTAGTCTGTAATGTACAAAACTAATGCTGCTGTGTTTGGTAAGAAAGAATTGTCAATTGTTGTTCTCGATCGTCGCTTCCACGTGTCTTGTTCCCCTCCAGTCTCACGTTCTTGGAAGATGTTTTGTCGGCTTTTACTGTTCTCCACATCGTATAATTTTTGCTGTTTTTCTTTTTCTTCTTCACTATTCAAATTTCGTGTCGCTTCTCGAACAACCGTTTAGCCTTGAGAGAACCTGTTTTTAGTTTGAAAGATTTCTTTATTTTTTCCCAATTTCGCGGTTCCAGAAAAAGAAAATCTAAATTTTCATGATGTGAAAACGAATCGGATTCACAACAAAAACAAGGCAAGCCCAATATTACTTAAGCCTTGGACATTTCCGGTGACTCGCGCTCTGTCGGGGCGGTTTCCGGAGTGCCGAAGGGTCCCTTTGACATGACGCCCATTTCGCTCGCAGCCCAGCCATGCTCGTCATGCTCCACACCAGCAGCGTCCTGGTCGATGAGATCGAAGTGCAAATGAAATTTGCCATGCACAGTTTCGCAAAAAAAAAATGCTTTCTTTGTCATACAACTACTCAAGCACAAAAGGAGAGATAAGACACAAAAATTTTTACCTTCGCTCGGTTCTTTCTGCGCATGTCGTTTTCTACCAAAGCAGCAATCATCTGGTGCGCACGGCAAGTGGCGCGCATCGTTCCCCGCAACACGACCTGGAAGTTTGATGCACAGCATGATTTTTGGCAAATTGATTCATTGCATTGTGAGTTCCGCGTGACAAGTTTCCACGTAGTAGTGTACTTATGTAGACCTACAGCTGCTGTACAACGATATCTCGTGAGCACATGAAACTTGTGATGCGCAATCAACACGACACCCCGGTTGTAAAAAAATTTCGTTCATGCTGCAATAAACTAAAGACGAATTCTACCTCTCTCGTCGGCTCATCCGGCATGCCACCTCGGCCGAGGCCCTGGTTGATAATCCCTCCGTGGTGGTTGGTCTTCAACGCTGCCGGGTCGCCCGGGTTGGTTCCAGACTCGATGTCGATTCGCACTCCGGTGCACTCGCGACGGATGGTGGAGATGGTGTTGCCGCGGCGGCTATCAAGTGCAAATATGTCTGGGTCTGGAAGAATGCAACTTGTCATGCAGATTTTTCATGACCCATGAGGTCTGGAATGCGGGACCTAGCATGGCAAACTCTGCGAGGTCCTCTCTGTCATGCCCATCCTGCATGAGATATCCCCTCCCAACTTGGTCGAAAGTGGAGAGCTTTTGGCACTCATACAACACAGATTTTAGCATGCTTCAGATTTAGCATCACAAGTTACTGTCTTCCAGACCCAGACATATTTGCAATGCATAGCGGCCGATCAGCATACCGACGGTGTCGTCCGGGAGGCGCAGCACGCACTCGATGATCGGGCCCGTATCAAAAAGAAAAATCCCCCCTCCCCATATCGGAAACGAAATTTGTGATGCTGTATTTGAATACACAAATCGACTTGTCTTGCCAGAAGGCCAAGAGACGCAGCTGTGGCCTGCATTGCGGGCAATTTGTCATGCTGTTTCCCACTTCCAGTTGCCTCGTGTCATGCTGGAGATGCAACACTTTCCCACGCTAGCTAGCACTACAGTCCGCATCTTTTGCCTTCTAGCATCACAAAGCTGATATGTGACCACAGATCTGCATCACAGATTTCCGTTTTGATATGGGGAGGGGGGATTTTCGTTCTTGATAGCCCGCGAGGGGGGATTTGTAGAAGGACTCGGAGACGCGCATAATGTTATACAAAGACGGAATTTCCTTAATGGAAGCCCACACAGCGCGCATCGCCTCGCGGATCTGGGGCAGCTTACCCGACAGCTGTAGTTGTGTGATGGTGCGATAGGACAATATCATGGTGCTTTGTTTTATTTTTGCATCAGTAGAAACATAATGCTGATTTCGCCAGAAAACCAAATGCTGAATTCTTTCATGTAATGCGTGCACCGCATGAGAGCGGATCTCTGTCATGCTTGATCAAGAAACACGAACAATAAGCTCTCTCAAATTAATATTTTCAAGTACCTGAACTTCTCCCTCTCCCTGGATCTTCACTGTGCAACCGGAAGTTTCGCGAATGGAGTGCGCACCCTGACCCCGGCGGCCAATCACCGCACCGATTTGGTTGCTCGCGACGTCTACCTTGAAGGAAAACAAGTGATCTATCCTGAGCAAAAACGTCCCAACCCCAGAGTTGTCATGCAGATCTGCAAACACAAGAGCATTTGTAATGCGCATCTACATGAGAGGCATTTCCCATTGTATTTTGGAACCTGTAATGCTGTAAACAGGATAAGGAGGTGGATTTGTTATGCGGCTTCCCTTGCTAAACTGCATTACACTACAGCCTGCAACTTGTCATGCGTGGCTCCCAAAACCTCGAGGTTTGTGTTGCAAAATCCCCATCTTGACTCTGGGGTGGGATCGTTTTTACTCAGGATATGATCCTCGCCCAGGCGCGCGAGTTGGCCCTTCGTCGCGTTTTATCCTGTGCAAAAGTATCCTAGTCGTAACTAATATGCAATCAATTTGTAATGCAGATTTGCCTTAAGAACTAGACTAGTTCTTAAGCCAAATCTGCATTACAAATTCAACTTGTAATGCTGAGCCAATTTCTGTTGCAATCTATACTAGTACGATACTTTTGCAGTGCATACGTTTTTCAGTTCCCGCTCGAAAACGTCGAACATTGCCTCGACACCTGGGGAGCGAGAATGGGTTTGTTCTGATGAGGAACAAGCAAGGGGAGCGAGAGTAAGTAGAGGTTTGTCATGCTGAATAAAGCACAATGCAAAAATACGGCACATTGACATTTTTCATTCTGCAGTTTTTATTTACGATGCGTACCTACGCATGAGAAGCTGAAACTCTAATGCTCGACAAGCAATGGAAATAGTACCGGCCTCCACGTCCTTTGTGATAATCACCTGACGCATGTCGACGACGCGGGGGTCACGCGGAAAAACCTTGATCGTAGACCCGGAATCCGACTAGACTATGAAAGAGCAAAATTTGTCTTGCGTTCGTGCCGATGCAAACAGTGTTTGTCATGGTGGTCGTCCGATATGCATATTAATGTGACCTGGTCGAACAGTTCAGACCACAGACATGTCATTTCTGCAGGGTTCTACTGCGCAAGACAATAAGTTTTTCCCTTTCTTATGAATCTTCCGAATGGTATCGCCTTGGTAACCAATGAGGCCGCCCATGAAGGCAACCGGCACTCGGATCGACAATTCGGCACGGGAATACACCATTTTCGCTAGTCGATGGCTAGTATATGCAGCTAGTAAAGCAACCGGTGCGGTTTAAAGTATACTTTAAAAAAAAGTATAAAGTAAAGAAGTCCTCAGGTGGGAGCGTTATTTTTTAAACCGAAAATGGCAAAAAACTACACTAGAAGCAGCAGAGTGACTACAGTTTCGAGACACGAAGTCCGCAAACCTGTTGTGACTGAGCCTGTGAGACTAGGAAACCTGTTTTGATGCGCAGTTGGAGTTGGTGATGTAAGCAGTTTTGCTTTTACAGCGGTTTTGTTTATTCTTGTGCGAACCAATTGATTCACAAGGTTTGTTGATAGAGAGAACGAAAGCTAAACGCAAACGCCTTCACTTGTATCTCGCAAAAAAAAGTACGAAAAAAAGCTCAAAACGCTGCCGCCGCCGCAAAACTGTACAATAGCTATCGAGTGTTCTTTAGCTTAGGAAAGTTTTCAAAAAATGTTGCGGATCAGAGATTTCTTGAATTCTACAAAGGCACCAGGTTGCTGTTGACTTCTACGGAGTAAGAGTAGTTTGCGTAGTCGAGTCTAAGGTGATAGTACAAAGACAGGCTTCTTCTACAACTGCTATAGTGTTCTAGTTCTAGGCCGTATAGCTCCTGCCGAGTCGCTATCGCTTGGTCGCTGCTCGCTGAGGATCCAGTATCCGAGATGGAAAATCTCCTTCCCTGTAGTTCGTTGTAGCGGTTCATCGATTTTTCAGAGGCAAAGTTGAGCCGCATGGTAATTGTGCAAGAAATGCATGCTCAACAACATGAACGGTTCCTCGTGCCGGAAGATGCACAAGCATCGTCACGCGCCGGAGAAGGACGTCTTCAAATTTATTTTTGTCCAAAAGCAACTAAGTTAGTATATGATCGACCTCATCGCAAATATCAAGTTGAGTCGCATCAAACCAGGCGCGTGAATACAAAAGGCAACTCAACAACACCGGCTGATCGAAAAAGATTCTTCATCAAAAGCATTTCCAGAGTGCTTTCTAGCATTGATCTTGAAGAGCAACGCCGCTGCACGCAACAAGATCTGCAACATACATAATTTCTGCGATTTTCAAAAACGATCTTGAAAAGCCACAGGTCAGCATCAAACTTGTGACAAGGACAAAACTTTTTCAAAAACATCTACGCACGAAATTTCTCAAAAGCTGTAGCGGTACCGGTAGCGGGAAGGGGAGCTTCAGCTTCATACTCATAATCTCGCTCTTTTATTTTGGCCATCGGAATTAGTATCATGATCATGAGTAATACGCACAACTGCAGATCTATCTCTTACAAGTCTTGTCATGAGCGACGTGCAATAAGCACTATCTCTAGCTGAATCACTATAGACACATTCTGCCCAGCATACATCGTCGCTCATTGCGAAACTAACAACAGACCAGCAGCAGAAACAAACATGCTACAAGGATCAGGCTTGCGAGCAGTCCAAGCGCAATTAAGACGCAAGAACACAAGCCACCAAGCCTATCAGCCACAAGTTAGTAAGCCCCCGGATGAAGGCGGGAGACCTATGACCGCCTGGCCCTACGGTCCGTCGGGGTCGGGCAAATAGAAAGACGGCGACAGGATATATACTCACTGCAGGGGCGAAGTAAGTATGTATTCCGGCCCATCCGCAAAATGGCGCTGCGGCAGACCGGCGCCCAGCCGGGCCGGCGAACACCGCGAGCAACCGCGCGCGGGCGCGACGTCGCGCCACATGCGCGCTACCGCCACACACAATAGGAGGGCATCAAACCTCTGTCGCTACTACGTACGAGCCCGCCGGGCCGGCGGGCGCGCAACTACAAGGCGCCACGGGGCGACCCAGGGTCGCGCTGGCGCTGCAGTGCCAGCGCGCGGGGGAAAAGGGCGCCACAGTTAGTAAGCGAAGCAAGCAACCAAACAAAGGCCGGCCCGGGGGGGGCGAACTGGCACCAAGGGCCGGCGGGGCATACACTAGCAACGCGGGAGGGGCCACCGCGCGCAAGCTGCCCCCCTGGGCCTGCGGCCGCGCCGGCCGCCCGAGGCTTGGGGGGCCCGCAGGGGCCTCAGCAAAGAAATAAATTTCCAGGCGGCCGGCCTGGTGGTCTTGGACCTGGTTGCGGCGCAATTAGGTCCATAACTGCGCGGGGGCGCTGGCCCATCGCCTTTGGGCGTTTTGCGCCCCCCTCCGCTACAGATTTGCGCAGGTGCGCCGGAAGCCCCACAGTGCCAGGCTGTTCGCCCAACAGCGGGCGCCGGCGAAGGGCCACGCAACCAGGAGCACAAAAATCCGCCGCGCGCCGGAGATGGAGCGGGCGCCTCTACGTACCTCCGGGAAACAGCCCAGATTTTCTCTAGGGCGGTCGCACCCAGTCCCTCCTTCCCCTCGTTTCAAATGCGGATGCAACAGTCCAAAAACTCGGGGCAGTTCTCGGGCCTCGGGCGAAACACGACGGCCGCACCGCCCTGCGCCCACCGCGGGCATACTGGACCCGCCGGCCGACGCCGCAAATTGCCGGCCCCGGCCCCTTTTAGGGGCGAGGGGGCGGGCGGAGGGGAAACCAGCGCCGGGCCTGTGCCGGGTGACCCGCACGCCTTGGGGCCAAGCAAACAATCCATCAGCGCGCGGCGCCGGCCGCTCCGAAATGGCCACGAGCGCCAAGACTTTGCGGCATGACAGACCGAGCCGCGCCGCGCGCCGCTTCGCATCAAAAAGCGCGCCCCGTGTAGCCGCGCGACATGCGCCCTGATGCCACAGCCGCGGCATTTATTTACATAGTCACTAGCGCAACTGAATCGCGATAGCAAACAAGGCAGCATGCACATTTGGTCGCTGTCGTCCGCCCGTCTGAATTTCCAAAACAGTAACACTTCCAGCAGGGTTGTCCTCGGGATCGTTCACCGTAATGCAGGAGTGCCCGCGCCATGCGCGGAAGGCCCGCCGGGCGCGCTTCTGGGTAGACCGCCCGGATTTTCTCCATGAAGGTCGCCGGCATGCCTTCTTTCATTCCCCTCGTTCTGCAAACTCCAGTAGGGCTTCAGCAGTTCGGGGCATTTCTCGGCAGTTTGGTGGAAGCAAAACGACGCGCGGCGGCGGCCGCTGAGAAAGCAGGGCCACAGGTGCCCAAGCTTTGCGGCATGGCAGACCCAGCGGCGCCACGGCGCCGCGCGGGCGTCGCGCGCCGTTTCGCATCAAAAACCGCAACAGCATGCGCCCCGACACTACAGCAGGCGGAGCGACATTTATTCACACAACTTCAATTGCGCACAGAAAAACGAGAACGCATCTCGTTCACGAGCACCACGAACACAAACACCATCTAGACGGCACGCAGAAGCGACGTCAAGCCGAAGCCATACAAAACAGCCCCGCACGCACATTTTCTGCTGTGGGCTCAGCAGATGAAAATGAATCAGGACTAACAAACGTCTATCTTACTCTTACTTTAGCCCTACTATGATCAACATCCAAGCCCAGCTCCAGCTGCAGTATATGATACAGAAAGCAATTTCTCCTCCACTCAAAACCTGTAAAAGGCATTGGAGCATCACTGGCGCTTGACCATGTCCTCGTGTATTTCAGCTGGCTTGCCCCGCCTCACCTACCACCCTACCTCATCCAGCACCGAGTTGAAATCGCACGGGTTGTCACTCGGCTCCGGCATCTCCCCGTCGCTCTGGGTCAGGCCGTTCGGTAACAAGTCCCGCATCGCCTCGTCGGGATCGTCCTGCCCGTCGAGGAAGTAATTCTTCAAATCATCCTGCTCCTGCTGCAGATTCGGGAGGTTCAGCTGTGCTTGTTGCTGTCTTGTGTGAGATGTTCCAGCAGCACCGTTCGGTGCCAAAAAGTGTCCGTGCGGCTGTTGCTGCTGGAGCATTACAGGCGGCTGCTGCGGCAATGCTGAGATGAATTGCTGCGGGGGAAGAAAGGGATTGAACTGCGGAATCTGTTGCTGCTGCTGCCCTACTTGCTGTAGTCCTCCTCCTGCAAGCCCACCTCCGACGCCTGTGTTTTGGAAATTTGGAACCGACAAATTTGGTGCATTGTGAAATTGGAATGGGGCTCCGCATGAACCCGGCGGAAGGAAGGATCCTGGCCCTGCAGGTTGCATCGCCTGATTGAATGGGAACTGGTTGAGTCGTTGCTGTAGCTGTGCTGGTTGTGGTTGCCCTTCTCCTGCATGAGCATGAGTTGGCTGGTGCTGCTGCTGCTGCTGCTGCAAGCTGGTTGCCAAATTTGGTGGCTGGTCGTTGAGTGGCGGAGCAACCGGTGGCTGCTGCTGCTGCTGCTGCTGCTGCACGACTTGGCTCTGGCCTGCCACGCCTCGAAATCCTTGCTGTAGAAGTTGTGATTGTGATTGCTGCGGCGCAACAGAAAAACCGCCTTCTTGTTGCGACTGCTGAATCACAGATTGTTGTAGTTGTGAATGTTGCTGTTGCATCCCGATTGTCCCAGCCCCATCAACGTGCTGCTGTTGCTGCTGCGAGCCCGAAAAGCCTCCTTCCCCAACCACCGGCGACTCAAAACCAAACGGATCGCCCCCCTCCGGCGCACTTTGCGGAAAGAGCTTGGTCTGATCAGTTCGCGCAGTGCCGGGCATCAAGTTGTCCTGCTGCTGGCTATTATCGACGCCCATGTCGACGTCGATATCACGATTATGAACTTGGTCATAATGATCGGCGTAGGAATCAAAAAGCTCGGAAACGCTGATCCGTCGCTCGGAGAAAGAGGGATTTTTGTTCATCTGTCTCACACCACTTGAAGAATCTCCAGGACCACCTGGATTCTGATGCTCCACTTTGATCATCTTTTCCGGAGGGCCGCGCGAGATAGCATTCTCATTTGCCGCACTTCCACCTGCAGCAGGAACTACGTTGGAAGCAGCAGCTGCAGCAGCAGCCCCACCTGCCCCTGCGCCAAACGACGTGGTGTCCAAGCCGGCTCCACCTGGAGCCGAAAAAGAAACTTGCTCCTGCTGTTGCTGCATCATCCCACCAGGCATTGCAGGAGGAAAGTAGCCGGCAGAGCCTTGTTGCTGAAATTGTGAAAATTGTCCCTGTTGAACCCCCTGGACCCCCGCCGAATTCGCGTTGAAGCTTGTTCCTGCTCCCGGAAAGCCGGCGAAAATATCCACATTCGCATTCGGGTTCGCTGCGGAGGAAGAAGAACTGCCGCCTGCCTGCATTGACCCGCCAGCTGCACCAGGAGCCACATTGTTGCTGTTATTTCTGGACAGGGGCCTTTTGTTATTCTTGCTCGCTTGCCTACTCGCGCTGCCGAACTGAAACGGCTTCCCCGCTCCCGCACGGGCGGGCGAGGGTTGCGGATTGTTGAAGTTTTGCTGTTGTTGCAACTGCTGTTCATGCTGATGTGGTTGTTCTTGCTTTATCATCGCATGATGCATTCCAAGCCCCGACTGCATCGCCAGTTGCTGTTGTTGCACCAATTTTTCTTTCTCGAGAAAAACTAGCAGCTCTTTGCAGCTCGTCCAGTTCGCGTCGCACATACCCGGAAAGTGGCTCGTGGTTTGAAAAAGACTCAACTTGAAGAACTCATCATGTCCACAGGTCGCCACCTCCACAATTTGCCCAGGGTGACAGAACCTCAGCTCGACAGCATCGCGCAGCGGTGCGGAGGACGGATTCGGAGCGTTTTGGGACTTAAAAGAATTATGTGACGCCCCCTGATCTTGTGGTCCACCTCCTTCTTCGTAGTTTATGCTTGTACCAGTACCACCGTCGGCCGCAGAGGCCCCGCCCAACAGCCCTTGTTCCTGGCGTAGTTTCTCCGCGTGGCTCGGAGATCTGTGGACCTGGAACTCCAAAAACAAGAATTTGATGAACTCCTGCATATGCATTGCAAAAGTACTGTACCGTAGCCGTACTAGTATAAATCGCATGACAAATTTCCTCAGCGTGTAATGCTGATTTGACTTGGCAAAAAAATTTGTGATGCATGAAAGCGATTACTACGATTGCGCTACTTTTGCGCAGGATACTGCAGAGCTTTCGGCGACAAGACTAAGTCGTGCTTCCCAGGTTCAAAGAAGGCGATTTGGTTTTCGTTTTCGTTTTGTTGTTCCTGCTGTTGTTGGGATTGATTCTGATTCTGACTCAACAATAAACCTCGTCCTTGGCCCTGCTGTAGTTGCCCTCCTTCTTGCGGAGGTCGTACACCGTTCTTTGCCAAACTTGCCTTTGCTGCGATAAACCTCCCCCGGTTCAATATTGTCGCATCCACGAATTCCGTCGGGTCGAGCGCAATTTCCTTGCGACTGTGCTGCCCTTTTGACGAAGAAGGATCTGGCAATTGGTCTTCGTTTCCATCTTGATCCATAGGATCACGATCAACGACGTTCTGGTTTTGGTTTTGTACTCCATTACTAGTGCCCTCATTCATCGTAAAATCGAAACTGGGGTCGTTCGGCTGCAAAGAATTGTCCTGCGCCGCCGCCGCCCCAGCCGCAGCGGCCATAATTCCCGGCGTCCAATTTCGGAAGACAATCTTTTGCTTTTTTGTGTCGGGACAAATCGCAATGTCCGGGAAATCACTGCCCTGATGTCCTCTCACGTGGTCTGGAATCAGACCGAAGAGCACGTTTTGCAGCACGTGGACCCGGCAGCTCAACCTGAACCGGTTATCGATCAATTCCTCCGTGTCCCCGATTTGAACTCTCGTCTTGCACTCGTCGAGGGCCAATTCCCACTCTTGGTTAGCCATGACCGTCAGGGGTTCTAACAGTTCGCAGCCTCGCGTGAACAGTGGCGCCTCACACGGGGTGGAAGAAAAGTTTTCGGTAAGTGCGGCTGCGGAGTGAAAAAAAGACGCCGAGGAGGAAGAGGAAGCTGAGGAGGAACCGCTGATGTTAAGGTTGACGGGATTCAAATGCAGACTCACGTCACTGTTCGCATTGTTCTGCTCGTTCATCTGGTCTCCTCCTCCTCCTTCTCCCCCCGCACCGCCACCAAGACCTGACACTGTGCCACCCCCAGCACCACCCTCCGTAGATCCTTGTTGTCCTTCCAAAAACTCCCCATCATTTCCCTCCACTTCCATTTGCAAAAAATCGTCCGCCGCGTGACATTTCCAGGTGAACTGGCACCTGGACTCTTCAAATCTGATCGCTAAATCTGCTCCCTGCCGAATTTTGTAGGCTGTGCCGAGGAGAAACTGAATCAACGGTTTGAGCCGCATCTTGCACTCGTAGGGCTTGTTATTCAGCGGGATCATGTTTGTTGCATTTCCATCAGAGGTATCAGCATTGAAAAACTGCTGCTGCTGCCCAGGTAAATTGCTCATGATGTTGCTGTTCATCATTCCGTGCTGGTGTCCGGAAGATGAACTGGAGGAACTATTGTTGTTCCCCAGGAGCCCTATCCCGCCAAATGCACCTCCTATTGAGTTCGCTGCATTGGCCGCAAAATGGTTCACATCGGCGAAAAGCGTGGGATCGGTGACGGTGACCTCCTCCTGAAAAAAACCGCTTTTGAAGTACATCTTCAGCACGTTCGACTGGCTCGCCTGGTTGCAACACAGCATCGCCAAGGACCTCTCGACCGGGTGAATTTGGAACATAACATCTTCCGCGAGTTTGTTCATCAAGACCGCGGCCTTGGAAAACACCTTCGCGTTCGCCTTCTCGATTACAAACTCCATTTTGGTCGACGTGCTGCGGTTCTTGTATCTATGTGTTTCTCACAACTCGTGGATCATGGTGCACGAGGCCGACGAGAAGTAGAGGCTAGCAGTACGTGGCTGCTTGTCGTCTGATGTGCGAAAAGTGAGATAGTGGTGTGATGGTCGTGTCGGCGACATGTTAATGAGCTGGAGACCGGTCGCCCGGCGGTTCTAGTTCTAGTATGTTCATTTTGATAAACGATAATATTCCATATTCTCTCGTATTTGGCTGAGTTATATAGTGGCGAGGACGATCGGCATGCTACTTGTACCACCGGACATCGGCTGCGACAACAAGCCTATTGCATCAAAGGCCCCAAACATGGACTACAAACGTGAGGAAGTGGTCGCAAAGTAGTTACATCTACATGAAATATCCACATCGCGCCAGGGGTCACAAAAGACATGAAAATGTCGAGCTCGAGCATCAATACAATAGCAATAGATCCAAGAGTGTGACGCGTTGGTGTTGCTGGTCCCTACTCACTACACGACAAAAAGAAAAGGCAACGCCATCACGTTCACGACCGCTGAGCAGGAAAATACAAATACTTGGGCATGAATTAATCGCGCCTACTCAAAAACAGGATCATGATAAAGAAGAACTTGTTCATCTAGGATCTTGCTTTAGCAGATTCAACGCAACATGTTCATCACGTTGCTGTCCCGCCTCTGGATCATCATACAGCTTCGGGCCTTCTTGTGAACGAACATCGCAAGATCCGCTGTGCCTCCGTCACACAACAAGGAAGGGCATGCGCCTTTTTCGACAAAATCAACTCAAATCCATTGCGATAGGTAGAGAGCCGCGCAAGCCTCCGGGCGGGGCCGCTGGCAGGCCGCCTGAGCGGCACGCATTTATTTTCCGAGGGAAAGTGGGCACGGTGCGTACTACACTTTGCACACGAACCTGCGCCATTCCGTCCGAGGGAGCGCACATCAGACCCCTACTTACACAATGAAGGAATGTCCTAGCGTGGGGCCGACGGTCGATGCTGCCCCCCCCCCGCCAACAAGCCAGCAACGAGCGCGCAATCGCACACCAATCTATCACACACCGGCCGCCCGGAAGGAAAATAGCTAGGGCGCCAATGGGTCGGCGCGCGGGTGCCACGGATGCGTGCCTGCGCTGCGAGCGTGGGCGCGCGCGGCACATACCCCCGGCGGGAAAGAAAACACGCGGGGCCAGGGAGCCATCCAAAATAAAACGGGCCGGGGCCCACCGACCACGGACCAAAAGGGGCCCGGCCCCGCCCCAAACTAAAGGCGCGCGCGAGGTGCGGGAGGGCGGGCCCCAGCCCCAGGGCCGGGGAAACCTCTCGCGCACCTGCCTGGGCAAGGTAGGAAGGCAAAGGCCAGCCGACGGGCCCAGGCCGGGGCGCAGAGAGAAAGGGAAGCAGGGAGGCACAAGGGGGGCGAGGCGTTGGCTCATTGCGTTCGTGTTTGCACGTCGGCCGTGATGATCCGTGGCCCACAGATGCACGCTCTTGGAATACATAGATGCGCGGCCCCGGCGCCCCCCCGGGCCTCCCGCACATGATACGCCCTCGAAGGGCGCGGCGGCGAAGCCGGTCGCCTCAAGCTCCGCCCGGGCGCCGGATGCGTGCCGCGGGCGCGCGCGTGGCCCGGCGCGGCCGCGGGAGGTCACCAGATAGCGCCCCGGCCCAGGGAAAAAGAAAACCGCGCCGCCGGCTTCTTTGCCACCGCACCCCCCCGCGAAGGAAGCCTCGCGACCTTCTTCTTCGCGGCGCCCCACTACCACACCGCGCCACGCTGCGTGGCCACCTGCTTGGGTCAGTAAATCAAGCACAACCAACCAACCCCGGGGGCAATTTCTTCCCCGGCGCGGCCACATGCTGGCCCACTGTCCGGGCCCAATTAGCGCCCCGCGTGTCCCACACATATCCGCCCGGATTGTCCCGCGCTTTCTCAGGTGGGACGCGCGTAAGTCGGCCGCCCAGCGTCGGGGTCGGGCGGCCCGTGCCTCCGCCCCCAGCCGAGCCCAGGAGGTGCGCGGCTACGCAAACGAGTTGCGCCCACATCTAAAGCAAAAAAACACGCAAAATTATGCTTCGTCTCCTTTTCGAAACCTAACAGCAGGCATCAGATCACTCATTCTTGCTTTGCGAACACCTGAAGCTACTTTCATTTCTCCTTCGAGCCAAATACTGCGGACAGTTCCGCTCGTTTAGAGTCGTATCGAAACTTTTCCACTTTGCTCTATTCGTGTCCCTATCTTCTATAATCATGAGAGCCGCTTACTTATTTCTACCACCTTCAAAGCATCCGACGACAGCAAGACTTGTGCCCAACGGGTCAACAAAGTCGGGCTTATCACAACTTTGCAAACTTTGCTCAAGCAGCACCTATGCCATCCTTTTCGACGACCAATTCTGTTTCCTCGTCTTTCGGAAAGTGTACAATCAGCAGTTCTGGATTCACGATGTCCACGCTCGGTGCCAGTTTCCTAAAGAACTCCAAATGAAAGTCATCACACAAAACACTTTTCTTCTTCGCCTTGGAAGATGTAGACCCGCCGCTGCTGTTTGTTCGTGTTTGTTCACTTAATATCTGCGAGGACGGCGGCGATGAAGCTGCCGGCGTCGCTGGTGACACGACCCGCAATTTGTTCCCCGTTGACAGGTACTTCAAGAAAAAGATCGGATCCACCGGCTGCTCGAAGATGTGAGTCCGCAGCGCCAGTCCGTACCGTTGCGTGCGGTGTTGCACCTCCTGGTCGTCCAGGGTCACGGGCGACTGCGCCAGGTCGATCAACTTCGCTTGGGCTTTGTACAAGACCCCGTTCGGCGCGGACCAGGGATCGTCCCAATCGGAAAGGACGATCGGTGTATTTTGTCCAAGAATCTTCAACGGCGGTTTCTTGGCCCCCGTCGATTCAGTTTGATGTGGTCCTCTTGCACGACCGTGCACATCAGGATGATGTCGAAGATGTTCATCCTGTTCGCCAGCATGATCGTCGTGTGCTGAGCCGTCGGCTTCGTTCTCCTTTTCTCGTCCATCACCCCGACTGACGCTCCCTTTATTTCTCCTCCCCTCCTCTTCGTCCTGCGCACGAACTACATCACCCATCGCACTTCGCCTCCGCTCCCGCCCCGCTTCCGTTTTGTCAAAAACCTCCGGCGCGTGGGGACACTGCAGAAAATTCGCCAGACACTTCGTCTTGCAGTCAGGCTCGAGAAGTAGCACTCCGTTCAAGTACAGTTGCAGTTCCAGCTGCCTCTTCTTCAAAAATTGCGGGTCTTTGTTGCCGATGTTGAAGAGCCTCCGACTCGGGAACAAATTACCCGGGTAGTTGTCGTTGCTGTTTGGGTACTTCACCTTCATGTGCTCGTGGAGCGTTCGGAATTCCCGGAATCTCCGGTAGACGAAGTGCTGCTTCGCGGTCGACAGGTCAGTGACTTTGATTTTGTACACCGTGTGTGCTGTGTCTTTATTTCTGGTGCTAGAAGAAGAGCCTGGTGCGCTGCTTGAAGCACTTCTACCAGCAGTCTGGAGGGGGGCCAGGAAGGATTTACCAATACACCTTCTGGGTTCGGGAAGATCCTCGGGTGGTGGTGGAGAGTTTGGCCGGCCTTCAGGAGCATCGTTAAGGCTGTTCGCATTCGCTGCTGCTGCTCCTGAGGACGTCGTCGTCGTCCCCGGCTCGTCCTCAGTACCGTCTTGTGTCTTCCCCTCAAAATCAACCTCATCCGCTCGGCAGTGGCCGACAATCTGAGCAACGAACTCGACCGCTGGTAAAGTTGCGGAGGTGCGGTAATTGATATTTGACGAGGACGAGGCCATTGTGATCGAGTTGCAACAGAATTTCAACGCAAAATTTCAACGCTTTGCAATCAAAATTCCAAAAGTGGAAATGCGCAACCAGGGTAACAAGAATGAAAGATTCAAAAAAAGGCGAACCAACACAGCAAAATGGCAAAACATGTAAACATAGAAGGAGGGCTGAGGCTAAGGGGATGGGTCTTCAAAAAGTTTACAACTGAGGGCTGCTGTTCGGCGTAGCAATCACCTTTGGACGGTATAAGATCATAGACGAAAAATAAAAGATCATGGTAAGAACGGTCGGAGAAGATGAAACTGCAAGGCAGGTGATGTAAACAGGATCCTTTGATGACAAAGCTCGTTCGGGATCTGAAAAGTTTCGCTCAGAAATGCAATGCTGTAGTTGCTCCGGCACGGCCACTCTAAGAAGCTACACATTACATTCGCTGTTTTTATCTTTTTGAAGATCTATGCTCTCTCATATTAGTCTCGTACCATACGTCGAAAAAATGCACGTGCTGCGAAAAAAGAGCTGCCCGGAGGTCCGCCGTCTGAAAACTGACAGTCCCATCGGATGCTGTTCTGCAGCTTCTCGCGTCTTGTAGCTTTCTTGTGGAAAGAAGATAAAAGTGATACAGCTGGCGCGCATAGGTCAAAACAGAGTCTGAGACCGTTTCAGAGTGAGACTGTTGATTTTTTTGATAAGTACATGTATAACAACTAGTTGTAGTAGCGTGGCGGCTTTAAAAATATTCCGATTATAGAATCAATCTCCACCTACTCCTTTCGTGTTAATCGCATTGTTCACCTCGTCCTAAGCTGTGAGAAATACAGCGCTGCAGTTTTCTCACTTTCTACTCCTCTTCATTTCTTACTATACCGTACTAACCACTTTCTTGCGTTTCGCTACCTAGTTAGGTGTACTTAGCGGCTTTCTTGTCGTCTCTGATTATTTCAATGCCATAACCGAGACGCGGTCGCGGACGCATCATTTGATGCATCAGTTTGCTGGTGCACCCTTATTACCACCTCAGTTTTTTCTTATGGCCGCTACAGAGCCATAGAAGTACAACAACTGCTAATCAGAAATGCACAGGCGGGGTAGAGAAACCATATCTAGTTGCGCGGTCGTAAAGCTACAGATGATTCTAGAATTTGCAAGACAAAAAAACTTTCGTCTGACAAAACTAAACTGTAAGCTTTGCCTCTTGTTCAATTAGAAAGGATCATGTCTACGCAGTTTGCTTCCTCTGTTGAAAAAGCAATCTTCTATACCAAAATTAACTCCTGTCAAAAATTGCAGTAGAGAACGCAAACCAGCCATGGATGCACAACAGATTAGATTGTTTTATTTATGCTACTAGCCGCCGTAAAAAGGTCGTAGTGCAGAGTAAAATCTGGGGAAAAAAACCAGCTCTACTTTTCTGACCGTTCCTTTTCTCGGCGATAGCAGGCGAGGTAGTTGTAAATGGAAATAAACGTGTTTCGCGGCGGGGTGACAGTAGTTGAAAAGAAGGAACAATACCACCACTTGGGCAAAACCCAGTGTTGGGGAAAAAAGATGAAAAAATCGGAAAAGAAAACAGCTTTGTGGCAGCGAATAGTTTCGATGGGCCCGTGCGCGACCCGCCGCTGCGACCGTAGTGATCACAGCGCGATTGGGGGCCATGGTCATGGTGAATAGCAAAGTATTCAGCAAATCGGACTTTCAACTTTAGTACGAGTGAGGGCGCGCGGGGTAGTACTAGTACAACATAAAGACACTCATCTAGGTGAGTAGGTCTAGTGTCGCTGTTCAGAATGTAGGTACATTAACAAAGCCTCTTGTCGCAGTAGTGCTCCAGACCAATATTTCAGAGTTCGTGTACAGTCGAAGGGTTGTAGGAGAGCCTACAATTTTTAGACTCTCCTGTAGGACATTATGAATTGAGTAGGTCGATATTCTGAGCTAGTAGATCTGCCCCCGCGCCGCATGATGGCTGCGAAGCAGGTACGCCCAACTACCACTACAGGAGCTCGACCATAAAAAACCTGATAAACTACTTTATTCAATGCCGACAAGATAGGGTATCGTGTTTTCTTTTTTAGGGTTAGATTATAGAGATACCGATAGTACGTGTTTGAGTTTATTTTCAAAACATCCGATACAATAACGACGAAGATTCATACCCAGCACCGGCACTAAGCATATTGTTCATTTGTGTGCTAAATCCAGGAAGGAGCAGGGACTGCAAAAGAAACCCACGCAGCTCGATGATAAGTCTGGCGATCATCGGCAACGGCAGCGGCTGCTGGTGTTCGTGTGGGAGTAAAGGGAGATAACCTATATTTACTTCTACTAAGATATACTGCAGCCCATCTCTGCTCCCTCGAAGTCAGCCTCTTGTTCTTCAGTGTCGTAATTTACTAACTTTGGCACGGTGACTTCTGCAGCATTTCTTCTACTACTTTCGCACATACTAACCGCGAACATGGCGATACTGACTTCTCTCGAAAATCAACATTGATTGTCCTGCTACCGATATCTTCGGATACCGTGTTCGCTCTACTATTAATGTACACACGACTCGCAACACGGTCAGACTCGGCATTTTTTCCAAACGACCTGGCATCGTGGTGCGCGGTAGTTTGGTTGTGATTTATTGTTTTGTTCCACGTCTTACTCGTTCCAAATGACATTTTTCGCCTGCGGCTGTCCCTTTGGGTTAAGTGTCGCTTGGAAATCACACGTAATGCCGGTCCGTGGATCGCCGTCGCCAGGCATCTCGGATTTGTGCACGTACCTGTAGTTTCACAGCGATTTTATCGTTCGACGACGCAACACCTACCACTCTGCTGGACGGCGCAGCTGGTGCACACGAGTACTTTCATACTACTTGTATGCGGCAAAAGTCTCGAATCAGTCGAAAGTTCAAGATCTGCTTCACCACCTCCAGGTGGCTCAAAGAATGTAAGTGAAAAATCAATTGATTCTCTCCGCTGAAGAAACAAAAAAAAATTCAATACACGTCCCGCTTGTAGAGGTCCCATAGCTGTTGGCAGTGAATGAAGCCATATCCGCTATTCTGGCTGAACGACTTTAGGGACCCGTGGTACACTTTATTTTCCGGATTTTCTTCCCCGCCTTTGCCCGAAGATGATCCGTTTGCTGCGCCTTGCTTCGGAGCTGTGATTTTTCATTTTTGAACTTTTGTCCTCGTCTTGCCGAAGTTCTGCTTTTGTCTGGATTACGTTTACGATTAGCAGTCGTCATTAATATAATAATCTTCATGCACATTTATTACTTACTGCCTGCATGTACTACTACTACAAGTCGTCATGCAAAACTTACAGAACTGAATGAATCATGCCTCCTAAAATCATACCGTCTTTGTTTTCGCTCGATGTAGTTGCCCCTGGTGTCTTCGCGCCACTCTTGCCACCACTGGCTTTCGCTGTTTTTAGAGATTGTTGATAATGCTCGTCATGAACAGCATATAACAAATGCGTTGATGTAGTGCTGCAAATATTGGTATCTATTGGAGAGCGACTTGGTTTTGACAGGTTGGGCAAGGTCGAGCGAAGCTCACAGATTGATGAAATAAAGTCAAATTATACGACTTGTTCCGCCTTTGGACTTCCCGCCGGGTGAGGAACTGTCTTTTCCAGCTGCGCCTTCCATCTGGCTCGGATCAATTCGACCTGATGTTTTGTGTTTTTTTCTGTTACGCTTTTGTCCGTCTGCTACGCATGAAAGAGTCGATGCGCTACCGCTCTTGCAAAAATGCATCACAAATAGAAATCTGTTCATCTTTTTCTACTTTTTCGTGATGCAATTTCCATTTTGCCACGCAAACGAATCGGGTACCTGGCAGCCAGACCACATTCCGCGCCTGGGGTTGGCCTCTCTCGTTGGTTTTTACGACAAACTCTACCCACTGCCCAACTTCCGGCTCGCCGTCCTTTTTTTCCTCGACTTGGGCCCTGGGATTTCCAAGTGTTAGTGCTTTACCCTTGGGGACCCTATACACATAACAAAGTTCTTGGACGAGTAGTTCTTCCGAGTCAACATGTAGTTTTTACCAGGCAACCTTATCAAATCGAAATCTTGCAACTCATGCAGCATCGGAAAATGAAAATCAATTCAAACTCAATACTTGTGGATAAAGACGTCCTGGTTGTGGATTTTGTGAGTTTCCAGGCAGTAGATAAAACCGTAACCCTATCCAGGAAAAAAAGTGTGTAAGTGTAACTTTCTTTGAGGAACAGCATCACAAATTTGCTCTACATGACAGAGAAAACCTGTCATGCGTGGTTTGTAAGGGAAAACACACATGAAAAGAGGACTTCGTGGCTGTCTGGCATGACAGGTGTAACTCTGTTGGATCTTCTGCAACACAAATTTACACTTACACAGTTTTTTTCTTGCATAAACCCTGCGCCTTGTTGTAACTCTTCAGGTAGCCCATGTATATCCTGTGCAAAAGTATCGCACTCGTATTGCAGTCATGCATTACAAATCATCTTGTTAAGGCAAATCAGCATTACAAATTTTATTTCTCATGCTGAGAAAATTTGTAATGCATTTATACGAGTACGATACTTTTGCAATGCATAATGTATTTTGGGATCCAATTGTTGGAAGCGTCGTAAAACCTGATATTCATATTGATGAGCGATGTAGTACATTTATGGAACTAAAACTATACGATCCTAATATCGGATATCTGGTGCTGTTCGCCAGCTCAATATAATTCCGCATGCCAAATGCAAGAAAAAGAATGTGAAACTGTTGAAATGTTGATATTGTGTTTAGGCATAGAACAAACCCTTCACTGTACCCTGGCAATTTCGAGTCCAGCGGGCTCCCCCCAGCTCCGGGCAGGGGTGGCAGTGGCGGTCCCTTCAACATGCCTGGTGCCATGAACTGAGCCTGCAGATGGTTTGGCGGCGGAATGGCGGGTGGCTGCAACGCGAGCGAATTCAGGGCGTTCGCCGGGTTATTCGCCGTGCCCAAAACGGTCGCTATCGGGGCGGATGCCGAGGTGCTTGGGGTTGGCGTGTGGTGACTGGGTGTCGTGCCTGGCGGTGGTGGCGCGCCGTAGTTGCCTGGGTAGGCGGAGTGACTGCTCTGCTGCATGTGCGCCGGCATAGCGGGTGGTGGTGGGGCCCCGCTGTTGCTGTAGCCCGGCGCGGCACCTCCACCGAAAGATGAACTACCTCCGTTGAGGTGGTGGGAGGAGGATCCGGGGGGCCCTGGCGGGTAGCCTGCAGGGGCTGTTGGGTTCGGCGGCGCGCTGTAGTGACCGGTGTACTGGCTGTAGGCGGCGGAGTACCCACTGTCCGTTGGCGACGGGTGGTGTGAGGAGCTTCCTACAGAATTGGTATGCGCATAACCGCCGTCGCTGTAACCGCCATCGGGGCCGTAACTCTGGGTGTAATTCGGCGCGCCGGATGTAGTTGCGCCGTAAGTAGAACCTCCACCGTAAGAGCCCGCGGCAGCGCTGTAGCCGGGAGCAGGGCCAGCAGGTGGAGCTCCGCCTTTTGAGGACGACGACTTCATGCCGCCACCCTTCACTGCGCCAGCGCTTTTTGGCGAATAGCCGTCCTTTCCACCGCCCTGGGCGGGGGCAGGAGCTCCCCACTTCCCACCTGATGGTGCAGCGGCAGCAGCTCCGGGGTAGGAGGTAGATGTTGCGCCCTGACTGTAGCCGCCGTAACCTGGTGCGGAATTTCCGTAGCCGGGAGCGGAGTTAGATGATGGGCCTAAGAAATAGTTTCAATTTGGTTTTGCTTGTAGTCAATAGAATAAGCATGCTCACAGTTGACTCTAATTATGACTCTATTCATTGACTCTAATCATGCAAAATCGAATGGACTGAAAGTTTAAGTTTCGTCATGTTGCAACACTCTCAACATTCATCTTGCTATAGTAACTCCTACCATTCTGCTGGTATCCGCCAGTGCTGTAGGAGTCGTAGCTGGGTCCCTTACCCCCTCCTTTGTCGCTGTAACCATAGGAATCGTTTCCGTAGCCATAGTTGCCACCACCGTAGCCGCCGCGGGCCTCACCCTCCGGTCGCATGTGGTGCATCATCTTCGTGAAGTAGATGCTAGGGTCGTTATACCGCAATTTTCGTTTGTTCTCACTGATCGCCGCGCAATAGAGTTGTATAGGAGGCGTAGGTAACTCAAAAATCGATCCGCAATTCTTGCGAAGAACCCAGTTTTGAAGATAATGTTAATGCGGTCGCCAGTTCTAAGGTTGCGGCGGTCCTACTCCTGATTTGATGTTTCTTTCCCGATCTTTTCAGTTTCCTCCCTATAAAACCGCTCGGCGTTGTTTGTTGTCGTGGGTTTCACTACTTACGTTTCGCCGGCTGTAAATTTCAAAAATTTTCGGAAAGATGTTTCTGTCGATCCACTGTTGCTGGCTGGTCGCGTTGTGGTTGTCCTTGAGAAAAGTCGTTGTCTTTCGCTTTCTTCTCCAAAAAGCTCCTTGCCGTCCCGCTAAATAAAACCACCCAGCAGCTCTTCGTATTCTTCCCGTGTGGATGGTCACTCCGCTAAAGCAGTTAGGGAAGTGAAATGACGCTTCACCGAGCTGGTTCAGAGACGGCTAAGAAATACAGCATGGTAGAACAAGCCTACTGGGGCCAGGAGACTTCTTGCTCAAAGACAGATGAATAGTTTGTCGCGTGCTGTGAGATGAAAAATCTGTTTCTGCGAATAATGTTCTGCACTAGTGCCCTAATATCCTCTTTAATTTTGTTCTCGTCGGGTGAAACAGCTATGATTCGGGTTATGCTTCCTTTGAAGATGAATGAAAACTAGCTTTTTTCCACAACTACAACATAGTGTTGTACCAAAATCACTATTCGAAAGAACAGCGCCCACCAAAAATCTTTAATTTTTCGTCCACATCAATCTATGTGTATTGTGAAATGCGCCTCACAATACAGCACATAAGTACTTGGTCTAACTACGAAATAACTTTGATTTCCACCAAATGACGTGCCTGTGATAGGTAATCACGTTCGCAACATGCAACATAGGGTTTTTTGAAGTGAGATTGAGATCCTTTTTCCGTTTTGGTTTTTATTTTAATTTTTCCGCGGAATCTATACAAGCGTGATGAATCCTCGCGTTGAACAAAGCCAAATACTAGGCATAAGTGCGACCTCATCATGCAGAAAATAGATCGCTCTCGTCTCAGAGTAGCAGCAATAGTACTGCGCTGAGTTTTTTTCTTGTTTTGTGTCTACCTAGGGTAGAACTGGAGCTTCTGCACTCTTTTTTTCCATTGCATTTTGTACCTCAGAAAGCTGTCTTGTTTCCACCAGAAAGGCGGTCAGAAGCCAGCAGCTCGCGCAGTTACTCGTGCGTACTAGGCGTACCGAGACTGGAATCCAAATACATGTTTGCATTTTAACACTAGCTCACACATCATCAGTGAAGATCTCCAAAGGTTTCACAGCCCAATTTGAATTAGTATACGGGTTAAAATTTCGTTAGTACTGTTTGGATCGTTAGATTTGTCTCTCAGGAGATGAACCTTGTTAAATCACAAGTAGCTCGCATCTTCGTATTAATCCTTTACTCTCACTAATTTTTGGTATACGGATTTTTATAAGACTTCTTAATTCGCACCAGTAGCTCGTACTGCTTTTATTCGTGTTTGAGAGCGATACTTGCAATTTTTTTTCGCAGGACGTACTTCTGCGCAACATCTTTTGTGATTTAGAGCGAAACTCTTTAGATTTAGAAACGGCTAACAGTAGTTTAGAGCGAAACAGAAACAAACTCGATGAACTTGATAAAATTGTAAAGAACGACTTGGCGTTATTGAAAAAAAAAATAGCAATGAATATTTTCGCAGCAACCAAGCTGGCTTTTACGTAACATCCGGCAGCGTGAGGCCGCTACTTCCTCCCCGTTTCATCCCAGCAGTATTACCACCAGTCACCCCACCGCCAGCTGTCCTAGGTCGCGACATGATCGGCTTGTTACCACCAGCTCCTCCTGTGCTGCTTTTCCATCCGCTGTGCGCCCAGAGTGAGCTCGGTGGGGGAGCGCCCATCCCGCGGAGTTTTTCCGGGGAGCTGGCGTCGTGGTCGTTTTCGATGTTGATTTTGTCCAAACCATCTCCCGGGTAGAACAACACTGGTCCTGCGGAATTCCTCTGCTTTGGTCCACCTAAATTCGCTGCTGACTGGCTGCCATTCATTGTCCCTCCTTTTTGCTCCATCGTTCTGAGTTCGTGCATTTTCTTTTCAAACAGAGAATTATCCTGATTGAAAACGTCCCCACACCAGACTCAATATGGGCAATCTGCTAGACAAATCAGCCAGCTTTGATTGTTTGGCATGACAAGTTTACCCTCGTAGTGTAACCCTGTTTAGCTAGTTCAGAAGCATCACAATCCAGCATAGCATGCTGATTCTAGCATCACAAATTCCAAAACACGAACAGAAACTGCCTCTCATGGGTCTCCGCATGAGAAACATTTTCAGCATGCAGATTTGCATCACAACTCTGGGGTGGGGACGTTTTTACAAATGATACGACTTCTCACTCATTTGTTCCGGAATCGCCTTGTAGTTCACACTGTCCCTTCTCACATGCCCGGCTATGAATTGCAAAAGTAACGTACTAGCATAAATTGCAATACAAATTGGCTCAGCATTACAAATTAAATTTGTAATGCGGATTTGCCATAGGAACGAGATTTGTAATGCATAAATGCAAAGAGTACGAGTACGATACTTTTGCACAGGATACCGGCGGAGGGGTTCCTGCTCAATTGCGGCGTGTAACCTCCTCCGTCTATCGCGCTGGACATCCCTATGCATTGCAAATAACGTATCGCACTCGTATTAATTGCAAATATGCATGACAATTTTGTTTTTCCTAGGGCGAAACCGCATTACAAATTCCACTTTCCTTCTTGCCAAAATTTAAATTTGTGATGCATTTTATACTAGTACGATAACGATATCTTTGCAATGCATAATCCCAGTACCCGTCCGATTCTTCGACGCGGCGCGACTTGACTGCCCGGAATTCGGTCCACTGGAGCCGGTGAACGGGAATTTTCCGGAGACGGAATTTTCGTTATCCAGCGTAAAAGTACGTATTGCACTGCAGCTCGCGCACGACAATATGCTCTGCTCTCTTTACCTGATTCTTTCTGCATGACAGAATTCATTTTTGCATCTGGAAATAAAATTTGTCATGCAATTCCGACTTCAGACGGTACTTTTGTATTGCATATTCCTGATCCAAGGCCCATCTCATCGACGTCCTTCTCCCGACTGCTCCGGTGGACGTCGCCGCGGAGTAAGGTCTACTCGGCGCGGCAGAGGAGAGATTTCCGCCCGCGGTGGAGGGTCGAGTTGATCCGCGGCTGCTGTCGCCGTGTTGACCATGACCACCAGGAACAGCAGCTCCGGAACTACCACCACCATAGGTCCCCGCAGCCCGGTATTTGCTCAAGTGGTCTCCGATGTTCCTGTTCGAAGCACTTGTTGTCAAATGCGGCATCCGCTGCCCCAGCAGGTTGAATTCGTACTCATCATTCGGATCTAATTCCGGCTCCCTCGCACCGTTCGGGTAGCTGAACTGTTGCAAGACCTGGGAAATCGGGGCGTTCAGCAAGTTGTCTTCCGACATGAGGCGGTTGTTTGCCGACGAAGAGGATGTTGCACCACCTCCACCACCGCTTGATGTTCCACCACTTCCATCCGTCGTCCCAGCCTGCGGTAGATGGACTTGCAAGGTTGCGTTTTGAAACACCCCATCTGGACCACCAGAAGTTCCGTTCATCCCTCCATGCCTCGTCGTCGGCGGAGAGGAAGACCCCCTCGTCATGGTGCTGTTGTGTCGGTCTCTTGGACTCCTACTCGCGGACGGCGGTCTGATCATGTCCGCCTTGTCCCAAATCAGCTCCTCACCGGTGTAAACCGGCCCGCCCCGCACCGGCGTTGTCCGCAACTGCGGGATCACGCCGAAGTTCGTGCCCTATCCAAGAAAAAAACATTGTAGGTGTAACTTTTTTGGAGGAACAGCATTACAAATCTGTCTGGCATGACAGCAAAAACCTGTCATGCGCAGATAGTACGTGAAAACGCCCTTTAATGGACCCTACCATGCATGCCAAGCATGACAGACGCAATCACTTTGCATGTTGCGCATCACAAATTTATACTAACAACGTTTTTTTCGTGGGATATGCCCGGGTCACCTTTTACTGTGTCTCCTCGCATCGTCGGAGAATGTATCGTACGAAAAAAGCGTTTCACTGTAAGGATTTTGCAAGTTTGGCATGACAAGTTCGTTACACATGACAGGGAAAACTTGCCATGCGAGGTTCCTAAGGGAAAACACAGCTAAAAATCGCCTGTCTTGCATGTGTAGCAAGACAAACACTTCTGAGATACAGTTTCTGCATTACAAGTTTACAGTGAAACAGTGTTTTCTTGCGATAGAATGCGCGGGCGGGCTACTCCCGCGGGGCGCGTAGCTCGTGATGCTCAACCCCGGGCGACCGGAGGAGCTTATGAACTGCAAAAATGTCTGGGTCTGGAAACTTGTAATGCTAAGAATGAATGATAGACGCACTGCAACAAGCAGCTATGCATGACAAATTTTTTGGCTGCCATGTCTTACGTATTCCGCATGGCAAACTGCGTTTTTGCATGACAGATACGAGGGCTTTTTCGTACCTATGCAACACAGATTCTCGAGTCATGCCAGACAAGCATGACAAACTTGCATTCTTCCAGACCCAGACATTTTTGCAATCCATAGAGCTGGGGCGGGACCGGCCTTCGGAGGAAAACTTCTGGGCGGTTTCTCGGAAGTCAAGGGGGCCGAAGTTCGCGACGCCAGGCATGAAGTTGTTGTGCACCGGGTAGCGATGGAGGTCGTCCACACTGTTTTTTGTGATAGTACAGTACAAATTTTGCACAAAATTATCATAGATTCTGAATCTATCAAATCAAAAAAGAGCTTTAGTGCACTAGATCGTATGACATACGATCTAGTGCACTAAATGCGTTTCTTCAAATCAAAATCCTCAAATAAATCGTAACAATACGTCAACGGCCTGTCCCGTTCACTCGTGAACGTCCCACTCGGCCCGGAAATCGGCCTCACTCGCGGTCCTATCGTCTCCGGTAGCTGAGTTGGCACACCCATCGGATACAGGGTGTCGAGCTGCTCGCGGGCACGCTTCAGAAGCTCGCCCTGATAGTTCTTTTCATATTCAGTAGAGTTTGAGTTTGCATATGCAAATTCATGCATGAATCGACGATCCGAGAAAAATTATTTGCCATGCACAGAATCTTCAAGCATGTCCTCGGCAAAACATCAACTTTTGAAGTATACGTCTGTCAGCGAGTTCCCCCATCGGTTGTGTTGCGAAATTTCTTTCTGCTCCTTCCTTAATTTCGCCAACTCGTCCGCCAGGTAGATTTGGTAGGCCGCCTGCTGCTCCGCTTTCTCCTGTTTTCGCTTCAAGTGCCCCATTATCAAATGCAAAAATGTCTGGGTCTGGGAGATTGCAAGACTTGTCATGCATATTTTGCATGATCCATAACGCCTGTAATGCATGGCCTAGCCTCACAGATTTTTAGAGCGCTTCCTCATGCCTATTCCGCATGACAAATGCCATCTCGGCGGAGCACAAAATCTACTCCCCTTGGTGGTCATGCAATGCAAATCTTTTTCGAATTCAGAGACAGCATCACAAGTTTAGAATCTTCCAGACCCAGACATTTTGACATTTGATACCCATGTCGTCCTCGTACTGGATCAAGTCGACCAGTTGCTCCTATCAAAAGAAAAAAGTTCGTCGCGATCACTCATCGGCATTTTTGCAATACAAAAAATGCCTGTCATGCGTAAAAATGCATCACAGCCAAACTTCATAAGGGATTTCCCTTGTGTTTCTGCAATACAAGGAAAAGTTGTGATGCTAAAAAAATTTGTAATGCAAAATTTCCAAGGCAGTGACTGTGACAAACTTTTTTCTTTCCATAGCTCTCGCTGCATCTTCATAAACGTTTGCCTCAGCACCTCCATCCTCGTCAGCCGGTCAATGGCATCGTGGTAGAGGCGGTCGAAGACATTTTCGTGTGTGTTCTTCACGACCCAATTCAGCTGCTCACCGAGCTTCTTGCGCATCGCAAGGGCTCCTTCTCGGGCTTTCTTCGGGTCGGCGAGCAGGGCTTCGATTTGCATCTGTTGTGGTGAGAAGGTGAGGAGTTCATTTGGAATTATTTGGCATTTGTGATGATCTGCGGAAGTCGAAATGTCAACACAATAGAAAATCCGCGAAATTTCAAAATTTTATTTTTATCGGAGCTGTGAACAGGAGAAAGACATGAGAGCTGTCAAAACACTCCATCTACGTGAAACGAAAGCCTAACCAGGTGCTGGGATACAAGCCTTCAGCTCTGGACTTTTTTCTCACAACCTTGTTCAAAACATATCCGCGAAATTTCAAAATTTCATTTTTATCGAAAAAGCAAATCCACGGAATTTCAAAATTTTATTTTTATTCGCATCAAAAATCACAACAAGCGCGTTTCTGCTGTAGCGAAAAACACAAAAAAAAAATACTATTTTTGTACCTGCAACTCCTGCAGCGCCGCCTGTAGCTTCTCAATTTCCGCTTTTAACCGCTTGATTTCCTCATCCCTTTGCCGGATGATCTCCAGCAATTCCTTCTCCCTATCCTCCTGTTTTCTCCTCGCGGCTTCACTGCCCTCCCCGTCGGCATATCAAATGTAAAAATGTCTGGAAGAATGCATGTTTGTCATGCTTGTCTGGCATGACTCTCAAATCTGTCATGCACGTTACCCAAGAGCGCCATTTTTCTGCCATGCAGAAACGCAGTTTGTCATGCAGACTAGGCAACACCTAGAAGCTCAGAAACTTCTCATGCTGAGCCAGCACTTGTGGCTTCCTCATGATATGCCACCCAGCATCACAAGTTTCCAGACCCAGACATTTTTACATTTGATACGGCAAGTTGTTTTTTCAACTTGTCCATCTCAGCCTGCATTTCTTTCCGGACTTTGTCCTCGACGGATTTCCTCGTATCGGAATCCACATCGCTCGTGTTCCCCTTCATGCCTTTCTTCCTCGCGTTGGCCATGAACATCTTCATGGCCATCCGCTCCATCTCCGCAATAGCCTGCTCCGCGCGGGATCGCTCAGCTTCCAAGGCAATTTCGAGGTCGGCGCACTGTCGTGGCGATAGAGTGGTATGGATAAGTTTCCTCAAAAAATCGCGTGACGATGCTAAAGCTTGTCATGGACCAAACTTGTCATGGACAAACCGTGCCAAGAGTCCGTTCTGTCATGTAGATATCGCACAGTCAAACTCAAAATTCGCAAGAACAGTTCGCACTTACCTTCTGCAGCGCCTCCTTCCTCCCCTGGTGCATACTGGACATGACAGCGCGGATCATCAACATCTTCGTCCGGTACTGTTTAAAAGTAGACCCGGGCTTCGGCAACATCTTCCCGACCGCGTTCCGCAATATCGTATCCTGTCTTTGCACGGGCGCATTTGCTGCACCCGCGCCAGACCCTGCTCCACCCTCGACGGACACTTTTCCACCAGCGGAGGACTGCTGCTGTTGCAACTTCCTGGCTTCTTCCAGTTCCTTCTCTTTCTATGCAATACAACTTTCCTGCACATGTTCATGTACAAAATGCATCACAAATTTTACCAAGTTGGAGCATGCCACTTGTCATGCTGAATAGCATTGGAAGAAAAGTTTGTCATGCAGAAACCACATTTGTACGTCGTGTACGGGAAATTTCCTGTGGATACTTTCGCCATCAATGCCATGTCCTTCTCCTGCTGTGCCTGTTATGCAATGCAAAAGCATCGCACTCGTATAAATTGCATTACAAATTAGCCCAGCATTAGAAATTGAATTTATAATGCTGATTCACCTTGAGAAAGAAATTTGTAATGCATGAATGCAATTACTACGAATACGATAGTTTTGCACAGGGTACCTGTTCCTTCGCCCGGTCTGCTTCCTCCTTCCGCCGAGCGTCTTCTTCTTCCTATGGCAGTGCACAACTCCCTCGTTTGTATTGCATGAACAGCAAGACAAGCTTCAGCAAGAATACAGGTTTCGCATGACAAATTTGGACAGGACTGTAGTGCTGTTTGAGCTGCCAGAACTTGTCATGCATAATAGTGACAGGAGGGAAAGCGGAAATGAGATGTTTTGCATGAGAAATGAGAACGAGGGGAAATTTTGCACTCTCATACTTCCTTCTTCAGTTGCATTTCCAGCTCCTCTTCGTGGCGTTGCAGTTCCTCTTTTTCGGTAGTTTCCGCCTCGGTAATCTTGGAGAGCTCCTCTTTCAGCGATTCTGATGAGGATTTTTATTTTTTTGTCATGCACAAACCCGCTACACTCCTGAAAAGCGATTCTAGCATGCGTAGAGGACGTTATAATAGGACGATGAATCAAGAAAAATCACTATCCCTACTGATCTCCGTCTCAATCTCCTCCACAGCCTGACTCAGCTGCATGATCTCGCTGGGATCCGCGCCCTCCTTCCTCCTCTGCTCGAGGTGTCCCGCTTGCCGTTCCAATTGCTTTGTTCGCATGTCTATCAAATGTAAAAATGTCTGGGTCTGGAAGAATTGATGTTTGTCATGCTTGTCTGGCATGACTCTTAAATCTGTCATGCACGTTACCCAAGAGCTCCGCTTTTCTGTGATGCAGAAGCGCAGTTTGTTATGCAGAATACATAGGCAACACCTAGGAGCTCAGAAACCTGTCATGCTGAGCCAGCATTTGTAGCCTCATCATGAGACGCCACCCAGCATCACAAGTTTCCAGACTCAGACATTTTTACTTTTGATAATGTCTAATTTCTTCTGCACCATGTCTTTCGCGGCGTGGTGCCTAGAGAGATTCAGTTTGCACGCCTGAATATTGTGCTCAATCCTGGTAACCGCGGCCGACTGTTCATTCTTCTTGCTATCTTTCGCGAAGTTGTTCATACCAGCACCGATGTTTTCCAGTTCTGTCGCATAGGCCTTCGCGAGCTCTTCCAGTTCTACGACCTGCTGCTCCAGAGCCTTTTCGCGCTCGGTGGGAGCTGGTGTGGAGATGTTGACTTTTGTTTTTCAATTTATTCATGGCGTTGAATGCATGACAAAATCCTGCTATCATGCGTCAACCACCGACCAGCAACGCAAATTTATTCTCTACCTTTTTCCTTATCACTCTGCGCATCCGCGGCCATTTGCATCATGCTCCGTCTTCTTTCCCGTTCCACCGGATCTTGTTCGTCCTCCGCTATGCGGATATGGTGTTCTCAAGCGTTACATTCTCAACTGTTACATGAAATTTGTTATGCAAGAATGGCAAAAGTGAAAGGGAGAAGGTTGCGCCTTTTGCATTACAGGTTTGAAGTAGATTATAATGCTATTTAGCGCGTCGAAAACTTGTCATGCGAAGCAGCTTGCTCATCTAGATGCTGGTGCCAATTTTGCATGACAAATTCATATAACAGTTGAGAATGTAACGTTTGAGAGTCCCATAGCGGAATAGCAACAGTTTCAATTTCTCTTCCACGACCTCCGCGACGAAATGCCGGAGATTGTCCGGTAAGTACCGATATGCATTGCAAAAGTATCGTATTCGTATAAATGCATTACAAATTTCCTCAGCATGACAAATACAATTTGTAATGCTGATTCACCTTGAATTGAATTGAAACAGATTTGTAATGCATGACTGCAATACGAGTACGATACTTTTGCACAGGATAACCGAGTTGGCTCGTAAAACATCACCGGTTGCTCGTCGGGCTGGCCTGTATCCTGTGCAAAAGTATCGTAGTCGTACTAATTGCAGTATATGCATGACAAATCTTCTTTTCAAAGTAAAACAGCATGACAGATTCCATTTCTCATGCTGAGCAAATTTGTAATGTAATTTGTACCAGTACGATACTTTTGCAGCTCATAGCCCGTACCGTAAACCAACTCCTTGATGTGTTGGAGCTGTCTCTCATCCAAGACCCGGATCTGGTCTCGCATCGCGGTTAATTCCTTCAAATACGACCTCCGGCAATCATCTAAGTCATCACGAAACAATTCGTTTTCCTCCTTCAACTGCTCGATGATTTGCTTCGGGTGCATTTTGTTGTGCTCGTCCAGAGTTCCCTCCACCTCCCACATGAGGAGGAGAGATTTCCACATAAATTCCGCATTGAATTTCAAAACCTGTCCAGCATCGACGTTCGGTTTTATTTTGCTCATCGCAGTGTTCGTCGTTTCTTCCAAAACTTGCGCGAACTTCTCGTTCCTCTGAACCAAATTCCGCAACTCCGCTTTGTCACGGATTGACGCGGGGGTCGCCGCTATCCCGAACCCGCGGGAAGTCTGGGGGAGGTCTTCGAGCATGCCGCCCGTTGGCGAGTTGTTTCGGTTCGATTCAGTGCCCAAAACCGTGTTCGCCCGGGTTAGTCCGGAAGTAGGGGACGCCGGCCGCGGATTGCCCGCAACGCGGGAATTTTGCAGCAACGGGGGCGCAGGCCCCGTGGAGCTGTAGGAGGGGGTGCTCGGCATTTTTAATATATTTGGAGGTGTTTTGCTTATTCGCCTGGTTGTACAGGAGCTGCTGCTATGCGCCTTGTATCTTCGCGACTTTGAAAATCACCCGCCACGCGAGGGAGCAGGAGCGAATGTTGCAGAAGATGCCTCTTCTTTTCTTTTCGGACGTCGCGGTGTTGTATGTAGCAGGTGTGATCGATGTTCAAGAAGTTGTTCCAGCTTCAGCTTGGTTATCTAGTATCAGACGGCTTCTGCGACGTCGGAGCGTAAAAATTGACAAACCGGAGGGAACACCCCTTTTACGCCAGCGCGCCCCAGGCGATCCGTGCTCCGTCAGTGACTAGGGCGTGAATCAGCTCCAGCTCCTCCTCTTCGTCAACTAACAGTGGTAAAAGAAAAATCAACGAACACGTCGCCCACCAGAGGGTGCGGAAAAACACCTGGCAGAAATACTTCTCTTCCAACTGGGCGCAGTAGTAGTAGTGGACGTATTGACAGAGGAGGAAAAGCAAAGTGTCCGGGAAAAAGTAGTAGTTGGTGATGCACAGATTCGCGGAATTCCGCCCGAACAAGATGTCCTTCACTTCCTTGAAACTGAAATCCGCAAAGGGCGACCAACGAAAGCGGGCCGAGATGCGCTCCCAAACCCGACGGGCTGGCATTGAGTTGCTATGTGTTCTTTCTGCTGGTCGCGGTCGTTCTGCGGCGCCGCAATTTCCAAAAGAACTCTTGGATGGGTTTGGAAATCGAAATCTTCAGCGTTTCGATGTTGTAAGTATAGGAAGAAAATGTCGTTAGATTTGGTTATAGCTGCAACGCAAAAGTGCAAAATTTACGTACCGATAAGACTAGAATTTTTGTGCAATTAATTCGTTCAGGCAGTTTTGCAGAAAAACGCAACGACCGCGGCCGCGGGCCTCCGAGGATTGCTTGATGTGACCAGCACCACAAAATACAACTCAACTGCAATAACACCAACGACGGAAAGCAGCTTTGCTCGCTGAATCACAATCTTCTCAACGAGACTGATTCACCTCTCGCTCTCACTCAAGATGGCTCTATACGAATTATCGCGAAGTTCAAAACTTCTACGTGCTGCCACCAGTAATTTTTGACTTCTCTTGTCGTTCTTGTTTTCGAACTACCAACTTTGTAACGGCTCGCGATTGCGAACCGAAGTTGCCAACCCGCCGCGCCTCGCCCCCCAGAAAGCTGCATCGGGTCCGGATGGTCCCACCTCCACTTTACCTTTAGATCGGTCAGTATATCTGTTGGAGTTTGATTCACATTCATATTGAGAAAAAACCGTTTTCAACAATCCTAACATAGTTCCAAGTCTCGAGCGGCCAGTCAATAGAACTAGACCAGTGGTAGAGAAGCAACGACCTGTCTTATCACTTGCTATTTCATTCGACTGCATCTTCTTGTTGCTTGTGTGGTTTTCGTAGGTGAGAGTGAAATCTGATTCTGATACTGTTAATTCTCTTAACCATCCGGTGTTACGCACTTGCGGTACTTTATTCTCAATTTCTACAAGGATGTAAAACAATTTTCATTCGATTCCGAAGTAAAAACATCATAAGTTGACCTAGATAGTTCATCACCAGAGTTCGTTAGATTTTTTCTTTTTTATCGCACAGGCACAGCTCATTCGATATCGATTGGGAGTTTTGGGTTTGGCTTTGGCATCAGCATCACGACCCTGCTCAGGCATTCAAAAATAAAGCTAGCAAAGAAGAAACCCTTATTCATGAAGTATAGCTTTCTGGCTGTGAAACTACTGCCAGGCGAGTGCATTTTTTAAAAACCTTTCAACTTCTGCATCCATCATAAACGCAGTAGGCGGGTTCATTCGTGAAATGAAAAACCGTAATCATCCGTAGGCAGCTTTGCCCAACTTTGAAAACCCAAAACGAGTTTCGGTTTCCGTAGATGGAACATCAATACGCAAAGCTGCCAGGACAAGCTGCATCTATATTCTATCGATTCAAAAAATGATCTCATTTCGTAAAGTGCATTCGTTGGTCTTACATTTTTGAAGACAAGTACTCGAGGAAGAAACAACTACCTACTTTCTTATCATAGCGATGGATAACGATCATACATAAGATCAAGAAACGAAATAGAAACGTCGTAAGAAAAACCTGAAACAATCCTTGCAATTATGCTCCTTCGAAAGTAATCTTAAAATGAAAAACAGTCGATTTTTGTAAATTTTCGTACAGTTCTTGCATGCAGTTCCTCTCGTTGAAACACTTTGCCCCCGCCACTACACTGCCCGCAGCTGCTGGTCAAAAACTCCTCCAGTGAAACTGGTGTCATGTTCCATCGTGTAGCTACTCGCCCCGCCTGTGCTCGTCGCCCGAACCAGAATTCCGCTCTCCGCGAGCTGATTCGTGCTTGCAGTGCTCGTAGCGTGTCCCTCGGTCGTACTAGTGGTGACTGTTCTTGTCGTAGAGGCTGCAACAGCTGCTGCTGCAGCGGCTGCTGCCACCGTCGCGGACGCTCCAGCAGCACCCCCCGCCCCACTTCCGGCGTAGTTGTAGGCGCTATCCCAGGAGTCGCTCAGGTCCCAGCTCGCGTTGTAGCCGTAGAACGCACTGCTGGCGCTGCTCATGTAGTGGTCTGCAGCATTTCCGGAGTTATTCGTGGCCGCCGCAGTAGCAGCAGCACTACCATGGTTGGACGACCCAGCGGCGGCCCGGTTGTACGAGGACCAGGAATTATGGTGCAAATGGCTACTATTTCCTCCACCGTATTTGCTCGCCCCATACTTGTGCTCTTCGCCATTGTAACTGTGGTACTTGCTTGGGACGAACTCCTCCGCCGAACTGGTCATACTGATGCTGTTCTTTCGACTGTTTGGTTGGAAAGTGTGCTTCTGGTACGACGCGGACACGTTGCTGTGATTCATGTTCTGCTGTTGTTGCGCATGATGTAATTGCTGCTGTTGTTGCAGCTGGGCTGCGTTTTGTCGTGCGGACGCGGCGTACTGGGCTGTGTAGTAGCTTTCGTAGCTCTGCGTGAGCCCGTAGTAGTTGCCGATTCTGTGTTGCTGGATCGGAGGCCGTTCTGGGCTGCTGTTGGAACAGCTACCTGATTGGTTTTTTCACGAACAATTTGTTTGTGGTTTATTTTGTCATGCAGAGACAGGAACTACTACCACGAATGGTCATGCACAAGAACAAGAACACCACAAATTTATTGAAGTATCCCAACAAGCACTGTGAACTAAAAATCATACCTTCATCACTATCGCAAGCAAAGCTCCCCTTCCGCCGGGTTCCCATCCAAAGCGCAACTTTCTTCCCGTTCCCCTTTGCCCCTGCGGACGTCGAGGCCGGGATGGGCAACGTGGCCTTCGGGGAGATGTTCGTCGCTCGGAGTTGTCCGTACTTCATCGCCGACCCCACGACATTGAATTCGAAAACCTGTTGATGCAGTATATGCAATACAAATCTCGTCCCGCAGCACGCGCACAGGTACAAAGTGCTTCACAAATTTCGCCAAGTTAAAGAAGTGTAGAAACACACGATCATTACAGATACCTGTCCAATGGCCACGCCCTCCCCGCTTTTTGGCAAGTCTTGGAGTCTCACGTACACATCCCGGCCGGTCTGTGCGTAAAGCTCACGGCAGCGAAGAAAACCTGATAGGGTAAGAATGTTTTCGTTTTGTGTGTATATTTTTGTGCACAAGAACAAGACCACCTTTCACTTATCAGATGCTCTCGTGACTCGTCGTCTTCCGTAATCAAAAATCTTGCTGCATACAAGGAAATATCGTGGGTCGTGTCAAGTACCGTGCCCATGCTCCTTCATGAAGCGCTTCAGAACGCCCGAATAGCGCAGTTGGTCGTCGATTTGGGGAAGCACCTCGGTAGCAACGGCGCCTCAAGATTCGAGTTTTGTTTTTTCGCAAGGTCGTGGACACTCACACTCGTCTCATCGACAAAATCACAAGAAACTGTAACTGAAAAAGTAAACTTTCACTTTGAACATCATATATAGAAGTCGAATTTCTACTCGCATCCCCAACTATGGTGCGCACTTCAGATTCTTTCCGCACTTCGGACTGCAAAGAGTCTAAAACTTGCAACTCGTCGAGCTTCATTTCGTCCGAAGGGGAGGTGGTTGTCGTGGTGGTGCTGTCGGCTGCAGCCGCGGCTTCCGGCTCTACAGCAGCAGTAGTTAGAGCAGCTGGTGCCTCCTTCTCGACTGCTTCCTCCCGGCTTCTCATCGTCTCGACCAACGACATCACGTTCTCGTTCCCATCAACGGATTTTATCTCCGCAGACCCGTAGTTCGGAGAGCGGGTGCGGTTCAAAACCAACCTCCTTTGCGGTTTCATCTCAGCCTGTGATGAAGCAGAAGTAGTCTGTCCTCCGGTTGTGGTGTTGGCGCCACAGGTTTTTGATGATGCCTCATCTTCCGGGACCAGGTTATGCGGTTCTGTCGTGTGCTGGTCTGGCTCCTGTCCCTCTTGGAGAAAAACCGCTTTTTCACCAGTTGTCGTCCCAGAGGATGACAGCACGACAGGATCATGGAAAGCATTCTTCATTTCGATCGATGCAGTTGCAGCTACTGTGATACCCAAGAAGTTCTGGTGGTGGGACGATGTTGCCGCAGCAGCAGCTGCAGAACTACCCGATGCTGGCGCGCTGCTTTGTGTACTAGTCTTCGCATGAATTATATCGCAAGAAAAAAGTGTTACAGTTACACATTGTGTTGCAGGCCAAGCAAGACAGACAAGCTCTGTCATGCCGGATATGCATCGGAGCCTCCTTTCATAGGTATTTTCCCGTAGGATTTCTGCATTGCAAGTTTTCTCTCTCATGCAGAGAAATTTGTGTTCGCTGAATTGACAACAAATGTGTAACTGTAACACTTTTTTCGTTCGATAAATTACCCTCGGCGCGACCGGGCTGTCCGGTAAAACCAAAACCTTCTTCTATCGTTTTCAAAAACGTCCCCGCCCCATAGTTGTAATGCAATTCTGCATGCTGCAAATGTTTCTCATTCGGAGCCCCATGAGAAGCGTTTTCTAGTCGTGATTTGGAATTTGTCATGCTCCAATCAGCATGGTGTGCTAGATCTGTGATGCTGCTCAGCTAGCTCAAACAGCACTACACTACGAGTCCATGTTTGTCATGCAAAACAGCCAAAACTTGTGGATTTGTCTAGCCGATTCCCCATCTTGACTATGGGGTGGGTACGTTTTTACATATGATATCTTCGGCGTTGGTGTGGTTTTCATCACAACGGGTTGTTTTTTGGAACTCTTCGTCCCTTCGCCTTCGAGCAAATCCGGTGTGACAACTACGTCGTTGAAGATCAATTTTTCGTCCGAGTTGTGGATCAAAACGGTCTTGCAGGTCGTGGTCAACGGGTCCGGAGAAGATTTCGTCACGGTTAACAAATCGTCTGCGGAGAAACAATCTGTTGTTCCCAGGGGGCTCGATTTCGTGCAGTCCAACGGACTGGCTTTGGTGGAAATCGAAGCGCCCAGTGGGCTGGCTTTGATCGTCGAGTTCTTACGGGAGATGAATTTTTTCGTCGCCGTGGTATTCAGCTGCAGTTGTTCTGGGTCCGATTGCATGGCTTCCTGCTTGCCTGGTGCAGTAGTACTAGTCGTGGTCCTCGTGTTGTTTGCTGTAGTGGTGCTCGTGCACGACGGTGGTCCTGCTCCAGCTGGTGGCGCACTGACGGACTTTTGCGTCACTGGGTAGTTGCTCTCGGTCTCGTCGATGCGATTTCGTCCGCACGACTCCAGAAGTTCACTCGATGATTTTCCACCACAAGAACCCTGTTCCTGCTTTGGCGATTCGATGATTTCCTCGTCCGTGGTCTGATTCAAACTCGTATAGGATTGTTGCGACGGCGATTTGTCATGCGAATCTACTTGCGAAACCGGAGATTTATCGTCGGAACTACAAGCGCCGGAAGATTCCTGCGACGGTGAAGATTTGCCGGCGTCCGATTGCGAAGAAGATGCTGCGGATAACTCCGCCGCTTCTCCTCGCCCGGAGGATGGGGAAATCAGATTGCTTTGATGTTCCGATGAGGCGGCGTTGCTGCTTGCGGCAGCTCCGGTAGTCTTTTTTGTTGCAACTGCCGTCGTGTTCAGTGCAGCCGTCTTTGATTTCTTCAGATCGGAGGCTCTTTGCTCACTAGTTTTCTTCTTGCTGGTGGTCGTAGTTCCCGCCGACGTAGCCGCTGTGTTATTTGTTGACGAGCGTTTGGTCGTAGAAGTTGTAGTAGTCCCAGTTGCAGCTGAATTGGAGGTTGCTTTCCGATTTGTAGTCGTCGACGCTCCGGATTTATGCGACGGTGGCGCCGCGAGGACGGCACTGGTACTCGCCGAACCAGATCCAGTTTTCTTCGACTTTGAAGCTGCATTACTAACCAGCCGTCCGCTCTTCCGCATTTTCTCCTTCTCCATCTGAATTTTCGTGTAGTCTTTTCGTTCCACTACCTTCGGCGACTCTTTTTTTCCAAAACTAGCGTCCATCACTTGAATGTGCTGCTTTAGCTGGTGCAGCGACGGGTCGTTTGATTTGGCGACCTGAAAAAAACGACGTCAAAAGCACAAATTGTTGTCATGGTAAAAAACGGGTGGGAATAGGAAAACCTAAATCCTAAAACCAATCATGTGAAACATGCATATAAACGCAGTCCCATCATTTCTCAACGTTGTGGTCGTCTTATCTACATGCATCAAATGTAACCAGCAACCAGACCTATACCTTCTCCCTCAACGCTTTCATTCTCGGATCGCTGCTTTGTGCGATTTTCATGTCCAGCGGACTGGGCTCGACGAAGGAATCTCCCCCCTTCTGCTTGATAAAATCCACGCTGTTTGTATGCATTGCAAAAGCATCGTACTAGTACAAATCGCATGACAAAATTTATCAGAAAGAAAATTGGAATTTGTAATGCAGATTTGGGTAGGAAACCAGATTTGTCATGCATACCTGCAATTCATACGAGTACGATACTTTTGCAGTGGATAGTTTGTTGACAAGGACAACGGGTTCCCGTTCTTCTTCAGCAACTTCTGCAGTTCCGTCGGGGAGATCGTGTTCAGGCACACGTTGGTCGTTTGCTTGATCAATTTCTGTTGGTCCAAAGATTGCGACAACTGCTTGATGATTCCCGTGTTCGGCGGTGTGACAGTGCACAACCCCCTCTGTCCCTCATTTGTAATGCAAAATACCAAATCCACCCTTGGCCTCTTGGCACTTTTGCATGACAAGTTCTGGCAGCCCAAATAGCGCTACACTCTCGTGCAAATTTGTGATGCAAAGCCGGCACTCTTGCTGATGCTTGTATTGCCGTTCATGCCATACAAAAAAAAAGGGAGGGGGAGTTGTGCACTGTCATAGTCGGGGGGATGCCCGTAACACTCGCCGCTTTCGGATTGTTCGGTTGCTTCTTCTTCATCGACTCCGCCTTCTTCGGACTGGAATTCTCGTCCGAGTCCTCCTTCGATTTCGGTGGCGGCGGTGGCGGCGCGTGCTTCTGGACAGGCGGCGGGACCATGGGGTGGGCCTGAGGTACGGTAGTCAGTGGGTTGATAGCTGCTGATGTGTCGACGGCTCCTCCTGCCGCGCTTGATGATGAATCGGCTTGATGTTGCGCGGCTGCAGCTGCTGCACCCTGACCGCCGACACCAGTGTTGCTGGCTTGGGAGTGAGAGGAATACGTGCGGGTAGCGGAAAGAGCAGCAGCCGTTGAAGCTGCTGCTCCTGCGTGGTACTGGCTGTGGTAATAGGCGGAAGCTGCGGCAGTAGATCCTGTGGTGGCGTTTATTGCGTAGTCACCTCCCGCTGTGCCGTACTGATGTAGTCCACCTCCGCTTGTTCCCCCGTGAAGATCACCTCCGTAGTAACTGCCGTACGCCGCTGCAGCTGCGCCGTTACCACCTCCGTAGTGAAGATCACCACCTCCATAATTGCCGCTGGTGTGGTCATGATGATGTACAGCAGCTGCAGTACTGTACAAGCCTGTATTCGTGTTGTAGTAGGAGTTGTGATAAGAACCACCTCCTGTTGTTCCTTTCGTGATCGGCCCCGTGTTGACCGCGTGATGTCCACCTCCGTAGTTGTACCCCTTACTCGACACTCCAGCCACGTTACAACCGTAGCCATAGTAGTCGTGGTTGTTGTAACCAGCTGCGCCTTTCCCAGCGGAATTGTTGTATGATGCGGAAGTAGAGGCCCACTTCATCCCACCACCTGCTCCGGAGTTGTATTTACTTCCACCGCCTTTGCTGGAGGTCCTCGTCGTGGTTGCAACGGGGGCGGCGGGCATTGTTACAGCAGATGCAGCTCCGGCGGTTGTAGATGCTGCAATTGTTTCGCCAGTGGCAGCTGCCCCCGCGGTGGCAACTTTGCTGGCACCAACAGCATTCCCGCCGGCGGCCCTGGAGTAGAGTTGAAATGCGTGCAAGTTCAGTAACTGCTGCTGCAGCACAAGGGTTCTCTCGGCAAAGCTCTTATCAAGCTCAATTTGTGCTTGCAAGCGAGACGCAAAACCGCTCTGCTGGATTGATTCCAGGTTTCTTCTGACTGTCTCGTCTGTACCGAGCTCTGGCTCGTAATCGTAGTGCGTAAAATTTTATGCATTGCAAAAGTAGTATCGTACTCGTATAAATGCATTACATGCATTACAAACTTCCTCAGCATGGGAAACAAAATTTGTCATGCGGGTTTACCTTAGGGAAAAAATTTGTAATGCATGACTGCAATTACTACGAGTGCGATACTTTTGCACAGGATAAATTTCCACTCTTGATCATGCCACTCCTGGCATTGATGATTTCTAGCTGATACAGCTTCTCTGCTGCAGAGAGCTTGGTAAAAGGCGGATCTCCGACTCTGTTGTAATTGCAGCGCTGCATAGTGTCAACGTGATTTAGGAAACTCAAAGAACTTCAAAACTGTCCAAAGAAAGTAGTGTACGAGGAGGCGTCGATAAAATAGCCAATGGCAGCTGTAGTACAGTAAGCACGATGTGGTATGAAAGCTAGTTGTGTAGAAGGACGAGCACAAGCAGAACCAGTCTAAGTCAGAGTAACTGCTCTCCTCCTTCAAAAGCTGAAAGAAAGAAAACTCGAAAAAAAGATGACTGTTATCTGGTTGATCTCAGTCGATGTGGACATCTGCGCGCTTTAGGGTAAGGTGGCTACTTTGCGGCAACTTTGAGCGATAGAAGGACGACAACATCTTCACATACAACTGCGAGATGGCGCACGTGGTCTTCTCCTGTATTTCTAAACTCACCACTCAAACTCATCTCATGCTCGAGCCCGAATCACTAGAGGCGAGATCTTCTGTCACATCAACAGATAGCATCGTCAAATTGAAATTGAAAGTGGGGGAATATACGCGAGGTTTGACGAGCACGATAAACAGACCATCTTCAAAGGCAATCGCAATAAAACCGAGGAGAGGAATGAGTGAAAGCCGCATCGCAAAAATAAATACCCAGCATATCCGCTTCCCCCGCCGCTCGTCGAAGGCTGCGGTTGTGACGCCGAAGTCTTGAAGAGCAAGGGAGAGGGCGGTTTGTCTTCCAGTGTCGCGGCGGCGGCCGTAGTCGAACTGAATTTCGGCATTACAGGTTCACTTACATCACAACGCATTCTGTCATACAAGAAGACATATACTTTCAAACCGCAAACGTGCACGACAACATGCACACAACGAAATAAGTAAACAACTCTCACTACCTCCCGCCGTTTTGAGCAACTCCTGCGTCAGACGCCATTCTTTGTCTACGCCGGACGACGGGCTGCTCGTCGTGCAGCTTCCGGTTGTTCTTCTTGTTCGCGGAACAAGCTACTACGACCACGATCCTGCTGCTAGGGCTACGCTGCGACCAGTCCACGACGCCCGGTGGTCATGTGTTTTCATGCAAGAACTGTCTCGTGGATTTCGATTTCAGTTGTTTTAACACAGCACAGACAGGCAGTTCCAGGACATCACCGTCGTGTGTTGCTCCGTAAAAATAGACCCTCAACATCTCATCACCACTCGCTCTTTCGTTCTTGCTGCAGCAGTAGTGCAATTGCTCTCTTCGAATCCACCTCCAGATATTCTCGTCATCTGTCTCGACGGTTGTTCGTACTTACTCTCAGTCAATTCTTCTTCATTGCGCATCTCTAAACTTCTTCTGTTCCTTGCCTGTGTTCCTGAAGCAGATCTTTTCAGCGCGCTGCAGTTGGCACCCAAGCCCTGCAGTGAACAATCAGCGACGAGAAGGTCCGTCTCGTCACAAGTTGCACGTTGTGCTTCAAGAACAAAAAGGACACGCGGCTGTGCTCTCACGACAAGATTCATCTGCGGAACCATACCGCGGAATGAGATGCTGTGCGAAGACCTTGAACAGTACTTTCGCGCCGTTCTTCTTACCGTTGTTGGAAATAGATGAATACACCCTCGTTGCGTAGTCTCTATCTTCTGTCACCGCGAAGAACGCAGCCTGCGTGCGCTGGTGCATATCTTCCTGTGCAAAAGTATCGCACTCGCATTGCAATCATGCATTACAAGTTTCCTCGTTAAGTCAAATCCGCATTACAAATTTTATCTCTCACGCTGATGAAATTTGTAATGCATTTATGCGAGTGCGATACTTTTGCAATGCATAGTGCAAGTGCGACGGCAACTGCACAGGAGGCTACGAACTACAAACGGGACAACAAGAGCGTTCGTAGAAGAAGATCATCATATGCGTCATGTCGTATGTTGCAGTTAATCTATCACATCATGCGCGCGTAGTTTCTCTTTATGTTTCATCGTTCTCGAGGTCATGTGGTACCAAATGCAAATGTCACAGTACGACCACTAAGAAATTTAAATTTCATCAGATTTCTCATTCTATGTTAAACTGTCGGGAAGCACGTTGGACCACCAGCATGATCCACAAGTCCTCTACGGCGGTTTCGCCACGTTTCCCGCGTCCCCGCTTGTAACGGCCGGCGCGCTGGAACTCTTCTTGGCTTGCGGCAACACTGGTGTCATGGTTTGCAGGTGGTGGAAGCCCGGCTGTTCTTTTGGTTTTCTACTTCTCCTCCCACCTGCAAAAGAGAACAAGCCGCAGCAGCCACTGCTTCTCGACGTGCTGCCATGTGGTTCCCGCGATTTTATGCTCATTGCACTCGACGGATCTGCTCTGCTGTCACCGAGCTCCGCCGCGAGCGCCCGCAACTCGGCGTGGCCGAGCGTTTGGACGATAGCCGGGCGGAAACCCTCCATCATCTCAATACCGGAATTTGGCGAGGGCGGTTCGTTGGTCTCGTCTGCGATTGCCGTCTGCACCTTTTTCGACAGGTACTGGCGGTACCATTCTAAGACCCTCGAGTGGTACAGCTCGTGCACCGTGAAGAAGTCGGGAAAGGTGTAGCGCGCGACAAGCTCCTCCAGGATGTGGTTGCCTGAGTGGTGGTGGGGGGTCATTTTTGATGGAGTTGTGCGAGGACGTTCATAGAACTTTCGTTTGCAACACAGGGTGTATAGCAACTGTATATGTAGTGAAAGTGAAAGAACATCAAACCAATAACCATAAGTACTTACCTCCCGCGCGCATCCACCTCAAGTGTTCGTTGCTCCAGTTGTCCAGTGCAGCAGACTTTACACGACTTATGTGCGTCCCGAAAGACCGGTGATGGCCGGAGCAGGAGGAACAGATCCAAATGCCGAGATTGAGCGAGCACCATTGCGGATTGTCTTGGAGACAGTCGAAACACTTCTGGTTCGCTTCGTTAGACTGGTAGACCTCGTCCAGGGTGGCCTGGATGATTGTCATTCGAGAACATATATAAATTTCAGGACATTAATTTTCATCAAGTTGCAGTCATGCAACACAAACTCATCATCGTAAAACGTAAATTTGCATGTGAAGATCGCATGACAAACAACCCTTAATATACCAGGTTCGGATCGTCCGGTGAGTATTTGGAGACCAACAAAAAGAAGTCCCGATAGTTCTTCATCAGCGATTTCTCGTGCGCTTTCTCTGCCGCCTGCTTCATTTTTTTCACATCCACCTGATTGTCTTTCAAGAACAACCCGAACGACTTTGCGTCCTTCAAGTGCTTGGAGGGGTGTCTGCTCGTCGTGTCCTTCGACGAATCCGACCTGCTCGCGAGCCCGGAAGAGCCCATGGTCCGCAAAATTTTTGCCCCTAAGCTCATCTTTTTCGACTTACTTTCGTCGGTAGAGGGTGCGGAGCTATCGCGGGAGGACGTTCGTTCCTCGACCGACGATATGGATTGCAAAAATGTCTGGGTCTGGAAGAATGCAACCTGTGATGCATGTTGCGCATCATACAAAAATCTGTGTTGCGTGACTTGCAAAAGGTGCTCATTTCTGGCCATGCTGCGGGGGCATTTCTTATGCAGAACAGCAGGCATCACAAAGGGGCTGCAGCTCCTGTGATGCTAGGTCCTGCATTCCAGACTTAGTGGAGCTTGGAAAAACTGCATGACAAATCTCGGAATCTTCCAGACCCAGACATTTTTACATTTGATAGACGAGATTGTCTCCTGCGTCGCTTCCTTCTTCGGCAGGGGGGCAGAAGAGCCGATGTCCCGTGTTACCGTCGCCCCGTAGTTGTTAGAAGCACTTGCGGGAACTGCAGCTGCTGCTGTTGTACTAACCCCTGGCGGCCCGCTCGAACTAAGCGCCGTTGTATATGGCGTTCTCAAGCGTTACATTCTCAACTGTTACATGATTTGTCATGCAAAATCACAAGTAGAATTGATACGAACAAGCTGCTCCGCATGACAAATTCTCGAAGAGCCAAACAGGCTGAGAATCTGTGCCAAATCTGTCATGCTAGACGCGCAAGGTCACCCCTTTGACTTTTGCCATTCTTGCATCACAAATTCATGCAACAGCTGAGAATGTAACAGTTGAGAACGCCATATTGTAGTACAACCCCTAGTAGCGGTCGCTTCGGAGAACGAGAAGGTAGAACTCCCCTCCTGTTTTGCGTTGCCCTCTGCGCTGAAGTCCGGCTGGATTGCTGTTAGACCTCCAGAGAGTTCCTGGTCTTTGGAGGTAGAACGCTGCTCGCGACCCGTCGGATACAACCGATTGGCACTGTCCGTGCTCGCTTGGTGCGCCAACGCAGCGGATGTCGTCGTTTTCTTCCCGCTTCCAAGAATCGTCGAACTAGTCGCACTGCCGGGCGTGAACCCGACGTTCGTGGCAAAGGACCGGGTGCGGAAGGTGCGGAGTTTGGCGTAGTCGGAGCTCTTTTTGATGCTGTATGGCGTTCTCAAACGTTACACTCTCAACTGTTACATGGATTTGTCATGCAAAAGCAACTTCAGCCGGCACATGATCGAGCTGCTTCGCATGACAAATTTCGGAAGGGCTAAACAGCATCTAAATCTGCGCCAAACTTGTAATGCAAAAGGCGCAATCTTCCTCCTTTCACTTGTTTTGCCAGTCTTGCATTACAAATCCATGTAACAGTTGAGAATGTAACATTTGAGAACTCCATATGCTGGGATACTCGGTTCGGGAAGAAACCGAAGTGCCACTGGTGCGGTTGTTGTAGGCGACATTTTCGAGATCGTCGTCGTATGTGGCGGAGCCCTGCGCCCCGAGTGGTTTGTGAGCGCGACCTGCAAACGTCGCCGCAGCGGTCTGCGACTGTCGAATCGGTGGCGGGTTTTCGCTACCCCAACGCATCCTGTCGTTTCGCGTTTCTTCACCGTCGGTAACATTTTCGTCGTCGTTGACAGAACCTGCGATCAACATGTGCTGGGGTTTATTATTTTTCGGCTCCCAGCACATTCAGGATCCGAAGGAAGTAGTAATGGATACTATTGGCTACCGGCGGTCATGCTGAAAAGCATTCCTGTTTCTGTATGTTCATTTCCCAAACAGTTCCTAATCCACACTGAAGATACACACAATATTTCTCCGTACCCCCTGCCTCCCATCGCGTCCCATCTCGTGTTGGTGAGGCCGTGGTGAACTGCCTCTGGTCGTCGATTTGCTCGGTATGACGGGAATGCTCCAGGTCGTCGTTCACCGCCGCTGCTGCGAAAGGATCGTCCATTGCCATCAGAAAGACCATGATGCTGCGTTTCTTACTTGAGAATCGACAGGTAGGTCGCTGGCCGCTGCAAACAGGCTGCGCCTGGCGATGTTGATGAACAATAATATAGACCAGTATACTCTTACCCGTGTTCTCACAACTTCGACAGAGGCAACTCACACTCACGCCCTCCTGTAGTTGCGGCGGCGCTTCTGGTAGCTACTTCTTCCAAGACAATGTAATGAGGGTGAAGAAGTAGATTTGCGATGCTTCAATACTCTGTGACCACTCAACAGGCTTCCATGCGGTTTTCGTGATAAAAGCCGTAAGACTTTGCATCAGCATGAACTACGATTGTTCAGAAACTCAAACTTTATCAATCCATCCTTGAAGAAACAAGGCCGGGGTCTCCAAGACACTCCTGGTGCCTTGTTTCGTTTCTCACCGATGTTATGGTGCCCTGATGGATAAACGGACCCAGACCTAATTACCACTTCACAGAATCATCATCATGATTTATCCTGCACAAAATCAAAACTTTTGTGGGCGGGGAGCTAACGCAGCGCGCCTTTCTTGCGTTGTCAGTTACAACACCTACAACACGCTCGACACACTGAATGCTACATTTCAACAATACACATCGACACAGGAACATGAGCAAACACAAGAAGCTGCCGGCCTATATTGTTTTTTGTAGGACCACCTACGAGATGAACGAGTCATGGGTAGTTGGCAGGAACGACCGGGCCGGACGCCGAGAGCTGCCTGCTTCAGGAGCGAGTCCCTTACAATCTCATTTACAGACAAAGAAGTCAATTTATTGCAATACGACGACGGCGCCCGCTCGCACGCACCACAAGGGGGCGGCAGCAGCTCAACTTGAGGGCCGCGCCGGATCAGACAATATGCGCTTACTGACATAACACGGGGGCCCCATTCCTCCTGGCGCATCGAAATACACCTGAAAGCAAAATCCATGGACGAGTGAGAGCCCGGCGCCCCGCGGCTACATACGATACCCGCGCACCGGGCTGGCGCGCAGCTAGGCAGCCAGCCAGGGCCTCAAGCACCGGTCCGGAGGGGCCAAGGGGCGCCCGCGCAGCAGCCTACGGCTGGCCGGCCCCGGGGGAAGGCGGCCGCGCCGGATGCAGGTGGGCCCCGTGTCAATGAATGAGGCACGCGGGCCGGCCGCCCGCGCGCCACAACCTTGCGGGCGCGCCCGCGGGGTTTTGGCAACACAGGAAGGGAAGCGCCGGGGCGGGGGCCAGAGTAGCGGGGGTGGTAGGTGGCGTGGGTCTCCGTAGCGCTCTCGCTCGACCGGAGCATCCCAGCGAGATGCATGAGCTCTGGGTATACCTTGAGGATGGTCTCCCCACCCGCTGAGGACGCGGGTGCTATCGTCGCCTTGGCCCACTTCTCCCTTTCCGCCATCACCTTTCCAGCGATGACTTACCTTCAGGGGATCCTGGGGCGGGCCTGTCGCTCTTCTTTTTCGGCCGTCTGCACATTGCCTCCGGGCCTCATGCATGGGGCCCGGTTTCTGCGGAATGGATGTCGTGGGGCTCTATGGCCGGCTCCCGGCCGGGTGCCCCCAGAAGGCGCCAGCCCCGAGCGATGGAAGGGCCGCGGCCCGGCCGCCCGCCCCGCGCGCCCCGGGAAGGCGGACGGCGCTCGCGCGCCACCGACCGCCGGCGCGCGCGCCAAGCGGGGCGCGGCCCGGCCTGCTGCGGCGGGCGCCGGCCATCACAGGCCCCGAGAACCCAAACCCTCGCCACTGATTACAATCACGCGCGGGCCCCCCTCGGTAAATGCCGCCAAGCCCCCGCCCGGCCTCCGAGCCCATTCCAAGGCAACGCGGCCCGCCGCCCTCCTGGGCGCACCTGTTGGGCGCCCGGGCGTTCCCCGGGGCGCCGCCTTTTCCCATGCTACGGGCCTCCACGAATTTCCACCCCGGGGCCATGCGCTTCAGTCACGGCGCTTCGATTTTCAGGCCGATCACGAACATAGGAGGCGGGCCGTCGCGGTGGGCGCGCATCGGTCTAGTTTGCTAAGACCTTGCGTCACTCCGCGAACCGCTCGCGATGTCTCTGCACCATCGGGATAAAGTGGAAGCAGTATACACAAAAACAGAACTGGGAGCGTGCTTCTCATGTTTGTTGAACAACACCGCCGAAGTTGCTATGAACACTGAGTAGATCACTCCAACTATATTTGAAATCGTGTTTTACACTTCGATCCTTGCCGCTTTCGTGGCGGCGCTTTCGTTGCGGCGCAGAAGTCGTTTCTCTCTTTTTTCGTCCGCAGAGATAAAGGTGTATAGTACTAGTAGTTGTACGGGTATACAGATTCCCCTTACATCGCTTTTCGCTACACAAACACAACAAGTCGCAAGTTACAGCGGCACGAATCAAGTCCCGTTTCAGCAACTCCAACTGACAACATTCACGGCAAATGATGATGTCCGACAGTGCGTAAAAAGCGTCGTGGTCGACCAAACTCGCCTTTTCTTCACAAATCCGTGGATTTAAAGTCCACATTGCCATCGACCTGCCCACCAGTCGCTTTCATCAAGAGATCCGTTTCGTTCTGTGTGGTTTCCTTCAAAACTAACTTCTCTCCGGGTTCGAAAGCAGGCATCCCTCGGAACGGACACCCGTCGCAGCGGAAATCGTCGCCGAGTGCGCAGTTTCCGCACTTCGATTCGACCTGATAAAGAATTTATTTTTTGGGATGAATTTTTATGCAATTCATTGACCAGTAGTTTTCGACATAGGACGAAGACCATCTTCAGGCTCGTCAGGCACCAACAGCAGTGCTACATGTATTTGTACTTCCATTTGCTGGTGTTTATGTAGCTTGAGACAAAACTAAAACTGTCCACACTCAAACAGGAGCCGACAAGTTGTTGTACCTGCCCGGTCCGGAGCATCTCATTCGCTTTTTCCACGCCGTGCTTCTTTTCCAACTCCCCTCGTCCGCAACTGCAGTTCGCGCAAGCCTTCTTCTTGTCGCCCGGCTTCGGCGGCGCACACACCTTCGCCTTCGTTCTGGCAAGCTGTTTGTTGAACTTCCGCATTTCCGTCTGGCGCCACTTGATTATCGCGTCTAAATCCGTCGTTCGTTTCGACACGAACGCTTTCGTCTTACCAGTCAGATTCACGACCTGGTTAGAAGAAGTAGTGCTAGTGTTCGTTGGTGAAGTTGTACTCGAGCCGTATTCAGCATTCGCCCCCGTGCCAAGTTCTTGCTCCGAATGAGTACTGCTGCTTGAACTGCTGGAAGCGGACGTGGTTTGCTCCGGTGTGGCTAGAGCTACAGAAGTGTCGGTATTATCTGACCCCGAAAATGCTTTTACCAACGACACCGTTCCGAAATTTCTCGGCTTCTCCAAGGTTAGTTGCAAGACCGAGTATTCCTTTGCGGTGGCGACCGCAGTCCAGTGCTTCAGCTGGAAACCGGCGTACACTGCTTCCGTCTCGATGTCAAAAAGCTGCTCGCGGGTCGAGTCCATGGCGGTCTGGGTTGTGGATGTGATGAATCCGAATCAGAAGTCGCGGCTCTACTACATTTTTCTAGCGCAGATGAAATAAACAAAGTCCGTCCTGAAGACACACGTGGCGTCTCACTCTCAGTGGTCCTTGTGCTATCATCAATCTTCAAGAACTTCGAAACTCTTCAGGCAAGAAAAGCATACTAGAATAAAAATCTCTGCTTACCTCTATTGTCAACGTGCCGCTTTCCCTGAGCGCCAGAAAGAGTTCCCTCAAAATTCCGGACCCCGTCCGCCCGACCGCGTTTTGCTGGTAACAGCAGAGCAAAATTTCGCTGCAGGTGTTCTCCAGTGTCTTCCCGCAGACCCCGCTCTCCAGCGCCTCGGTCACTTCAAACAGCAACGCTTTCTGTACAAACCCACCGTGAAACTTCACGTAGGAGCTAGCTTTTTGACTCCCTTTGATGTCGCCGCGGACGTAGAGGGCAAGTTTTAGTGCGCTGGTCATGGAGGAGTTTTTAGAGCTGGAACTGGACGATGATGTCGCAGAAGAAGAACTGGTGATTGGCGAGAGGAAGCTCGAAAAGGGCGCTCCCGTCCCATGGCAAATGTCGATGGGCACCACGGTTTCGCTTGAGAACGAGTCGCCCAACCACTTCGCCCGGAGCTGGTGGTAGGCGAACCCGAGGTTGTCTAGGACTTGGGCGGTCATTTTTTTGCTTTGATGTTTCTTGTCGTGGGGGGATAGTGAAGGAAGGTCGTGAAAGTGAAAGGACTTGTGGGCTTTCGTAACTCTAAAAGGGAAGAGGGGTACAACTTCTACTTCAGGTAGATGAAACTAGAAATAAAAGGTTTCTACATCAGGGTCGGTGCTACTTAGTTACACAGGGCGGGCACTGTTGGGCGGGATATAATTCAAAGAAATTTTGAATTTAGCACGCTAGCAAATACTATAGATAGACAGCTCTGCAGATGTGCTGCGAATTCATTTAAAGCAATGCCAATTGATCCTCAAATCCTATTATCATCTGTGCTCGATCCTCGATGCTTCGGACAGGCTGATCCACGACTTCTTTGGATGTCACTCAGGCAAAGGGGCACTAGGGTGGGGATTTTTTTTCTTTGGGTCCTCGAAAAAACGGCTCGCTTTCCTTCAGACTCTTGTATATTTCTATAGAGGAAAGACTCTAGTACGACAACGACTTTGCCAAACAGCACTTTTGATTCTTCCTATGCTAGAGCTGGCGCCAGAACATCTTGCTTTCAACTGCGACAACAGTCCATCTTTGTTTTCCGATCTGGCCTCGTTGCTGTAGAGCGGCGCGACCTCGAACAGAAATGAAGCGCAGTTGTTTCCATTTCTTGTGATTTTCAAAAACTGTTGATTCTCCTTTTGACAAGAGGAAAATGTTGAAGAGATATTAATTCGATCGAGTTATTTTTTCGTCGTGTTTTGCTCCTGCTTCCCATCGCCCCCTCCACATCTTCGCGATCGCTATCGAAACAACATAGGAAGAGGACCATCGTCCCTTTCAACAACTCGATCGTGCTTGATGATGAAACTAAATCTGATTCCCTTACTTAAATCCTAAAAATTATCATTCGGATAGAGCGGTTTCGGCTTTTTCTCATCCCGGGCATTGTGTTCATAGACATAACAACAGGCGAATAGGTAGAACGAGGATAAAAAGCAGCAATCGAGGTCGAGGCCTCTCATGCCTGGGGTACGTACGTAGTTGGCATAGATACCGGGAGGATGCCGAGTGTAAAAAAAGATTCTTCATGTGATCCTGCAGTACGGTGGCGTTGTCGGTTTGCTGAAGGTAAAACCGTGACAACATCCTCAATTTAATCACAACAACATGCTAAGAATCTGGATCTGTAAAAACAAGTAAAGTTTTACCTTACAAAACATCTAAATCCTGCGTCCCTTATTGATGCGCGGATTTTCTTCCTGTTGAGTGATTCCTTAAAACCTTTTCTGAAACTTTCTTTTTCAAGGTGAAATGTGATGTGATAATCTGTGAATCTAGGTTTCCTGTAAAACGAGGGTTGTCCGATGGACTCTTGAAATCGAATACCAGCCAAGAGCAAACACTCCTTACAGTAGTGCTCGTCTTCTGCATTGAAGAACGGAAAATAAATGAATCTTACGGGGTGTGAAGATTTGAGATGAAATTTGGTGTAAGTAGTCAAAGAAATCGTAAAGTTTTTTCGTTTTGATGTTCTAGACATTATGCATCATACGTCTTTGGTACATCTACACACGGATTGTGTTTTTTTTTTCGCTTTTTCAATTCGTCTGTCTTAAAAGTCCATTTTTGGACTTACCTACCATCATGCGCGTTGTCAGAAGTCGCTATTACTTGTTCCCGCATGACCACAAGTTGTAGTACCCCGCCTCTGCCTTACTTCCAGCACGCGCCGTCACCCCACAAGTGGATCGGGGTGTGGTGGACAAAGTACCAGATCAGTTGGCACACGAGCCCGCCCTTCTTCGCGTCGACGATCGAAGCTTCCAAAAACTCCTTCAGGATGACACTCGTCCAGCCCCACAGAAACAGCATTCCGGACCTATTGAGAGGAAAAATCCCCCCTCCCCATATCGAAAAGGTTTGTTTCCGAAAATTTGTCTTGCTGATTTGAGACCACAAATCGCGTCTGTCTTGCAAGAAGACAAGGGCAGATGCAGAAGCTTTCGCCATATTATGGAAGCGCTTTGTCATGCTGTTGGGCCTAAAGGGGAGCCGCTTGCCATGCTGAACAACTAGACGCATACGCCCCTACCTAGCCTGGGGGCCTGACTGCAATGCTTTCCTGCAATACAAAGCTGATTTGTGTACTCAAATCCAGCATCAGAAATTTCGTTTTGATATGGGGAGGGGGTATTTTTCCTTTTGATAGGACCCGGGGGTGCTGTTGGCGCCGAGCACGAAGCAGGCGTCCTTCGGCCCCAGGGAGGTGGCGAACATACCGGTATGAATTGCAAAAGTATCGTACTCGTATAAATGCATGACAAATTTCCTCAGCATGAGAAATAAAATTTGTAATGCTGATTTACCTCAAGAAAAATATTTGTAATGCATGATTGCAATACGAGTACGATACTTTTGCACTGCATAACCGGCACCCCACGGCCACCACGTGTCCATCATCTTAGACGGGACGCACAGGGAGAACAGACCTGTAGACCAGTGTTTGCGTTTGGATTGAATTGATGGAAAGGGATAATAAATTACATGACAAAGAACAGTCACAGTCATTCGAATTTACGCATCACAAATTTTTCTAGTACCGCCCGGGTCGCCGTGGGCCTGGTAGTCCAGAGACTTGACATTCACGGCAGCATGGTGTGCCTGTTCCTCGCCCGGATAGGAGATCTTCGGAATTGGCGGGATACCTGGTTGTGAACGTTGTCAATGTTGGCGTTGTGTTTGTGCATGACAAAGTCGTGCCGCGTAATCTAATAGGCTTTGTTCGCTTTGAGCATGACAAATTTTTTCATCGAGATGATCAATTTGTGATGCAAAAAAGCAGCAACAAAACCATCTACCCTTGCCACCCGGCACCCAGTCGTTTGGCCCGCCGACGCAGCCGAAGTTGCAGTCGCCCACCGCGTATCCTGTGCAAAAGTATCGCACTCGTATATTAAATGCAAGTCTTGCATTACAAATCTTTTTCTTAAAGGTAAATCCGCATTACAAATTTTATCTCTCATGCTGAGGAAATTTGTAATGCATTTATACGACGAGTGCGATGCTTTTGCAATGCATACCGCGAACACCGTCCCCTTGCCCCACGGCTTGCCGTCCTTCGTGGTAACCTGCAGCTTCTTGTTCACCAAAATCCAGCCGCCGCCGCCCGGACCTTGATTTGTTATTTCCGATCGAAATATATGATCCGTCAAAAGACATCCTCAGTCGTAGGGTGAGAATCAAATTATGGTGGATCCAAAAATATGCATGCATCATCCAATTTTTCGCAAGACAAATTGAAATTCTATTGAGATTGACCAGTTGCAGAAAATAAAAAAACTCTTTCTATTATACCCTTATCCGACAACGTTTCCTTTGGCATGAAGTAGTTGCTCGCCTTCACGCCCATGCAGATGTAGGTCTCGTCTGCGCCGTTGGGGAGGCCGATTTTTTTCCAAAACTCGGGTGAGTTCGGCTCGTACTTGACGCCGTAGACCGTGTTGATACCCTTACTTCTCATGTACTTGTCGCAGTAGCTGGGTTTTGAGTTAATTCAGTTTTATGTATCACAAGCACGCAAACGCATCAGCATCGTCTTTGTTCCTGCAACACAAGTAAAATCATTTAGAGTGAACAAAACATGAAAGAAGAAGAACCATCATTCGATACTTCTGTGCATCCACGGGGAGGGGTCCGAGGCAGTTTGGCAAGAAATCGATGATCGTCAGTTGCAGTGAGGTATCCAGTGCAAAAGCATCGTACTCGTATTGCAATCATGCATTACAAATATTTTTCTTAGAGGTAAATCACCATTACAAATTTCATTTCTCATGCTGAGGAAATTTGTAATGCATTCATACGAGTACGATGCTTTTGCAGTTCATATGAGGGGAAGAAGTACTGCAGCTCTGTGGCCCACTCGACTCCGATGAATCCCGCACCGCAGACGAGGATCTTCGCGTTTTTTTCCGCCAAGCCCTTGATTTTGTTGTACTCCTCCCAGATGTGGCGGCGGCGACCCTCGATGGTGCGCTCGTCCAAGTGCTTCCAGTTGGAGTGCGGCCGGGCCTCCTCGTAGATGGTCGGGAACCACAGCGACTCACCCCACTTGTGCAGAAAGTTGAAGTTGCCTGAGATGTCGTTGGAATTGTTTTGTTCCTTGCATCACAAATGTAGTCCTAGTCTCGCTGTTTTTGCATGAGAAATAGGAGCAGAGTGCGAAAATCAAAATGCTCATGATGCGGATTATGCATCACAAACTCTTCATCCAAAAAAAAAATACATCCGGAGCAGATGATGCAGTAGTCGAATGCCAGTTCTTCCGGCGTCTTCTTTATGCAAAGAAAAAAGTTTCACAGTATACACATTGTGTTGCAGGCCAAGCAAAACAAACAAGCTCTGTCATGCCAGGCAGGCATAGGATTAGGAGCCTTTTTTCAAACGTGTTCTTTCTACTCTTCTCATCTCTGCATTACAAATTTTCTCTCTTTTTTTGCGTGAGGAGCGAATTTGTATTTGTGTTGCTAAGTGGACAACATGACAACAGGTGTGAATAAACTGTAAGACTTGTTTCTTTGCATATCCTTCCATCTCGGCTTGATCATGGCCGTGCACTTGTCGCCATCGATGCCCTTTACCTCACCCCAGATGAACTTCACGCCCACCTTTTTCTCGATGACACCCTGCAGCGAAAAGGAGAGGGCATCGAAGTGGGAGGGCTTCACGAACGCCCGCAGGATACCTTCGATTTATTTATGTTTCGAGAGGATCATTTTTGTTGATTTTGTATAGTTAAAGCACGCATGATAAAGCACGTGGACGTGTCTAAAGGGAGTTCAGCATGACAAACAACCACTCTTAGTACCGGGTGTGTATTCGAAGAAGTCCTTGGCATCGACGATGGTTACGTCGAAAGCCCACTTATCCTGAGCAAAAGCGTCTCCACCCTATAGTTGTCATGCAGATTTGCATCTACAGGAACACCTGTAATGCGCATCCGCATGATGAGAGCAGGAATTTGTAGCCGTGATCTGGGATTTGTAATGCTGTAAACCGCATAAGCAGGCATGTCTCTGATGCGGCTGTCGTTGCTGACCAGCACTACACTGCAGATGGAAACCTGTCATGCACAACTCCCAAAAGTTGGGGATTTGTCTAGCAGATATCCCATCTCGACTGTGGGGTGGGGACGTTTTTACTGAGGATACCACTTGAGATCTTTCGCGGCGAGAATTCCGGAGAAACCACCTCCAACGATAAGCACCCGATATCCTGTGCAAAAGTATCGTACTCGCAGTAATCGCAATCATGCATTACAAATCTCCCTCTTAGCCGAAATCCGCATTACAAATTCCATTTTTCATGCTGAGGGAATTTGTCATGCGATTTATACTAGTACGATGCTTTTGCATTGCATACACGACGATTTCCGCCCATCTTGTTATGCTGAGTTTGCAGCAACGAGTCGTGCCAAAAGGATACTTACACAAGTGGTGCTTTATTGGTCACAAGATCTTCCACTTGCTTCGTTCCAAACTCGTACTACGAGCCTGCTACACTTCCGAGTGTATCTTTTTTGTACCGATCTACTATGGACAGAGAGTTTTGGTTTTTATCGTATCATACAAATAGAACGTGGACGTCTTCGAAAAAAATAGGTGTGTTTGACAGAATGCGCGACGTTATTTTTATCGGTGGTACTTCTTGCTGAAGCAGCCACTTCACAGGAAACACAGCAGGTACTATAGAGGATTTATTTCTTGTTGTTGAAACATACAACTTTTGAAGATGCTTGTTGTGACAAAAAAACTCGGTCGAGATGGTGAAGTCCAGTGACTACTGTCACTTTCTTTTGGTCGTGAACGTGATGGGGATTGAAGGGGTGGAAATCAGTAAACTAGGGCGGGGAGAACAAATCTTCTATCGTGAAACACCAAATGGCTGGTCGGTGGAAATTCGCAAGGAAATTAAAGGCAGAATATGTGCAGAGTTGTTCTTGGGCACCAGTGAGAACAGCGTCTTCGTCTCTCGGACTGACTTCATCGTTTGGACAGTACCACTTCTACTACAGGAGCCTCTGCCGAGTGGACGGCATGCACTTTATGTTATTGCTTCATTGCGGCATTTTCGTATAGGTACTGCAGTCGTGAGGAGCCGTGCGCAAAGGAAAATGCATGAAAAAAAAGACCGATGAAAGGATAATTGATTTGTAATTTTTGTAGTACAACATTTCTCAGCAGGGCCAGACTAGGGGCCGCAGGCTTTGGAAAAAGCACGCCTGATATAGGGCTGTTGTATGTATATGTATCGATCTCCGTAGCAGAACCAACAAACAAGGTGGTGACGTGGTGTTGCAAAAAAAAAAACTCCTCTAGTCCGCCTCTCCTTCTTTGGCTGGAACACAAATTCTGTATCTGACAAAGATCCAGGCAACAGCCGGCAACCACCTGCTCGGGCTGCACAACTAGAATCAGTTTTCAAAGTTGTATCAAAAGCGGAAATTCTCTTTTGTGTGTGCTCGTGCTACTTTGTTAAATTGTTAATATGGTAACTCTCTCCCGATGTGATTTATTTTAGTGCGCTTAAAACCAAACTTCAATTTTTTTTTCTGATGCTTTTGTCGCTTAATTTTGTTTCAGATTTCCTCTTCTCGTGTGAACGAGAGAAAACAAGACCTTCTTGGTGAGACACAATAGGGTTTTGGTTCGCTCTTGATTCTAAAGTCGCTGTCACACTCACATACACATTTGTGATGCTGATGATGTTGAGGTACTACTAGAACTAGTCACAAAAGTTGGCTGACTATAACATTACGGCGTAACTTCTAAATTTCCAAGAACTACATTTTGTCACACGTACGAAGTTCAAGCTCTACAAACTCTTCAACTTTTTGAAATAAAACTGAACCCCTTTTTGGGGCGTGTGTGAGACTTTCGATTCATCGTTGCGAGACAAACCGAAGGATAGTTCTTGTGAGCTCCAGAGTACGCAGTCCACAGTCCGTTCAAAAAACAGACTAAGATTAGAGACGTTCGTGTCGCTTAAGCTTAAAAGTGATGTGCTGACTACCTTTTCCGCGATACGCTTGATATTCTGTTTTCCATCGGGTTTAAAATTTCAAGAACCGAGAATAAATAACGGTGCTGGTAAAATCTACGTATAGCAGGTTGAGTACAACAATTTGGAGAAACACAGAATACCATCCTTGGGGTGAAGGCTCGAAAAATATCGTCGATAAGCAACATACACACAAACACTACGGGTAGCATTTGCGAATTTTCTTCGACCTTTCTCTTCACTAAAGATAGCAGAAGAGTTCTTTATTCTGTGACAGAACAGAGGCGCGTGAAAGCACGGCTTGAGTACGGCACACCGGTCAGGAACTACTACCCGGAGCTGGTGCGTTCGCGCCCGGCTCCCCGCCTCCATCAGCCGAAGTTGTAGACGGCTCGTTCACATTGCCCCCCACGATTTTACTCGACGTGACTTTGTATCTCGGACCGGTTCTGGTCTTGCCGAAGGGGTAATTACTTTTGTCGTGTTTTCCTTTGCCCTTCTTCTTTCCCTCCTTGTCTTTCCCGCCCTTTCCGGTAGTACCTGCTTTTGATGTTGTTTTTGCCTTCCCCCCTGCTGCTGTCGTAGCAGAAGTACTCCCTCCTTCATTGTCCTGCTTGCCACTCTGTTCTTTGGTTGCATCCTCCTTGTTGTTCGTCGCGGGTGCAATTTCATCTGTTGTGTCCCCATCTTTCCCCTTGCCCTTTTTCTTCTTCGATTTCCCTCTCTTCCGCCCCGGCCCGGCACCTTTGCCTCTATCTTCGTCAAGAACATCCTCGTCGTTCTGGTCCGCGGTAGTAGAGGTTTTATCCGTCATCTTGCTGTAACTTGCCTTGCTGTTTTTGTCCCCGCCCTTGGAGGATGAGTTCATCTTTCCTGCGCCCTTTGATGTGCTGTTTGTCGGGTTATAGTTGTTGCGGTAGTTGCGCGCCTTGTTGTCCGCTTTATTGTCACTGCTAAACAAATCCTCGCCGTTGACGAAAAAGCCCCAGTTGGGCTTCTCCCGTACCACGTCATTGAACTTCGGGTCCGCCAGGGCGTGGGGGCGGAAGAGGATATCTTCCTTCACCAGAACCTCCTTAGTTCCGCTTTGGCGCGGCTTGCTGCTCGCGGCCGAGGGGGTATTGATGGTCTCCTGTCCGGATTTCGGAACTTCCGTTTTCTGGTCGTCGGAATTCGTGGGGAGGGACTGCGCGGTAGAAACCATGTTGTTGATAATGCTGAACAAATCCTCCTTGCGGTACCTGAATGGTGAAGTAGTACGGCAATAAATCATTGACAATTTGAAAAAGTAGGTACTTAAAGGGCTTCCTGTATCATCAAGATCAAGCACGATAGTATCGCAACGAACTATACAAAAAAGCAAAATCGCGCCAACATCCGAAAAGGCAGCACGATCAACACGAAGGAAAACTTCTATTCAAGTACCTTCTAAATTCGTGCGTGAAGCCCGCCAGCTCAGGTGCGATGGCGTCTTGCTCGATTTCCCCGGTCAACGGGCGAACAGGAGGGTTGTAACCGTATTTCCCACCTGCACCTCCCTTGGCGGATGAAGAACCTCCTGCGAAAAAATTGGCACCACCTGGACCTCCTTTGCTGTTCGTCCAGTTAGAAGTGCTCATTTTTGCGCCGCTGCTGGCCGTTGCGGTGCCGTAATTGTTGAAGCCGGTATTGAATGCGTCGTACATGCCTGCGCCGCCGGTTGGAGCTTGCTGTTATGCATTGCAAAAGTATCGTACTAGTATAAATCGCATGAGAAATTTCCTCAGAAAGGAAAATGGTTTTTATCATGCTGATCTACCTTAGGAATCAGATTTGTCATGCATATCTGCGATTAGTACGAGTACGATGCTTTTGCATTTGATAGCTGTTCCTGCATGTTGAAGCCCGTGCCCTGCTGATGCATTTGCGCTTGTTGTGCGTCGGTGGGGAGGAAGAAATTTCCCTGCTCGTCCAGACCTACTGAGGTTTGGGGATACCTGGAAAATATTGCGATAAAACATGCAGCTGTTGCACTTGTTGCATCAAAGAAATCATGCATGAAATGCAATCCCAGTCACGCACGAGCATGACAGAGTTGATGTACGAGTACGAGGCAACAGTATTATAGCAGAACGATTTTGATTTTCAAATCGTCTTCATCGCCGGACAACACAAAGAACGAGAAGAAACTCAATACCATTTCTGTCCCCCGTCCGGCGACCACATGACTAGGCCCGTGTTTGGGTCGTACATCATGGGGGTGCTGGTGTTCCCTGCTTCGTCCATAGTGCCGTACTCTTGTCCGTCCATTCCCCCGGGAGATTGCCCCGCCGCGCCGCCCATATTATCGCCACCGGAAAACATGGCGCCGGGCGATTGCGCGTCGAAGCTGTAGCGCTGCATCAAGTGGTATTACAATGAAAAATGCCCCCTCCCCACATCAAAGCGGAAACTTGTGATGCAGATTCGTGGCCACAAATCAGCTTTGTGATGCTAGAAGGCAAAAGGTGCGGACTGTAGTGCTGTCTAGCGTAGGAAAGCCTTGCAGCTCCAGGATGACAGGAGGCAACTGGAAGTGGGAAACAGCATGGCAGATTGCCTGCAATTTAGGCCGCAGCTTCGTCTCTTGGCCTTCTAGCAATACAATTCGATTTGTGTACTCAAATACAGCATCACAAATTCGCGCATCTCCCGTTTCCGATATGGGGAGGGGGGATTTTTCTTTTTGATAAGTAGTTCGGGTCGTTTAGCATGGGTTCGTCATAGGGTGTATCGTATTTAAAAACGTCCCCACCCCATAGCTGTAATGCAAATCTGCATGCTAAAAATGTTTCTCATGCGGAGCCCCATGAGAGGCATCTTTTAGTCGTGTTTTCAAATTTTCTATGCTCCAATCAGCATGATATACTAGATCTGTAATGCTGCTGAGCTACCTCAAACAGCACTACACTACGAGTCCAAATTTGTCATGCAAAACAGCCAAAGCTTGTGGATTTGTCTAGCCGATTCCCCATCTTGACTATGGTGTGGGGACGTTTTTACACAGGATAGGGTGGCACCCAGGTCCCCGCAGTCTGGCTGTTTGCGGGCACCCAGGACCCGTCGGGCATGATGAAGCCACCGTTGCTGTACTGCGGCTGGTAGTTTGGCACCACGTTGTACGCGTTGCTGGTGTTCAAGATGCCGTCCTGAATGTTGCTGTAATTCAGGTTGGAATTGCTCAGCTGGTCGGAGGTGGCGTCCAGATTATTCGTGAACAACCGGTCGCGCTGCGACGTGCTGGTTGGGGACTGTTGCAGATTGATGTTGTTGGTCTTCTTCAGCGAGGTGCTCTATCAAAATGAAAAATCCCCCCTCCCCATATCGAAATGGAAATCTGTGATGCAGGATTTGTGTACACAAATCGGATCTGTCTTGCGGTGGAGGACTGCAGACAGATACAAAGCCCGGAAAAGGGTGGCTTGGGGTAGGTACTTAGCATGGCAGACGTTTGCCCTAGTAGCGTAGCAGCAATACAAATCGCCTGCGAAATGCAGCGGAAGCCCTGGCTTTGCTCTCTTGCAAGACAGACTCGATTTGTGACCACAAATCAGCATCACAAATTTTGAAAAGCACGCCTTTTCGATACATATGGGGAGGGGGGATTTTTCCTCACAATATGCTCAAGCCCATCACCACGTTGGCCTGATTCTCCGCGGTGGGCGATTGCGCGGTGTTCACCACGTCGGCGGTGTAGGACCTGTCGTGGGGGGGTTTACTTTGGAAGGTGGAATCTAAGGAGGAGCCCTTGGATTTTGATTGTTTTGCTTTTGGTTTCCTTTTCCAGGGCTCGAGCATGACAACATGCACCAAGAAAGCCAGGTGCGGGATCAGGATCTTCATATGCTGGTTCATCTGCTCGCGGTATTGGTAAAAACATATCCGTGTTCTTGTAGTAGTTCGCACAATTTGATTTTCTCTACAACTTGTTCTCACCTGTCTCCTAGTATGTCTAAGCTCGGCAGCGTTTGCGGCAGGATTTCCCGCACACTGTCCCGCAATTCTGGCACCATCATTTTCCCGGCCCCAGACGCCGGCTCGCCGTCGAGCAGGCCGTTTAGATTGAGATTTTTGTTTCCGCGGTTGTGCGCCGAGGGGGAGGTGGCCGGACTGTTACCTCCGACGTTGGTCGTGCGGTTGCGATTACCGTTCTGCTCCAAGGTAGCCAACGTGAGCGGCGTTAAGGAGGAGAGAACCTGTTTTTTTAGGCATGGGAAGAAGTTGATATTTCATGTTTCTCATGCAATTTTTATGCGATTCGTAATGCCAATATCGAGGATTCATTTCAAGGTAAATCGCTCGCACTAATACGTCTATTACTATTCGTGAAGACACTTACCTCCTCAGTCGCCGTGCTCGTGCCGCCGCTTGCTTGTCAGGGTATGGGCTTCAAAACAAGTCTCTGTCTCCATCAGCACTTCTTAGTCATAATCTGCCACATCATCATACATGAGTCTTTCATGACTAAGGCACAATGACATGGTACATCAAGCTCCTGCTCCACGATATATTTTGCAATAAGTAGATACTCCGCGTAGCCGCGCCAGCATGGCATATTCACTGCGCGGCCATTTGCCATTCTTTCAACATATGCAGCTTGTTCACAACGCGTGCCCCCCCGCATGTGCTAGTCTTGTCGGGAAGAGAAATTTCATCAATGAACAAGTGTTAAATGCTGATGATGGAAGAGAAATTTTGCGTGTCATACCCGAAATGGAAAGTCCGTTAGCGGGGAACAGCGGGGAAAAGTAGGTTTGCTGCACTTGGTGAAAAGACTGCACCACGTGGTGACTCCGCATGTTGGCCCGAATTTTCTTGCTATCGTCCCAGGGACACGTTCGGTTTCGCAACTGCAGCGCGGCGGAAATGGCGTCCTCGGGGTTGTAAAACCGGACGTACCTAGGGTAGAGATGCTGAGTCTCAACATGTGAAATTCAAGTACCGCTACAACCATGCTTATGCAAACCAATGTGAAAATACAAACTCAACCTTGAGAAGCAGAATGAAAGATTAAGAAACTGTAACTGGAACTGGCGCAACTCAGAAAAAAAAAGAACTTTCCAATACCACACTCTGGTTCTGTTGAGCGTGTTATGCGTGCCGCCCCAGAAGGCCAGCGTGGGCGCTACCGCAGTAGAAGATGCTTTTCCAGTGTCGTCTTTCGTCCCCGAAGTAGATGTTGTTGCCTGGTTATTTTTTGTGCTTTTGCTTTTCCCCTCCACATTGCCGCCGTTCGCAGTGTCGCCGGCCTCTACTTCTGCGGAAGATGAGGACGCTCTCCCACCCGCAGATGACGTGGAGCCCGGCTCTACTGCCTGTTTGTTTATTTTCGTACTTCTACTCGCAGTTCCACCCCCGCCACCCACACCAGCTTGGTTCGCTATCATCCGACTGAGTGAATCCTTGGAGACGATGGTGAATCCGATCTCCTCAAACAGGCCTGCTAGCACATTCTTGCTGGTTCTCAGCGGGATGTCGTGGAGCAGCAGCGTGTCTCGGCGCAGCTCCACCTTCAGCGCTATCCGCTTGCTCGTCGGGTCGTAGGCAATCACGTTTTCCTGCGCCAGTTCTTCTAACGCCTTGGAAACCTGGCCCTGAAACTCCTCACTATGGTTCGAAACCCGCCCCCGGGTGGACTTGTTATTTCTGGTGGTTGAATTTGCATTTATTCCACTGCGCGTTGTGTTGTAATTCCTTGCTGTAGAGCTGCTGCTGTTCCCACTTTCCTCGTTCTGCGAGATCACCATCTTGTACTGCGAGTTCGCATCTGATTCCGATAGTAAAGCCCCCGCAGCTGCACCGGAAGACATTACGCCCCCCGGCTCGGTCTTCACGTCCTCGCTGTTGGTGCGCTCCGTGCGGACCTCGAAGTTGTTGTGCGGGTTGAGGGTTTCCACATCGTCCCCGTCATCGGTTTTGTCCTTGTCCGCCACCTTGTCGCAGACAAAGTCGAAGTGCAGGCCCAGCATGGGGTCGAGGTTCTCCGTAATGGAGTCATCGTGCTGGAGATTGCTGTGGGAAAACAGGTTGCGCAGAAAGTCCGTGACAGCGGTGTCGCTGTTGTTCTGCTGCTGCTGCTGCTGCTGGGTACCATCCGACATCCTGCTGACACAACTTCGATAATTCTGAAGTAGGTCACTCAGAACTTAGAACAGCAGTTGCCTCGGTTTGCTTTTGCCCGTCGGATATTACAGCCGCTACTCGGTTGTGGTAACTTTGTCGGCAGCCGCAGTCGCGCCCGGTTATCGTGGTTCTTGTCCTCTTTCACCAAAAAAACCAACACTGCAGTTCCTCCGGCACGAGCACAAGTAGGACTATTTGTCTACTCTACTTATGTTGGACGCAAGTACGAGTGCTGCAGCTTCTTGATCTTGCCCTCGGTGCTCCTTGGGGCAGTTACTAGTACTGCAACAGCTGTTATTGTGATTGCAGTGCTGCAGCTGTCGTGAAACCAAGCCAGGTTTCGGACGACCCGGCCGCTACGGGTCTTCGCGCATTCTTTTTACGGTTGCACACTAGGATCTACGTCGCCATGGCCAAGGGAGTGAGTACGGCATTCGCGTGCCTTGAAGCGAATTCTCCTAGCTAATGTATTTTTTCGATCGCAATCGGAGAAATATATCGTGACCCTAGCTCCTCTACTTGTTGATACGATTCTTCGGACCGACACCGATTCATTTTCATTTTTTAGAAGCGCTGTAACACATTATTCCGAGTAGAGTTGTAAAGAAACCACGTTACTTTGTGTCGTCGTGATAAGAAAATTCCCAAATAAAAAATTAATAAAAATGAAGCGATGACAAGCTAAATAAAGGTCGACGTCGAACTACTTGAGTAACTATGTACTTCAACAAATTGACAAAATAAATCAAAACGTATGTACTAACTTAGCGTTGTCAGTTTCTCCTTTTATTTCGCTGCTGGTCGAGGAGAAACAGCTCCGTTTGAAAGGAAAAACAGCTGCAGTTTCCTAGCCGTCTAGGTCGCCGGGTGACAACGACTTCTACGTTTTCACAGGAGCCTCAGGATCGTGTTCAACTCTCCGGCGGAAGTAGATCGCAGGATTGAGATTCTGACCTTGTACCAAATTGATACTTGCAGTGTAGTTTGTTCATTCGCTTTCGCTACTAAGCTAAAGAAGATCTTTTGACAAGAGTCAGACTTTAACCGAGAAAAGGCTAATGCTTCAGGTCATGATAAAATCAGCAGGTACCTTGCTGCATGTGGTTTTCGTCTTTGATATGTAATCATTGCCAGCTGTAGTACAAGAACGCGGTAGCAACTGCCGAATAGGGATACCTTACATTACTTACACTTACAAACGACCGCGTTACCACCCCTCTGCAACGACAGATATTTCGTCACTGCAATAAATAGTTTTGGATCGTGTTCTTCCGACCAGTAAAATTATCTTGGAATTGTCTGATTAGTACTAAAGATACCTCTCATCTCCTCTCTTGCCTTGCGGCCGCGCGTGAGGCCCTCGTCCATCTTCTGCACGCTTACCAGCGGCAGATTTTGCGCTATAATCGAGGCTCAACACTTAGTCGCTGACGTGATACGATGATCCGCACTCTCGCGGGCCAGGTGTCTAGAACTAGAACTTTAACTACAACTACTTGTTAGGGTGCAAAATAAAACTATCTCAAGAACCAGCCAAATTCTACTATTGATCTCGCCTCTTCAGCAACCCACACTCTCATTTCGACATCATCTTTCGCGTTATAAAGATACTTATCAAAAATCATCGGCAAAAACTACAAATGCCATAATAATTTTGGCGGTACACAGACAAAGGCGAACACACACAGATTTTTACCACACAGACGGCGCCCAAACAAGCTGCCAGAAAGCCAGAAGAGGGATGCAGCCTGAAAACAAAATACACCTTTCATACAAGCTTCGTCCAGATCCAGTTGTCGGCACGTGGCATCAAATAAGTAAAACTCAGACAGTAAGAAACAAATCCTGTTCATGTTATTATATCAAATGACATCCTTTTTTCACAGTACAGTAAGTACCCTATTGGACATTGCTTTAGGCGCAGACTCAACACGGACCTAGTACAACAGATTGCTGTAGGCGGAAGACCTAGTACTTACTTCCTTTTTATTAGAACGTGATGACTTGAGCTTTTCCTTTGCCGCTCGATGTCCATTAAGTTGACGACGCCAAGTAGAATAAAATGACTAACATATGACTATGCTTCGCCATCACAACAGCTCTGTGCTATTAAGTATTTATGAAATGACACAGAGCTGGCACGGAGCTTTCGCTCTCTTCGTAGTTCAGGCCAAACAAGCAAGGTAGAGCAGAAGGGATGTGATTTTCAAACCGGATGCGCCTCAGCAGCTTCTGGCGGCAGACTGATGGCACGGGCGTGTTGACAATGCCACCTGTCGTCTTGGTTTTGTCCCATCTCATACTCGAGGTAATATGCTGACCGACAATTCCCGTTCTTCGCCAACATACAACAGCCACCATTCATTTTGTCGTACTTCATTTTCGCAGTGTTCCACTCCGGCGACGGTGTCAACAGCCATATGGACCGGCTGAGTTTCAGCCACGTGCGTTTAGGGATGGATTTCTCGACTTGAAACAGCGTCTCCAAAGCGGGAGAATCAACATTCGGATCGATGCTCTCCGCGCTTGAAACCTGATCGGGCGGAAGGGGAAGGCTGGCGTCGTGCAGAAAAAAATTTGCGTCCAGAACGCCGGCGTGAATCTATCCTGTGCAAAAGCGTCTCAGTGAACATGCCACTTTGAATCAAGGGGATGAGGCGGAAGCCTGACTCACCATCTTTTGCGTCTTCAGAACTCATCTGTTTTCTGTAGCAACTCTACTTTTGTCGTTTTTTGTAGTGATGCAACAAAGTCGGTAAACAAGACCACCCTCAAGTCTGTATCGCCGTAAATTGTGCGCGGCATGCCCATGCGGCATCAATTCTACAAGGGGCCGCCTCCGTGTATTCGCCTTCTACGAAGGAAGGTCGTCTTGTCGAAAAATGAAAACGACTTTATCACATGTACACCATCTTCGTTATAGGAAACTTACATCGTCGTCACTGCGGCAAGGCCAGGCCATGCTGACGATTTGCTGCCTACTCCTGTATGATTCCGAATGCAAATGACTTCGACGACTTTACGCCTGATAGAGTGACGACGACCACAATTTTGTCCCTCAGCCTGTAGTCGAACACGGGGTTGCCCGGTATCGTGTAAGTGCGTCGATTCGTATCCTTAGTCTGGCTGGAAATTCCCAGCTCCAGTTTATCACGGATGAAAAAGCAACGCTTATCGCCCAATGTGGCGCAACACCATATTTTCTTTTGCATGCAGGTAAGGCTAAAAATGAGACATGAACATGTAAAACATAAACAATACCAAACTCGAAATATGAATACATCTCATGACAATCAATGACTTCTCCGTGGTGAATATGATAGATACCTAAATGAAGACAAGGTATTTTTAAGCGACTTGAATTCGAATTGCGATCCCGATCGCCGAGCCCGAAGACTGCAACACAATAAAATATGGTGGGGCAGGTTCAGATGGACCTACAGAGCGTCTTCTGAATCTGATACAGCTTCTGCACAAAAAAATCGTGGGAGGTTTTTCCCGCTAGCTTCTCGGACCCTCTGGGCCCGAACTTGACACCATCGTTGCTGTTCCAGCTGGCATGCACTTCGTTCCATTTTTCCCTCCCGGCCTGCGCGTCATAAAATGCTGCGTCGAGGTTGCCGCTCATGAAAAAATCGTTGAGGAATCGAATATTCTGGCATGACTCGCTCAAGACTTGCAATCTCAAGCGGTGCAACATGAAATCAAATTCAAATCAAGAGAAAGAGCTTTGCGGAAGAAAATCAGTATGGACATGGACGATTACATTGTTACACGGTGTCACTAGCTACAGTTTTATACATCATGCCCAACTAAGCACTACTCTTTGTCTTGCTCAAAATTGTTCGTATAAATATAATGTTAATGCATAAATTAGCCGTAGCCGTGGGCTCCGTCCCTGCTTGTAATTAGAAGGAAGTTCAACGTCCCTACATTGCAACGCTTGCCACTGCAAAATTTCTGCTTGTCATACCTTGTGGTGCGAGCTTCTGTCCCAGTCGGAAGACACAGTACCTTTATTTTCCTCTCCCCAGACGGCTTCTTCATTCGAATGAGTTTTGGCTTTCCCACTTTCGCACACCGGCTCTCCCCCAGGCGTTTTAATCTTCCACACCCCGCCATCGCACTTTTGGAAACGTTCTGCTTTGATTTCCCGCAATTCAGGAACTAAGAAGATCTGCGGAACAATCCTAGGTACGCCGTCGCGTCCTCCGTTGTCGTCTGAAAATACACCCATGCCTTCCAACAATATGCAAGGCAACAAAAAGCTTAGTTAGTAGTGAAAGTTTGCATCGACGCAGAACATGCAACAAGAGTAGAGCCACGCTTGCCTTAATGCAGCACCACCGAGATGGCCTTTGCTCTCCATGACCGTTGTGGGTATCCGAAAGGCAATTTATTTCCTTGTCACACTCATGCAAAGCCAAGTTGGCACGTACATTGTTCAAGCGGACCCTCATCGAAATCCCTTGACGCCGTCGCCGCAAGCAATTTCTGACATAAAAGGAAATCTACGGGCCAACTTGTCATCTAGTCATTTCATGATGAAGCTCACACTAACACAGCTCGTTGCCTGAAATAAATAAAGCGTCGAGAGTTTGCATAGACCGCAACAGTGGGGAACAGAGGAAGACCACTTTCTTGAAAATGGACTCACGCCACATAGACTCATCTTGCTTGAAGGAGGGGTCGTTCATTTCTTTCCGGAGCTCTGCTTTCACATGTTCGTTCAGCGTCTCTCCAATTCTTTTTGCCGATTCTTCAACACCTGGCCTAACCATCATCCAATGCAAAGATATCGTCTTCTATTTTTGCGCGGGAGGCCAAGCTACAAAACTATGCACAGAGACACAGCACCGCCAACATACAATTTGCTGATCATGTAAGTAGTCTCCTCATCCGTGCCAACAAGACTCAGTATTGTTTCTGCTCCTCGACGTCAGCAGCGGAATGATATGCCGATGGCACGCAGTTCCTCGAAAGGAACTGTGGGCTGTTGCTATTCGATTTTGCGTTTGGAACCTGAAGCTGCATCGCGCTTCTTCAATTGAAATCAAACAAAACTGGTTGAAGATACTTCTCTCTAAAATGAAGGCACCATATCAAACAGCTCTGGCTTTTTTCTGTGGCAGACCTCGAGATGAGACAAGAAGAATGTTAGTCTGTGCATTGGATAGGCGGCGGGTCGAAGTCCAGTCGTTTCTTTCCGTCCGCCATTTCTATCTCGTCTTTCGAAAATCGGTTAGAGGTGCGCATCACAAGAATTTGCTTTGGTGGCGTGTCCGCAGACTGTTCGTCCGGTTTCGCCGATGGTTCTGGCTGCTGGAGGTGCCTTCCAATTTCCGAACTCCCTGGTGGCTGGTGCTGCGCATCCCCCAAGTATGGAATGCAAATCGTTAATCAGGACGACGACCACGAGCGACACGAGATAAAAGAGTGTAAAGAAAAAAACAGGCGGATGCTTTTATTTGCTTTTACCGATGCAAACGAAACATAGAGCGTCAGCGTTTAGGCCAACACCCTCTACTTCCGATAATTTAGGCGGCGACGAACTTTTGGATACCCTTGGCTTGTCAACGTTGTTGGCTTTAGAAAGAAAAACGCTCCACGTGACCGGCGTGGTCGTATACATAGCATTGATTTGCAGTGCGTAGACCTGGCTTGCTGCTGCTGGTAGCAGCAGAACCGCGTTGAGGAGCAGATTGAGGAAAAGGCGACTTCTGTTCTTCCTCGGTGGCCGGTTTTAAAGGAGTCGTCACGGGACTCCTGCGGTCACCCCTTTCAGAACCAGCACCAGCTTCAGCAGCTAATGCTCCTTCTGCCGGGTGCACAGGTGGAGGTTGTGGCCCACCGGCGGTGAGCCACCACGCTGCAGCAGGGTGCGTATTCCCTGTGACAGTGTTTGCTGCTGGTTGTTGCCCCACAAGTTGAGAATCATCATGATCTTCAGAAGGCGCTGGCGCTTGGGCTTGCTGGTCTTCCTCACGAGGACGAGGACGATCACGCCCCGGAATGTCTATAACCTCTTCAGGGCCGGAAGCAAACGGAACATGTTTAGCAGCCACAACTTTGCCTTTTGCTTTTGTACCCTTTCCTGGGGAGGGAGCCCCGCCAGCGTCACTTGTTCCGGCAGGTGCTGGGGGTGGCGTCAGAGAAGCTTTTGGAGCATCTTCGGGATCTCCACGAAGAGCAGAGTCCCCAGACGGCGGTGAGGAAAGAAGATTCGCCGATTGCCTAGCTCCTGCTCCGGCAGCACCATGCTGCAGTGGTGCGGAAGGTAGTGTCGTAGACGTACTACTTCCTGCGGGTGGCTCTTGACCAGCACCAGCAGCTGCATTCGCGGCGTCCGCGGAAGCGTCAGCAGGCGCAGCTGGCGGCGGAGAAGCTTTTTTGGGATGAGGAGCAGCACTTCCTGCTTTTTGCGGCACTGTGGACAGATCATGATCCACCGATTGCAGAGCACCATGCTGCGCTGCCGCACTTTGCTGGTCAGCACCTCCACCACCAGGCTTCTGGGAACGTGGGGTCGTACTTGTAGCCGCTGGAGGTCCAGCACCTTGATGACCAGCACCAGCAGAAGCAGCTCCAGTCGCCCCGCCCGGTGGCAGAACTGGAAAAGGACCACCTCCGCCAAGCCGTTGTACCGGCGCGGAGGACGCCAGTTTTGATGGCGGGCGCTCTTGCAGACGCTCCTGCGGCGCTGGATGCCGTGGATCGTTACCTGCTGGAGGTTCTTGCGCATTTTGACTTTTAGCTGTGCGCGTGTAATTCGGCGCTCCTTCGCTACCACCATCACCACCGCAACAACCGCCTCCTGTTCCCTGACCAAAGGCTTCCGCTTGCTTGGCTGACCGAGGCGCCAACGTGTCTTTCTGCAGGACGGACGACACAGGAGGGGAAGGATCGTCTGCGGGATCTTCCAACAAAAATCCCCATTGTTTTTCATCGGGACTGCTGTCTTCACATTTATTCGCCTCCAATGGGGTGCCGTCGCATGCGAAACAGCCGAGTTCGAAGCCGCCATCGCTGTTGTGCTCGGGCTGGTCGGTGTTCTTGATCGTGTCCGTGGGGCTCGTCGTGTCCATGACATTCCTCATGCTGTCCGTTTGCACGGCAAGGACGACGAACGAGGACCCTTGATCGGTTTCGCCCGTGATCAAATTTTTACCGAGGAACGACAAGGGGGCCAGCAGCTTAAGCGGGTAGGAACTGACGACGTAGTTCTTGCGGCAACCACGGCGCAACACGCGCGGTGCGCAGAAGATGCTGAAAAACATTCGGCCGGAAGTTCTTGTTGATGTGCCGCGTAGGCAGCTTGCGACTTTCCCTTTTGCGAAGTTGTTCCCCGGATAGCGTTTTGCAGGAATCCGAACCGTCCTTGTCTCCACCACGGCGGCGATCGCTGTCGTGTGCCGCCCGCCAGGCGTGCCCATGCTGCTCGTCGTGCCACAGTACATTGGTTGAAGAAGAAGATGAGCAGTCTCTTGTAGTTTTTTCCTCTAGCTATTTTTGTTCACGCGAGTTTACTGCGGCGGTCGCTGGGTGGATGATAAATAAACCTTGTTTGCAATCACTCCGTAAAAGAAGAGAGTACTGCTGATCTCGGCAGCAAAGACGAACCCCAACGCTGGGTCGTTCTATCTTTACAAGAAGTCGTGTCACAAAGGGGGGTTGTGGTTGTTTGACTCGTGGGTCGGAGTCGTAGAAATTAATAATTGTGGGTCGCAAAAAATACAGGAAAGAGGACAAACCTGTTCTGTTTGCATGTAATATTCTAGGCTTGTACGACAAGAGCTCTCCGTTGCTTGCTGCTAATCATGTACGTCTGCGGCATTGCCAACAAGCAAAAAAAAAGCCAAGAACGAAACCGCCATGCAAACGAAGACTCTCACGAGCACCAGCCTCGCAGGCTCCATAATATCAAAAAGACAGGAACGAAACTAGCAGCGCAGCCTCGACCACCGAATCAAGGATTATATATGCGCTTTCACGACTGACATCTTCGAAGCCGACCGACATGCTCGAAGTCTATTTTGTTCTGTGGACGAGACAAACAGACACGACGACAGAGCATCTTTTTATTGCTGATAATGTCCTGCGCGTACAGACTCGCACGATGACCGAAACAGGGTTGGTTCCTTCAAACTCAGTGGAACGAGAATTATTTTCTTGAAAATCAGAGCAGTGGACGCAGAAGTGCTAGTGGTATTTTTGTGTTCGAGGACTTCATCACGAAACAGCACCGATACGACACCACGAACGAGCATTTGTGGCATAGAATCCGAGCTCCACAAGGGGGATCGACGTGGTCGGTGCAGACCATGAATGCGAAGCGACGAGAAGTTGTTTGGAGCGACAGGGCATGACTACGGGAGGGACGACGACTGAAACGAAAAACTGTAGAATCGTTTTTCTAGAAGATCTGGAAGCGAGGACGAGTCAAACAAACAACGGAGTGCTGAAGATGTGGTACCTCCTCTGAATTTCTTTTCTGCGCTTCTCCTTCGGCTTGATAGATTCTGCGACAGTGCAAGAAGAAGCCATACCCATAAATATCAACAATATCATTCGTGAATTATTTTTCATCTTCTCCACTCTGTTGTTCTACGAACTTACTACGTCTACTGTTACTGTATTAAAGCAATATAGCGCTTCTACGGACCTCATAGTGCGTAGATCCGCTTTTCAATAGAAGTGGCTGTATGTAACATACAGCCACTTCTCTGCATTTGTCCATCAATTTTCCGTCGCAGCAGTGGTCATTAACTGATGCATTCTTTACGACGACGTCGACGCCGCTTCTGTATCGCTGTCATCCGCATCCCCCTTGCTCCGGCAACACATCATGTAGAAGATGATACCTCGCAAGTTTGTTTATTGATTCCTTCTTGCTCTTTTTGTGCATGGCAAACAGAATTTCTCATGCGAAAACACGACCACAAATAGCAAGAGCTGCAACACAAAGAACAACAATTTGTAGTGTGCAACAAAAGAACAGTACCTCCCACAAACCCCGCTGGTGACATGAGATAGGACATGTACGACCCCTGCGTCCCGACCGCCGCCCCGCCGGCTGGCGCCATTCCGTTATTCATGCCCATCCCGTTGTTCATGCCCATCCCGTTGTTCATGCCCATTCCGTTATTCATGCCCATTCCGTTGTTATTCATATTCTGGTTCTGCCCGTTTCCATTATTATTCTGCCCCCCGCCCGCATTGTTGTTTCCACCTGTATTGTTGTTTCCTCCACCTCCGCCCGCATTGTTATTGCCTGTCGTGGTGCCTCCACCGGCGTTGCCGCCCGACTGCCCTCCAGCTCCACCTGCGTCCGCACCACCACCTGCACCTTCCCCTTCCGCAAAAGACGATAAAATCGAGTGAGGATTTTTTCGCAGCCGCAGACGCCCAGCAGGAACATCAAGACCATGGCTCTGCTCACCATTTTCAGGGTTCAGAAAAACGTGGAGGAGTTTCTGTCCTGTTGTTTTCATGCCGGTGATTTGGAGTGCTGGTTCTACTTGGCCGCCAAGCGTCAACCTAGGCAGATGGCAGCTCTTAAGTAGACCAAGACCATGATGATCAACTACATTTTCCGCGAAGCTGAGGAAACTCGTTGACGAGGAGGCTGCTGCGTGGGCAGACGGAGAAGAGGATGAACTACTGCAAGAGCCCGCTCCTTTTCTCATTTGTTGTTGTTCCCCACGACTGGAGGTGGAAACGAAAGCAGCTGTGTCGTCGCAGTCATGCCGTTGTCTGCTGAAGAAGGATGTGATGAATTTCTGGTCGTGGTAGAGAAGCTTGTTGTCGTTGCGTGAAGAAGACGATGCACTACAAGAGGAAGCCCCCAGTCCTGCAGGAAAAAGTTCTTGGTGGTGGTGCCGAGTGGTGGCTGGTTGCACACCAGCCGCATGATGGTGATCCAACACCGTCTGCTGAACCTGTTCCCACAAACGAGCACCTGTCATCTTATATTCTACCAGACTATTTTCTTGAGGTTTCTTACGTTTACCCTTTTTTTTGTAGCAGCTTGTTCCAGCTGCTATGTATCCTATATCCTTGCTGTGTGTTACCCTTACTATTTCCTGTTGCCCTTTACCGCGAAGTAGCACAAATCTGTCTGCGACCTAGTTCCTTGTTCCAGGCATAAGTAGACTGACTGGATCGCAATTCCCAGGGTCATAAGACGAGTCCGAAGCGAGCACTTCGATCATCATGCAGTTTTACGAGACACGACGACAACAGGCATGATCTTTTTTTATACTCCGGACGACCACGAAAATTTCGATGACGATAGCGAAGCGATTGCGATGCATAGAGACCACGACCACGAGGTGGTGCACTCTATTCGCTCTTTGGGACTGCGACTTATTGCTTACACATGGAGATGAAAAACGAAAACGAAAGCCATAGAAATCCATCTTACGAGCGAGAGGCGACACAAGTATTTCGTATGAAGAGTCTTCCGGCAGAAGTTTCTCAGTCACCGGCAGGTCAACACCCGAACAATGCCCGTCCGCGACAAGCTTCGGTAATGAAGATCGTGCCCGCGACACCAGGCTGATGTCGTACGCCGTGCAAAAATCACAAGCCTTTGCTCATTTCGAGTCATCAAGCTTATTCTTTATTCTCGTTCCCCTTGAGGACGTGCGGATCCCACGTCCCTCTCCTTCCGCAAGAATCCTCGCGCAGATCAACATAGAGCGTGAACTTCATACAAAAAATCTCTTTATGCAAAGAACGTCCTCTTTCTTCTATCTGCAACTAGTATCCCCCATGCTCTTCCTGCAGTTCCCGCAAAACCAACTTTGCCTCCTCCCGCTCCGGGCCGTTGGTATCGAGCAAGGCCTTTGCGTACTCGGCACACTCCGGGATTTTGTTGATTTTGCGGCAATACTGCATCAGAAACCGCAACGCCTCCACGGCTTCTAGTGAAAGGGACTGCGGAATACCCGTGAAAGCGTCGCCTTCCGTATCGGTGAGGAAGAAAACTACACTTGAGTGAGGTCATCTTTACTTCGGTTCATTTTTGGTGCTGTGAAGACCAGACGACAATCATGATTGATGTTGGACAGCGTGTCAATTATGCATGGAGTAGAGTGAGCAGCAACACACTCAAGTATAAGTTTCTTTTGGGGATATTGAAGCAAAAGCTGGTAGTATTCCGCGGCGATGGACTCCGAGTTTTGATCTTCGGCTGTTGTACGGTGATTTGTGTTGCACAAGATTGCATGCGAAGAACCATTTGTCTCGCAGGACGATCGAGATGTAGTTGATGGTAAACGTAAAGTGAGTACTACTAGCTGTGTGAAGAATAATACGAGCGAACAAAAAAGTAGCTAGCCCTCAAAAATTTTATATACCATGCAGCCTCGCCAACTTTGGCAGCGCCAAATTCTCGCTGTCCCCGCACTTGTGCGCCCTCTCGAAGCAGGTTATGGCTTGTTTCAGCAGGTTCAAATTCTCGTAGCACCCGGCCAGCGCGTTCCACATGCGGCTGTCCTTCGGCCGCAGCCGCATCGCTTGCAGGTAGTAGTAACACGCGTAGCTGTACAGGTTCAGGAGTTCGTACACTTGGCCGATCCCATACCAAGCCCGGTAATCGCGCTTGTTGATCAGCAACGCTTGTCGGTAAGCATCCACGGCCAAGGCACTGTTCTTCATTTCCATGAACTCGTGGCCCATCAAAATGTACCCGGGGACGAACTGCCGGTTGATCTGGAGGGCGCGGTGAAAATAGGACACCGCTTTTTCGTGCTCGCCTTTGAGGGAGAAAAAATTCCCGATGATGCAGCAGGCTTCGGGCGTGTATTTGGAAGACTTGATCACTTGCTTCGCCAGGTGCCCCAGGGCGGGGGAGTTGTCCTTTACATAAAGGATGTTGCTGTACCTGGTTTTGTTTGGTAATGGTAATCATGTCGATGCAGTATTAATCATATCCTTGCATTTGCCCCGCATTTTTTCCATTTTTGTTCCTATTGAGTTCTTTTGCACTGATCCTGATACTCCTGAAACATCATGAAAAACATAGAAAAATACGTGTCCAAGGATTCCATCTTGTGCGGATCCAGTAAGCGCATGCGTTCGAAGTTCTCCAGGCTCGCATATCGTATTCAAAAACGTCCCCACCCCAGAGTTGTCATGCTAGTCTTGCATGCTGAAAATGTTTGTCATGCGAAGCCCCATGAGAAGCATTTTTCAGTCGTGTCTTGGAGTTTGTCATGCTCCAATCAGCATGATATACTAGAGCTGTGATGCTGCTCAGATAGCTCAAACAGCTCTACACTACGAGTCGAAATTTGTCATGCAAAACAGCCAAACCTTGTGGATTTGTCTAGCCGAATCCCCATCTTGACTATGGGGTGGGGACGTTTTCACATAGGATATCGCATCGTACTCTTTCATGTTGTACAGCGTGATGGCATATCAAATGCAAAAATGTCTGGGTCTGGAAGATTGCTGGGTTTGTCATGCAGATTTTCCATGACCCAAACAGTCTGGCACGCACGGCCTAGCATGACAGATTCTGCGAGATCTCTATCATGCCTTTCCTGCATCAGAAATTGCCTCTAAACTTGTTCAAAAGTGGACAACTTTTGGTAATCATGCAACACAAATTTTTTCACGATCCAGATGTAGCATGACAAGTTACTCTCTTCCAGACCCAGACATATTTGCAATGCATATGGCAATTTGGGACAGGAGGTAACTGGACTCAAAAAACCGCTCCTCGAGCAAGTAGTGGTAAATTTCTTTATGGGCTTGAAAAAACAACGATCTGGAGTAGCCGAAAACGAATTTGTTTTCGTAGTTTGTTCACTGGGACGTCTAAAGAAAAAGATTAGATGAGTGCTAGGGGTGAGCAGTACTAGTACAACTTGGGATCGATATAATCATGACCACAGCTGTAGCAAACCGCGTGAACATCATGCGCCGCACGTGCACGCGCATCTCCTCGATGTTCTTTCCATGCAGATCTAGACTGAATTCCACCGCAACTGCAAAAGAAAAATCTCCGAGGACAAACCTCCGCGGCAACAACTCCAGAAGAATTTTTCCCCTATGATACTCCAGCGCTTGGTCGTAGTGCTGTAGGTCCAGGCTCAACGCTGCTTGAAAGAAGAATTTCACCCAGGAAGTGTTCTTCTGCACCGCTTCAGAGACGGAGCTCGAAACGGCTCGGACTCCCGTCGTTGCTGGTGCTCCGGCCTGGTGTTCCTCTTCATCGCTCAGACAGGTTTGCAGATAGTCCAGCCAGCAGCTCCAATTCCACGGGAACTTTTTCAGCGAGCTCGCAAAAGCTTCCCGTATGGCGTTCTCAAACGTTACATCCTCAGCCGTTACATGATTTGTCATGCAAAACTACCATGAGCCACCAGACGGTCAAGCTACGTCGCATGACAAATTCACGAAGGGCTAAACAGCGCCTAAAACTGTGCCAAATTTGTGATGCGAGAGTTGCAAGCTTGTCCCTTTCACTGCTGCGGCTCTTGCATCACAAATCCATGTAACAGTTGAGAATGTAACAGCTGAGAACGCCATATCCCGGGCTTTTTGCGTTTGCTGCAGTTGCTTCAACACCAGCCCGCGGAGGTAGAGGCAGTGCGGGTCTTCGCTTGGGTGGGGTGTGCTTGATGTACTGCTTGTGTTTATGCCAGCCTTGCTTGCCGATTCACCTACTACCGGCTGGCTTGGCGCAAGCAAAAACCCGAGATGCTCCTCGATGGTTTCCAATTCTTTGTTTTTGATCAGCAGCTTCGCGCTCGGCTCCGATTCGTTAATCTCCTGCTCCTTCCTTTGTTCGCCAATAAGGTAAAGGCTGTAGTACTTCAGAAACACTCCTTTCGCCGTCAATCTCGACTGCGGCTTTACGTTCGCGAGCAGGCTGTGCGCGCGCTGGTACTGCCGGAGTTCGAAGTGGGAACGCGCAACCGTCAGCGTGCGCTGGATTCTTCTTTCGTCTTCGGGTCGGTGCATCTTCACGTTGGGGCCGCGTTTGCAGGACGAGGAGGAATTATTTCCAAAACGATCCCCCTGTCCGGCATTGTTTCCAAAACCGTTCGGCGGATCGACACGAGAACTCGAACTGCTACCCCCAAAGCCTCCCCCCGCGGCAGATGGTGGTCCTCCGGCGGCCCACAAGAAGGAGGCAGAACTGCAGTTCTCCTCCCCCCCTGCCGCCTCCACTGCGCCCTGCTCGACGGACGCCGCGAGCTCCGCAGCCCACTGCGCCGCGCGGTAGAGCCCGCGGTCCCGCAGCTCCTCCACTGCGGCATCGAGTTCCGCGAGGATTTGCGACGCGGGCGGTAGGCTGTTGGCGATCAAAGGTTCCTGGCTGGTTTCCTCATTTTCGACACTGGACATCATGCCCGCGCAATGGTCGTGCATTCCGCTTGTCGACCCCCGGCGCATTTGTTCCACTTGCACGTCCATGTCTGCGGAGCATATCCTATGTAAAAGCGTCCCGCCCACCCCGTAGTCCAGAAGATGTGGAATCGGCTAGACAAGTCCACAAGTTTTGGCTGTTTTGCATGACAAATTTGGACTCGCAGTGTAGTGCTATTTGAGGTAATTCAGCAGCATGACAGATCTAGTATATCATGCTGAAGCTGATTGGCGCATTATAAAATCCAAAACAGGACTGGAAAATGCTTCTCATGGGGCTCCGCATGACAAACATTTTGAGCATGCAGATTTGCATGACAACTCTGGGGTGGGGACGTTTTTCCACAGGATAAAGCAGTCCTGTTGCTCTTCGAAAGACATCATGTCGTTATCCAGGTGATCCTCGTCGTCTTGGAACACCGAATTTGAGTTCTTGTTGTGCATATTAAGCAATCCCGAAGATGAAGATGACCCGCCCGCGAACTTCTGGTCGTCTCTACTATTTCCAGCTGCAAGTCGCAGCCGTTCCTCTGAATTGGACGAGTTCTGCCCGCCAAACAGGGGGGAATGGGTCCTCGGGTAGTTGTTGTTTCTGTAGTTTCTGTTGCCAGTTCCACTTGTACCGGGGTCGGCCGTGCCATTATTGTTTCTGGAAAACATATTACCCGCGTTTGATGTAGTTCCATTTGTATTTTTCCCTGCTCCAAAGGCGGGAGCTGCCCCGGGCCCGCTGGTTACAACTATCGACGTTGGTCCAGAGGTTGCACCACCCTGCTGCAGCCCTCGCGAGGCGGAGGACGGCGGTGGTCCACCTCGGTGCGCGGGCCCGCCTTCCGCGGCAGAGGCAGCCGACGAGCTCTGGTTGAAGGCCGGCAGCGGGGTGAAAATCTGCGCGTCTTCCACGAAACTCGGCCTCCCGGGGCCCATACAGGAGGAAGCGGTGGAGAATCGCACGTTGGTGGACGCGAGATTGCGCTGGTGGATGGTCAGCAGATCGCCGTCATTATCGGAGGTAGGGAGGTTGTTCTGCTGGTGTGAAGGAGGTTCTTGTCCTACAGAATTCCTAGTACCGCCCGCAGGAGCCGCTGGCGGACCACCACCATTGCCGGCAAACGAATTTCTAGTACTTGCTCCCTGGTTTAACATCAGTGTTCCCGACGTGGTCGAGCCTCCTGCTTGCAGCTGCGCAGCGGCTGCGCTCGTAGTACTGCCAGGAGGTGCGAACGATGTGCGGATCATGTGTTGAGCTGCTGCCGCGCCGGGGGCCAGACTAGTTCGCAGGTTCATTTGCTGCGTGAAATTGTTGTGTAAGAAAGATGATGATGAAGAAGAACTTGCATTGGCGGTAGGAGCACCCGGCTGCGACGAGGAAGAGGCGGCAGCGGACGTTCCCGCTGGCCCGGCTTGAAGATGTTGTCCAACATGCTCGTTAGCTGCGCCGACAGACGCTGCTCCTCCTGCTACAGGCGGGGCGCCGCCTGAAAAGGAGCTACTAGACGGTCGTGGATCCATCTTCTTCTCCGTTTTAATGATCAAGAAAAGTGCGCATGTTTTTCTTATGGTTATGGATCTTCAACATTATGGAAATGGAATCGTGTTGCAATATCCGCGCGTCGAAGCAGAAGACGGACAAATTCGTTCGGTATTACTTAAATTACTTTCTCCATCTGTGACATTTTTCGGATGATCATGCTGGGCACGACTTCAAAATAAATGACCACATCTGCATCCGCGCTCGTTACATAGGAGGATGGATCATAGAATGCTCCTGCTAGCTAGAGCCGGACTAATCTTTATTTGGAAGATAGATACGGCACAAGGAGCCTACCAGGCCCGCGACGACTGCTGAGCCACATCTAGCACGAGGACGGGTGAGCCACAGCTAGCGCGAGGACAGGCCTAATCTCAGTTTGCAAGCATGTGAGCCACCTTACTCGAAAACAACAAACGAACCGACCGCGAGCACATCACTCGGAAAAAGATCACCAAAAGCGACAATAAAGCAAGGTGAAAAGACCATCAGCTTTTAACACGTTTCACCAGAACACACACCAGATGCAGCACCTATCCATAGAGAAACATAAGGTGCTTCGTTCAAGAAAAAAAAACACGGCTGTGGTCGGGCCTTACGACGGCGCTCCTGCAGTGCACGCGGAACAGAGACAGATAACACACCACACCCACGCGTGGTCGCTCCTTGGTCGAACAGTAACTGCTGCTTCTCTAGCTGATATGGTGCTTTTTGAAATCCGTAGGGCAGTGAAACGTGAAAACTCACCTGGGCACTTGCAACTGGTGCAGCTGTGAGCGAAAGTTCAACTCGTCTCAAATTCTACGGGCGCCATAACAATCCGGCATCAGCTTCAGGACCAGCATCTTCTCTCTCATCTGCAACAAATAATCTGGATCTGCATTTTTTTCATGTCATCTTTCAAGCTTTTCCCGGTGCTCACCACCCTGACCCTTCCGCTTCTCCGCGTCCTACTTCTTCTCCTTGTCGATCAACCTGATTGCGATCGCGGAGGTGTCATCGGACCCCCCGCTGGTTGCGACGTAGTACACTTTTTTCGCGGTTTCGCACACTTGACTCGCGGACGGCAGGGTTGCGTAGAAGGACGAGTGCGTGTGCTCGTTTGTGTAGTCAAACACGCCGTCACTGCCGAGCACCAGATACCGCAGGTTCTGGGCGGAAAACTCGAAGAAGTCGGGCTCGATACTGTGTCCCAACGTGAAGCTCATCACGTCGCCAAACCCGCGGGCCAGGTTCAGGCCCCCGCGGAGCTGCGAGTAGCTCCCGCGGGACCACAGCCGGGTTCCGTTGCCGCGAAAGGGCATGGGGCTGGGGCGCTGCTTCCACCGGGTCTTCTGCCACTCCTGTTCCCGGAAGGACGCGCGCTGCCGGGAAATGTTTGCGATGGCTCGCTCCAGGGGGGAGGGCGCAGGCAGGGAAGATGGGGATGAACTGGCGCAAGTCGTGGAGGTCTTTGTTACTGGTGTCGGGTCGCCGTTCTTGGGTGAGACGGACATCGATTTGCGAGCGGCTTCATCTGCAGCTTGTAGTGGTAGTTCATTTTCCTTGATTTGTTCTTCACTACCACCGGCTGACTGCTGCTGAACAACGGCCCCTGTAGTTTGTAGTTGCTCTTCTACTTGTCGCGGTTCATCTGCACCTGCTCCACCTTCCACTTCCTGCGCAGCAGCTCCTTCTGTTTTCGTGTCTCCCAACGCCAATTTTTGGTTGGAGAAATGACTCGATGTTGTGCCTTTCGCAGCAGATAATTCGGTTGTATCAAGCTGCAATCCGTTCATCTTCTCGTGGTCTCTACTACTTCCAACAGCCAACGCCCTTCTTCCGTACCGGTCATCGGCGAAGAGTGCAGCCAAATCCACGACCCCTTCCACCGATCCCGCCTTCGCCAGTGCGTTTCCTATGTAAAAACGTCCCCACCCAGTACTTGTATATGCAAATCATCTGCATGCTGAGAATGTTCCTCAAGCGCAGCCCCATGAGAGGCATTTTCTGGCGGTTTTTCGGAATGTGTAATGCTCCAATCAGCATGATGCGCTAGATCTGTGACGCTGCTGATCAAGCAAACAGGGTTGCACTACGAGGCCAGAATTGTCATGCGCAACAGCCAAAGCTGGCTGATCTGTCTAGCAGATTTCCCATCTTGACCATGGAGTGGGGACATTTTTGCGCAGGATAGTGCGGCGAAGTAATTCTTTTCAAACCAGGCGATTTCGCAGTCAATCTGGTTGCACTTCTATTGTGTGGAAAAATCCCGTCCCCCCTCCCCTCAATAAAAAATGAAGTTTATGATGCTGGATTTGCGTACACAAACCAGACTTCATCTCTTGCAAAAGGTGCTTTGCGGCATTCTCTGCGCGTGTTTGGGCACTATGCAGAAGGCTAGCAGTTACGTATGGCAAACAGGTTTGCAGTAGTCGAAAGCGCGTGACAGACTGGCGGTGGAATGCGCCACATGGCTCCCATTACCCTATAGGCAAGACAAAGCCGATCTGTGGCCACAAATCAGCATCACAAATTTCCATTTTTATATGGAGAGTGGGGACTTTTTCATTTTGATAACTTCTCCGGCAGGTAATTCGGCCAGGACCACCCGGTTTGGTGGTACAGTTTGAAATTGTTCGCGGGGATCTGCGGATTGATGATCGCGTTGTTTCTCCGGATCCGCTTCGCCTCCCGATAGTGGTCGATCGCGTGGTCAATCGTGATCCGCTGCAGAATGCAGTACTTACTCGCGTTAGTCATTGGATCTGGATTGTTTGCGGCTCCTCCTGTGGTACTACTGTCCGACGCGTGCTTCGCCTTGACCTTAATCGGCGGGTGCGGGCTCGTGGAGAGTTTGGTGTTGTAGGTGTGCATTGCAAATATGTCTGGATCTGGAAGGATGCAAATTTTTGTCATGCTGTTTTCCCATGACCCAGAAAGCCTGGCATGCATGGTCTAGCCTTACAGGTTTTGCTAAGCTGCGTCGAAGACGACGTCGATGCCTAATCCGCATGACAAATCGCCTATTATTTATTCGGTGACAATGACAAAGTGCGCATTAACTCTTGTTGTCTATACATGAGAGATTTTTGTGTGTCGTGAGATGCGCATCACAAATTCCGTCTTTCCAGACCCAAACATATTTGCGGCTCATAGTAGGGCGTAGTTAACAACGTCGTGGTGATCAGATGGTTGGTGTAATGGAGCAAACATTTTTTGTACACGTCCGGCTCCTCCGCCCGGTCGTGTCTGATGTCTCCGCAGTCTGCGGTCTTCGACGTACTCCCCGGCGCGACGTCCCCCGTCGTGTAGAAGAAGGAAAAGTTGTCCGGCTCGTTGTCGCGGTAGAATTGGTGCAACTGCGCCTCGTCCGGGATAAATCCGCCATCGTAGAAGCGTTTTTGGTTTAAACTCTGCTTTTCCGCCTGTTTCTTCTTCTCCGAGGGGTTCGGCTTGTTTTTCTTCTTCATCAGCGCTCGGCCCGTGTTGGAGGAAAACAATTTGTCGCTGTCGTTGTACATTGTATAAAGGAAGCGCCGAAAGTTGTCCGCGGAATCTTGGAAGTAACTGAAGCTCGTGCACCTTTCGACGTAGTGCTCCGTCTATCAAATGCAAAAATGTCTGGGTCTGAAAGAGTGTAAAAACTTGTCATGCAGGTTTTCCATGACTCGTGAGGTCTGGAATGCGGGACCTAGCATGACAGAGTCTGTGAGGTCTCTCTCTCTGCCAATGCCATGCCTATCCTGCATGAGAAACTCCCTCCAAACTTGGTCGAAAGTGGAATGCTTTTGGCACTCATGCAACAGAGATTTCTGCATGATTCAGATTTTGCTTGACAAGTTGCAATCTTCCAGACCCAGACATTTTTACAATCCATACCGTCGTGACGGTGTCTTTTTTCCCGTCCTTGTTCACTGTCTGCGCTAGAGAATCGTGGAAGTCATCGAGCTCGGTGAGCAGAACCCGGAGCGGAGGCGGTGCCGGCGGGGCCTTCATTGTGGGGGAGGTCACGACCGGCGTGGCTGTTGTACTAGTACTACCGGAGGTGGAGTCATTCTCCGCCGCTGGTACTGGTGCTCCTGCCGTGGAAGCTCCTTTCGCATCTGCAGCCCCCGTGTGGTCTGAAGCAGAGGCGGAATCTCCGCCACCGGAAGAAGTCGAGGCCGTGGTCCCGTTGGCAATCTCTGAAGAAATTGCTCCGGGTCGTACCCAGTGTGCGTCAGAACGGCCTGCTCGTAGTCCAGAAGCCTCTCCCATAATAGCATCCCCGTCGCCGTCGGTTGTTGCTGCTGGCCCCTTGATGTCCAAAAAGTCTTCACTCTGGTCAATTTCCATTTCGACAACAGCTGCGTTAGTATCGTCAAAAGATGTAAGTGCAGACGAGGCGACACTTCGTTCCAGCGCTTCCGCGTCCAAAGGTGACAAAGCAGCACTTGCGTAGCTTTTCCCCCTAGATGTTGAACCCTCGTGCCTCTGCTGCGACGGCTTCCGCGGTCTCTGCCCGATCACCACCGCATTTTGGTCCACTTTTCGCTTCTTCGAGGGTGGCGGCGGAGGCGGGGCGGGCGCTCGGGCTTTCGTCTTCGGACCAGCTGCACTTGTCATCTTCCCCGACGGAACCGGCGGCGGGGCGGACTTATTTTTGCTACTTCCAGTTGCGGCACTCGAAGAAGCCGAGCTTTTGTTCTTCACTAGAAGCGTGTCGCGGTCGCCGAAGATCGCCTCCTTCTTGCTTTTTTCCAACTCTAGTCGCTCCTTGTTTTTCTCGATCCCCTCGGCCACCTGCACAGCATTGGGTGGGGGCGGAGGCGCGGCCCGGGCGGCTCGCGGCGGAGGCGGCGGCTTGAGATCTTCAATCGGGATACTAGTAGAACCACCGCCAGTACTGTTAGTTGTGGTCCCGGTGGTCGTTGCAGCAGGAGGCGCGTGCCCTTTTCCCACATTTGATGTTCCACCGTACTTAGAAACCGATTTTCCGAACAACACCTGGTCTGCCTTCTTTTCATCGTTTCCAGGAGAAATAATTGACGTTCGTTTCAGAGACAACGCAGAAGATGACACCACGGTAGCTCCTGCGGGACGAGGAGGTGACACCAGCGTTTTCCTTTTCCACACAATTTTCCCGCCCTGTCGCTCCAGCAGGTCGCACTGCTTCTCCATGAGCAGGTCCCCGCGGGCACAGAGCTTCGCGTCGTTTCCCACCGGGTGGAACGCCCCGTCCGAGTGGTAGAACGCTGGCGTTCTGCCCGGTTTTTCCGCTTTCAAATTGTACAAAACTTTCCGGTACAGACCCGGCTTGTCCGGTAAGTTCAGCGAGTACCGCAAAATCCCCGGGTCTGCTTCGAACACGGAGAGTAGCCGCGTGTTCGCGCCGCCGCAGAAGTCCAACCAGGAGGGCTGACAACCGCCGCCCTCGTAGATTTGCAACAGATTCGTCGACAACTGCTTGCTGAAAAAATTGTCTCTGCCAGCACCTCCTATCGTGGTTGCTGCAACCATTGGCGCTGAAGAAGGGGCAGTTCCGGCAGCACCAGCCAGAGCAGTTGTGTTGCTCGGCGTATTGCTAGAAGTTGTACCATTATTCACCTTTGTAGAACTAGTACTAGCACCGCCTACAAGCCGAACTGCTCCAGTTTTCGAGCTCGACGCCATTTTATTTGCTCGTTTAGAGGATGGATTCATTGCACCTTGCGCACTTTGTTCCGCAGCGGCCGTGTTGTTGTTCGCAAGGGCCGCTTTCGTTTTCGGATTCACATTCGGATGAACCTGTCGCCCGTTTAAAATCGCCAGTACCACGTCCTGCCACAACCCTGACGGCCTGCTCGCGGACATGGTTTTCCCGTCGAGCGAGGGCGTTTTGGTCAGGAACACCGTCTCGTACTCTGGGTTATCAAAACAAAGAAAGTCGTTCAATTTATCAACGTAGGAGTTGGAATCCAAATCACCTTCAAGCAGTTGTTGCCCACCCGGGAGGTTCTTCTTGTCTTTCACGTCTACTGTCGACTTCGAAGCTCCTGCTGTTCTCGCACTACTAGACGAGCCTGAAGATGATGTTCTCTTGCCCAGTGGAAAGGTTTCCACGAGCTTCAAGAACTCCAGAAATTTCGCCCGCTGCATGTCAATCCCCAAGATGAACTTCGATAGGGGATTTCGGACCTTCACGAAGGGAAAGTAGTGGGTTTGCTCCACCGCTTTCAGGGTTTCCAATGTCAGCCCGTCGTTGTCAAGCGGGCTCTGGTGAAAGTTGTTCTCTCTGTGCGCTTCGAGGAGATTTTGCAGGACGAAGAGCTGCGTTTCGGTCAGTTGGGACTGGCTTTCGTAACTGATCTTCAATCGGCCGCCGTTGTTCAAGTTCAGGCTGGTATTCGTAGTTTCACCGTTTTTCGTCTTTCGTGCAAGGGTTGTAATGTCTTGACGTCCACCTCCCTCCTTTTCCGACCGTACCGAATTCTCCGAGCTGGCGGGGGAAGGAGCGGATTCTCGTTGCAGCTCCTGCTCATCTGCCTTTTTATCTTCGGTTGGCATGATCATGTTGATCTTCGTCTCTTGTGGCCCTCCTCCGTCCGCTTTCCTCTTCTCCGGCACTAACAGCTCGCCTTTTTTCCCCACCAAGCACCGCGAGTTCTCCACATGGTGCCCCGCGGTTTTCACGTAGCACTGTCGCCGCGCCACGTCGTCCCCCGCCATGTAGTTACTTTCATCCGCGGCGCCACTGATGTCTTTGATCATGCACAGTGCGCTGTCCCCACTGTTCCACACCCGCACCCGGTCTTTGGTCACGTTCCACACACCGTAGACGAACGTGCACCCGGAATGCAGGGCTTTGAGCCCCAACCGACAGATCATCCGGATATGGAAGCGTCAGGATTGAAATCGTCAAAGTTGAAATAATTTCTCATGCATAAACTGCAAGGCATGGAATGCCTGTCTTGCCGGGATGGCAAGTGAGGCCGACTGTCAGCCTGTTTAGGGTTTGGAATAGAGCTGCTAAAGTAGCATGACAAAAGCCTTCTTCTGTCCCTAAACAACATGACAAACTGAATCTAGACGGTGCCGAAATTTGTCATGCACCGCTTGGAAATTGGGCTTCCCACTGGTATCGATTTTCTGCATTACAACTTATTTCAACTCTGACGATTTCAAACCTGACGCTTCCATACCGGATCTGGATCAGGTAGATGTCCCGCATTTTGTGCAGGTTTTCCTTGTCGGAGAAAAACGTCAGCAATTCGTTCCGGACGAACTGCGAGCACTCCCTCCCGTCGATCCCGTGACCGTCGAAGACGCCGAACTTGATGCAGTACTCGTTGTTAATGTAGCCGTAGTATGCTCTGCACAAGTATCGTACTCGTACTACTTGCAAACATGCATGACAAATTCTCTTCCTAAGGTAAAACAGCATTACAAATTGCATTTGTCGTGCTGAGCTAATTTGTAATGCAATTTGTACTACTACGATACTTTTGCAATGCATACGTAGTCGAAAAGGAGCGCGTCTTGGTTCTCCTTGCTGATAGAAAAGGAGCGCTCGCCCTTCGAGTTCTGAATCGTGTCCATGGAAGCTTGGATCTTATCTGTGATAGAAGAAGTTCATTTGCATCTTTTTTGCAGACGGACACGGAGACGTACAGGTAAAAATGGTATGAGCAACAACTTTAACTTTATCGCAAGTCATAACTTGTCGACGGAAGACGGGACCAGCACGTGAACATCAACGTCGTGATGTCAAGGTACCAGATTCGTAGTCGAAACAATTAGAATTACAATTACAAGAACAAACAAAACAATTAAACTCTATTAATTTATACAATCCGCCAAGACTTGTTCCAACTGCGTGGGATTTTTGCTCTTCATCGGTCTTCCCTCCCCGTCCGGTCGCAATTCTTCAAACACCCCGACGGGCAAGTGTTTTTTCGTTGCGAAGTAGATGTCGGGCAAAATCTCTTCGAGCTTCATCCGCCGCTGCAGCGCTTCGTTCTATCGTATTTAAAAACGTCCCCACCCCAGAGCTGTAATGCAAATCTGCATGCTCAGAATGTTTCTCATGCGGATCCCCATGAGAAGCATTTTCTAGTCGTGTTCTGCAATTTGTCATGCTCCAATCTGCGTGATGTACTAGATCTGTGATGCTGCTGATCTAGCTCAAACAGCACTACGCTAAGAGTCCAAATTTGTCATGCAAAACAGCCAAAACGTGTGGACTTGTCTAGCCGATTCCCCATCTTGACTATGGGGTGGGGATGTTTTTACTCAGAATACGTTCCCCGGCATGTTCATCAGATCATTCCGCAGAATGATGTTGGAGCAGCAGAACTTGTGCAGAGCGGACCAGAAGTGCTCGTCAAAGTAATTGTTGAAAAAGGTGTCCGGCAGATCCTTAAAGGCAAAGAACCCATTCGACATGGCGAACACGAAATAATCGCGCAGAATCATCGACAACTTTTCCAAATAGTCGACGCGCGCGGTGAGCCAGCTGCAACTGAAGAACAAAATATCCGCAGCGGCGTGGACGTCGTCCCGCGGCGGAAGCTCGAGGACTTTGCTGTCCAGCCGCCGGATCTCCAGCTCGTACCACCGCGTTTCCAACCGGTAGGCGGTGAGTTTCGTGATGTAGTTGAGAATCCTCAGACTGTCGTGGTCTAGGGTGTAATTCGCGAAAAACTTGCAACAGGTCACCAGGAACTTCCAGCTGGTGTGGAGCAGTTGCGCGTTTAAGTCGGGGAGTTTTCCCGTTTTGTCATCGACGTCGGAAATGTCGTCGTAGATATGCTCGTCGAAGGCTTCTTCAACATTATCAAATGCAAAAATGTCTGGGTCTGGAAGAATCTAACTTGTCATGCTAAATCTAAATCATTCAAAAATCTGTGTTGCATGATTACCAAAAGCTGTCCACTTTTGACCTAGTCGAGAGGCAGTTTCTCATGCAGGATAGGCATGATAGAACTCTCACAGAATCTGTCATGCTATGTCCTACATACCAGACCTCATGGGTCATGGAAAACCTGCATGACAAGTCTGCATTCTTCCAGACCCAGACATTTTTACATTTGATAAACATCTGTGAGAAACAACTCACTTTCCGCGTTGAGGTTCCGCGTTCGAGCGGCAAAAGCCGAGGCGTTGTTCTCGGGCAAGGCTGCTTTCGGAAGCGGTTTGTTCCTGGCATCCAGAAGCGAGTCTAGAACCTTCGTCGGCCAGGAAGACGTCCGGGGGCTGGTGGGTTTCGTAGTCGCAGTGCTGGCGCCAGGGTTGCAGGAGCCCCCAGGGGTAGTGGTCGCTTTGCTATTCGAAGGTCTTCTTGCTGTTTGTTCTGCAGTGCTGCCCGAGGTGGCATTTTTTAACTGATGTTCTGTCGCCACACTACCACCACCAGCTGTCATCAGCTCCGCGTTGTGGTATTTTTCCTCGTCCAGCGATTCGATGTTCACTTCCACAAACACCTTCACGCGCCGCATTTCCCGCATCAGTTTCTTTTGCGTCTTGATTGCGTGGGGGAGGGTGAACCCCACTTCGGCCCGCAACAGCCGCGTCAGCCGCTTGTCACACTCAACCCCGGTCGTGTGCAACTCGTGCGGCGCGCGGAGGACGGCGGCGTGGGGATGTCATGCATCGCAAAAGTATCGCACTCGTTGTACTAATCGCAATCATGCAAGACAAATCGCCTTCCCAAGCTAAATCAGCATGGCAAATTCCATTTGTCATGCTGCGCCAATTTGTATTGCGCTTACTACTAGAAGTACAAGTACGATACTTCTGCATTGCATAGCTGGGCGAACTTGTGGACGTAAACATCCATGATTTCGATCAAAATCTCCTCCATGAAAAACGTGTCCGTGCGCAAAACCGGAATGGGGTACCCCTCGACAAAGTAGTTGCTCTTGGTACTAGGTCCTCCCTCTTCAGCGTTTCCACTTGATGTTGCCCTATGCCTATCCGTAGTACTGGAAGGTGCAGCAGCTCGATCATTCCCACGACCCATGGCCGCGCGAGCAGCAGCTGCTGATACAACAGCAGCATCAGCTCCACTTTTCTTTTTCCGTCCGAGCTCCCTCGCAGGTATTCTGGGGCGCCTGATCTTCGTCTTAGTGCCATTTTTGTTTTTCCTGCTGCTGCTGTTTTTGTTGTAATTGTAGCTGTTGCCGTTCAACATGTGGTTCCCAGCCGAGGACGAAGAAGATCCAGCAGCAGCGTCGTAGTAGTAATACTGCGGCTTCGCCTCCTTTCCGTCTTCGTCAAACCCCAACAGCATCCACTCGGTAAATTCCACCAGCTCCTCAACATCGACAATTTGGTTGCGGATGATATCGACCAGCAGCCGCATCCGGAGATTGTCAAGCTTCTTCACGTTGATGTCGTCCACTTCTTGCGGCGCCTGCGCAACAACATCAGGAGCGGCACTCGCACTGGTAGCTGCATCAGACTTGGTCAACATATCAACATCTTTTTCTACTTTGCTGTCTGCCACCTCAGCTTCTCGACCTGTAGTCCTATCTCCATCTGGCGCAGTTGATGCTGTTGTTGTGTCCTCACTATCCAATTTCAATTCAAAATATTGTTTTTTCATGAACTCGAGCTGCTTCTTCCGGTTATCCCAGTACCGTTGCCGGGCCGAGTCGATGGGGTCCAGGGACTTCTTCCGTTTTGCCGGGTTATTTTCCTCGTCGCTGGAAGTCAATCCGAGAGAAGATTTCCGGTCCCGCGAGATGCTGCGCTCGTTACCGTCATCCTCGTAGACGTTCGACTTAGTGATAGTGTCGTTGACTGTTGATGTTGACCCATCAAAGCTGCGAATGCGAGAAATGTTGTCGAGATTATCTCTGCTTCCAGGGTCGTTCACATCGAAGAAATGCCTGGAAGCTGTGCCAGTTCCGGAGTACAGCAGCGCACCATTGGGCGACTGCTCCTTGTCAGCTTGCTGTTGGGCTGGTGGTTCTTGCTGGGTGGAGGTACTATCAGTATCACCGTCGTTGGATTTTTGGTTGGGTTTGTTTTGATGAGGTAGACTAACATCGGGCTTTTTCTCATCTGCTACACCACCCTTTCCATCTTCTGCGGAGGTTCCAGTTTTCCTGCTCTTCTTGTTCCGCGGTGTGTGGAGGTTCTGAATCACCTGTGGATCATCTTCCTGCTCATCCTTGCTGGCGACGCTTTTACCAGCACTGTCACCAGCCTTTTCTTCTCTTTCCTTCCGCTTCTGTTCCGATTTCAATTTTTCTTTTTCCTTCCGCTTCTGCTCCTTATCAAAAGGAAAAACGTCCCCACCCCAGAGCTGTCATGTGGTTTGCAATGACAAGGACATCTGTGATGCGCATACCCCTGGTAGACATTTCCAATCGTGTTTTGAAATTTGTGATGCTGTGAACAGGATAAGCAGATAGATCTGTGATGCGGCTGCGCTTGCTAATCTGCATTACACTACGGAGGGCAACTTGTCATGCGTGACTCCCAAAACTCCTAGGTTTGTGTTGCAAAGTCCCCAGCTTGACTATGGGGTGGGGACGTTTTTACACAGGATACTCCTGCTGCTGCATTCTCTCCTTGATGAGATCATAATCCACATCGCCAAAAAGCACATCCTCGGTCGCCGTGCGATTGGCGGGAAAGAAGCGGGACGACGCGGAGGTTGAAAATGTTGATCCTGCACTACTGTTTTGTTCGGAGCTGCTGCTACTACCCTCGACGTTGACCGCACTTGTAGTGGTTGCGCTGTCGCTAGTATTTCTGTCGCTCCTGCTTCTTGGACTTTCCATAGAAGTGCTCTCCTTTGGAGTTGGAGTTCCTGGGCTTCTATCAAAATAGAAGTCCTCTGGGGATGAACTGCCAATGCCCCGGTTGAGATCATTATACCCAGCAACATCTTGCTGATGAATGGAACTTCGGGAAGATGACTGCTCGTTCAAATTTCGATACTGCATTTCTTTTTATGAACTGCAAAAGTGAAAAGTATCGCATTCGTATAAATGCATTACAAATTTCTACAGCATGAGAAATAAAATTTGTAATGCGAAATTGCCTTAAGAAAAGGATTTGTAATGCATGATTGCAATACGAGTACGATACTTTTGCACAGGATACTATCTTCGACGGACTGACGTTGAGAAGATCCAGCGAGGCCAGATTATGGCGTTCTCAAACGTTACATTCTCAGCTGTTACATGATTTGTCATGCAAAATCACAGTTAGAATTGATACGATCAAGCTGCTTCGCATGACAAATTCTCGAAGAGCCAAACACGCTGAGAATCTGTGCCATATCTGTCATGCTAGACGCGCAAGGTCACCCCTTTGACTTTTGCCATTCTTGCATCACAAATTCATGTAACAGCTGAGAATGTAACAGTTGAGAACGCCATACAGATCGGCTTCGCCGTTGGGACTTACTTTTGATGTTCGTGTTCCGATGGTTCCGTTATTATTTTTCGTCCCATTTATTTTGCCGAAATTCACCGCAGAAGAGGAGGAGGACGCAGCGGAGGTGCCGATCAATACGCCGTTCACGACCCGATTGGCTCCGGCGGTCGGATTTGTAGACGATGTTGTAGTGGTACCAGTTGTACCGCGTGGGGTCAACAATCCACCTGATGCATTTCTACTACTGCTCGTCCCCGCGGCCGCGCCAGACGGTGGACCTGCTCCAGCCGTACCCTTATTGCTCACAACTCCCCCTCGAGGTCCGCCAACCACGCCTCTCTGCGAGGCCAAGTTCGCCGCCGCGACAGCACCGACGGACGCAGGCACGGCTGCTGTCGTCGATGTGCCGCGTGGCATCACAAGTTGCCCTCCGACGAAGAAACTGTTGCTGGCGCCGGAAGAACTGTTGCTCATATTCAGGGCGTATTTGTTCTTTTTGGAAGCCATCTTGTCTTCTTGCACAAATAAAAATTACCGAAAAATTTTCAATCTTGGGATATTCTTCGCTTCAGATAAACGACAAATCCAGGATCGAAATCTGAAAAAACTAGCGAGATCTTCTAGTATGGGAGGTACTATACTACTTCACTAAACATATCATAAATAATCATGCGACATATGCTTCGAACTGAAGCAAACAACACGACTCAACCATTCGTTGCAGCTTCTTGTGTAAACTACAAGGTGAGAGTGAGTGGAAGAGCGCTTGGAGGCTTTTTCAAAATCCAATTGAAGACAAATCCCAGATCAGCATCAGAGTTTTGGTGCCTGAAGAAATCAAATCAAAAATCTCTTTTGATGAAAAAGCAAGCTGCATGAAACTAGCACCATGAATCATGCGAGATTGTTCCCCGTAAATGTGCGATTGGAAGATTCTTCGACACAGTTGGATGCATGCAGCATGTGCCAGCGGATATTTGGAACAATTGACGAGACCCAGTTCGCGATCTTTCACCGGCCGAGGAAAATTGTTCCTGGGGTCACAAAGCCGGATGGAAAGAGTCGAGTGGAGAATCACATCATCGGTGGGAAAATTTTCAGACTAAGAAAAGGATCAAACGCCAGTGGACGCACGTTGCGCAGTGGAGGAGCAGGAACATGAAAGAACTATCATATGCGGCGGTGCAGTCATGCGCAAACGCTTGCGCACGCTTTGCCAGTGCAGTGCGTTCCATTTCTGAACTGCAATTGAGGTCATGACTTCAGAACCAATAACCATTCCGGTCCTCGTCGTCTTTCAGAAATATACTCGAAGTAGGGAAAGCTACACCGCAGTGATTTGAAGAGCAAAGTTGATGGCGCCACGAGGGATGAAAAGGATTCAAATCGCGATATTCTAGATTTACAGCGAGCAAGATTGGAAGGTTTTTTCTTGTAGACTCTCATCAAAGTATTCATCAGCCGAAGTTACAGTGTCTTTTTCGATCTATCAAAATCAATGAAAAGTGTGATGAACAATGTAGTTTTTCACTTTATCTAGGCAATGGATTTCCCAGGACAAAGTTTCAATACAATCACGTCGACATCCCAGAAAGGGTGCTTCTTCTACCGCATGGCTCTAGAAGTGGTCGGAATCGTTTCATTTTTTCGAACCTACAACTTCGCTCGCATCCTGCGAAAATGATTCCTCTTGTTCGTCCTGAGCTGCCTTTTCCCGCGCTAGTCTCTCTGCCTCTTGCTGCTCCCTGTACTCTTGGATGAACGATTTCGTCCGAATCACCACGGGCACCTGCGTCGTCGTGTGGTCGTCGTCATTTGCCAGCAATGTGACGGACAGACGGTTCTTTGAGGTGTGAATGTCCTTGGCAAACCGCTTCTCCACATACCCCATGGCCATGCTCTTCCCGGTTACGTTACTGAACGCTCCGCTAGTGGTGTACCCGATTATTCGTTCTTCACATTCACTTGATGTGGAGTTGCGGTTGTCATCTCGATCTCGCCCATGCGGCCCTGCTACGTCGTCGAAATAGCTCGTTTTTACCCAAATCGGCTCGCCGCCGACGCAATGTGACAGCTGTTCCGCGTCTGCGACCTCGCTGCGCGAAGAGGAAAACGTCGAGGAGAGACTGGCGAGAGCGGTCACAGGCGAGGGCGTCGCGGTGGAAGTTGTGGAGGTTCTGGTGCTCGTGAGATCTTCCGCAACTGTATCGTCCTTCCCTATCTCTCCACTGATTCTGGCTCCTGATCCTGCATCTCCGCTATCTGTCGTGCTAGTACCTCGTTGGCCATCAGAAAGAACGGAACTCGCGTCATTTTCCGATGCACCTACTTCTTCCTCGCCAATCAACACCTCGAGCAGGACGAGTCGCATAGAGGAAGGTTCCTTTGTGGTCTCCAGCCTTTCATCCGCTTGTCGATTCTTGTCTTCATCCTGGGGGGAAGTAGATGTCGGTTGTCGCCGTGATTCTCTAGTTGTTTTCTTTGAGTGTGGTCCTTCTTTCGCCGTTTTTCTTTTGTCTTTCGAGTTCGAATTCACCTCCCTCAGTAACGCGTCCCTTCCACAAAAGTCTGGCGGCTTTCCCGCAAGGATACTATACAACTCACCGTCTAGATCGTTTACCTCGCTCTCCGAAAACACCCCTGCTTCTATCGCGGAGTAGTCGCGCGTCAACTCCGCGCCAATTCTCGCCTTTGCGGATTCCAAGCGCAGTTCCTCCAATGTGTTTTGCCCGATTTCCTGCAACTCCGGAATGGACGCAAGGAGGTACTGGTACAAACCCAACACCTCCTTGCTGTTTATGGATTGCAAATATGTCTGGGTCTGGAAGATTGCAAGTTGTCATGCATTTTCTGCATGACCCATGATGCCTGTAATGCATGACCTAGCATCACTGATTTTTAGAGGACTTCCTGATGCCTATAATTTCGCATGAGAAATGCCCTCTCGTCCACGTAACACCAACTGGGCTCCAGTTGCTGGTCACGCAATACAAATTTTTTTCGAATCCAGAGACAGCATCACAAGTTGCATCCTTCCAGACATCCAGGGATATTTGCAGTTCGATACTGTTCACGTGAAATTCAAACGCCTCTTCAGAGCCGTACGCATTATTCTCCGGCGGCAGCCGCACCACCCGACAGAGCGAGTTTATCAACTGTAAAAGTTTGGGTCTGGAAGATTCTGAGACTTGTCATGCACGTGTTGCGTGAGCCATGATGTCTGTGATGCATGCCCTATCATCACAGATTTTTTGAGGGCTTCTCGATGCCTATTCGGCATGACAAATGCCCTCTTCGCGTAGGAAAAAACGCTTCCTTTGCTGCTCATGCAATACAGATTTTCATTTTTTTGGAATCCAAATGCAGCATCACAAGCTGCATTCTTCAGGACCCAGACATTTTTGCATTTGATAGAGTTGTTGATCGTGATAAACCGGTAGGAGTTTTCCTCCCACTGGGGTCCTGCTGCCTCATCGGCGAACAGGTCGCGAATGTGCTTGGCCAGCGCCGGCCGCGCTTCCCTTCCCGTCACAAGAAGGACTGAGAATGTCGCCACCGACACGCTCGGCGGGGGAGCGGGGGCGCAGTCGGACGTTGAGGCTCCTTCAGCTTCCTCCTGCATCACAAATGCTTGCTCGACCAACGCGGAGTAATCCTGTCCAAACCGCTCTATCGGGGAGGTGAGGTAGAAAGTGTTGCTTGTTTGCACGTTCTGGTAATCGGAATTGGTACTTCCCCCGCCGCCGCCAGTGGATGCCGCCACAACTGTCGACGTCGCGCTGTCTACGTGCATCACCTGGAACTCCGACAGAATGCCCCCGGTGGTCGGGGACAGCAGGTAGCCGTGTTCCACGGTGTTGTTGGTAATTTGTACGGCGGGAGATGTTGGTCGGCTGCCTTTTTCTGTGTGATGTTCGTTTTCGCCGTTGTGGTCCCTACCAATATTTGTCGTCGTGTTTGGAGCACGCCTCGGTTTTCTTGAGTTGGAATCTTCAATACCTTCGAAGTGGTCCACGTTATCTTCATTCATCTTCACCACCGGAATCCGGCAAGTGAGCATTCTATCCAGAAACTGTTCCGCACACACCCCTTTGACCTCAAACGCCGCCCGCGGCAGGTAGGCCAGCGCGACGCCCTTCCGGACCGCCACCGCCTCGGCGGTGGAACCTCGCTTGCGAAAGATCGACACCGCTTTCTGCACCAGCGCGCCGGCGCCGGTGGCCGGAGCGGCCCCAGACCCGGAAAAGGACTCGACAAACTGCCCCGAGGCGTCTAACACGGCGTTTCGCTTCTGCACGAGAAATTGGAGCAGTTCCTGGTTTGCGACCGTTGCGTCATTGCAGAAACTGCGGGAGATCGCGGTGCAGGTGTTCTTTGAAGAATTCGCTCCCGTGCTGAAACTGCCGCTCGTGTTCGAATTGGAATCCTGAGCTCCGCTCACGTCGCCCCCAACGGCGCTCAGCAGCTTCGACGCGGTCTGCTGACTTTGTTCAACTGTGCAATGAAAAAGTATCGCAGTTGTAACAGCTTAAAATTTTCCATATGGATCTGCAAATTTATTCTATTTCGAAAGGCTGCATGAAGATGCGAATTTATAAAAATCTGGTTTCCTTTTCGGGAAAAGTTGAAGTCGCTCTGTCATGCATGAGCATGAGCATTATCATGATTGCAAAAATTAGTACCAGCAGCACTGCGATACAGTTTTGCACTACACCATATCGACTGTGCTGTACCAAAACCGGACGCCCTCCTGGATTTTCTCTGGTGAAAGCGAGTTCGCGAACCGTCTCGGATCCACTTCGTCGAGCTCGTATGGCGGCTCGTTGTGCAGGATGAAATGCGCCAAGTAGTTCCCCAGGCCCGCGCACCGCGCGACCGAGAGACTGCCGTTTGCCGTTGCGAGCCAGTAGTTTTTTCGCCACGCGCTGCGACGGGCTGGGGCGAAGTTGGTGTTCGACGTGTTGGCAGCGGTTGTACTGGTGGAGCTAGATGAACTAAAGCAGGCTTTGGCAATGTCAGCCGAGCCGGGAAAGATGCCGGAAGACGCGGTCGCGTATGACGAGTTTGGGCTGCCGGAAGACCCACCGGCACCAGACGTGCCACTGCTGTCCGTTTCCAAACCTGCAGAGGCGGCGCTAGTTATTCCAAACGCCCCACCAGAAGAAAGAACAGAAGTCCCTCCAATACTTCTCGGTTGTTGTATCGCGACCGGGCCGACCAGCGGAAGTGCGTCCAGTGCGTGCACGATCGGGGCATTCACCACTTCTTTTATCCCCACCCCACCCAGCAGGGGCATCAGCTTGCTGGCGGCCTCCATGTGCGGGAAAAGTCGATCGATGTTTGCGTCGTAGCGGTAGTACTGTGGGTAGTTGAAGCAGTTGGTCGCGCTCGCCGGGGTTGAGAAGACCACGTCGCGTTCCGCGGGTGCCAGGATGAAGCTGTGACTGGATGAAAATTGCTCGTCTACCTGGTACAGGGAGAAGGACCCCCCAATGTCCTGAACGATGGGGACTACAAGCGGGTCGTCCTGGGGCGTGGGGGAAGTTGATGTAGTCGGGGCCTCGTCGGTATTTGTACTCAGAAGTTCAAGTTCTTCTTTTTCCAAAACGGGATTTTCCTCGTCGCGAAAACCGGTAGATGATGAACTACCTGCAGAGGTCGTGGTACCGGAGGTTTCACTACTACTACTTTCAGGGTGTCTTACAGCTGCACCATTTGTAGTTTTTTGGTTCACGTCACCGTCACGTGCTCCAGCTGCTGCGCCCTCATTTTGTTCATCCCGTATCATCTTTCTTGTAACATCTTCGTCCTTTGAAGTGGCGGCCATGCTCGCTGTGTGTGACGATGATGTCAAGGTCTCCCGCGAAGAAGTAGCTGCGGGTGCTGGAACAACTGCGGAGTCAGCAGTTCCTGCTGTTGTATCGGTGCTGGTCGCGGAGATGATCTTCGGCTCCGTTTCATCGGCAACTGGAGGTGGTGTATGCTGTGCAAAAGTATCGTACTACTCGTATAAATGCATTTTTCTCAGCATGAGAAATGAAATTTGTAATGCAGATTTGCCTTAAGAAAAAGATTTGTATTTGTAATGCAAGACTTGCATTTATACGAATACGATACTTTTGCACAGGATATGGTGGAGGAGACGACGATGTTTTACTTTGTGAAGCCACAGCGGTTTTGATTTCGTCCATCATCAAGTATTGGTGCTGCATCACCGCCACAGGTACTTCCACGTTGGCCAGCATGCCGACTTCCCGTGCGTTTAGCCCCGCGGCGTTTACCACATGGTCACACACCACAACCTGCTCGCGCACCGTGCCGCCGTTCTGCCACTCCACCGTCACCTCCCACTTGAAATCGGACTTGCGCTGGTTCGGCTTTATCCAGTGCAAAAATATGATGATCGTACATACAAATACAAATTGCAACACAATTTTTTTATTTTGTCACAAAGCAAAGTGAAAATGATTCTCATGCGGTATGCGGTGCCGTCGGCGTGATTTGAAATATTTATATATATGAGTACGTCGACACATCAACTTTTATTGCAGTGGGTAGTTTCCACCACAGTGCAGTTCTCGAAAATGAGATTTCTCTCTTCACGACTGATGTGCTGTTCTTCTTCACCGCTGCCGGTCGGTGAGATCTTGACATTCTTGTTGCCTAAACGGTTTATCTCCCGTACCATCGCCGTTCCAAAAGCCCTAGCGTCCACGCGTCCCGCGTCGGGGTAGTGCAGCACGATGTTCTGCGAGTTTTCCAAATCTAGTATGCATTGCAAAAGTATCGCACTCGTATAAATGCATTACAAATTTCCTCAGCATGGCAAATAAAATTTGTAATGCGCATTTATCTTAAGAAAAAAATTTGTAATGCATGACTGCGATTACTACGAGTACGATACTTTTGCAATTCATATCTAGAAACGGATATCAAATGCTACGGAAATTATTTCAATTCTTCGATCTCACCCTACACCAACTGGTGACAACTCTTGTACGTGTACGAGCGTTGTTGAGAAATGGCACGCCCGGTGTGTTTATTGTGGCTTATTTGAAAAGCTCTGCAGTGAAGCGGATGACGGCGATTATGCTCATCTACATCCTCATTTTCTCCAGCTGCATACATTCAAATTGATAAACATGACCTATGTAAAAACCCATTGTTCTGGCCACAAAAAAGGCCGGTTGCCGTGTCTCGAGCGGCTTGCACCAAAATAAGATGAATTTCCGCTAGGATAAGCAACTGCTGCAGTTCCGGAAGGGAATAGTTGGCATTCGATGCTGGTGAGGGAGCCGTCGTGGAGCCTCCAGACGGAGCCGTCGTGCTTGTTGGAGACGTCGCGGCACCTCCACTTGCTGATCCTGGTAAAGGCGACAGTAGCGGTTCGAAGCTACTTTCTTTTGCTGACGTGGAAGGCATCGCCTGAAGATCTTGGTACTCGTGTACCTTCGCCAGGCCGACCTGTATCCAATGCAAAAACCACCTCCCCACCCCATAGTCAAGCTGGGGATGATTTGGCTACGCAAAGAAAGAGCCAGCATCGATCTTTTGGCTGTCGCGCGTGACAAGTTTGGGCGAGCCCAAACGTGTCATCGCGTTTCACTTTTCTAGCTGCATCGCAAATCGATACCCTGGTGCTGATTCCAGAAGGATGACAAACGTCCAGACAGCATTAGAGAATGCTCCTCATGGGGCTCTACATCATCATCATCATGTAGCGGACACCCGCACCCAGCGCCACAGGTCAAGGATCCCCTCCCCGGGGGGTGGGCGAGGAAGCACTTTCGGCGACCTCATCATACAAAAGCCGAGCGCTACCACGGCAAGTCGCCCCAACACACATGACAAACATTCGAAGCTTGCGGATTTGCATGACAACAATGAGGTAGGGAGGTACAGGTTTTTCCTCAGCATAATCTGGTAGTGCGCCTCATCCGACTTCGCTTGGGGCAGGATTTTCAAGCAGCCGGCACTTCGTCTCGAATGAGAAGTGGCTGTGGAGGAGACAGAGGAGGCAGATGTTGTAGTTGAAGACAGCGAGGACTGTGGCGATGTAGTTGAAGTCATCAAAGCAGGATTTTGATTTGCAATTTCAGCAACAGATTTTTCATCCGCACTGCCATTTTGTTCACGTTCTTCTTCCCCGTCGGTAGTTACCACGGCTTTTATCTTCGGCGAAGTGTTCGCTCTCTCCACCACGTCGCTTTTGTTCCCCAACATCCCAAGCTCGCGCGCCAGCTCACACGTTTCCTTGTGCCACCGGTACAGGTTTCCGCGCATCCCACTGCCGCCCGAGTTGGTGCCGTACTGGCAAAAGGCCGTGCCGACAAACCCCGCGGAGTGCCACGTGGACCCGGAAAACAGCTCCGCCTTTTCGAACAAAATCGCGGACCGGTTTATTTCATGTTGGTCCGGTTTGATGTTGTACTTGTGGTCGTCTCCGAGGTCCTCGCGTTTCATCTTATTTGTGAGCTGGTACAGTAGAGATACGCCGGTGATGCCACCGCCGATGATGACAACCGAAGCCTCGCGCGGAATCGTCGAGGTGCTTGCAGCAGTCAAGATCTTTGTGCTGTTTGCGGTGGAACTACCCGCGTCTGCCGTCCTGCTTAAAAGTGTAGTTGACCACGAGTTCGGACCGGAAGACGAGCCTGTTTGAACGTTGGTCGAAGGCGGAGTAGTATGAGAGTGCACAACTCCCCTTCGCCGTCATTTGCCTGGCATGGAAAGCAATACAAACACCAACACAGGTGTATGCTGTGCATGACAAGTTCTTCATACGCTGAGTGTAGTACCGACTGTTTAAGCTTCGAAACTTTGTAATGCAGACAGTGCCATCATCATCATGTAGTGGACACCCGCACGCAGCGCCACAGGTCATGTAGTGGACACCCGCACGCAGTGCCACAAGGCAGCAACTGGATTCGAGATTTTGCATGACAAATGAGGGGGAGGGGGCGTTGTCCAGTGTCATACGGAGAAATCGGCACGGAACTGGTGATGGAGAACCGACGTGGGTTGAGTATGGATTGCTCAGACAGTCGTAGGTATAATATCCCATGTTACCAGGAGGAAGAAAATTTGTCATGCAAACGCCACATCATCTAGTTGCAGCCTATTTCGAGAAGTACAACAATAAGCATAGCGAAGTAAACTAAAACATAAACTAACAAAAAAGTACATAAAAGTGTATGAAAAGCACAGCTTGTTCCTGGTTTATTTCATTTTTCGTAACAAGAGAGTGAGGGCGGGGAGCAGAGAGAGCGAAAAGAAAGGGACCTAAAGAAGGAGTGATTTGCGAAAGAGGAGCGGGCAAGTGTTCGTATGTATGCATTCTGGTGGTCAGCTGGTAATTGTGAACGTCTTCACTAGCGCCTTAAGCACCGGCCTAAACCTGCGCACCGTTTGCCTACGGTACACAGATCGATCATGATCTGCGGCTCCAGCCTTTTGTAACTTGCTCGTGCGGAAGATGAAGAAGAAGAATGGGCGCGGCAGCAACGCTGATAGCTCGCAGCTACCACTATCTCTCGGTAATTTCTCTCATGAAGAAACAGGACGACGAAATGAAGAAGAACACACATACAAGAATACTTTCATCTAGCATCGCAACTGCTTATTTTGTATCAGCAAGTGCTAGAAGCATGCAAGGGAAAGACTTATACCATATGACACCTATTTCCACAGGGAGAATACCCATGACAAGTGCGAGCTCGTCTCCAGTCCAAACTGCACTTCGTAGGAGAACAACCCGGCAAAAAAACATGTGATGCGAAAAGCGCCAAGGCCAAGCTCGTCACGTTCCTAATGCTCATGCAAGAAGACAAAGTTTATTTTTCATCGTAGCAAGGTCTGAGACTGCGACACCTGAGCGGGGCGTATGCAGCAGCGGGCGCGCAAGGTAGTTCGTCGGCGGCGATCGCTCCGCTGTTGGACCGCTGCAGCTACTCAAGAACATGTTCGAATTTCGATGACCCGGATCAAATGTGACAACGTGGCCACTAGTCACACTGCCACTCGTGCGACCCCGTGACGAGCATCTCCCTTGTAGGAGCCGCTGCATTTATTTGGCGTTATTCGTGAAGATCATGTCCAAGTGCGCAGCTGGTCCTGCTCTCCGTCTACCTGGTGGTGCTGGTCGCTTGTGTCAGTGGTCTACGACTGGGAGAAATGCTCGTCGACTTCCTTTCGCCAAACAGAGCTAAAAGGAAGCTATCTATGGCCTCTTTCTGACATTGAAATCGTGGGCGTCTTTGCAGTGATGGCATTTGTTCCGCGGGCGGGCCCAATCAATCTGGTTGCAACGTCACTCGCGAAGTTGCCATGTTCGTTGCTGGTAGAGATGCTAACTATATAAACGATCGACGCGCCACAGAAAATAAAGCTGACTATGTTCCGCAATTACACTTGGAACCTGGAACACAAACTGACAAAGCAGCTAAGATACGCCAAAGAGCGAAGACAAACAACACGCACTGTTGACCTGCCTCATACAGAGCCGATCATTCTTGACATTGCAGAAAAAGAAGACTGATAAATAACTTCTGCATCGGGTACTACTCTTCAAGTGGCTTTGCGCTCGTCGCCTCTCTTGCTCGCTCTTGCTTTTCATCTGCACAACCACCACCATCAGCACGAGCTTCATGCGTGCGCAGATGAAGGAGTAACACGAGCTTATGTACTACATACACCACCTCCAGCACCACACGAAAGAAAAGGAAGCGCCCTGTAAACAGGGTCTCCCTCGAAAATGCGTCGCACATCTCAAGATTTGCGCTGCATCGGCACCACGAGCAGCTGCGCAATATATAAAAAAGCACCAGGTAAATTGAGAACACGCCAGAATCTTTGTCGTTTCGCGCACGGGCGTGCACCAGATCCGAGGACGCAGGTCCTTCGCCAAGCGTTTTTTGTTCAAATGCTTCAAGAGTGGTTCATAGTCCTCGACCTCGTTATTTGTGTTTACAACTTCAGGACGTTTCTCCACAAGAACAGCACAGCTGTACGTGCGTGCTTGGTGCACCACCCTCGTACTGCTGATTTCCGTAAATGTGGCCCCGCGCTGCTGATTTCCAAAAATGCTGTAGATCGCTGTCGTTCTCCTTCTTTTTTATTTTTTAGACAAACAAGCTCTTTAAGTAATAAAATGCCAATAGTTCTTAACAATAACAGTAGTTGCCGCACGCGGATTGATATCAGACAGCTCAAAAAAGTCAGAGCGCTTTGTAGCGGGCGTCCCTTCCACCACCAGGACGGCACAACTGTACGTGCGTGCTTGGTGCACCCTCGTATTGCTGCTTTCCGTAAATGTGGGCTGGCGCTGCTGATTTCAAACAATGTCGGTCGTTCTCGTTTTTTCAAAAAGCTCTTTAGATAATCAAATGCCAACAAAAATCAGTACCAGTAGTTGTGATCAAACCGCGAAAAAAGGTCGGAGCGCTTTGCAGCGAACGTCCCTGATGCTTTTTTCACCAACTACGTACTCAATGAACGGAGAGAGTAGATACATATGATACGAGGCCCTACTTCCAGGTACAAAATACTTTAAAATTTAAGCTTCCATGCTATACTTATTTTTATTACATTCTTGGGATACAAAAAAACGCGGAGCAAAAAAATAAAAAAAGATTTACATGCCACAATTGAAAGATACAACAGAACAGATGCAAAAGGGCTTTATAGTGTTGAGTCTTCATTTTTCTGATATCTCATGGGGGCATGGACATCTCGACGCTTCTTTAGACTCCCTTCGGGGTTAGGACAAAAAAGATGATTTGTTTTTTTAAAATTAGCTGATGCTTTCGAGCTCAAGCATGATCCGATTACGATCTCCATCTCGACATAAAGTTTTACTTTACGCCGTCTTCAGAACTTGCGTTTAGTGCCACGAGTGCTAGTACTCGTACTTCTTGTGGCTGTATAAGTTAAAATGAAAACGCAATGGATTGACTTTGATACTTGTTCTCACGACCGTGGCGTGGCCGGAGTTGTTGTCGTAGGGTTCTTGCATTCACAAACAGTAAACAAGCTTTGTCTTTTGGTGCGACGGTCGAAAAATTATAGAAAGATTCTGGTTCCGTTCCTTCCACGTATTTTCTACATTGCAAAATGAAGATCCTAGCCGAAATGTGAAATTTTGCACTGCAAGTAAGTGAGCGAAAACTGAGAGGCTGTTTTTTTGAGAAAACCTTGCGACATGATGCAGTGAGTCGTTGAAAATTAACACGATAAACGCGAGCGTTGGTTCTCCTGGCCTGGATGAAGTAGTGATGCGGGCTCCTGCTCAATCGTGGCTCTTGTCCGAGTTGGTAGATCCAAACGTGGTCCAATCCATGTCCCACACGTCCTTGTTCTTGTCCACCTGTGTGTTATGGTTGTAAGATGGAGAGAACTCGGGTGTTGGTCGAGTCGAAGTTCTATTCATTTGATCCGTTGCTCGAAGCAAAACCATCCAAGGAAGCGTGACAGTTTGGTGGAAGTCCAAGCGAAATAACAGAACTGCAAGACAAGCGCTTTCTATTGGTGAGTTATTTTCCTTGGCCCCCAGTCTTTGTTGTTTTGATTGATCACATTCGCGATCTGCAATCACAATCCCGCAAACAAACCCGCCAAGCTGGTCATCTGAGTGGTCATCTATACAACAATCATCTCACATATATTGTTGTCTTGGTCTTCATTCCATTTTTTCCAAACACGACCACAAAAGGATCCGCGTCACGGACTTTATCAATATGGCACCAGCATGAAAAACATATCATAAAACTCAATAAGTTGCAAATCAACAAGGCACACAGTCTAACCTGCGAAGGAACCGGCTTCGGCGCACGATCTTCACCAGCAGGAATCAGTCCCGATCCTCCTTCGGCAAGAGCAGGGTGAAGTGGTACTAGAATTGTTCGTTCGCCGTCTTGAACTTTCTCGTATTCCTGTAATTAAGTTGGCCGAATCTACTGAACTACGGAATGCAAATTTATGTATTTGTAACCACGTCGTCTACAAAGCCGTAGATGATTGTGGTTTATTCGAGTACGTGACAAGTACTTAAACAAGATTGACGAAGTCAACTAAAACGCTTCATGGGATTGGGGTCCGAATCCGATAAAAAGGTAGATTGCATAGGCGTTTCAACAAAGGAATGTTATATTTCTCACCACTTTTGCAGTCGTGTCGGCTGACGCACTGACTGCGGTCCGATCAGCGTCCCCGGGACCTCTGGAGCTGGTACCGCTGTCATCCTCGTCGACGCCGGTCGACGCACCCTGTCGTGCACGATAAGTATTATAAATGAAGGTCTCATACCATGGCGCCGGGCGATATTTGTAGTAAAACAAAAGCGCCCTCCTCGTGTCAGTTTTTTTCGTTCCCCCATGCGCCTTGTTCACTGTCTTCTTTTGAAGAAGACACACTACGCTAAAAAGAAAGTGTCCGGCTTCTAAGCGTTACACTTAGACTTAGTACACTTTCTTCTACAATGAATGGCTGGTCATCGTCATATGAGTAATCTATCGAACAACAGTCATCTCATATATTTATAGCGCCCGGGAAAAAATCATGCGATCCATAGGCGCAGCTAGGTGGGAAGCGCCGCCGCGAATATTCAGATCGAAGAAAAGCGCTACGAAAATTGTAAAAGTGCATACTTCATCATCACTTCTTCTACCTGAACAGCCCCCGACCGCTGCCCAACATCTTGCGACTGTGCTGCATCAACGTCACGCACCGGAAGCCGAGCCGGAGGCTGGCCGACCGGCCGTTCAAAAGCCAGGTCGAAGTACTCGGTGTGCGGGCCGGCGGCCGCAGACGAAGCAGGAACCGGAAGCTGTGTATTTTGTTAAGACGGGAACACGATTGTCAAAACACGACGAGGAAGCAGCCTACCATACATAGTCGTAGAATTAGAGTCTAGATCTGCAATAGGCTCGACGGAATGAATATTTAGAATAGGCTGTTCGTCCAGGAGCAGGACAATGCAACCACGAGAGAACGTTGATCCGAGAGAGGTGGTATCTAGGCTAATCGAGCCTCTAAGCGGATGCTGCACCTCCGTCTCGTGATTCGAAACGATGGATCGGCAGCGTTTGCTTTATTGAGGTACGAAAACGAATACGATGGGAAATAGGTAGAGGTAGGGCCCAGATTGATACCCTGGGGCCCGGTACCCTGGGACCCGGTACCCTGGGACCCGGCACCCTGGGACCCGGTACCCTGGGACCCGGTACCCTGGAACCCTGGAACCCGGCACCCTGGGACCCGGTACCCTGGGACCCGGTACCCTGGGACCCGGTACCCTGGGACCCGGCACCCTGGGACCCGGTACCCTGGGACCAGGTACCCGGATTTGAGCAGTTCTGCAGCTGCTTCGTCGTTACGAGAGATGATGGCCATCGTGGAAACTCGCGTCACCAATCCATGCGGCCACTCGCGATCTGGAAGCCAGACCAATGCGCGCACTCAGATGAATGCGGGCCCAATGGGCACCTGCGCCCAGGTACCCGGGTCCCCCGAATGAATGTGTTATGGTTGTAAGATGAAGAGAACTCGGGTGTTGGTCGAGTCGCAGTTCTCTTCATTTGATCCGATGGTCGAAGCAAGACCATCCAAGCGTGACAGTTTGGTGGAAGTCCAAGCGAAATAACAGAACCGCAAGACAAGCGTTTGCTATTTGTGATTTTATTTTCCTTGGCCCCCAGTCTTTGTTGTTTTGACTGGTCGAACCAAAATCAAGCATCCGGAATCTTCTCGCGCCCCTGCGCGCGCGCTGTCGAGTTGTCTATTACTCTGGAGCGCGCCTGCCTTGCCGTCTCTCTTTCATTCTCCAAACATCATCGCCACCATTCTGCGAGCGCGCGGCTGCTCTACCCTTCCTGGTTTCTTTCCTGTCCGGACTCCTAGGGCAGGCCAACAAGGGGTCGCCATTTAGGGCGACCCAAATCTTGTAAACTTAAAGCTGGCCGCATCATGAACTCGAGTGGTCATGTAGGAAGCAACAGAGCCACTGTAGATGAAGTCCAACTGAAACAAGGGAAGAAGGTGGACAAGAAACTACACACACATAGAAGATTTTCGCGCCGGAGCGGCCGCTACAGTATAAAGCTTCGCCCAATTTTTCCGTAGGCTTTTCTCTTTACGGCCGACGCCAATGATGCACATCTGATGGCGCAAGTGAGGCCTGACAAGACGGCAATAAGTAGCCAGCTAGTGCGTCCTTTGGCACGCTGCTGCGCGCCCCTCCCTCCTCCGGCAAGGCAAACTGCGAACCCAGTTTCCAGCAGACATCCAACCTATACCATGGGGGCGCGGCTGCTTCCTTCAAGCGCGGACGCCTTCAATGCGAGGCTAGGTTTTTGTGGACTTGGGTGGGTGTGGCTCAGATTCCGACCAGAGGACCCCGGCTCCCTGCCAGAATCGACGTCGTTCGGGGGGGCGGCAAAACGCGCACCGTAGCTAGCACTGACTCTGCCTGAGTTCCGGGCGGTCCAGCAAGCAACAGAGCCGCGGCACTTAGCCCTGTTTTTTGGGTCTGGCGGAGGGCGCCACGCGACCCCACGCCTGCACTTCGTGCAGGAAGGGCTCTGGGGCTAGGGCTCGACCAGCAGACCCACTCTTGATTGGAGACGGATCACCCAGCGCAAGAGCGAGGAAGAACAATCAATGTCAATAATCAAGGAAAAAAAATTTTTTAAATTGCGTCGCTGCTTCAACTCAGTCACGTGATACCTCTTTCCCACGCTCGTCCCCGACGGATTCGCCTTCGTATTGAAACGTGTCCCAATCGACGTCGTACTCGTCGGCGATGGCCTGTTCCAAAAAAGTGAAAAATTAGTATGGCGCAGGCTTACGACACATCTCAAACAGGTAAAAAGAGGAAAGTGCCGGCTCGTGTACTTACACTCTTTCACCTTCTGCTTATGCGTTAGAAAATAGCCCAATGCGGGCGCGGGCGGTAGTCTACTTAATCGAGTCACTACTCGGATGCTGCACCAACACCATCGCCTCACAATATGAGACGATCGGCAAAGTTCTTTGTTATGTTCTTCTAAGATAGAAAGCAAAGAAAAGATCATGGAGCTTCGGTGGGATGGACAACCAGCGTACTGGAGAACTAAAGTTTGTCGGTGTGGAGTTTAATTTTTTCTGCTTCTCTGGTGTCCGTCAAGAGGATGCTCATCAATTGTTCCAATTGCAATTTCAGTTGGGTTCCAGTAAAAAATTTCTTGCAGCAAACAACTACAATCACGTCTACGTCACATGATGACACCCCCGCAACTACCTTTTCGGCCCGCTGGTAGGCCCGGGTTATGAGAGTGAACAACTCCCCCTCCCCCTCATTCGTCATGCAAAATGCCAAGTCTACCCGTTGCCTTGCGTCTTGGCACAGTTTACATGACAAGTTTCGGAAGCCGAAACAGAGCTAGAATCGACCGCCGATTTGTGATGCGAAAGCTGCATATTTGCCGGAGCTTGTGTTGCTGTGGATGCTATCCAAATGGGGGAGAGGGAGAGTTGTGCACTCTCATATGCGCCTGCGACTGGATTTTCGTTGCAGCTGCGTCTTCTGCTTTGGCCTGCGCCTGCGGTGTGTTGCGTAAATAAGCAATCTTCTCTGGCGTCCGTCAAGAAAATGCTCATAATTCCAAACAATTTAGCTCGGTTCAGAAAATCATTTGCAACAAACAACTACAATCACGTCTACGTCACATGACGACCCTTCCGCAACTACCTGTGCTTTTCTTTCCGCCAACTCCTGCCTGGCCTTTTTGGCCCGCATTATGAGAGTGAACAACTCCCTCCCTCATTCGTCATGCAAAATGCCAAGTCTACCCGTTGCCTTGCGTCTTGGCACTGTTTGCATGACAAGTTTCGGAAGCCGAAACAGCGCTAGAATCGACCGCCAATCTGTGACGCAAAAGCTGCACATTTGCCGGAGCTTGTGTTGCTGTGGACGCTGTCCAAATGAGGGGGAGGGGGAGTTGTGCACTGTCATACGCACCCTCCTCTGGATTTTCGTAGCTGCGGCAGCTGCTTTGGCCATGGCCTCCTGCGATGTGTTGCGTAATAAGCAATCTTCTCTGGTGTCCGTCAAGACCATGCTCGTAATTCCAATCGATCCAATTAGGGCTGGGTTCCAGAAAAAAACTCTTCCAACAAACAAGACAGCGGAAGAGGTGCGCAGCGGGCGCCTGCGCGATGCGGCCAAAGTGGGCGCAATAGCATGCGCGCCCCAGACTCATGGCCACAACACCCGGCAGACAGCGTTTCGGGCAGGGTCAATTTTCGACCGCTAGGCTGTCGCGAGCAATATCTATGCAGCCTGGCAATATAACAAAGCGACAATATAGAGAAATGGGGTTTTTGGTTGGCTTTGGAGCCCGTCGCGGCCAAATGTCATATTGGAGCACTGTGTGTCAACATAGTTATGTTAATGTAATCTGAAACTGAATTAAATAAGCAATGTTGTTTATGTTAATATTCTTACTTCTTCATCAGCCATGGAGATAAAATCCGGGGCGTTCGTTTTCGCAATAGCTTCTTTAAAGTCTCTGTCGAGCTGCGTTGCCTCGTCTGCGTCTTTGCTGACGACGACCGCGCCCTCCTGGAAAGGATTTATTGACTATGTTGCGAAAAGAAAGAAGCATCTATATGATTCGCCCAATCGATGTCGTACTCGCCGGCGATGCCCTGTTCCAAAAAAGTGAAAAATTAGTATGGCGCGCGCTTACGACACATTTCAAACAGGTAAAAAGAGGAAAGTGCCGGCTCGTGTACTTAGACACTTTCTGCTTGTGCGTTACAATATGAGTAGTCCAATACGGAGGGTGGTTTAATCGAGTCGCTACTCGGATCGCATGCTGCACATAACGCGCGGTAAAATAAAGAGAAGTTCGTGGCCAGGGATGAGAAGGAACAGATAGCGACAGCGAGCGGTGCCGGTGCCAAAGATCAAGACGAAGTGCTGACGATCATACTGATAAAAAGGATGATGACATCTTCGCAACAAGTAGTTGGTAAAGAAACGAACCTCGCAGACCAGAGCAAGGTGCTTCGGGTCCCATTTTCCGGAGTTGCGAGATTCATCATCAATGTTCTGCAGAAAAAGCGCGGTTGCCACGACTTTCTGCACTTCCAGCGCATCAGCACCACCGATGACCCAACGCACACCCTCGCGGAACGCCTGCAAAAGTGGGTCGTGCTGTGTATCGTCCAAATAGTATCGAGTGCACAACCGTCGCTATCGTGGAGACCGAAACGCAGCAGCAAGGTTTACGTTTTTACACTCGCATGCCTATAAACAGAGGCCTGTTCTTCGTTTCTTGCAGGGACTGAACCACGGACAGGTTTCTCACCATGCTATAATCTGATGACATGAAAACATCTCGTGACACAATTGCAGACGCTTGCAATGCAGATGCCTGACGAGTGTACTTCTCATGGTTCTTTGGCTTCTCAATGTAGGTAAATGACGGGAGCTCCACCACTCAGCTAGCCCTTTTCCGCGATGCCTGTCCGTGTCCCCCTGCAAGAACATTTTGGTATTTGTTAAAAATATCCAATTATTTATGAATGCAGCTCAAGAGGCTTGGTCAAGTGATGTAATAAAAAGTAGTTCTAACACTACCCAAACCCTATTTCGTGACCGATGAAACAGCTGTGAAAAGTAAACATTGCTTCTGCAAATCTATGTTCCGAATCTGACCACGCCTGCGACGCCGTTGCATAAACGAGGAGGGACCTGGACAAGATCTTTCCACTCTCGTTTTCCGCTGGCATCATGTGTCTTCTTGAAAGCACCGGCTCCGAGATGCGTCAGTATGTCACTCATCACCGTGTCAGTGGAAGGCGCGACCTCCACTTGCTTTTGGAGCCACGCGACGCAGTTTCTGCCGAGCTGCTCTGCAGTGGGAATCACCGCTTGCACCTTGAAGCGATAAGTGGGATAGGACGGAAGATAGTTGATCAAAGTGTCCCAGAGCGAATCCGTCTCTGCACAAAAGGCACGGGCATCGGTGACGGGCATGCCGTCATGGTTTGCGCAGTTGCAGACAATTTTTTTGTCCGCAGTTTCGAGGTAGTAGTTGTCTTCAAGAGCGCCCAGTAAGCCCACAAAAGGTTTGCATTGGTCATTGTCGTCGATCGATCGCGCACACACACCCTGCCCCGTGAAGGCTTTTTCAGCGACCTCCAGCACTGGGCCAGGATCTAACCAACCGAGCAAGGACCAAAAGTAGCCTTGTTCCTGTTGCTTCTTCGTAGTGTCGAAACGCTGCTGTGCCTGTTTCGCCTCATTCAAAACTGACGCGAGCTCGCGCTTTTCCTCTTGCTCTTGTTCGCTTAGTTCGTGGGGACGAAACTCGTTGCAGACAGAATCTTTGCGGTCGTCCAAAAACCTTGCCCATGCTTTTCCAGCTTCCCGGTACATCTTCGTATCGTGTTGCGTTCGTATCGTGTTGAAAACATGTACCATCCATCCCCAGGACCTGGACCCGCGGACGCGGAGAGGACGAGGGCTTCGAAATCATATTAATTAAATGCCACTTATTCATTTATCATGTATTCGCGGGCCGCGGCCTTCGTCATCATTACCATCGAGCAAGCGCGCTACGTGTTGTGCCACTAGTACTAGTGCCTGAAAAAAAATTACCCCGCCCCCGCCAGCCGGGGGGCCTAGCCATATTTTACGAAGATGATTTTCTTTGGCTTTTGGTTTCGGTTGTCGCGAATGCAACACGTGAATTGTAGCCGAGGCCTTTACTCTAAAGCAACTGAGCGTAATCGAGAAAGAGAAACGCGCGCTCTGCTGGGGCGTGTCTCCGATGGCATCAAGGACGATGTCTACAAAGAAGTTGTGATGAAGCAAAAGCAATCAAATGCAAAAGCAATCAAATCAACATAGTGAAGAGCCTCCGCATGATCAACCGCATTTATTAACATTTCAAAGCGTTCCATGCTGCTTGGCACTACTGTCCTATTCTTGTCCTCGTTTTCTCAGCAAGTGCAAGAGCAAGTAGTGTACAATAAAAAAATAAGTCGCACTCTTGCAGGAGCTGATAATCATACATGATAGGCTTTCCTTCGCAATCCGTTGCTGCACTGTGTCCGGGATGATGGTAAACTAAGAAAGACTTTTATGTCATAGGAGGTTCCATTTGGATTTTGGCTGTGTCCGCATTGATCCGCTGCAGAAATGCATCAGCATCCGGTACTTCCTCGTGGAAGTCGTGGTCCGGTCCACCGACCTCAGGCAAAGAATGTTGTTCGCCGGATGTCGCTTCCCGTTTCAGCAGGTCATCTTCTTGCCCCGTCGACGCGCTGCTGGGCGCAACTGCGCGTATCAAATGGAAAGGACCACTACAGCAACACCACCTCACGAGGAAGATTAAGTACGTTGTCGTGTTCTGTTGATAAAACGCAATGCTGACACGCACTGCGACGTTTTGCGACAGAAAGGATATGACTGTGATCATAAAACGACATTGAATTACTATTAATTTGCTCATCTGTCTCATCTTCAATATCCACATATCCACCCCGAAAACGTCGAAATACAGTACACCATGAGATTTCGAAAGCAACTACAATCAATGCCGGCATATTAAGAGTTCACATTTACTTAGTTTCCTCGGTGCGACATGTAGTGGAAAAATCAGAGGAGCGAGTCCGTCTTTCTCCTTTGATAAAACCAGCGTTCCCGTCGTTGCTCGCCGGGCGGAAGCCGAGGAAACCCCCGGCTTCCGTAATTTTGAGAAGCCCCTCCTGGCGACGGTCTGCCGTGGTGTCGACCTGCGAATCCCCTCCCTGGTCAATCTGCTGGTGCTGAATCGTCTTCACCGCGGCCACGCCGGCCGTTAGCGAGGACGCCGCGCCGGCGGCGAGGAACGTCGTGACGCCGCTTCGGATATCAAATGCGAATATGTCTGGGTCTGGAAAGTTATAGACTTCTCACGCAGCTTTTCCATGACCCATAAGGTCTGGAATGCGGCACTTAGCATGACAGACTCTGCGAGGCCGACGCCGAGGTCTCTTCCATGCCTATCCTGCATGAGAAACTCCTTTCCAACTTGGTGAAAAGTGTACAGCTTTTGGCACTCATGCCACACAGATTTTTGCATGCTTCAGATTTACCATGACAAGTTGCAATCTTCCAGACCCAGACACTTTTACAATTCATACTTGATGGTCGACATGGTCGGTCTACTCGATCTGGACGAGCAGGCTGTGCAGGTGCGAGACTTTTCGGCTCGACGTGCTGTCTGGAATGGATCTCTTGTTCTGACGAAAAAGCTACGGTTCTTGTGGCAGCTCGAATCTTCGTGTTTGTCGCAGCGAACGTGCGTAAGTAAACACTTCACTTGTTTTCTTCCGCGTTGGCGTCAGAATCGCGAGTGTGGTTGGTCGCCAAAGTTGAGTTTGTTGCACACCTCTTCGCGCGTGATTTTTCAAATTGTTGCGAACTTCGTGTTGGTACGAGTGCTCCTGCTGAGTGATTTTGTTGTTCGATTTTTTGTTGTTGTTGTGAAAGTCCATAAAACGAGCTACCGTCCGTAGCTGAGAATGATATGGTGAGAAGAGGGTCAAAAGTCAAAGTTTTTCGTTTTTCGTTTACGTTTTTAAAGTTCTTCGTTGTTGAAAGTAGGGGATAGAAAGATCGGGTCACTTGAAATTGTTCGAAAGAAGAAAGACAAAGTCTGAGGGGGTCCTCGTCGTCGTCGTCCTGTGCAGAGTTTTCATAATCGCGGTAGCATGATAGCCAAGAATACTTGAATGGATGAAGATGAAGAATACAGACGAGGAAATACGAGGTCGCAAAGCGACAAGACCAGTTAAAAGTCCAGCGAGGGCTGACATCAAAGTTGTAGAGGAGCCGATAGTTGTATCGTAGAGGTATTTTGACCTTCGCACGACCTCGAGAAACGATAACGAACCGACGGCGTCTTACTACGCAGCTGCACGACCAGTAATGTAGTTTGAACGACAAAATATTTTCGTACTACGAAGAACCGAATTTTTACCTACGCCGTCTTTCTCAAGCAGCAGAACCGAAACCGAACATACTAACTATTCGCTGAAATATGAGACGAACGAAGAGTGCGGGAGACCGATATATAATTCTTTGTCTTCTTCTCTGCTTTGGCGTCGACCGAGAAGGACCAGGACGAGGTTCTTGTTATGAGCAACACAGAGAAGGCGAATACATCTTCCGGTTCCGACAAAGAACACCGAGGGACATAACATTGCGCTTCAAACCGGTGAGAGATTCATTTAGACGATCAATAAACCGAAATGAAAAAAAGGTCAAGGCAGCTGTACAAAAAATATAGACGAAAGTGCTCTGCCAAGTTCTTGGCATGTTTCCAATAAAGAACCATTCCACCGCGCCGCGGCTTCTATTTTGCAAAGGCAGTTCTTCTTCTTCCGCGTCGATCCAGTTCTGCGTGAATCAACTTTTTTATACAGCAAATTAGATTGATTCGGATTTTTTTTGATTGCTATTGCAGTTTCATCTGTATGCTTCAGGTCCTCGCGGCAAAGGGCAAGCCGCGGCCCCGGAAGCGTCGAATGTTCAAGTTCACGAACAGCCGTCCCTCAGGCGAACGTTCAGGTACGGGCTCTTGTCATACTCCTCAGCCGTCAAATCGTCCAAGGGTGTGCAATGCAAAAATGTCTGGCTCTGGAGATCTGGTAATTTGCCAGACTGAGCAGGTCAACCTCGTGCTGCAAACGATGGACTACACATCAAGTCCAACTGCAGCAGCCGAGCTGCATCTTCTCGAATTTTGAGATGAATGCGTCGTCGTGCGCAGGGGCAGGCGCACGACGACGACCACCAAGTGCGTTCTTGCTGTAAGAGAGTCAGAGACACACGCTCTGTCCAGACCCAGACTACATATTGGTGCTTTTCTCATACACGACTTGGCGTCGCAGCTCGGAGCTGGCTGCAGCTCCATCGGGTAATGTCTTGCCTTCTTTGATTCCTGGGGCGCCCCAAGTGCGCGCTGAATGGTATCGAATGTGAAAACAACGATGAAGGAGCTGCACGATGTTGACGAACTACTCTCGACGTCGTGATGGAGCAGTCACAGACACACAGACAGGAGCAGTACATCACAGACAGGAGCAGGTAGACTCGCCCTAATTGAAAAATAGGTCGTGCTTCATGTCTTCTCTGACGACTTCCGTGACATACTCGTGTTTCAAAGACGGATAAAAGAGGAGACGTCATCAACATGCGCGTCCTTCACGCGGCGGGAGAGGCTACTGTGGTCTTCACATGGGATAGATCAATACTGCTTGCCAATTAGAGCTATTGTGGTTGAACAAAGCCCCGTCAGTAGAGGGAGACGCTTCTTCTCCGCCCTTTGTAGGAAAAGTCTTGGTCTCAACACGGTTTGCAGATGCGGCCGGGGTAGTTGTCCTCTTATTTTCCAAGACAAAGGTAAACACGGCAACGTCCTCCTCCTCGCTGTCGCCGTATTTGAAATGCTGAAACATGCGGATTTGGCAGCAACACGCGGAAGAGAAGCCTGTGCCCGAACCTAAAAACCGCACGTTCTCCAACGCGAGAATTTTCTGCGGGGCGAGCCAGGTCAAGAACGTCTTGCACATTTCCTCGCGGCTGGCACCCCCCGTCGTTGCGGAGTTGCCCATGTACTGTCCTGTCGGCTTGATCATCAAACAATCCGGGCTGACAAAATCGCCGTAGTTTTCCGGACAGATGGACAAGTGCGCTTCCAGCTCGCGAAAATACCGCCGGACGCTGTTGACCTCTGAGAGGGAAGGCGAGGGAGGTTGCTCTCGTGGTCCCGGGGTAGCTGCACTGGTTTCATCGGAACGAATTCTGGGCAGCCTTTCATCTGGACCCTCCTGGTGGAGGAGCAATTTGCAGTTCTTTGTATCTGAGCCTGTGCCCAAAAAACCCCAATATTGGTCTGATGCAAGACGTGCAGTGGTATCATCTTCTGCACCGCCTGGGTCCTCTTCCATCTTGATTTTGGGAGCGGCAGTGTGGACGTTGGCTTGCTGGTAAGGAATAGGAAAACAAAGCACTTACTACTTTTAGAACTGGATAGGACTGATGGAAAGCAGTAGTACTGAATAAAGCCGGCACTACTTGAAGAAGTGCAAGCTATTTGATAAAGACCTCGCGCTTGTTCTGTTCTCCTGGTATTTCCACCGAAGAGACATTTTTACAAGTGGGCTGCGGCAGTTGTAAGTCGATTCAACATGAGCACGCCGGGGAACAACACCGTCCACCACCAGAAACACTACTTTATTTCTAATTATGTGATCTCCTAGTACACAAATCGAAAGCAAACGAAAACGCCGGTGGGCCGCGCCCCGACCGAATCATTGTAGCAGCCCGCTTCCCGGCGACAGAACAGAGCGTCCTTACGACCGGACTCGGCAGCCAGCCAGGAAGAATTGACGGCGGTACAACTGCGTTGCTTTCCACCTGCTTTTGCTTGTATTTTTTCACTGCTCACCAGTTGATCATCAATTGCCTTTATTAGTTTCACCCGCACCGCAGAAGTCGTCAACCTTCATTTCGCTTTTTGATTTACAATATCGTCTTGTCGCTGAGCCTTCCACAAGGAAAAGCGTCAGCTCAACGTGGTGATCCAGTGACTTTTCCTAAAACTTGGTTTTGCACCAAAAATAGGACTAGCTAAACTGTTCATACGACACGGGAGACTGAAGATACGTCTAAAGAATAAAGGTGAGCTTCTTCATCGGAATGATTGATCTGTCTAAAGTGCTTAATATTCTCACGACCTCATCAAGGTTTTATTTTGTTTGATGGGGGAAACAAAAGCTGAGCCATGCCAAAGCTCATCGTGTTCACATATTGTTCACACAGCTACTTGCTTCAATAGCTCTTTAGAAATTCATACTGTACACTGTTTTACGTCTTTATCGTTTCACTTCTTGCTAGTTTTGTGGAATTCTCGAAGTCAATAACAATAATGTAATGGAACTAGGAAAACAGGTCCAGTAAAGCTGCAGCATTCTTGTACAGAAACCACTGCTACACTAAGCTGTTTCGTCGTTCCAAAGCGTCGTAGTTCGTCTCAATTGTTGACTACGGCATTTGCATTATGAAGAGGAGAGTAGTACTACTAGTAGATCCTGTCTACTTAATTTTCGGGGCACAAGCGGTTGCTCTTGCTCGTCGTCCCTCTATCGCTACTTCAGTTCCAGCTCGACCAGGTTACAAATCTCATCAGCAGGTGAAGTAATCGTAGTTCTACCGTAAAAACCGTAGTACGTACGCGTACCTGATCAAATTCATCAAATTAATAGAACAGCTTAAAACAGAACCACGACGCCAAACAGCAGTGAAAATAGAACTCCCATCATTTTCACCGGGCCTAACATCAGCGAGGGAGACGCAGCTGTTCCCATTCTGCCCACCGCCGAGCTGGTCGTGCTGGTTGACAGTAGCTGCGCTCCGGAAGTAGATGAACCATTTTCGTTGTAATTCTGAGCTGCGCCGGCCATGGAGGCGCGGACGTAATCGTTGCTGGCAGGACTTCTAGACGAGCCGGCGCTTGTACTGCTTGCCGTCGCAGCACTAGAAGAAGATTGATACACAACCGGTACAGTCGGGCTCATTTGCGGCGTGGTTGTGAGTTGCAGTGTGGCTGTAGTAGGAGAGCCTGCTGCGCCTGTTTTAGGATTACTACCGCCGCCACTCGCTTCCGTCAAACAGCTGTTACAGCTCAATTGAAAAGCCGGCGCCGTCTATGCATTGGAAACATGTTAAGTATTTGGGTCCTCTGGAAAGGTGCAAGTACATAGCTTGTGAGTGTGATAGCGATTCTCTTTCTCTCTGTCAGTCACATAAAAAAAAATAAGTAATCTGTCACTGCATGCATGCACGAGTAGAAAAAGGTGTCCTTTCGTGGCCACACTGAGTAGAGAGGATTTCTCATCCTACAGAGTGGGCATTGCAAAACTCTCACCATAAAAGCTGTGAAGATGCTACGATCCGCATTCCAGAGTAGCACCTTCTGCCTGGCCTTTCTGGGCGGTCATGCAAAACCTGCATGACAAACATCTGTAAATTTTCCAGCCCCAAAAGCTACATCTTTGCACTCGCATACCGTCTCCGGTTGCGCGATCTTTTCTCGCAGCTGCTGCTCCTGCACAAAATCGGCCGCGGCAATCTCGTAATCGATCTTGATCCGGCCAGTGGACGAACTGCTCCCCGCAAGCAAACGAAGCACTAATCGATTTTTCTCCAACACGGCCACCTCTTGCAAATTCACCTGCTGTTGCTCCACATCAAGCGTCCCCGCCAAGGCCTCCAGGACGCTCGCGCCGAAAATTTCCTGCGCCTGCGCATCGCTTTCCATATGGCGCTCTCAACTGTTACATTCTCAACTGCTATATGAATTTGTGATGCAAGAATGGAAAAAGTGAAAGGGGTGACCTTGCACGTCTCGCATGACAGATTTGCAACAGATTCTCAGCCTGTTTGGCTCTTTTAGAATTTGTCATGCGAAGCAGCTTCATCATCATCATCATGTAGTGGACACCCGCTCCCGGCGCCACAGGTCAAGGATCCCCTCCCCGGGGGGTGGGCGAGGAAGCACTTTCGGCGACCTCATCATACAAAAGCCGAGCACTACCACGGCAAGTCGCCCCAAGAAAAGTGCCAACCAGTCGGGAGCTACCCACCACACCTGATCGGTACAGCCCGGCCAGCAAGCCGAGCGCGACAGCCCTACATACAGAATGATCCAGGACCCGACCCATTTTACGCCCTACGTTTTTGTTCTCACGGAAGAGACGACGTACCCCTTTGGGTGCAGGGGCGAGACTCTCCCCTAAGCCGCAGCCCCGCCCAGACAGGGGAGGCTGGACCGTTTGCGCCTTACCTTCGGCACGGACGAAAAAGGCAAGCGAGCGGGCCACAGATGTCAAACCATAGACCAGTTGTTTGGCACTGCTGACTGGCAACCCACCTGGGGCGCAGCGACAACTTAAAGGCTTAATTTTCGATTCTGCTTGATCGCGTCGATTCTGCTTGTAATTTTGCATGACAAACCATGTAACAGTTCAGGATGTAACATTTGAGAACGCCATATTCCAACAGCCCGACATTGGACACGGTAGTTTCCATGGTCCCCTGGATGCCCGTCTGCGCGCACTGACAGTTCGCCAGCATCTCCTGTTTCTTTTCCTCTTTGAACTGCCGCTTTTCCTCGTCCGACAGGGCTGCAAACGCGGCTTTTTCCGCCTCTTTCTCCGCCTTTTTCGCCTCGTGTTGTTGCTTTTTTGCCTTCATCTTCTCGAACTTTTCCAACTCCTCCGGAGTCAGTTCGCCGCTGTTCGCCTTCCGCTCCATATCGGTGAAAAATTTCTCGCGCTCCGCCTCCATCTCGGCCTTTTTCGCTTCCATCTCCGCCTTTTTCGCTTCCATCCCTTGCTTCTTCTCCTTCATGCGGTCAAATTTCGCCTGTTCCTCGGCCGTCAGCGCGCCGGCGTTGGCTTTTTCCTCCCATTCGGCAAACAGGGCCGCCTTGTCGGGCTGAGAAGAGCATAGTCGAGATGGAGTTGGATACGTTTACGTGAAGATCATGGGAAAAAACTAACTTTTTTCAACATCTTCCGAGTAAGATTTTTATTTAGACAGGAGCAGAAGAAAGTTGCGCTAAACTACACACCAGGAGCAGAAGAAAGTTCCGAGGTGGGCGCACAACCACACACCCAGAGACGCTACGATGTATCTACTTTATCCAACGGCGAAAAGTGACCCACGCCCGGCCGCATAGTCGTCAAGGGCTGACAACCCAGGATGGGCCGAAGGTAGTGGCGATATCTATGATACATATGATGGTGGCGCAGAATGATGATGGACAGGCGAGAGTTTGACACGGGGCGCAGTTATCCTCTATGCGGGTGGTGGGGCCACTACCACGGGGTGAGAAGCTATCCTGGAGGCGCGCTCAAGTCGCGAAGCAGCGTAGCAGTAGTGTGCACTTCTAAGCTCCTCGACGAAAAAATAAAAAGTAAAATGTCGGCGTCACAACAAGTTCGTAAGAAATCGTTTTCAACTAGCGTAAGACAGGCTCACACAGCACTGCAGCGTAGGAAAAGACCAAGAAGTGGACAACAGCGAAAAAGTTCAAAAAAGTGAAAATAAAAAAAACAAAACCTTCCTTTTCGACTATATACAGCAAGACTTTAACTTGAAGCTTTCTCTTCACAAGGCCAGCTTTTTACAGCGACCGCTTATTTTCTCCTCACAGTTTCTCGAAGCAAGTTCTACTAGTGCTCTTTCCTTTTTCGTGGCTGACCATGCCAAGGACGTCCAAAACAAAAAACTTTCTCAGGGTAACTTTTTTAGCAACACAACTTTCGAACCTTTTCACTTTTACAGCAAGTTAGTGGTCGACAACAAAGACTTCACTTCCAGGGCCAAACTTTCACCTTCACACCTTTGTCTTTACTTCTTTTACAGCAATTTATACAGACTTAAGCTCTAGCTCCTTGCAGCAGTTCGTTTTTCTAAGGCAGAGGCCAAAGTAGCTCTGCCAAGTTGTCCTTTTTCTTGAAATAGCGCTAACCATGTGAGAGGAAATACCAACTTCCAAACGGTTCCACATGACCTTCAACAACAAACAAACAAACAAAGTTGCGCTAAACACCCACGGTACTAGTACGTGTATGGTCCTCAGGCGCACCTGGTCGAAGAAGAAGGACACATATTAATAAAACACGGAAAGTACCTTTCCCGCTCCGGCAGCGCTTCCCGTGGAAGTTCCCCCTGCGGCTTCCTTGCTGCTCTTCTGCTTCTTTTTTGCCTTCATAGCCGCAAATGGGTCGGCCGAAATTATATCATTCCCGGCCATTTTGCACGCTCGCACACACTTCTTCTCGTCTTTACCCCCGCCTTTGCCGTTGCCTCTAGTGGAACTCCGACCAGTTCTTGCTGTGCCGGTCGTCTCTGGTGGCGCACCATTGCGCGCTTATCAAAGTGAAAAATCCCCCCACCCCATACTCAAACTAGAAATTTGTGATGCAGATTTGTGGTCACAAATCAGCTTTGTCATGCTAGAAGGGAAAAGATGCGGACTGTAGTGCTTGCTGGCGTGGGAAAGCCTTGCATCTTCAGCATGACAGGGGGCAGCTGGAAGTGGGAAACAGCATGACAAATTGCCTGCAAACGAGGCCACAGCTGCGTCTCTTGGCCTTCTAGCATTGCAAGTCGATTTGTGTACTCAAATACAGCATCACAAATTTCGTTTTCGATATGGGGAGGGGGGATTTTTCCTTTTGATAGCGCTGCTGCATCAGAGGTGCGCACAGCAGAAGCCGCGTTCGGGTTACCACTATCTCGAGCAGACGTGCGAGGAGAGCCCGTGCCCGCGCCGCTTCTGTCAGTGCGACCACCGCTTCTGGCACGACCACGGTCACCTTGGCCGTCGGAGGCTGTACCAGCCTCAGTTCCAGCATCGTTTGACGGACCCGTACCACGAGACGAGTTGGATCCTCGTTGGCCGCGACCGCGACCGCGACCGCCACGACCGCCTCTCCTCCCTCGGCCACTACCCGAGCCGCCACCCGCAAGGACTTGTACAACTTGTAGGGGGTACAAACTGGTCGTGAGGGAAGAACCCGCGACAAAAAGTAAGGCGAGAAGACGGGAAAAACTCGCCGAAGGCATCATCTTTTCTTTGCGGCTGGATAATGTTGCTCAAAGAACGGGTAAGTAAAAATATCGATTCGAAACTTCGAATTACCCACAAGTATTATCTAGCGCGTCAAAGGCTTTTGTGCTCGGCGAAGTGTTTTTGTGGATGATGTTGTGAGCAAAAAAATGGTGCCTTTATATCAAATTCGAAAAATACACCGTAACAGACGTCCAATCAACGGGAATGGTGCTAGTGCTACAATATGAATATTTTCTCACAATCAAGAAGTGCTAGACCGATAAAAAGACGCTTGCTTGTTCAGCAAGTTTATTCCAAGACAAAGAAGAGACTAGACTAGCAACTAAACCGAAATCCGATTTGGGCAGTTCTTTGTTGGCTTGGGTTATAACTTCCAGGGCAACAACCAAATCCTGTTTTGCAAAAGGAGATAAGAAAATTTCCAGACCAAACCAGTGACCACAGATGCTTGCCGCATCATGGAGATCGTCTACTTGATGAATTCGCCTCAGCCGGGCTGTCCTCATGGCTGCAGTTCTTCTGACCACATATCTAATCATGTACCTGTAGTACCAAAGTGTGGCCGATTCTATCGATTATTTTTCAGCTCACAAACTCATCACGATGGGTGCGTTTCATTTCTTTATTCGTCTCGTGCCTTCATCAAGAAAAATGCCCAGCTACCGGTACCGAATGGATGGTTTTGCATATCGTAGGAACACAAATACACCTACTCTACGTGAATGTCTTCAGTAGCTGACCTTCTGCATTTGGTACCACGCCGACATGGCACAACGAACTACCACGGACTATTCATTTTTGCTACTACACTCCCTAATCTAGTTGTAGTTCCAGATACAAAAAACATGAGGAATCGTATCGCTGTTCTTTTTATTTCTTAAGTAACCTCTCGTCTTCTTCTTCCTTTGAGCCGAGCAACGGCCCCCACAAGAAGATTGATGCGAAGAATATCGGTGCTGTTGCGCTTGTGGCTGCCGCGGCCGCTCCATCATTTCCCGCCCCCAGATTTTGCATCGCTACCGTTCGAAGTTTTTTTCTTCGCCTCGATCTGATCGAACGCCGATATCAAATCTTTCTGGTCCTCCGTCAAATTTTCCGGTAATTGCAAGTGGAAGTGCAGCACCAAATTTCCCCGGGAGTCAGCGTTGCTGTTGCTCATTCCGCCACTGTTCATCATTCCGCTCAGCCTCGTTGGGCCCTTCCCGCGGAGAATCCTGGTGGAATTTGGGTCTTGTAATGCCGGTAAAGTCAAATTCACCTCCCCCTCATCTAGCGTCGGGATCTTGGTCACGCCGCCTAGCAGCATCTGCTTCAGCGAAATGCCCACGTCCGCGTGCACGTCGTCGTCGACGTGTCGGAAAATGTTGTGTTTCTCCACATTGACTACGACAAACAAGTGCCCCCGCGGCCCGCCCCGCTTCCCCGCGTGCCCCTGGCCGCAGAGCCGGAGCTCCATACCGGGCTTGATTCCCGGCGGAATGTCGATTTCCACGCTGGTCTTCCGGGACTGAACCCCCTCGCCAAAGCAGGTTCGGCATGCTTTTTCCAGAATTTCGCCCACGCCGCCGCACTTCGCGCAGGGGAGGCCCATCGACATGATGCCCCTTTCGACCCGGCGCACCCCGGTGCCGTTGCACAAATTGCACTTCACCCAGCCCGCGCCCTCCGCCGCGCCGGAGGCCCCGCAGTCGTTGCAGGGGAGCTGTAGCTTGATCGTGGTGGTCCGCCGGGAGCCCTTCATCGCTTCCACGAAGGGGATATGAGAGTGCACAACTCTCCCTCCCCCTCATTTGTATGGCGTGAACAGCAATGCAAGCACCAGCACACGTGGAGCCTAGGCATGACACATTTAATATGCGCCTAATCTTAGTACTGTTTGGGCCGCTTCCGGAATTTGTCATGCAAACAGTGCCACAGGACAGCGACTGGATATGGATTTGGGGTTTTGCATGACAAAGGAAGGGGAGGGGGAGTTGTGCACTTCATAGGGGATGGAAAGCTCGATCGACGCGTCGTCCCCCCGCGATTGCATCGGCCCGGACGTTATCCAGTGCAAATATGTCTGGGTCTGAAAACTTGTGATGCAAGGAAGGGAATGGGGAGCGCACTGTAATGCGCTGCTAAGCATGACAGACAAGTTTTCCCATGGTTCTGAGTTGCGTACTCCGCAAGAGAAACTGCGTTTTTGCATGACAGGCAAGAGGAGTTCTTTGCGGCCACGCAATACAGATTTCAGAGTCACGTCAGGCTAGCAGAACAAATCTCGCATCCGTCCAGACCCAGACATATTTGCATTTGATACACGTTCGGGAAGCGGAGTTTCCGCGGTGCATGCGGCTGGCCATTTTCCCGAAAATATTGGAAAATTCGGAGTACATCTGACTGGGGTCCTGCCAATCGGAATCCGGATCGGCATGGTGATGTTGAGCCGAGGATATGGAGAGAAAAAAGTTTGTCACAGTCACTAACTTGCTGGCTCTGCATTACAATTTTTTTTTGGCATCACAGCTTCTCGTTGTATTGCAGAAACACTAGGAAAAACCCCTATGAAGTTGGTCTGTGATGCATTTTTACGCATGACAGAGAAAATTTTGCATTGCAAGCATGCGCATGAGTGATCGTGACGAACTTTTTTTGTTTGATAGAGGAACTTGAAGCACTACTAGTACCACCACTGCTCCCACTCGCAAAGGAGGAGGAACTAGTACTGCCCATCGCCGCGTCGAGTTGTCTCCGCTTCCTTGGGTCGGTCAAAACCGAGTAGGCGTCGGTGATCTTCGCCATTCGCGCAGCGGAGTTCGGGTCGTTTTTGTTCAAATCCGGGTGGTTTTGCTTGGCGAGCTCTCTGTATCTGGCTTTCACCTCGGCAGCCGAGGCGGTTCGCTGGAGGCCCAGGAGCTTGTAGGGGTCGAGGGTTTGCTGGGCATGCGCCGCAGAGGAACTACTGCCTCCGCCGGTGGAAAAAAATCTTCGCATGATGGTAGGAAAAGTGCAGGCTTAGTTTTTGAGAATGAGAGGTAGAAAAAATTAAGGGACGTTGACCACTGCCACTGCAGAAGAAGAACAACCATAGATATGATCTTGATTCAAGATTTCTACGTCATCCCAGCGATCGAGAAAAAAAAATGGCACATCGTGACGCGTAACATCTAAACGACGTGGCGCTTTCGAGCGTCATGCGCCGGGCACAAGCCGCATCCATAGTCCACGATAGCATCATCATCAACTTGGAAGAGCTGCCGATCTTGCAGAAGCAGACCACACAGAAACTCAGGCGATCGACAGAAGCAGGAAGCAAACGCACACAAGACACACACTGAGCCGACAACTTTTTCTCGCCTGCTTATTTTCAAAAAAGCACAATAAGATCTTCTGGACGAGCAGCGAGGATCGGAGATCGTGAGGACGAGCACCGTGATCGACGTTGACAGCCCGCCGATGGGGCGAAAGTACACCGAATAAAACAACAAGCAATAATCCATGAACAGCCTCAGCCACGACCACTCTTCAAACGTTGGACGTAGCTGCGGTGTAGCTGCTAGAGGGGTAGAAACAAAAACCCACTCGGCAGCACTACAGCGATTGTAGTTTTGAAATTTCAAACGAACTTCGAGTTCGAACCTGTTGTCTGGCAGTTGTACACAATAAAATCACGATGATCCTACTCGTCGATAGCATTAGCACGTTGTCGCTGCAGATAAAATACTTACTGTAAAAGTACGACGAACCGTCGCGGAAGAAAGAACTCAGCGTGGCCCTGAGCTCCAGCATCTTCGGCCGGTTAGATGGTAGTGCTTCTCTTAAACAAGTGCTGGTTGTGCTCAAAGAATTATCACGTTATGCGTCATCAACTAATTGTAATTTAAACAGTTACAGCGATCTGTGGAGAAAAATAATAATAGAAACGTCGACCCAAAATCTTCGGCGCTGATAAACAGCAACAGAGATCAGTATCACGACCAGCACACAGTGCTTCTCCATCATCAACTGGAAGAGGTGTTGGAGCTGCTGGAGGAAGAGCTGCTGGAGCTACTCGAAGAGGATATGAAAGTGCACAACAATCCCTCCCCCTCATTTGTCATGCAAAATCCCAAATCCGGTCTGTTTCTCTTGGCCCTGTTTGCATGACAAGTTCTGGTAGCCGAAACAGCACTACCGTCCCGTGTAAATTTGTCATGCAGAACTGGCATTCTTGCTGAGGCTTGTCTTGTCGTTCATGCAATACAAATGAGGCCGAGGGGGAGTTGTGCACTGTCATAGAGGAGCTACTGGACGAACTACTCGAAGATGAGGAGCTACTGCTTCTCTTTCTCGAGGATTTCGACGAAGATTTCCGTGACGACTTCATGGATGATTTCGACGCTGCTTTGCTCGCGACGGCGGTGGTCCGATTTTTTCCGCCCCCTCCAAAGCTCGCCAACACTCCTTTCTTGGATGAAATTGCGGCCTCTTTCGTGCTATCTTTCGAGGAAGAGTTGATAGAATTAATACCTTTGTCGTATTTCCTCTTCCTCTTCCCCTTTTCCACCTCTTCCAGTCGTTTCCTCCGTTCTCGCATGGCCTGCTCTTCAAAATCCCGTTTCTGACTGTGGAACACCAACCTCGCCCACCGGGATCCGGGGTCCGCGTTTTTGTAAAACCCGTTCTTCGTGCAGAACTCGGTTAATTGCGGCTCCTTGTGCTGGATTTGCTTCACGACAACGTCGGTCAGTTGCTTGATCGTGCTCAGCAATGCGTTGTAGCCCTGTTTCCTCCGGTCCAAGGCTTTCCTATGGTGCGCCAGTTGCGCCACCGCGATGTCCTCTCGCCCCACCGTCGCCCCGTCGTGTAAAAGCAGCGCCGCCTGCTGCAGTTGCGGCTCCTCAAACTGCTTGACCTTTTTGATTCTCTTTCCCTTCTCGACGATCTCTTTCTTGGTGGTTTTCGGCACCTCGCCCTTCAGAATTTTTTTGTAGTGCTGGTCCGCGTCGATCGCGTGCGGGGTGAACTCTTTGTTCGGATCTGCCGGCTTCATCGGGTCGCGCTGCACCTCCTGCACTTTCGGGTGCCTCTTCGCTTTTTTCCGGTCCTTCGGGTCCTTCGGGATCTTCAAAATGATCGAATTCGGATTTCTCGTTGGTACCTCCTCTCCCGCGAAATAACCCTGGGGCATGACCCGCGGGACGTTCTCCCCCGCGACTGTCATCTGCAGATTGTCTTTCTTTTCCGCCGCGGGGTTCGGATCCTTCACGTCCCAGTGCTTCACCGGTCTCTGCTGCTCTTGCGCCGTGGGCTTCATGATCGCCTTCGCGGGCTGGTCGTAAAGGGGGACAAAACCCGGATGGACCACTTCGTTTTTCCCGACATCTGCGACTGGCCGGAAGGATTCCGTCGGGAGCGGCGTCGTCGCTTTCACTTGCGGGAACTTCTTCACCTGCTTCTCTTTTGCATCTTTTAACAGCTCTTCCCGATCCACGGTCTTCACCCCCAGCTCGCTGTTCGGGAAGTACCCTTTCGGTAAATAATGGTTGGGACTCTTGTAGTCGTGCTTTTCGCTGCTCGCTTTCAGTAAATTCCGTTCCCCGGCAAGAGTCTCCACATTCGACTTCACGTCATGGTGCTTTGCTTTTTTTTCCTTCCCCTGCGCGACCAAATCCGTCGCGCCCTGAATCTCCTTCGTTTGCTCCGTCGGGGTGAGACATTGGAACAATTTCGACCGTTCCGCCGCACTGTCCCGGACCTTCGATTTGTGCCCGGTGGTATACTTGTGGGATTTATCAACTTCCTTCACCTGCGGCCACTGTTTGGGCTTCTGCTCCTTCAGTTCCTCTATCTTGTCCGGACTCAGTTCACGGTCCTCGGGATCTGCCCTTGTTGATAGCAGGTTCTGTCCCAATGTGTTGCTTTCGTCCTTCACGATTGCCCCGTGCTCGGTGAAGACCACCGGCTTGCCGTCGAAATGGAAGTCCCCCATAATGTTCACGTGGTTTTGGTCCTTGCCATTCCAAAACTTCTGCAAGTAAGCTGAGCTCGCAGGTTTGCTCACCACCGTTTGCGGATTGTACACGCCATGATCCGTTAAAACTCGACCGCTGTCGTCTTTGGTTTTCCCGGAAAACTTCCACCCATCCTTTAAATAGTCCATCTTCGCCGGCTTTTCGGCTAAGGCCTGCTGCACCCCGACGGCTTCGTTGTCCGTCAAATTCGCCGCGTTTTGCTTCGTTTCCGCGATTATCAACTGCAAAAGTGTCTGGGTCTGGAAGAATGCAACTTGTGATGCTGCATTTGGATTCCAAAAAAATTTGTATTGCATGAGTAGCAAAGGGAATGCAATTTTTGCTACGCGGATAGGGCATTTGTCGTGCGAAATAGGCATCAAGGACCCCTCGAAAAATCTGTGATGCTACGGCATGCATCACAGACATCATGGCTCATGCAAAACGTGTATGACAAGTCTCAGAACCTCCCAGACCCAGACACTTTTGCAATCCATAGCGATCCCACGCACGAGCTTGTCGGTGTAGGCGAGACCGTACTTATCCGTCAAAATCTTGGCCTGGTTCTGGTTCCCCCGCCCCGCGATTTTGTCCCGGGCGCGCTGGCGAAGCGTGTCTTCGTCAACATCCTGGGCAGAGGACAGGGGCTGCTGCTGCTGCTGCTGCTGCTGCTGCTGAATTGCACTCATCTGGTACGACGTAATGGTGGGCCGCGAGGAAGACCGCGGCTGTGACTGTTTATTGTGTAGTTTTCATCGGAAAATTTTCCCAAAATAATGGTAACTTTGCTTAAATTTGTGGTATTTTTTTCAATTATTGACATCATCCATCAAATCCAAATCCTGCATGCAAAAGTCTCGACGTGATAATCCGCATCCGCTTAGAGTTCTTCTGCGAAGTGAATGAATTTATCAACGACTTGCTGAACAACCTTAAGACAAAATACCTGTTCCGCCGCGCTTTTGAGCAGACTGCTGCCCGCTCTGTGCATGGCCGTGGTGGGTTCCACTACCGAGTTTTTCACCGAGGACTTCCTTATCGAGGACTTCCGAACTTCTTCATCCTCATCCACGTACGGAACGGCGGACTGCAGCCACGGTGCCTCGGAGGCACGGACCGCGGAGATCGGAGAGACTTGCGACCTATGCATTGCAAAAGTATCGTACTAGTAGTAATTGCAATACAAATTCGCTCAGCGTGACAAATGGAATTTATCATGCTGATTTGCCATAGGAACCAGATTTGTAATGCATGACTGCGATTACTACAAAGAGTACGATACTTTTGCACAGGATACGACGCGTCCACCAGCGACTTCATGGTGAATTGCTGAGGATACTCCTGAGCATTCGCGCCGGACTCTTGGGATATCAACTGTAAAAATGTCTGGGTCTGGAAGAATCCAACTTGTCATGCTGATTTTGGATTCTAAAAAAATATGTATTGCGTGAGCAGCAAAGAGAGTCTAAGTTTTGCTACACGGAAAGAGCATTTGTCATGCGGTATAGGCATCAGGAAGCCCTCACAATCTGTGATGCTAGGGCATGCATCACAGACATCAGGAGTCATGCTAAATGTGCATGACAAACCTGGAAATCTTCTAGACCCAGACATTTTTACATTTGATATGGGAGTCCGTCCGCTGGAAGTGGCTGTTTTGATGTTGATGTTGTTGTGTCGACTTTGATGTACTACATGTAGAAGTAGAATTTTAGTATACAACCACGCCGAATCATCAAGCCGAAAACTGTCCTTGCGAAGATGTTGAAGAAAACAGTGAAGATCATGATCTCGTGTGCATGTGCATACTTCGCCGCTCATGACGATCGCATGCGTGTCAGCGCCGCCGCATAACAAAGTAGATCGTGCAGTCACAAGCACATTACAACCACAAGCTAACATCACAAAAAATTCACCCGATAACAATAGAAACAATGTATTCAAATCAATACGGTGCCCCGACGGTTGCGGTCATTCTATTCATCGGCGTGGTTCTGGCCATGGACGGGCTGGACGCCGGCGGCTCGTTGCTCATTCGGCTTTCCCGCACGGACCCCCTCGTGGACTGCCTGGTCACTACGGTTGTGGATTGCCTTACCGAGCTGTCGCGCAGCAACACCGAGGCCGATTGCTCGTTGGACGCGGCAGAGGTCCGCCGCGTGGGCGAGGCGGTGGAGGCTTTGGAATTCTCTATGATGTCTCCCCGAGAAGTCGATGAATTTTGGTTCATCAAATTATCGTCCGCCATCGCGTTGGTCGCATGCGACTCCCGGATGGCCTCCATGTTGAAATGCGCGTCCGCGTGACTGTCACGGTTTCCCGTGCTCTGTTCATTCGCTAGCCCCGTCCCGTAGTCCGTGGCCGCACCGTAGTCCATGTCCGTGGTGTCCTGTGTGGCGATGTTTAATGTTTTTGCTGGCTGGTCAGTCGCTACTTCTTCTCCTTGATTTATCTGCGCCCCCGCTTGTTGGGGAACTTCTACAACATCTCCTCCGGCTGCTGGAGGTGCGTCTACAACAACTCCGGGAGCAGGGGGAGCAGCAGCAGCACTTGATCTAGTGGCTGTGTGGTCCTCCTCAACCGCAGGGGAAGAACCAGCGCTCGCAAGTTTTGGAGGTTTATTCTCGTCACTTTTCTTCTTTTTTGTCGACTTGGTTTTGCTTGTCGTCGCCGTGGTGAAAGTGATATTCGTCGGCTGTGGCTCCTTATCGCTGTCACCGTCCCCGCCCTTGTTCAGCGCGCCTAAGTTAAAACCTTCGCCCTCGGGTTGGATGTTGCCCTTCGGGAGGGCCGCCGGGGGAGCAGCAGGAGGAGCTCCTTCTATGCGGAAATAACCGGTTCTCAGGAGAGCGGAGTTCTTACTTGTCGTTTTATTTGCCGGTTGTTGTTGATGATCCTGGTGCCTAGAACTACTTCCTGCTTGATGTATGTGTATCGGTATTACATCCCCTTCGCTCGATAAAACCCTTTTCCCCGGCTTGAACTTCTCTAAAAGTCGCGAGTGTTGCCAAGACTTCTTGCTGCCCTGCCTCTGCGAGGGCGACGCCGTAACTTGTTCCAGAATCATCTTCCTGTTTTATTGCAGTTGTCGCGGCCCTGTTGGGAGACGGCGACGGCGTCGTGCTCGATTAGGCTAAAGGACAATCAACATCGATCCATGTGCATTGAAATCGGGGCGCGCCGGTGGTCGTGGGTGCTCTAGTTATGTCATACGTTGATAGAGCTGCATGTGCATTTTGAAAAACTACATGAGACTTCATGTTGATGAACTTATTTTTTCGTTTTCTTACATAGGATACAACGCTAGTAGAGAAAATAATGTAAAAGTCGGGGAATAAGACGGGATATCCTGAGGTATTTCGGCAAAGACAAACAGCGATGTTGAGGATGACGACTTAAAACACGACCAAGAATACGACGAATACACGAACAACGCCACGCACGAAAAAACTTGAACGAACGACACACAGGAGCTGGACAACAATCTATAAAGAAATAATTTGCACGATATTAAAAACGCGATGTCGCTGCTTACTTCTTGTGCCACCGAGGTTTTTGCACCTTCGCACGACACCAACCGAGAAATCAATCAGTTTCAACAAAATGAATTTTGTTCTACCGAGAAAGATGAAGACTACCACTACAGGACGGTGGATTATAACCGAGAACGTCACTTGGCATGTGGTTCGTACTAGAGAGGGTATCTAACATTGTGTTTGTGTACGAACCGAGAGTAAGTTTATCGACTGTCAGTGAAGAGACCGAAACAAAACGACATCGTTTGTTCTCTGGCACCTGCGGGTGGACCGAAACAAAATTCTTTCAAAAATCAATCGAGTTTTCTATAATTTTCTCAGTAGTGGCACAGGCGACAGCAACGGCTGCCAGCACTTCATTGTTTTCGGCGCTAACTCAATTATATCTTTCCACGTTTTTTGTTTCAGTAATCAGCTCCGAGCTCCTGGCTCAGCTTCGCGAAATCTCTACCAGCAGCTATGCGACATCACTAGCGAAAAACTTGCAACAGCAAAAACTACATACGATACTGTCGAAATAGAATCCTAATTCGCAGCTACCACCTGCGGCTGCTGATTCTGGGCTGCACTCTGCGGCACGACTGGAGGAGCACCGCCGACTACACTCGTTTTCGCAGGAGCGCAAGAAGTGCTCTCCGTAGTTGTACTCGTGGTCGTGGCCACTACTGCTGCATTATTGTTCGCCGCCGTCACTATTTGTTCACTGGCCACCGCAATTTGCAAGTCCAGCATCCGCCGCTGCTCGTAGGTCTGCTTGATCTTTTCCTTCAGAAACTCGCACTTCTTCTCGATTTCTGCCGTTTCTCTGTCGAGCTGCTCCTTCGATCTCTTCGTCTGATGTTGTTCCTGCCTGCTTCTGGTGCTGTTCGGCTTCTTGTGTTTGTTCACCGAGGAAGACAACCCCGAGGTGGAAGAAGATGGTGTTGAAGACATCTTCGTCGTCGCTTGACCCAAGAACTCCTGCGTACTACTTCCATAATGTTCCGTTGCTGGGCTGGCGGAAGCTGACTGCACAGTTTGGTGCTGCAACAGTAACCCCTCGTACGCGTCCTTTATTTTGGTCAGCAAGGGGCCAAAGGCCGTGTCCCGAGTTATCACTTCGTCGAAGAGGTCTGGGGTATAGTTTTGTAAGGACTTTTTGCTGGAGTTAGTGCATGAGATTGGGCTGCGTCATCGCCTGGGCTGCGTCGGCGTACTAGAAAGAGTAAAAGAAAATGCAGGACCGGATATGGATATGTGCATGACCGAAACCGACGCACGACGTGCAAAAAATGAAGTAAATACCTTGATAGATTTTGAGCCTTTTGTCCGCAACATACGCTGCAGATTTGGAACTCTTGTTCTCGCTCATGATTTTTGAGGTGCCACTCTCTGACGTCGCACCACCGACATTTTTAGAAGCTGCGCCACTACCTGCAGCCGCGATTTTGGGGGCGCCGCTTGCCGTTCCTGCTGCGCTGCCCAGTGCGCTCGCCGAAGAGGTCCTCGAGCTTGCGGATTTTGAGCCGGTAACCTTGTTCGCAGTTCGGGCACTGCTCGCTGAGGACCTTGAATTGGTTGCCGAAAGTTGTGGGGGAGAAGAAGTGCTGGGAAGCTGTCCGGTGGTACAAACGTTGTTCACTTGGGTTGATGTGCCATGATTTATTGGTGTCGTAATTGATGTAGTAGTGCTCGACGCCGGTAGTAGCTCCTGGTCCGGATTATTCGCATTCGTCTTCGCACGGGTGCTGTGCTGCGAGGAATTTGTTCCTAGAGTTGACAAAGTACCGCCACCTGCCGGAACTGCGGAAGAAGCTGTACCACCGCCGTTCTGCTTCCAGCGACGCGGAGGCACGGACTTCGAGGTTCGCATGGTACAGCTTCTACGTGGTTTCTTCTTGAAGTAGACAACTTTCAAAAATTACTCTGGTTGCAACGAGATTCCGCTTCGTTTTCTTCTGCTCCCTACGGCCAGATCGGGGGAATTAGAGACACCATAAGAGGATCTTCATCACAGCCTCGACACAAGGACGCACCAGTCAAGCCATTTAGCCAGTGTCGTGCCCAATGCGGAAGCTCCCACCTCGCTCAGCAAACAAGAGGAACAGTGCCACGACAGTTGTGATGATGTGACATGATCAGAAAGGTACGGAAGAACTACACCATGTAGTTCCACAAATTATCACGCAACCGAATCATACGAAACCAAAAGGACAGTTGGACGCGACACGACCGGAGGGGCCTCCAGACCTTAAACTTAATGTATTTCCGTCCGATCCCAGCCGCAAGGTATCTATGAATAGAGCTCTGCTTGAACGCCGGTCTTCTGGCGTGCTGCGGCCTCGACGTCGGCCTTGTTCAGAACGTAGTTCTTTTCATTTTTGGTATACTTGTTTTTTGTACAAAAGTTGAAACGTCAGATTTATTTTCGGATTCGGGTACATGAGGTGCATAGTTCTTCGCTAAAGACTATCAAAGTTTTGATTTGCTGGTGGCAACTGTTGATCCACTGTTCATTTTCAATTTCTTTTCAACAATTTATTCAACTTCGCTGTTATTCATCTGGGAACTACAAAAATAAGTCGTGCTGCAGGTAGTTTCAAGTGTCAAAATTCAAAGCAGATTTTGTCTATTTTCTGTTTGTTCAAGACGTCGCTAATACACAGTTCAATCATTCAAGGAATCTGGTTCTCAACGAGGAGTTTCGGTACTAAACTGCTATCATCTTACAAACAAGGCAGAAGCTCTGTGACATCGTTTTTCTTTTGTTTCTGCTGATGAAAATTTGTCTTTCAATAATTCCTAAAAGTAGGTATGTGCTTGTGCTAGTTCTCCTTCTCCCACTACAATAGTACCCCGGTTATTCATTACAGGTTGTTGTGGCGGTTATCTCCGCCCTCCTGGTCGAATCCCCCCTGCGAGTGCAGCTGTGTCGTTGCGTCTTCGATTTCCATATGAACTGCAAAAGTATCGCACTTCTCGTATAAATGCATTACAAATTTCCCCAGCATGAGAAATAAAATTTGTCATGCGGATTTACCGTAAGAAAAAAATTTGTAATGCATGACTGCAATTACTACGAGTGCGATACTTTTGCACAGGATATTCCATGGCCAGAAAGTGGATGGCCTGCTGGGCGGAGACAAAAGTCGCTTGTTCGTAATTTATCCTCTCTTCCGCCCACCGTTTGAGCTATCCTGAGGAAAAACGTCCCCGCCCCAGAGTTGTCATGCAGATTTGCAATGCCGAGGACATTTGTGATGCGCATACCCATGAGAGGCATTTCCCATTGCGTTTTAGAACTTGTAATGCTGTAAACAGGATAAGGAGACGGATTTGTTATGCGGCTTCCCTTGCTAAGCTGCACGACAGTACAGCCTGCAACTTGTCATGCGTGACTCCCAAAACTCCTAGGTTTGTGTTGCAAAATCCCCATCTTGACTATGTTGGGGTGGGGACGTTTTTACACAGGATATGAGCCGCTCGCTGTTCGTCTCTTCTGCGTGCTCGGACATGTAGTACTGTTCTTTTTCTAACTCCTTCATGTGCTCCTTCTCCGCCTCAAACTGCCGCACGTTATCCCGGGGTAAAATCCCCCCTCCCCATATCGAAAAGGTACGTCGCAGAAGATTTGCAATGCTGATTTGCGACCACAAATGCTCTCTATCTTGCAAAAAGGCAACTCCACAGGCTCCGCCGCATTATGCAGGCGGTTTGTGATGCTGTTTGGCCTACAGCGCAGACGTTTCTCATGCTAAGCGCCTAGGCCACAACCTCTCTACTCAGGCTTGATGTGGGCCTGCAGTCCTCTTCAGCAAGACAAATCTGATTTGTGTACACAAATCCAGCAACACAAACTTCCGCTTCAATATGGGGAGGGGGGATTTTTCATTTTGATACACGTGCGCACCTCGTCCGGACGCGTCGTTCAGTTTCTTCTGCCGGGTCTCGTCGTGCAAAAACACGTCCATCATATCAACTGCAAAAGCGTCTGGGTCTGGAAGAGTGCCAGACTTGTCATGCAGGTGTTCCGTTACCCATGAGGTCTGGTATCTAGGACATAGCATGACAGATTCTGTGAGAGTTCTACCATGCCTATCCTGCATGAGAAACTGCCTCTCGACTAGGTCAAAAGTGGACAGCTTTTGGTAATCACGCAACACAGATTTTTACATGATTCAGATTTAGCATGACAAGTTGCTGTGTTCCAGACCCAGACATTTTTGCATGTGATACATCATCCACTTGGCCAATTTCGCATCCTCGGCCCGCCGCCTTCTCTTCTCAAACTCGTTCACCTCCGCCTCCATGAGCTGGATTTTCTTCTCCAAAAGATGCTTTTCCCCCTCCGGAGCAGCGGCAGAAGAAGATGTGGTAGAATTGTTGTTTCCCAAACCGTTATTCAGCCACGACCACGGACGTTCATTCCCTAAAAATTAACCACCCCCATCCTATTTTTCATGCAAAACATGTATAAAGTTCTGTTTTTGTCATGCAAGAAATGGATGGGGATGGTGAATTTTCAGGGAGTAACGTTTTTCTTGCGCTAACAAACGGTCGTACTCCCGCATCAGTTGCGAGATTTCAAATCCTTTTTTGCTGTAGAGCACCAACTTCTGCCGGGACTCCAGGTAAGCGTTCCAGTGTTTCGCACACCGCTTGGCCACACGATAGAGGTACCAACCCAGTTCTGCGGACCCTTCGTATCCCAGAGAAAAAAGCTAGCTCATCTTCACGTTTGTATCAATCAATGCAAAAGTGAATAAAAACACACACAAAACTCTGTCTTGCATAGCCCTGAGACAATCATGCTAGTATGGGCCCGGCCTCCCTTCTCGATTTTGTGACTGTGAGTGTATTCAGTTAAGTAATACAAAGGTGAAAATATGCTACATTTTTTTGTGAAATACTTCTTCCGGGACATTGAGCGGTTCTTCAAAGTCCTCGTCTGAATTCAGTTCGCCTACAGCAACGGCCCCTCCGCTCGCCGCCCTCTCTCTATTGCTTTTGCTTCGCTTCCACTTAGAGATTTTTTTCCGCACCTCCTCGCGCACTTGATAAGTTTTCGCGCCTTCCAGCATCGAGTCCGCGATGTGTTCGGGATTCGCCATATGGCGCTCTCAAACGTTACATTCATCTCAAGAACTGCTGCATAATTTGTCATGCAAAACTCTCATCAGCATCTACACCATGAAGCTGCTACTTCACATGACAAATTTCCGAAGGGCCAAACAGCATCTAGATCTGTGCCAAACCCGTACTGCAAGAGGCGCAATCTTCCCCCTTTCACTCTTGCTGTTTTTGCATCACAAATTCATGTGACCGTTGAGAATGTAATGTTTGAGAACTCCATACGGCAAACGCAGCAGGTACATTTCCAGCCAGTCCCCGTAGTCCACCGGGGCCTCCACCCCGGGTTCCACCTCATCACTCAGCAGCGGCGAGGCAAACTCTTGCTCGCAGACCAGCCGGGGCAGGTACATCTCGTTTTTATTCACCCTCATCATGCCGCCGTCGGCAGATTCTGTTCCTCGGGGCTGAAACGCGGTGGACAGCAACGAAGGTTCTTCCACTTCCTCGTCCTTGTCGGGGCAGTCTGCGTCGCGACCCGGAACGCAGTCATCGTCGTCGTGGTGGTCTACTCTGGTTAATTCCTTTGAAGAAGATGTAGTTGCCGGCGTGGTACCGGCGACGAGGGGCGACATCTTCTCGCCCCGCACGGTTTCTTGGTTTACTACGACGTTACCCACATCTTCGTTGGCCTGTTGGTCGCTTTCGTGCCGTCGCTCGCTCCTCGCCCGCCGCGCGAGGCCCGCGACTTCGGTTTGGGTCACGGAATCGACCCCAATGTACTGAAAGTACTCCATGGGGAGGTCGACAAAGTCCCGCAACCGCTGCAGTTTGGAGCTGTACCCGTAGAAAGCCTTGATCACGTTCAGGGACTCCTTTTCCGACCCGCGCCAGTAGTGCGTCACCTTCCCCACGTTCGGTTTCTTGTCCGCCACCGTGACCATGGTCCCGCAGACCGGCGGTTTCTTGTCGACCAACCACGACCCGGCACACACCCCGGCAACCTCGGTCTTTGCGTGGTCCACAATCAAGTCGTCAGTCTCGAACAGACATCCGTCCTCGTGCCCGCAGATCAGGTCGTACATGCTGCAGTACATCTTCGACTCCTTCTTGGTGTAGGCGGTGTCGAAGAGTTTTTTGCCCAGGTTGGAAATATCAAATGCAAAAATGTCTGGGTCTGGAAGATTGCGAGATTTGTCATGCTTGTCTGGCATGGCGAAAAAGTTTGTGATGCGTGTCCAAGAAGAGACCCTTTTGCCCGTCATGCAAAAACGCAGTTTCTTATGCGAAAAACAGAACACAAAGAAGCGCAGACGTTTCTCATGCTTGGCTGTGCATTACAGAGCATTCGCTATTCCCAACACAGCATTACAAGTTTCCAGACGCCCCAGACATTTTTGCAATTGATAGGAAAACGGGTTCTGCGAAACCCAATCGGTGAAGCCCTCCACTTGCTCCATATCCGACCCTTCGTTCGTCGCGCACCCGGACACGATACACCGCGGTTCTCGTGTAGGATCATGTTGATCTTCTTGCTCAGCCTTTATTGTATCTTTTTCTTCCTTATCCTGTGCAAAAGTATCGTACTCGTATAAATTATGCATAACAAAGTTCCTCAGCATGAGAAATAAAATTTGTAATGCTGATTACCTTAGGGAAAAGATTTGTAATGCATGATTGCAATACGAGTACGATACTTTTGCACAGGATATTCCTTCCTCCCCTCTACAACACCGGCGGCCTCTTCCTCGAACCGCAATACCATGTGGATGTCCGTCTGTTTCCGCACATCCATATCAAATACAAAAATGTCTGGGTTTGTCATACTAGAAGAATGCCAGATTTGTCATGCTAGTCTGGCATGACTCGAGAATCTGTGTTGCATAGGCACGAAAAAGCCCTGCTACCTGTCATACAAAGACGCAGTTTGCCATGCGGAATACGTAAGAGATGGCAGCCAAAAAATTTGTCATGCATAGCTTTGTATTGCAGTGCGTCTATCATTCATTTTTAGCATTACAAGTTTCATCCAGTTCCAGACCCAGACATATTTGCATTTGATAATCCATTTCCTCCTGCGATTGCGCGTGCGTGTACTCACCATCCCGCCTGTGGTGCATATGCCGTTGAAAACAAGTACCGCCACCGTACTAGTGAGACTTGGTATTGGTTGAACACTTTGTTCAACAACAATAAACCTGGAAGTCATCTTCAATCATATAGATTAAGGGATACAAAATGGATGATCTCTGTCATGCCGAGTCACTGGCCGACGTTATCTTCCCGTTCTAGTATATACAACGAGTGCGATACTTTCTTTGCATTTGATAGTGCAGAACGTGCAGCAATTTCCTTTCCGCGGTGCTTTCCTGCAAGCGTTTGTTGCTGGTCTTGAGCCCGTGTTTTGCTTTCTCTTCTTCTTCCGGGGGGAGAAGTCGGTACTGTCCCTGTTGTGGGTCCAGCCAATCACTGCTGGTGATCCGGGACTTTACCTCGTTGAACACCGTGTCGCACGGGTTCTTTTTTGACAAAGAATCCTCGTTGACGCCCCCGCGCCGCGGTTTTACTTTCCAGATGATGCGGCACTGCTTCGTACAGTAGTCGTTGTGCGGACAGATCTCTTCCGCAAGTTTGTCCACCGTTTTTTTCTGGAACGGCCACCATTTTTTGTTCAGTCGCTTCATCGTAGAAGTTTTCTTAGTTCCAGTATCAAGTTTTTCTTCTTTCGTCCTCAGTTGCTGCTCCACGAAGGAAGATGATGACCCTACTGATGAAATCGGTTTAATATTGTTCAACTTCAACCTTTCTCTCGCATGCTTTTTTTCCAACACTCTCTTTACCTTTTTCCGCCAGGTGTGTTTCAACCGGTTTCTTTCCAGCTTTTCAACAAAGGAGAAGGACTGTCTTGCTGTGCGGAAAGGTTGCGGTTCGAGATGTTGCGGGTCCTCGTCCTGCTGCTGCCGTTGCTGCTGCTCTGTTCTTCCCCCGAAAGAAGTAGTAGACCTCGTAGAAGTTCTTTTTGTTGTCGCTTTATCCAGTATCCTTTCGATGTTTTTCGCCATTTTGTTGTGATACTGTTGTTCCTCTTCTACTGTCAACTTGTTCAACAACATCGTGCTTTCCTCACTTTCATCCTTTATTTCGGCAAACGAAGAGGAAGAAGCAGCTGCTGAAATCATCGCCGGGACATCTCTTTGTGTGATTCCGTGCTTGAGTCGGCGCTCCGGAGCAGGCTTCTTTTTGTTTTTCCATTTCCTGTACCGCCCAAGGAGCGAATTACTAGTATATCGCTTCTCGGACTCTTCCACCTCCGCCTTCATTGCAGAGTCCGTCGCTCGTTGCGCCACCTCTGCGTCCGAACTTGTAGCTGATGTTGCGTTGTAGAATTTTTGAAACCGCTCCTCTTGCCGCAAAATCCTGGCGACGGAGCTCACTTTTAGCTCTAAACTCGCGAAGAACCTCCCGATCCGCGCGTTGTCGACCTCGTGCGCCAAAACGTTCGCCTTGTCGCGCTTTTTTTCTCGACCGGATGTGGCCGGATCGAAGTCATCTGTCACTGCGAAGAACGTGTCCCTCTTGAACACCCCGAATTCTTGTATGACAGTGCACAACCCCCCCTCATTTGTAATGCAAAGTACCAAGCTCGCACCTTGCTCGCAAGCACTGCTAGCATGACAAATTTCGGAACCTCAAATAGTACTACAATCCGCATGCAGATTTGTCATGCGAACGCCCCTCTTCTGCTGTGGCTTGTGTTGCTGCTCATGCCATGCAACTGAGGGGGAGGGGGAGTTCTTGTGCACTCTCATATCTTGCTCCGTGATGTCAAAAACGGACTGCAGCATGTCCGTCACCAGCCGAGTCAAAATCGGCACGGCGCGGATCACCTGGTTCTGCAAGTCTTCAAACCGCTCGTAGAGCTGGTTAAACCCGGACTTCAATTTCTTCCAGGCGGAGCGCACGAACATGTGCCAGGAGGGCTGCATCTTGTACTCGTACACGTCCTTTTGCAGGGGAAACATGTGCACCAGGTGGTTACAGGCGAGCAGGAACTGGTATTCCGCATCCGACCCGCGGGACAGATACCGCATGAGAAACAGCGTTTTCTCCCCCCGGGTCAACTTGGGCAGCCGTTTTTCCCGAATGACAGCATTAGAATCCTTCTTATACCTCCGTAAAAGTTCCGGCTGGATCACCTTCTCCGCCAAACTCTGGACGTAAATGTCCTGGGTATCGAAGAAAAAAAGTTCGTCACGATCACTCATGCGCATTCTTGCAACACAAAATTGTTTGTCATGCGTAAATATGCATCACAGCCAAACTTCATTGGGGATTTCCCTAGTGTTTCTGCAATACAAGGAAAGTTTGTGATGCCGAGAAAATTTGTAATGCAAAACATGCACGTTAGTGACTGTGACGAACTTTTTCCTTTCCATACTGAGTCGCCACCAGGTAGTAAATCATCACCAGTTTCGTTGCGGCCGCCTCGATCACGTTTTCCGTTACGTAGGCGCCGAACCGGTGCCGCTTCTTCCAGTATGCATTGCAAATATGTCTGGATCTGAAAGGATGCAAGATTTGTCATGCTTGTCTGGCATGACTGAAGAGTTTGTGATGCGTGTCCAAGAAGAGACTCTCTTGCTTGTCATGCAAATAACGCAGTTTGTCGTGCGGAAAGCGCAACACTAAGCAGCGTCAATGCTTCTCATGCTTGGCTTTGCATTACAAAGAATTCACTATTCACAACTCAGCACTACAAGTTTCCAGACCCAGACATATTTGCATTTGATATCCAGAACCGGGTCCCGATATTTTTCAGCCTTTCCCGCTCCTCTTCTTCGTATTCCACGCCAAACACGGCCGCGGCGGTGCTCATATGAACTGCAAAAGTATCGCACTCGTATAAATGCATTACAAATTTCCTCAGCATGAGAAATAAAATTTGTAATGCGGATTTACCTTAGCAAAAGGATTTGTAATGCATGATTGCAATACGAGTACGATACTTTTGCACGGGATAGCTCACCTGTCGGTACAGCTTTTTCACGGGGTTGTACTTGTTGTGGATGTGCCGCATGTACTTCGTCATGCGCTATTACGACGAAAAATGCCCCCACCTCCAAAGTTGCAAAAGTTGGTGATGCGAAGCTTCCAAATGAAAACCAAACCTTTTTGTGATGCATGAAAGGAGTATGAATCTTTCTGATGCAGACTCTAGGCGTCTATCGCATCGCTTGCATGACAAGCGCCGCTCTTGTTGGGATCTTTTGCAATACAGTTTTTTGCTATTCATATTGGAAATCTGTGATGCTGATAGATGCAAGAGGGCGAGTGTTTCATTTGGAAAGGTTTGCAATACAAATGCTCCCAAGTTCGGGGTTGGGGGCATTTTTCATTGGAATATGCGCTTCACTTGGTTCGCGCCCGTGTCCCACACCTGCGCCATAAAAGCGGGCATTTTGAAGTACCGCTTGGCCCACCCAATGATGCCGTTGGTCGTCGTCCGGCCCAGCTGCACGTCGCGCTCCGTGTCCTTGCGCTTGCCCCCCTTGTATTACAATGAAAAACGCCCCCTGCTCCCCGTATCGAAAAAATGCTGCATTTGAGTTAGTACACGATTGGACTTGTATTGCTAGCAGGCCATCAAGAGACGCAGCTGCTGCATGAGTTCCTGCAGGCAATTGGTCATCCTGTTTCCCACTTCCAGTTGCCTCCTGTCATGCTGAAGATGTAACACTTTGTTCCCACGCCAGCCAGCACTACAGTCCGCACCTTTTTTTGCCTTCTAGCATGACAAAGCTGATCTGGGACCACAAATCTGCATCACAGATTTCCGTTTTGATATGGGGAGGGGGTAATATAAATATTTTTCTTCTTGATAACTTGGTGACGAACTCCTTCAGTTTCTCTGACCGCTTGGAGGGTTTCCAGGCCAGGTACCGCCAAACCGTACTGCCGTTCTCCACCACATCCTCTAGAGCTAAGGCCCCAAAGATAGCCATCGCAAATTGCTGGGTGTGCCGGACCAGTTCGGTCTGCCCCATATCAAATGTAAAAATGTCTGGGTCTGGAAAAGTGTAGACTTGTCATGCAGATTTTTCATGACCCATGAGGTCTGGAATGCGGGACTTAGCATGACAGACTCTGCGAGGTCTCTGCCATGCCTATCATGCATGAGAAACTCCTCTCCAACTTGGTCAAAAGTGTGCAGCTTTTGGTACTCATGCAACACAGATTTTCGCATGCTTCAGATTTACCATGACAAGTTGAAATCTTCCAGACCCAGACATTTTTACATATGATACCCCAAAGCGGTGAGCAACGCGGAGCTTTATCAAATGCAAATATGTCTGGGTCTGGAAGAATGCAAACTTGTGCTGCGCATTCTATAACACACAAGAATCTCTCATGCATAGGCAGCAAAAGCTGCCCACTTTCTGTCACCAAAGTCGGGCATTTGTGATGCAAATTCGGCATTGCGGAAGCTTCTCGAAACCTGTGATGCTAGAGCTTCCATGCCAGCCCTTCTGTGTCATGCAGCAGCAGCGTGACTCTTCCAGACCCAGACATATTTGCATTTGATATGCTTGTGCTCGTGCCAATGTGCACCCCGTAAATCAGGTGGCCGATGGCGAAAAGTGCGGGCAAAATCTCGATGACCAGCAGGTGAAACATGTGGTACGTCAGAAACAGGGAACTCAACACCATGCCCGTACAGACGAGCGCAGTGGCCCAGCCCTTGAACACGACCGGTTGGGAGGCGAAGGTGGAGATCAAACGCATGTCCTCGAGGAAAGAAACGAGAAAATTCTCCTTGTCCTTTTGCCAGCCAAACTGGATCACGTTTAAGTGGTGCCTGCCCTTCACCCCGGCCGCCCCCTGCTCCAGGCCGAAGTACTGGTCCTTCGTGTTCTGAAAAATCACCTTCCAGGGCGGCATCGCCCGGATCCGGGAGATGTGCCGCAGATCGCTGGTGGCCGCATCCGGGTCGTCTCTCGCTTCCATCAGAGCGCGGTCCTCCTCCCGTGCTTCTTCCCCGTAAATGGCGAGCGACGTTTGTTTTAGTGCCCAATCCTTGTCATTCTGCGACACGTCTTGCACTGCTCCGCTAGCACCGTATAATTGCACGGCTTCGGCGTCCATACTGTTGCTGTTCCTCCCCGCGATATAATTACCCAATACGTCTATCTCCATTTCATCTCGCTCCTTTGAGGATAATTGCAATGGCATCATCTCCTGCGCTTGGACCTCCTGTTCTCTCCCCACCGCAGACTCGAGTCGGTGCGCACAATTCAACTCGGCGAAGTCGACTTTCTCCGTCATTTCAGCTAGTTGTGTCCGCAAAGAGTCGATCTCCTGGTTTTTCTGTAAAAGAATTTCTTCCGACTTCTTCCCGCAAGCCACCATTGCTTTTTTCAAGGCAAGATTCGTTTCCTTCTGCAACAGATTGCTGTACAGGGATCTCAGCTGGGTTACTTCCTCGTGTTCTTCTTGATCGTCGTTTTCATTTTCCGCTCCGCTTTTCGTTTTCCCTGTCGTAGGAAGAGCTTGATTTTCATTTGAAACAACGTTGAGGATTTCGTCCCTCTCTTCCTCCAAAACTGTTTCCAGATCGTGTTCGGCTTCCAGCTGATAATTCCCGGCCTGTTCCTCCAGTTCCTGTTGCAACTTTTTGATGCCCTGGTGCAGCGCGGCGTGCCTCGCTTCAGCCGCAGCGGTTCTACTCTCGGTACTTTGTTGTTCTCCGTTCTGCTCTACTTCCGCCAATCGCAATTTCTCCTCCAACTGGCTCAGCTTCTCCTCAAAACCGGCAATCAGTTGCTGAGCTTTTTCCCTTTCCCTTTCCCGCACCTCCTCTTCCCTTTTCTGGTGCTTTTCTTGCATTTTTTGGATTTTAAACGCCAATCCGGTTTTCGTTTCGTCTATCTTCTTCTTGAAGTCAAATTGCAACTTTTTTATCTTTTCCTGCTGCTTCACCTCTAACTCGCCTTTCTGCTTTTCCAACTCTGCGTCGCACTGCGCTTGTTCTGCTTGGAGCTGAACATTGTTGGATTCTACCAACTCCTTTTCCCTTTGATTCAACCTCTTCCCATCTTCTTTCACACTTGTTCGCAATTCATTTTCAAACTCTTTGCTCATCGTCTCGTATCGTTTGTGCACTTCCTGCACCTCCGCCTGCAGCGAGTGCAATTCGCTGTTCCGGTCTATTGCTTCTTTTAGCTCTTCTATTTGGTCCTCCTTCATGCCAATCTCGTTTCGCAGTTTCTTCATCACTACTTGGAGTTGCTCGTTCTCTTGCTGCAAAACGTGCACCAGTTCCTGCAAAGAGTGCGGGTCCATGGCATTGATAACATTGTAGTTCGTCGTGGTTTCTAGAATGTTCTTCTCCCCAACAGAGTTGTATCCGGTGATTGGCACGTCGAAGTGCGACCCTCGGTAGTTTTCGTTCGCACCTGCCGCCGAAACTCGGTCGACAAACTGGCCTTGAGCTGGTCTCTGTACGCGAACGAGGTTGGGGTGGAGCCGTTGTTGCATCTTTGACGTCCTCTGCAGGTAGCTACTATTTCCGTCGTTCTTGTTGTCAGAGATGATATTTGAATTCGAATTCTTCTCCTCGAAATCGTACTTCTCTTCTTGAAGCACGGAAGAAGTACTAGAAGAAGTAGCAAACGCCGCCCCCTCGGTAGTAGATGTTGGCGCAGCTTGTCTACTTGTTGCCGCGCCTCTCGATGCACTTCTTGATGCACTACTATCTTCCAGGCCCGGTAGAAGTTCGTCTTGTTGTGCAGCCAGTTCAACATCACCATCATTGTCCAGCACCGGTATCGCCGGCGAGTCCGAGTGTTCGTTCTCATGATCGTCGTTTTCCTCTTTTTTTGCGCCGTCATCTCCATATCAAATGTAAAAATGTGTGGGTCTGGAAGAATGCATGTTTGTCATGCTTGTCTGGCATGACTCTTAAATCTGTCATGCACGTTGCCCAAGAGCCGCGTTTTTCTGTCATGCGTAGTAGTAGTAGTAGTAGCACCATTTAACTCCTGGCGGGTTGGCGTTAGAACAGATTTAGCCTCTGCCAATATCTGGGCGTTAGAACAGATTTAGCCTGTCATGCAGAATAGGCAACACCTACAAGCTCAGAAATTTGTCATGCTGAGCCAGCACTTGTGGCCTCCTCATACTACGCCACTCAGCATCACAACTTTCCAGACCCAGACATTTTTGCATTTGACACTCCAGGCGACGCAGCGAAAGGAGCCGCATGATTCCCTCGCTCGTTCAGCCGCGCGTCGGCAATTGGTATATCAAATGTCAAAATGTCTGGGTCTGGAAACTTGTGATGCTAAAATGTGCATGATGAAAACACTTCCGAATGCAGTCCGGCATGACAATTTCCCAAAACGCTGTCTCATAGGCAATCCGCATGAGAAACTGCGTTTTTGCATGACAAAAGAGGCTGCGGATTTTGTTGGTTATGCAATACAGATTTTCTAGGTATGGAAAGCTAGCATTACAAGTTCCAACCTTCCAGACCCAGACATTTTTACAATCCATATGGTAGAAACAGGAACCACGCGGTCTCCAGGAAACAAAGGACGAGAACAGACAATTTTCTTGCCGTAGCGCGGCTGGCGCTGGCGCTGGCCTGGTATGGTTACGGAAAATAAATTTCATACAAACTTCTTTTTGTCATTGCGACGAAAACGTAGCTAATGCTGCTCGTCGTGGGTTAAGTGGTGCTGGTATGTTTTAGGACGACTTTCAAAATTCAGGCATATCATGAAAACGAATAGTTGTTGCACATCAATTTGAAATTACCTGCACCACTCGACCACGCGCGGCACCAGATGTGGCTTTCTTCATGGGGAATTCTTGTCGCAGGTAGCGACTACGTTGCAAATGTCGAGAGCTACTCCGTGCCGGCTGTTTCGCGACTCTAACTCTGCTCATCAGTTATTTGCACAACGCTTGGAGTAGGTACATAAGTACTTAATACTTGCAGCAGCAAATCATTTCACTCCACGATAATTGCACCAGCAACCAGGTTCTACTTACCAAGCTCAAAGAAAGCTTTGACCAAACGAATTTCAGTTTGATAGAAGATCAAGATGCGTCAAGATGAACCCTGCCTATACTAACTTCCGACCGCGCGCATGCATCAACAGCTGGCGCGGCCGTGCAAAAAAATAATTCAAAGAAGACGATTACTACAAAAACGTACGACCACGAGGAAAAGACATACAGACGACGAGACGAACCACAATATTCAACATCCTCTCACGATGGGCGGCAGCAAATCGAATGCGAATCCTTTACCTTAGATACAGGAAAGACTAAACGAGATTTTTGAGTGCACTCCTTACTTCTTGTGAAGATGCTTCAGACGACGAAATCACTCCAGTTAAATCGCAACGAATCTTCTCGTCATCTACATCTTTCTGATGCCACGGAAAAATAACGACCCTAATGCTAACGAGGAAGACCCGTGGTACCTGCGACCTTACTCAGAACAAGGCAATGCAATTGGAAAAATCGTGACTGCGGACAATGTGGATGTGGTCCAAAAGAATTTCATTCCAGCATTCGGAGTTAGTTTTGCTTTTGCAAAAGCAACACCGGCACCGCGCGCTGCAAAATAAATGTCCCAACTACTTTATCCCTTTCCATTATAATCACACAGTGGAAATTTGTTTAAATGTTTACAGTCTTCATACATAATTTAGAAGTAGTGGACATCACGATCAGAGATAATTTCCATACAATTGCAATGCTCAACATCTTGTGCGTCTTTTTTTCGACCCAGCAATGATAATGAATGCGAATAGAATAGACTAGATTGGCTCCAGATGCAGCGCAATATGTCCCTGAATCCACGTCGCTATGCCTATGTTGTATCTATCCACAATAAAGGCTGGATCCAGGGATACATAGAGCACGTTTTATATCGCTCTTCGATCAAAGCACAGCAGCACTGCTAGAGCCTTTCGTCGATAAGCATCTTCGCAGCCAATGAGCAAATCATCGTCTGGTCATCTCATTCCTAAATAGGTAGGTCGCTAAAAAATTTGATGAAATCTTACACCGTAAGTAGCAAAAACTACAAATTGCGTTCTTGTTCTAGTGGAGGCCGGGCAGTCCCAGCTCGTTATCGTAGCAACAGTTCAGATGGTTTAGGTTTTTACCAACTGCGGTTTGCCAATTTCACTTCTGCCGTAGGATCCTCCTCATCTCAGTCCGACTGAGATGGGAAGATCCGTAGTTGCGCTTGCATGTAGTGCTTTTCGTTCTTGTAATGTTCTGCTCATCCAGTTGTTTGCCTTTTATGCCAATAGACAAGAAGCACTCACTGCCGAAGAAGTTTAGATGAATAAGGTACCTGTCTAGAAGTTGTAGAACAGATGGAAATGAAAAAAAGGTCAAACGTAGTCGTGCTAAAAATGTGATTGAGATGCCTTTCTATTTGTGTTTGTTCTGTAGTAGGTGAGTCGAAGTAGAGCTTTTTCGGAAGCGAAGCGCCCGCGGCCCCGATTGTGATTCATTATCGACCTGACCTCCACCTGAACAAGAACAAACCCCGAAAATAAATCAAAGATCATTTTACACAATCATTTCATCCGCGGCCTCGTCTCCCGAGATTGAGTTCTTCTGCGGCACTATAATATACCTGTTTCTCCCGGTCCCGCGCTCGTAAGATCGTCAGGAAAGAGTGGCTGTTTTTTCCGACCTAATTGTCGTCCTTCTTTGTCTTCCAGAAGCTTCGGGACCGGCACAATTATTTCAGCTAGCGCTTCCTTTGTTGTTTGTTGCAAGTGTCGTCTTTCGCTTTCTTTTTCTTGATTCATCGTCCTTCCGAAAGAGTGATAGAAGTTGTTGTTCCGAAGGGATGATAGAACGTAATCATCCGTGGTCTGCTCACGAGAACCAACTTGATCAACTCCGTCTCCAAAAGACCGCAAATAAGTAGAGCCAGCACTACTGGTGCCTCCCGCATCGCTACTGTTGGAAGACCACTGTAAATTGGAGGAGGACCAAGACGGGGCCACGGCGCTAGCAGTTGTGCCACTACTGCTACCGCTGCCGCTAGCAAAGGAGCCCGGTGCAACACTACCGGCGTGAGAAGAAGAAGACCACGTGCTTCTAGCGCTGGTGGGAGCTGCTCCTGCTCCTGTCGCGGTGCTGTCTGATCCACCTCCAAAAGATGTCAACAGTCCCGTGCTGTCGCTCAGCCGTAGGCTCGTCCGCGACTTTTTCGCATTAACCAGAGAGAGAACTAGCGGATCTGAGATCAAGTCAAAGAAATGGTCATCTTCGTCTAAATCGGGATGAAACAACGGGATCACCCGCTCGCGATACGGAATCTTGGTCCCGGTAGTACTAGTACCACCTGCCGCTTCGATATAGTAACTCTTTGCTGCTGACGGCAGGGGAGGTGGACCACGGCTTTCAGGAGCTGAAGCTGTAATAAAGCCTCGAGAAATATTAACACCTAGCGATTGTTCTGGCTACTTCTCCTTTTTACTAGTACCCTCGAACATGGAGTCCCTCAGGGTCAGCGAGGACAGGCCATTTCTGCTTGCCGAGCGTTCTTTTGCGCTGAAAGGCTCCTGCATAGAAGTCTTCACATCTTCATCACGCGGCTTGGGCTCCTGATTCTGAATGTAGTCTTCCAAAATTTGTTGACTCGGTTTACTGCCTCCTTCTTGAAAGTTTGGCTGCTGTTCGTGGTGACGACCCCCTGCTGCTGCTGCGAGCAGTTCTTCTGCAACTGCTCGATGCAAAGCCAAAGCCTGGATTGCGTTGCTGCTCATTGTGTCTGAGTTCTTCTTAAAAACTTTCTTGACCTTCCCCTTCGCCCCGCGCCACAAGTTCCTCATTTTTTGTTTTGCCGTCAGCTTCAAACTTCGCACGATTTCATCTGCCCTTCGAGTTTGTTGTTCTCGGATTTCCTCTTGATGAGCCATAGCATTAGCAGCCGCGGCGGCCGCTTCTTGTTCATCGCGAGCTTTTTTTTCCTCTTCGAGACTGCTTGACAGTTGGAAGACCGATTTCTGGAACTGCGAGGCTGGGTAGAAATTCAACATTTCGGAACCTGCTGCGACTGCAGCAGTAGTTCCTGTTCCTTCTAAATACCGCTGCTCCTCAATCTCCCACTCTTGCAGCACGTGGATGGCGACATCGGTGAAAACGTTGTTCGCAGGTGGATTTGAGGACCGTCCAAATAATCCCGAAACTCGTCGTCCTTGCGAAGTGGTTCTCCTAGTAAAATAAACCAGGTCCTCCAGATCCTTGTGCCGGGCGAGAAAATTCGTTCCACAAGCTTCGCTCTGCTGTTTCAACGCCTCGTATAGGACTGCTTTCGTCAGCAAGGTTCGATCCTCGTCGGTGTCGCGCATAACGTCTCGTCGCGCCTGCTGTCGTGGATTCCTGAGAAGACTAAAGCCAGTATCGTCGCGGTCTGTTCTCCTGCCAAGAGGGACCACTTGCACCTTCGGCGGGAGGAAAACCCGGGTAACCGCGTCCAACACGAAATTGCACAGGTTTAATTCTCGTTCTTTGCTATTTATTCTACCGTGTACAAGAACCCCTCCTGTGGGAGGTAGTACAACGGAGGGCGGATGAATCGGCTGCTGCCTAGTACAACTGGCAGTAGAAGTTAAAAGCGAAGCGCCAACGACAGGAGGAGGTGGTTGTCCAGTCATAGTTCCTGTGTAGTACGATGGTTCTTGTCCAGCTGCACTCAGATGACTTGTTGGCTCAGTAGGCTCGTCGTCAAAGACGATCCCAGCTTCGATTTTTTCTCGCAGCCGGTTCTGGATCTGCTTTCGCGTGGTCAACCGACGAGAGGCAACAAGCCGCTGCATTTGGGAGGTGGACATGGTCGCACTACTACTTCTACACAGCCTTGTTGATGAGCTAGTAGGTGGTTGTGCTCCTATCGCAGAGTTGTCGTTTCCAGCAGCTGCAGCTCGGGGCGGCCGCCCCGGTGGAGGAGGAGGGATTAGTTCTAGCGCTGCACTACCGTTAGGAGCTCCTGAGGAACTTGGTGTTCCCGAAGCAGGAGTAGGTCGAGAACTTCTGATAGCACCACTCGTCGCCCTAGTATGAGATTCCTGAGTAGAACTACAAGGTCTTGACGTAGTACTACCACTTCTCTCCACTTCTCGCGACGACGATGTCGACGACCCAGCATCATCATGAGAAGAACTCTCGCCGAACATCCACCACAAATCGTTTTTCTCCACGACAAAATCATCCCGTACTTTCCAGGGCTTATTGTACAGTTCCAGCAAATGCGCCAGCTTCGGCAGCACGGCCTGATACAGCACGTCCAGCACAAATTTCCCGAACAGCCTCGGCCGAAAAGGAAAAGACGGCACCGGTCGGTAGTTGTTGCGGCGCTGTCGGTCCCGCCGGGCTCGGAGGTCCGCCGGGAGGTCGTCCGCGATTTCGCCGAAAACGCCGACGAAGTCCAGGAATTTCATTTTCCCGCCGTGTAAAACATGCCGGAAATCGTGGAGATTCGACTTCGTGTATTCCAGTAAACTTTTCAAAACCTCCTCCCTTTTCGCGGAAACATCAACATGTGCTTCTCGTGCATCCGGAGGCAGGGCATGCACTCGCTGCATCTCCTCCTCACTATCTCTATCTGATGTGTCAACATCTTCATCATCTTCTCTAGCATGATCACTTCTGTCCTCATCGCTGCTGGTCGTGTCGATGTCCGCTGAGCCGATGTACCGCTTTTGCCACGCGATTTCCATAGTCTCCGCGTACCCCAGCAGAGACGCGAATTTGTCCGTCGGCTTCACCGGGATGATTGGATAGTTGGCGTAGAAAACTTTCTCGCTCATCGGGTTTTCTAGGGCCTGCGTCGGTCTACTGTGCAAAAGGAGACTTCGCTTCTTTTCAACACCATCTTGATCTCGTCCATATTGCGCGGCCGGAAACAAGATCCAGTTCGTCTTCGGGTCTGTGATCCGGTCTGCGATGCTGAAAACCAAGTTTTTCCTCTGTCGAAACTTGTCCCAGTACCAATTAATATCCCGGATCAAATCGTAGGACTCCCGGGTGGGCAACACAATGCCAGCGTTCAGCGACGTATCGTTGTCCCTGTGATCCCGCAGCCCGTACTGGATCCCGACCAAAAGCTTCTTCTGAATCTCGCCCTTGATGTTGTAATCCGTGTGAATGTAGGTCATCTCCTTGAGTAGCAATTTCGTCACGAACTCGCTGTTGTAAGAGGGCAGTAGCTATCAAATGCAAAAATGTCTGGGTCTCTCTGGAAGAATGCGCGATTTGTCATGCTGCTTTTCCATGACCCATGAGGTCTGGAATGCAGGACCTAGCATGACAGATTCTGCGAGACCTTTCTCATGCCTATCCTGCATGAGAAACTCCCTCCCGACATGGTCAAAACTGGACGACTTTTGGTAATCGTGCAACACAGATTTTTGCATGCTGCAGATTTAGCATGACATGTTGCAATCTTCCAGACCCAGACATTTTTACATTTCATAGTAGCTTCTCCGCCAGCACGTCGAAAAAGTTTTTCGTGAACGCGTGTTGGTTATTGCAAGGAAAAATCCCCCCTCCTCATATCAAAACGAAATTTCTGATGCTAGGTTTGTCTACACCAAGCAGCGTTGTATTGCAGGAAGGCACTGCGGCCAGATCCCAAGGCCAGGTAGGGGCGTATGGGTCTAGTTGTTCAGCATGGCAAACGGCTCCCCTTTAAGCCCAACAGCATGACAAACCGCTTCCATGATGGGGCGGAAGCTTCTGCCCTTGTCGTCTTGCAAGACACATGTGATTTGTGACCTCAAATCAGCAACACAAATTTTCGGAAACATAACTTTTCAATATGGGGAGGGGGATTTTTCATTTTTATATTGGTTCCGCAGCCGAATTCCGTGTTGCCACACGTGGTACCGCAGTTGCAGAAACTTGTAGTCGGAATTTATTACGATGTCGCGGCCCGCCTCGTCCTCTGTACCAGTAGAAAGCGAGCTCGTAGCTGGTTTGTAGGGAAACCGGAACCGCAACCCCAGGCCGTTTTCCCAATTCAGCAAGTCTTTCTCGTCTCGCGACAGCTCGTCGTTCTCGTACCGGGCGTAGATAATCATGCGGTGCACGACCGCCAGATAGGCTTTTAGGTACAGGGCGGGGAGGAAGGTGGAAAATTTGTTATCCCGGTCGTAGAAAAACTCGTGTCTGATCACATCTTTGTTCACCAACTTGTATGCACTGCAAAAATGTCTGGGTCTGGAAACTTGTAATGCTGATTTGTGAATAGTGAATTTTCTGTAATGCACAGTCAACATGAGAAATTTTTACGCGGCTTAGTGTTGCGCTTTCCGCATGCCAAACTGCGTTTTGCATGACAAGCAAGGGGGTCTCTTCTTGGACACGCATCACAAACTCTTCAGTCATGCCAGACAAGCATGACAAACCTTGCATCCTTCCAGACCCAGACATATTTGCAATGCATAACTTGTGCCCCTTAACTAAGTCATCCAATTGCGCGGAGTGGAGCCCGGTCCGTAGCACGGCTTCGTAGTAGGGCGGCAGGTCACGGACGTCGGGCGGAGGTTCCGATCCCTGGCCGGGAAGATATCCTGAGTAAAAACGTCCCCACCCCATAGTTGTCATGCAATTCTGCATGCTGAAGATGTTTGTCATGCGGAGCCCCATGAGAAGCATTTTCTGATCGTGTTTCGGGATTTGTTATGCTCCAATCAGCATGATGTGCTAGATTTGTGATGCTAGTGAACCAGCTAAACAGGATTACACTCTGAGCCCAAATTTGTCATGCGCAACAACCAAGCCTTGTGGATCTGACTAACAGATTTCCCATCTTGACTATGGGGTGGGGACGTTTTTACGCAGAATAGAAGATGCACAGGGTCTACCTCAAAATCTTCGGGAAACCAGTCGTCTCCCTCGCGGTTGCGCTCCTTTTTGCTGCTCCGGTTGTTCAAAACAGCGTACAAGCTGTAGTCATCCGTTATCAAATGTAAAAATGTCTGGGTCTGGAAGATTAGAACTTGTCATGCTAAATCTGAATGATGCAAAAATCTGTGTTGCGTGAGTGCCAAAAGCTGTCCGCTTTTGACCAAGTTGAGAGGGAGTTTCTCATGCAGGAAAGGCATGATAGAGACCTCAAAGAATCTGTCATGCTGGGTCTCGCATTCCAGACCTCATGGGTCGTGGAAAACCTGCATCACAAATCTTGCATTTTTCCAGACCCAGACATTTTTGCATTTGATATCCGTGAAAATGTCCGTGAACCCGCGGCAGGCCTTCAGGAAAAAAACGGGCAGCGCCTCCCACAGGTAGCGCACCAGCAGCGGGAAGTAGTACTGGAGGTACAGCATGCGGCCCAGGATTAAAGCCAACCGCGTCGGCATCTTCTTAAAGGACACCCAGCCGTGGCGCTTGCTGGCGAATTCCTGGTGCGCGTCTTTCAGAACGAAGGACCTGCGAAACTGAGTGTCCTGGTTAAAGTGCAGCTCTTCGGGCGTGTAGTCTCCAAGTTTGTCCAGTCGGTGCGCAAACTTGAGCCAGTCCCGGTACCAGAGAGCGAAGTGATGTTTTTTCCGGTTGTTCTGGTTGATGATGTTGACATCTTCAGGAGTGCTGACCGTACTAACACTCTGCTGGCGAGAAGAAGCTGGAAGATCTTCGCTCGAAGCAGGGGGAAGATCGTTTTTTTCTTTGAAAACGTCAGGTGTTGGGCCGTCGTCAAACAAGAAACTATTGGCCGAAGCAGGATCATGTTGAGCTGGTGCCCCCTCTTGGTTCTTGCTTTTCCTTTCAACATTTCCTCCTCCTACAAGTTTTTGTTCCGCAGGCAGCTCCGTGGTCCTGAAAATGTCCAGCAGCAACCCTTTTCCGAACGGAAACGACAACTCCTCGTCTTTCCACAACAAATAGGGCACAAAAGGAAGTTCCCCGGCACGCAAAAGTTCTTTCTTGATATCCTCTTCCATTTCGTTTCTCAACGTATCTTCGGGTCGGAAGGAGGTTCTTCTTGTTCCGCCTTGGGCTTGTCTTGTTCTCCTTTCCTCATTTCTACCGGTGATTTCGTCGACCCAATCCTGCTGCATCACCCAGTGGTTCCCGCTCAGGGAGGAGGGGGGAGTCATTTCCTCCGACGTGCTCCCTTGATTTTCGCCATTCGATGTTCTTGATGACCTTCGGGCTGCTGAGGGTCCTCGTGCTTGTTGCTCCCTCGTAGAAGTTCTTGTAGTACTTCTGCCAGAAGCACTTGTGGAAGTACTAAAATGAATATCACCTCCGAACGTTTTCTCCGGTAGCATGCGGTGAGCAAAGAACATCTTCACCAAACTGCTGTCGTTCATACCCGATGGGTTTCCGTTATTCATCTCGGGAATATCATCATTTTTCTCCGCAGGGCTCAAAAACACTGTCGGATCTGTCCGCATGTCTAGGTCGGAGACGGTTGCCAACTCCAACGCCGCCGTGTAAATCAAAACGGTGAACTCGATGAGGTAGCGATGCCGTAGATCGTTACTGTACTTGAACTGAATCTCCCGGTCTGACAGTGTGAACTCGCCTTTATTTTTTCCGTGTTCTTGTGCGGTTCTTTTGTCCAAATATTTCTCCTGCAGTACTTTCCACGGTGAAGGTGATGTTGCAGTCCTCTCCTGTGTCGAAGAGGACGGGTCAGCAGAATCAGCTCCTGTAGATGTATTAACACCTTTATTTCTATCCTGGTCGACGACGTGCATCGTCATCCCTTCTTGTTCGTCTTTTTCCAAAAACAGCTTCGCTCTTTCGGTCAAGATCCTTTGTCGCAACCCCACGCGGACAAACTGCGGCAACTGTCCGAACTGCTTCGCGAAGATGAAGGGAAACGTCGGGTTTTTGTCCAGCTGGTCGCAGTTTTCGAACAGTTTCTGCTCCTGTTTGGACACAAACTCCCTTTTGTTCAGCAACCCCAGTGCCGCCGCGTTGGACTTTTTATCCAGCGTCGCTAAAGGCAGCGTCGTTTGCGATACCGCCGGCTGGTGCTCCGGGTTGTTGATCTCGAAAACTGACTGGGTGCGTAGAATATCGAACACGTCGGCTAGCTTCTCCTTTGGATACTGCTGCTGTTTTGTTGTAGTTCTGCTAGTAAAAACTGCAGAAGTTGTACTCGTCGTTTTCATCTTCCCTGAACTTTCTCTATCTGCAATTCTTCTTCCTGGCGATCTCGACGTGGTCGCAGCTGCTCTGGTTGTATCATTCATTGGCTTATTTCTACTTCCGGAGGTACTATGATGAACATGTCTAATGTTCATCATTTCGACCTGCTTTTTATTTATTCCATTTATTTTCATTTTTCGCGCGAGGTAGCTCCGTCTTGTTGGTGCCCTATTTCTCATTCCAATAAACGCGGTCGACCCCCCCGTCGGTCGCTTACGCAGAGCGTCTTCTTGCTCCAGCTTTTCCGCCGCTTCTACAATGGCCTTATCGAACCTCCGCACGCTACTCGGCGACTCGGAGACCATGTCGCGCGGGTTTCTTCTGGAAGTGGTGGTGGTCTTCAACCACTTTCTCGTCTCAGGGACAGATAATTTTCTCGTTCTGGAGGACGAGGTACTAGCGCGCTGCCGATGCCCAGCTCCTGCTCGTGAAGATCCAGCAGGAGGAGCGGCCGCTTGTTCAACATGATCTCGGTCGTCCTCTCGAACAAGAAGAAACCCTTGCCCACCTAGCCCTTCTTCCGCAATCATTTCCTCGCTGTCGCTCCCGTCACTATCCAAATAGGTCCAGTCATTGAGCCAGGCTTTTTCTTCGCTTGGACTTCGCTCTTTTGCTCGATCAGCGACCTGATTGTCGGAGGTTGATGCGGCAGCAGAGGAGAAGAAACCCAGACCCCCGCCTGCTGCAACAGCAGGTCTAGCAGTTCTTGCCTCGTGCACCGCTTGGTCTACTCGGGACGAGTCATGATCATCAACATCTACCTTTATGGACGACGAGGATCTGATGGTGGGCAGCACTAGCTTATGCGAGGTAGACGAGTTCGTCGTGGCTTCAGCGGCGATGTCGTGAAAATCCCCCGCGGCGGTCTGTTGGTTCGAAATGGCGTCCCCCGAGGTTTCGCGGGACACGATCTCAGGCGGATGTTGAACGGAAGACGAAGGAAAAGACGGCGGCGAGTTGTTCCTACTCGCGGCACTGGTATAATAGGAAGTAGGTGCACGACCCGTGTGGATCGGGCGCACACCGCTTTCATCATCATCTCCACCAGTGTGCGGTGCGTCGATTCCAAGCTTTTCCAATTTCGATGCGAGCTCCGCCTCCTCTCCTGAAACGCTCCTGTCGGTAAATAATGCCGCAACATCGCTTTCCTGTTGGCCGAGCGAAAGAGTTCTTGCGGTTGCGCCAGAATTATCGCGAAAGAGTTCTTGCACCGGAGTAAAAACTGCCTCAGTGAACACACGCCGGGCAGCGACGCAATTATCCACCCTACTGCCCCCGGTCGTCGCACACGCAAGAACCAGAAGCGTCGAAGCGCTGGCCGTGCGCTTCAGCAATTTTGCTCTTTTATCCCGGCCCTTCATCTTCTGCGCCTGCGCCTCGCAGCTCGAAGGAGGTTGGCAATAACTTGCACGGGTACTTCTAGAAGTCGTCATTTTTCCTTTTCGATCCGTAATCTGGTTTTAGTTTTGCTAATGCTATAAGTATTCCACAATATTTTACAAGATATTTCTATATACACAGGCTGTATGTATCGTCCTTCTCAACTAGAAGAGATAATTCAAAATTTGGTAGACGAACACAGAAAAGTCAAAAAATGGTGCCTTAGTTCAGGTGGTCTGCGCAACACCACGCAGTGATATTTCGTTTTTCTGTACAAGTCAACAAAAGAGTCTATGTGTCGTGAAAGAAAGCTAACTTTAGAAGCGGAGATCTTGATCTATAGTTGTAAAAAGAGTTCAATATCTTCACAATTAGGATAGGTTACATTCGTCGTGTGCCGATGAAAGAAGCGACCGATCATCGAACGGAATCGCGTGCTACCCTGTTCCGAAAATTGTTGCGTACAAGACAATAATATGGCAGGGGACACCGTGCTGCCAGGAGGTCAAAAACTTACTAGTAGGACCATGCTACACTACAGTTCTTGCACCTCGTTTTGTTCTTCAAAACGACAGGACCAAGCATTCAGACGGATCTTCCACCGGATCAAGCTCCTGAGCTTCAGACGATCATCTTGGTTTTTTGTGTCGCGTTTAGTACCTATGCAATTTTCATATTTCCTTGACAAATTCCATCGTCTAGACCGGATCTCGATGGTCATCTTCTCGGGGTGTTCATGTGAGCCTTGAAGTTTTCAACCAGAGCCACATCGATCTTTTTCTCATTTCTCTCCTCCTCGGATTCGGAATAAATAATGGTCCAGATGATGAACCAGAAGTTAGAACTTATGCCTCGACATTAATATTGCCACTTCTTTGCGGATGAAATTTACACCCAAGCAAGTGTCGTCCCACCTGCTTTGGTGTGTAAGTCTTGTGAGATGAAGAACGGAACTGCATCAAGGATCCGGTTGGTTCGGTCCAGAAAATTTTCATCAAACACTATAGTACACTTGCATTTGTATAGTGATGAATTGGACGGGTGCATTTTCCGCCATCACCGATGCGTGCTAGAAGCACGCGCTCTCAATTTTTGCCGCGCTGTTGACTTCAACCGCGTTTCCTTCTTGAGGAGAGAATATATCAAATTCAGATAGAAGTCGACGGAGAAAAGTTGTAAAGTGGATTCTCCTTGTCTGCTCCACCGCTCGAAGAGCTTCAAGGTCTTCGAGTCGTGGTCTGCTTTTTTTTCCCTCTTGTAAAAGTAAATGAACGCTCATCGCTCACGTATCCCCCATGTCCACATCGTCGTCTCCACCAACTCCAGCACGCAATTCTGCGTTTTCCTCCTCATCAGCCGACTGCGCGTCATCGTCCGATGGTGTCTGCATTTCGTGATCCTCATCTTCGCTCACGACGTTCTGATCGTTTCCCTGCTCCTGCTCGGCTTGCTCCTCGTCGGCCTCCTCGTTGTCCCGGATTTCCTGAAAAATATCGCGCATGCGGTCATTCGTGATGTCCCCGCTGAACAGAATCCCCCGCAACCGCCCGATCTGTCCCTTCCACTTGAGGTAAAGTTTTCCCGGAAAGATTTCCGACTTCTCATTCACGTCTTTTTTCCCCGAAAACTCCGAGTGCGGCAAATCCAGGGTGATGACGTCGTGGAAATATGGATTGCAAAAATGTCTGGGTCTGGAAACCTGTAATGCTGCGCTGGGAATAATGAATGCTCTGTAATGCACAGCCAAGCATGAGAAATATCTGCGCTTCTTTGTGTTGCGTTTTTCGCATGACAAACTGCGTTTTTGCATGACAACCAAAAGGGTCTCTTCTTGGACACGCATCGCAAACTTTATTTTGGTCATGCCAGACAAGCATGACAAATCTCGCATTCTTCCAGACCCAGACATTTTTGCAATGCATAGGAAATATTCCCCGACGAAATACCGACTACCACCGAACACGAAGATCTGCCCCGTCGTCGGGACAAAACACGCCGCGAAGTGCGAGCGGCGCAGGGATTTAGTATCACACGACCGGTGGAAGATGGTTTCCATTTTTTCCGAACTGGTCCACTGTTTGGTGACCGTGTCGAACACGAACGCGTTTCTTGCCAAATCCGAGTACCAGCAGGGCCACCCGGTCTCTTCCGATTCGTCCATCAACTTTTGAAACGTGATCCCCTCCTCGCCGATGTATCGCGAGGAAAAATGCCCCCACCCCCAAAGTTGCAAAAATCTGTGATGCGAAGTGTTCAAATGAAAAATTTTTGTCATGCATGAAAGGAGTATGAACCTTTCTGATGCAGAGCCTAGGCGTGTGTCGCATCGCTTGCATGACAAGCGCCGCTCTTGCTGGTATGTTTTGCAATACACGATCGGAAATCTGTGATGCTGATAGATGCAAGCGGGCGGATGTTTCATTTGGAAAGGTTTGCAATACAAATGCTCTCACGTTTGGGGGTGGGGGCATTTTTCCTTTCAATACGATGTTCTGCGGCTTCGTACCGCCGAAGTAGAGCAGTTCCCGGCCGGTAGCAACCAGCTGCCCGGCGGTCACCCAGTCGGGGTACGTGAGGTCCGGCACCAGGCGGCCGAACGCGCTGTTGAAGAAGTTTCGGAAGCGGCTTGTCGTGGTAGGTTGCTGTTGCGCGGAAGCTCCTGTAGACCCTGCGGTCGCGCCAGAACCGCGCCCATTTTCTATTTGCGCCCCAGCTGATGTTCTTGATGTTGTACTACTACTTCTCTCATCCCCGGCCGGAAACAGCCGGTCGGTCGTTGGGGTAAGCGAAATCTTCTCCCAGATGTACACTGGTCCTGCGCCCTCAGTAGACACTTCGTCGCTCATCGTCATCTTCCCTGGAGCAGGTCGTGCCTCGAAAGTGCTGCTGCTGGTGTAGTTGTAGTAGTCGTAGTGGTCGTCCTCTCCGTGGTCTACAACTTCGCCAAAATTACTGTTAAAACCCGAACTACCAGTAGAAGTCGCAGCTCCTGCACTACTGCTCTGTGAAAGTTGTCCACCACCTCGGTTCCTATAATTTGATGCCAAATGCAAACAGTACAAGTCCTGATACTGGCGCACCGTCTCTTCCGAATTTGTTTTTTTGAAGTCCCTATCAACTGCAAAAATGTCTGGGTCTGGAAGGTTCTGAGACCTGTCATGCATGTTTTGCATGACCCAGCATGTCTGTAATGCACGACCTAGCATCACTAATTTTTAGAGGGTTTCCTGATGCCTACTCCGCATGACAAAAGCCCTCCCCGCGTAGCACAAACTCGACTCCTCTTGCTGGTCATGCAATACAGACTATTTTAGAGTCCAAAGTTAGCATCACAAGTTTTAACCTTCCAGACCCAGACACTTTTGCATTTGATAGTCCCACAAGCTCCCCCCGGTGATCAGCCACCTCCCGTTCGTCGCTTCCGTCGAAGCGTACCATACTCGCGGCGCCGGGATGTCTCCGGCCTGCTGTTCCTTCTTCCATTGCTTCGTCAACAGGTTGAAGCTCCACAGGTCGTTCCTGCACCCGTTGTCGCGCGTGAGAGTTCCGTCTGCCTGGGCAATTCTGTTGTTCCCGATTGTCAGCTCGCGTCCGCCGAAAATGAAAAATTTGTCCCGGAACACCGTCCCACGCTGGCCTTGCCGCGGCTTCGGGAAATCTTCGCCCGGAATGCCCTGCGGCTGACACGGGCTGAGGTTCGGCTGGAACGACACGGACCCGCTGCCATTCGCCCTCCGGAGGGCAGCTTGCTCTGCAGAAGTTGCACCAGAGCGAGCATTGCGGTTAATGCCAGTAAAAGCTGGTTGGTTGTTCACCTCCGTGGTTGTAATTCCCCATAATCTCTCCCATCTTTTTTCCCGAATATCGAACACGCTGACGCAGTTGTTGATCTTCGATTGGTCAATCGGACTGCCGCCGCCGATATCAAATGCAAAAATGTCTGGGTCTGGAAGAATGCATGTTTGTCATGCTTGTCTGGCAGGACTCTTAAATCTGTCATGAACGTTGCCCAACAAGAGCCCCGCTTTTCTGTCATGCAGAAACGCAGTCTGTCATGCAGAATAGGCAACACCTAGAGGCTCCAAAACTTGTCATGCTGGGCCAGCACTTGTGGCCTCCTGATGATACGCCACCCAGCATCACAAATTTCCCGACCCAGACATATTTGCATTTGATAGCCGAAAAACACCACCTTCCCGCGCCACACGCTGCTGGCCGCGCCCATGATCTGTGGGTGGGGCGTGCCGTGGAGAAACTGGTCCGTGGCAGGGTCTTTCAAACCGTAGTTGACCGTCTCGACCACTTTGACCGGGGTTTGCTTCACGTCAATCTCGTACACGAACGGCAGCTATGGATTGCAACAGTGTCTGAGTCTGGAAGATTCTAATCTTGTAATGCTGTCTCTGGATTCTAAAAAAATGCGTATTGCATGACCAGCAAGAGCACTCCAGTTTGTGCTATGCGGAGAGGGCATTTCTCATGCCGTAGAGGCATCGCAAAGTAGTCCTCTAAAAATATGTGATGCTAGGGCATGCATCACAGACATCATTGGTCATGCAAAATATGCATGACAAACCTGGCAATCTTCCAGACCCAGACATTTGCATTGGATAGCAGCTCCTTGGGCGTCGCGCCCCCGATCCGGTCCGCGTAGTAATTTCCGGCGAAGGCCTATTACCGTGAAAAATGCCCCCACCCCCAAAGTTGCAATAATTTGTGATGCTACGTTTCCAAATGAAAACTTTTTGTCATGCATGAAAGGAGTGTGAATCTTTGTGATGCAGGGTCTAGGCGTATATAGCATTGCTTGCATGACAAGCGCCGCTCTTGCTGGGATCTGTCGCAATACACATCTTCGCTATTCACGATTGGAGATCTGTGATGCTGCTAGATGCAAGAGGGCGAGTGTTTCTGTCGGAAAGGTTTGCAATGCAAATGCTCCCAAGTTCGGAGGTGGGGGCGTTTTTCATTGTGATAAGGCCAGCAACCGCGTGCCCCCGAGCCAGTGCAAGTGTGGTGCGTGGCCCGCGAAAAAATCCTTGGCGGCGCCCGTCTCGAAGTCGTCAATGCCCGTTGGCTGCAGAAGCTCCTCGCGCATGCGGATCCTCGGCGGGGGTTGGACTGCTCGTTCTGCAAAGCGTGCACTTGATGTAGTCTTGCGATTAGTTTCATGATCGCCCCGTCCTCCGTGTTGGTCTGTGATTCCACCTTGCTCCATGATGTTGGAATTATCTCTTGCACCAAAGTTAGAAGACGACGACGATGAGCCACCTCCTGTGGCGCCTATATATGATGAACCTGGATTGTTGTTGTGGATATCCGCACTGGCATTTTGCGCACGATCCGCCTTCTGTACAAAACTGGAAGCTTGTTCAGCTAGGTTGGCGTCCTGATCCTGTGTAAAAACTGCGCCATTTATCTTTCGGGTCGACGAAGAGGACGCAGATCCACCTCCGACTTGCGGGCCGACGTGGTTTATCGCCGGAGCAGAAGACAAATCCTCCTTGGTCGCGTCAACATCATCCGCTAGGTGTTTTGGGCGTTTGGACGCCGGCTGCTGCTGCAGTTGTACCTGGCTCGACACCCTGCCTTCCCCTGGCGCGAAAGCGAACCCCAACCCGGAGCTCGAACTACTAGACGCGTCGCTGCGCGCCGTCAACATCGACGAAGCGGCGGATGAACTACCGCTACCTGATATCCAAGAACAAAACTGTGTAAGTGTAACTTTGTGTTGCAGAAAATGCAAAACTGTTACACTTGTCATGCTGGACATGCATCATAGGCTCTTTTCGTACGTGTTTTCAAGTACTAGCTATGCATGACAGGTTTTCTGTTTCATGCAGAGCAAACTTGTGATGCTATTCCACCAAGAAACTTACACTTACACAGTTTTTTTCTTGCATACCTGAGGGTCTGGAGCCGATATCCCGCTGGTTCTTATCGTTCAAGCTTGCGTCCGCTTCCTCCAAATCGGCAACAATTTCGGCGATGTACGCCGGATCGTAAGCTGGAGACGAGGAGGTTCCTTCTCCTCCAGCAGTAAAGCCTACGCCTTCTGTACTACTGCTATGATGTTCTTTTATTTTCCCGCGTAGCAGTTCTGTTCCCTGGTTCGAGTCAGATTTTGGGGGCCCGTTTCGCAGCAGCTCTTCGATGCGCGAATCTAACGTCGGACGTGGTGGCTCTTGCGCATGCGCGGCTTGTTGCCCACCGTTTATTGCCTTCATCTGGTTTGGTTCTAGTTGTCCTGCCGCGAACAAGTTGGTAGAATTTACATCACTTTCATCTCGAATGCCACTTCGCGCCGTCGCCCCGGAAGTAGCCGCCGTTGACGCCATAAGCCGGAGTAGTTCGACGCCTTTGGTGCTCGTGAGAAGCTTGGCATTTGACATGAGCACCACCTTTTGCCAATTGGAAATGATGCTTTCCGCGCCGTTCTGGTGGTCATGTTGCAGCTGCGCCGTCGGGGAATCGATCGCGCCCACGAAAATCTCAAACCCCTTGTTGAAGGAGGATTTTACTTGCACGCTAGCGACCATCTGCCAGACGAAGGGCTCGTTCAGAATCAAATTGTTCAAAATCTTGCACGTCTTGGCCAATTGCCCGATCTCCTTGATATTCAAAAAAAGAATGATGTACTCCACCCACACCTGGTCGGGAAGCAAATCGACTACACTGAGAGGAGGAGCAAGAACACCAGGCTGCATGGCTGAAGACGAGGACGAAGCAGCAAGAACCCCAGCAGCAGCTACCCGCTCCTGCTGCCCGTGCACGACGTCCTGGCCTCCCGCAGTTGTAGAAGAGGTTGCTCCGCCGGAGGTGGACACGAAGGGCTGCGGGGGAAAGAGGGAAGAGGACGACGCCATGTTGATGCTTGCGGAAGAACGGAGACTCGCGTACAGGTTCCTTGGGGACTGAAAACTACGGTGCGACTTGTGGAATGATCTGCGAAGGCTGGACGGGGACGAGCGAAGCAGGTTTTTGAAAAATATCTACATCTTTACCCAGGTTGTTACTACCTACAACAGGCTTGTAGTGCGGATCAAGAAAGGGTTGTATCGATACAACTTCTAACAGCGAATTTTATAAGGTTCCAGGGTCAATACGAGGCGACCAATACGAGCAATCGGAGCAATACGAATCGCATACGAGCGCGGTCGGCGGCTCCTGCGGCCTCCCCATCGCCGATACATCCCGCCCATGCTTCCATTTGAAAATGTGCGGGCCCGCGCCTGGTGCTGCGATCTTCCTAGGGCCCTCCCCTCTAAGATCGATGACACAATACGAGCGCGCAGCATGATGCGCGGTCTGGTCCTCGTCCCCTCTGGTGACCGGGAAAACTATCTAAACCTCGAGACGGAGGCTCCCCTACTTCTAACTGAGCCTTTTACTGGTCTGAGTCTACTGACTACCCCATCTAGAACGCAGGGCCACCTACATACGGTTTCATGGGTGTAGTAGCATCCCCGCTCTGCAGCGGCAGCCCCCGCCCAAAACAGTCCTACTACGGCTGTGGCTGGCGCATGCCACGCAGGCCCAAGCATGGAACCAGCTCGGGCGCCGGTGAATAGCGGCGATTCTTGACTCTGCCCGGCCCCTGGAACTCATGCGGCAAAGCATATGAGCCAGGGGCACAAAAGGAACGGCGCCGCTTTACGGGCGTATTTGAGAGCAGTGGCGTCGCCAACACGTGCTCAGCAGTTCTCATCTATTCGCTTTTATTTACCAAAAGGAAAAGCCGCGCCACAAGAGCGACGCCGAGCTTTTTTTTGAAGTGGCGCGGCAGCTTTTTAAAGTTCCAAAGCAGCGCGCCTTCGTGTTTTCCGACGGGATCGCGGAACTCAGGTTGTTACTACCTACAACAGGCTTGTAGTGCGGATCAAGAAAGGGCTGTATCGATACAACTTCTGTTTGTTTGTTTGTTGCGAGTGGTCACATGGAACCGGTTGAAAGTTGTTCTTTCTTCTCATGTGTCTAGCGCTATTTCAATAAAAAGCACAACGTGACGGAGCTGCTTTGGCACCCGTCTTAGAAAAACTGACTTCTGCTGAGAGCCTTAAACTCCAAGAAAAACTAAAACAGAGGAAGGCTCGCGAAAAGGGAAAAAATACATAGAAGTGGTCGTAACTAAAAAGCGTGTTTTTGAGAAAAGTTGTTTCTGTGAAAAGGGAGCCGTAAACTAAAGTCTTTTTGTTGTCGAAAAGGTCGTTTGAAGTGTTTCTGTTGAAAAGTTAAAAAGTCTGTTCTGTCGTACAAGAAGTCTGCTGAAAATGCGTAGGTTGTGGTGACACTGCTTCTGTTGTGAGTAAAATGTTGAAGCTTCTAAAAGTCTGTAAAATGATCGAGAGGTTGTTGAACTGAAAAGTCTAACAATTCTGCTGCGACGAGCAGAAGGAACTTCTTCTTGTTTTTTATTTTTTCCTTTTAGCCTTTTACGCTTTGCTACCACCTAGCTATGCTGCAGATCTTGCTCGGTCTGCCTTACGCATTTTTGTAAAGCGTCTGCGTTTAAAATTAAATTTTGATAAATAGTTGATTGCGAACGTTGACTCTGGACGCTGTTGGAGCTGCTGTGTGCTACTCTTCGCGACTTGTGCGCGCCCCAAGGATAACCTCCCCCGCGTCGTTGCTGTCCGAGGCCCAGCCGTCCGCAGGGTTACCGTCTAGACCAGTCCACGCCCCACCATGTGTCGTCTTGCTTAGGTTAATATCACTGCACTCCCAGCCCTATCAACTTGATAGACTATGCGGCCGGGCGCAGATCACTGATTTTGGTGGCAATACGGATAGGCTACATGTGCAGCAGGCTTGGTTGTGGGTGGTCGTCGGGCTGCGTGCTTTTTCGCCGCGCCAGGGCGTGTCACCTCACTCCATCACCCTTCGTAGTTCGCGTCTGATATCACTGCGGCTCTGACCCTAGCCGGGTCGTCGATCCGACTAGACTATGGCGGCCGGGCGCAGATCACCTACTTTCGAGACGTTTTCGTCGTGTGGGCTGGGTGCGTACTTTCACCCCCTGTGGTGCGCGGGCTTCGTGTTGTGTTTGGTTGGTTCCTGGCTACGCAGCGTAGTAGCTGCCTGGGTCGCTCGCCCACCATAGGTGGCGGACTGCGGGGAAAGATCCGATCAGTGGCGCCAGTAGTGTATTGGCCTCCAGTAGCGCGCTGGCCGTCTGGTTGGGCTTGGCTTTACAGTCGTCGGTCGTCTCGACCCCCCACCTACAACAGGCTTGTAGTGCGGATCAAGAAAGGATTGTATCGATACAACTTCTAATTTCGTCGATATTACTGGTTTGTACCAGCAACAAAACGCGACGACGCTACATTGTGTTGCTTAATTAATATCTGGGTAGAAAAATTCCCGTTGTCGCTGTCGCTGTGCTATGTTGCGCTTTCCATTGTTGTTTTAGAGCACCCTCACGAATCATGATTTGAGAAGATCGTCCAGCAATGCAAAAGCAAAAGCCTAGTAGAAAAGCTGCATCGTTCTTCTTCACACTTTGAATCTCTGATCCTTCAAAGAACAAGCAGAAAACGCGAAAGCTTCATCTAGTCCATGGCATGCGGTTTTAGTTTCATTCATCCACTTTGTCAGTTTTGAGATTGCTGCCCCCTCAAAAAAATGAATACAGTGATCTTCTCACGAGTTGTTTTTAAAGGCACTACTGCAGCGAAGCATGCAGACGCTACGAACGGCAGAACAAAAACAACAAAAACGGTGGGGCTCCTGTCTCGCTGGCCATGTGTACAGGTCGCCGACCTTCCTCGAAAAGAACACGCAGGCCACTAGTTGCAGGTGAACAAAGCTATACAGTACAATTTTTTTCTCGGCATAGGACAGGTAAGTATCAGCATCAAGGTTGGTAGTTGCTTGTTCTCGTCTTTCCGTCGAGTTTTTGCGTCCCTTGCTTTGAAGCGGGATCGGGAATGGGAGTTTCAGTTTTACCCTCATACATATGACACCCACCCCACGCAGCAAAACAGGACTAATTCAATTGCATCCCCTCGGCCTCGAACTCTGGAATGATAATTGCAACGTCATACATCGACCTGAATTTTGATTCGATACAGAAAAAGATGGGTCACCAGCTTCTTTATGACAAATGTGGCTCTGCAAAAGTCGAGAATAATCTACGTATCTGCCCGAAGAAAGAACGTCATTTCACTGCCGGGCTACGGCAATCTATGGGGCTGGAAATCAGGATATGGAAAGTGCTTTCTCGTTTTTTATCTTGATCTTCGACTGAAAACAAGAAAAGAGAATCTACAAGTGGTCCTGCTTTTACGTGTGATGAAAAGTGATGTATGCAGAACAAAAAAAAATAGTGTACCGTATCTGTGATTTTCGGGGCAACAAAAGCAAAACGTAAACGACAACCCAGTCCCAGCCAGTGGCTGAATATAAAAAGTAGTGCCAGCAAGTCCGCCTCGACCTGGGAAAAAAAACCTAGTTGCCGGAACCGGAATTTTCTTCGGGACACAGTTCGGTGGTTTTCGTGAAGTCTTCCGCACCGCGAAATTAGAACTCTTCCAGCACCGGGCACGCGTTGAAAAGAATGCAGTCGTACTTCCACGTGCAGGCAGTTTTTCCGGTTGTAAGCAACGCTGAGTTGGGGGACCACAATCCCGCAAACTCCCCGGTAGTAGCTTTAATCCATTCCACCTCCTCACAGTTTTTGTGGTCCTGGTTTTGCCAATCCGCTCCGGTGTCGTCGACCAACGTCCCCCCATGAATGGTGGTGTACCACGCAACGGCATCAAGAAAAAACAACGCGAGCACGGGAATGTAAATTTGGGCAACAGGACGAAGGGACGCTTGCCTTCTGTGCCCAGCACTGGTGAACCTCATCTTACTTACATCTATTTTCATGACCACCTAGTGTTTGATTCATCGCATGATTCTATTTGTAAATGAAGATGGCGCGATCGCCTTATCTACGCCACAAACATAGCAAAAGTTGCACCATACTCACCACGCTAATTTGCTTGTTGTTTTTTTCGATACCAGTTCGCGTCATTCTGGCAATCCGCCCGAGATTTATGCAACAAAAAAGGCCAATGCATCCGCTCCTCCGATAATCCCAAAAGTTTTTCTGTGTGAGTTCAACTTTAACTACCTTGAGACCCAGAAAATAAAATAGTACTGTAGCAGGAGAAAATCATATATAAGAAGTGGTCGCATCTTGCTTATACGTGATTTCATCCCGTGACGCAGCGGTTATAGATACTTCTGCAGATGATGATGAGGGGAACTTTGCAACAACCCGACGAATCTCATGCACATCACGCTGCAAAAGGATTTTTACCTCCTGAGAACATTGTAGTGAACGGAAAAATGGACTTTTTTTCCATAGCACAGGTCGGCTTTCCAGTACCAGTTGACGTTGCGATGCAATGCTTGCCAATCCAAAGGGGTAGTCCATGTAATCCCCGTGCCATTATATGGAGTTTTTCTGCTGCAAGTGTCGCCGTCTGCGAATGCGGGTAAGGGGGCGCTGGGTGCAATAGTCTCGCAGTACTGCCCAGCGGTCTGAATGCACAGTTTTCCCGTGTGCTCCTCGCTCGTACAGGTGGGCCCGGCTTCCGGTGGTGGCGTGCCGTCGACTGCCGCTGCCACGCACTTGTCGTCTTGGTCAAACTTGCACTTGTCGCCAGTGCCTTTGGTGCACTGCAGTTCGGCGGTCACCTCGGTAATGGTGTCGTCCACCGCAGCGCTGCAATCGTCGCGAATGGGACAGAAAAACCACATTGCGGGTGTCGAACTATCTATACGTAATATACACAAATTTTCAATATGAGCACAAACGCAGATATCTCTTAACTTGTATACGCGACAACGCTCTCTTTCGTGTGCTTTGATGTAGTTACATCGCAAAAGTTGCAGATTCTTGAATGAAAAATCCTCATCATGCTCTTCACTATCTATCATTCTCCGGCATCGTTGACTCTTGACCCTGCACCAGACACTAACAGGGACGCCGTTGCGTTGCATTCTGCATCAGCATCTGCTATACTTGCATAAGTACAAGTGCAATGCGGATTTCCATTTCACTTCCATACAGCACATGGCAGCGTGCTTCTCCACCGTCCACTCGTCCTGAGCATCCTGCTCGAACCGGGACCCGTAGGCGCAGTTCAGCGTGGCACCCTGGTCGTTGCACTCGCCCTCGTCCGTGATGGCGTCGCAAGACGCCGGCGCGGCCCACGCCACGCACTTGTTGTCGTTTGCAGGATCCACCATGCACTTCGGATCGGCGGTCTGGGCCTCGCACTCGTCCATGTCCGTGATCGCGTCGCAAGACAGGTTTTGACCTCCGGACGCGACCGTGGTTGTGGTGGTTGTTGTCACGTTCGAATTCGATCCTCCACCGACCACGACGGGCGCCGACGTCGTGACGGATTCGGAGATCGGCGCCGGTGTCGCGAGGTCAGCACAACCCACTTTCTCCTTCTTCGCGAAAAGCTTGTGCAAAAAGGCTGCAGGTTTCTTGATCTTGCTACTGCCCCCGGTCGTGCCAGCGGCCAGAACACCTTTATTTTTTCCGGTTGACCGGCGCCGCGGTCGTTCTAGCGTGGCGGAGGTCGAAGTCAAATGGACCGCATACGCAGAGGAAACCTCCTCTCCTGGATGCGCGGCGGAGAAGAGGAAGAACAAGGCCTTGTTAGAGATTCTACTTTGTCGCCCGTTGGCGGGGGTGAAGCGGTGCGACATGATGTATGTTGTTGAGGGTGACTTGTTGAAAAAGAGGAATATACGCAGAAGATTTTTTTCTAAAGTGGAGAAAAGTTGTAGTGTTCTTCTTGTTATTTCCGTGTGTGCCGGAGTAGAAGCTGTTCAAGAAAACGGAGCAAAAATAACGGGCTGGAAACGTCGCTGGGAAGAGGAGAAAATGCAGCAGGGATTGAAGCCGCCGTCTGTGCCAGGGCACGAAAAGTCTTCGCTCTGGGGCCCATCCTTCTTGCAAGAGTAATGTCCACCCTCCTCCGGCTCATCCTTGTTTTTCCCGCCGGAACAGCACGAGTTGTCCGTTCCGTCTCCCGGGCAGCAGTAGTCCTCCGCGTTCGGTTTGTCCCACGACGGGTCTGCCGCGGTCGCGTGCCACGGTCCGTTCCAAAAGCATTGCGGGTAACGCGGGTTGCCATTCTCGTCCTTGGCGCCACACTTCGCTTCCGGGGGGGCGTAGTAGGAGTACTAGTTGAAGTTTCAGCAGCAACTGGCGCTGGAGTCTGCCCCTGCGAGCCACCGATGTTCGCACCCGTGCCTGGAGGCTCCACCCCCGGGCCACCGCCGGTCGCACCCGTGCCATCATCGGCTGCTGTTTTCTCCGCAGCCGCGTCATCTGCGGGAGAATCCCCGGCTCCCCCGCCCCCATCGGGGGAACCTGCGGGCACGGACCCGTCCGTGGACGCAACGTACAACTGCGCCCCGCAGAGGCTCAGCGCGTCATGCTTATGGAAATGTCAGAATCGAAATCGACAAAATCGAAAAACTTGAGATGCACAAAAGCGATGTCAGTTGGAGCCTCAGTTTCCAAGTGGCGCATGACAAATTTCGGACCCACCCACATCCAGTCTGTCATGCTGTTTGGGCAAAGCAGACTGCTGCTGTCATGCCCATCTGGCAGCGCATTGCATACCCCGAAACAGGCTTGCTATCGGTTTCATTTGCCTGCTTCCCAATACTGGCCTTCAGTGCCCTACATTTTATGCATCACAAATTTTTCGACTTTGTCGATTTCGATCCTGACACATCCATAATGCTCTTTCGCTGAGTACAGGTCGTTTTTGTCGCCGCGGTACAGAGGCGCCACCACGTAAATCCGCTGCACCGGGTGCTTCAGCTTGCTATCAAATGCAAAAGTGTCTGGGTCTGGAAGAATGCAAGGTTTGTGTTTGTCATGCGCATTTTGCATGACTCCTGATGTCTGTGATGCATGCCCTAGCGTCGCAGATTTTGTGAGGGCTTCCTGATGCCTATACCGCATGAGAAATGCCCGCCCGCCGTGGCAAAAACTGGATCTCTTTTGCTGTTCGTGCAATACAGATTTTTGTACCAACCAGATGCAGCATCACAAGCTGCATTCTTCCAGACCCAGACATTTTTGCAATCCATACTTGCCATCGCTCAGCGGGATCGAGGTGCCGCCTTGGCTTCCCGGCAGCACCTCCCCGAGTTGGACGTAATCCACACCCTTTTTGTAGTTTCCTTTGATCTTAGGATCCGCCAGCATGTCGTAGAACTTTTTCCCGATGGCCGCGTTGTTTGTTTTGCAAACGCTGTTGTCCGCGTACCACTTTGGCCCGCCCGGGAGTGTGACGTTCAGGGTGGAATCGATAGCAAGATTGTAGTCAATTTCGAAGGGTTTCGGGTTCTTGGGGTCATTTTCCTTGGGCATCTCCCTGCGTCCGTTCTGCTTCGGGATTTTTTCCTCGTCACAGTCTTCGTTCAATGATGTGCCCCCAAGATCGGGATCCAGCCAGACCGTGGCGCCGTTCAGTCTTTCCGGCCACTCCTTCGCGCCGTCGTCCCGATTGTACAGAACCAGGTTGAGTGCCGCCGGGGTCCTGTGCCCTGGCTAAAAGCGCCGCCGGGGTGATTATGCACCACATTTTCTGCGTCCCCTCCCGGAACCGGTCGGGTTATCAAAATCAAAAATCCCCCCTCCCCATATTCAAAACGACGGGTCTGATGTTGTCGGAACTGCGTACACAAATAAGGGATCGCTGCTGGACGATTCTACTCAGTCTGCGCAGGGGAGTTCGAGTCTAATTGCTTCGCATGTTGGTACTAGTAAACGGCTGCCCTGTAGTACTAGCCCCAACGGCATGAAGATAAATCGCTTCCATAATGGGGCGGAAACCCCTGCTCTTGCCTTCTTGCTGATTTGTGGCCACAGATCAGCATCACAAATTTCCATTTTGAGCACTCATGGGACGAAGGGGGAACTTTTCCTCATGGCACGAGTGCGGCCTTCCCGCCGTCCTCCTTGCCGCGCACGGCGTCCGGGAAAGGCAGTTCGAAATATCACGCGAAAAAAATGACTTCCAGCACTGTGACGCATTTAGTGCAGCAGGATCTACTGCGTCACAAGGTTGTCGTAGCACATGACGAAAGGTTGTCGTAGTCCGCCCGGACGACCCCAGGTTTTTCCGGGATCGCCTCGTCGGCCACCGACTGCGCCACCAAAACGCAGCCAAAGTCCGTCGGGTGCCACGCTCGCAGCAGGCACAGGTCCCGCGGCTGCACAAACAGCGCGCCCTTGTACGCCAAGTGAGCCAGATCGCACCCGGCTGCTTGCGTTGATGTTCTTGTTCCGCGTGTAAGAACTACTGCGTCGTTGTCTACTGTGGTCGACTGTTCTTCACCATCATCTCCGTCTGCTGCCCCTTCGTACTGTACGTGAATCCTGCCGTACTCCATCTGCGAATCCCAGAGTTTTCGGCGCTCCAAGTCGACGATCAGACCCAGGATCTCCGCCGGCTCCGTTTCGGGAAACACCAACCGCCCACGCACCGCGATGATGTCGTCCCCTACGTATTTCTGGCCGACGTACCGCGCGATCTCGAGTTTTTCGGCGGAAATCTTATTCATCGACGGCTTGGCGCCCCCACTCGAGGAAGAACTAGCTTGTTTTTCGCCACTCTGGAGTACCATCCAGTCATCATAGGATTCCGCTTGTTTCTCCAGTATCCTGTGCAAAAGTATCGCAATCGCACTTGTATAAATGCTGGTCTTGCATTACAAGTTTCTTTGTCAAGGCAAATCAGCATTACAAATTTTATTTCTCATGCTGAGAAAATTTGTATATGCATTTATACACGATACTTTTGCAGTTCATATCCAGAAAATCCATCCAGCCAATCCATGGCACCTCCTCATTCGTGCACCTCGTTCGGCCACTCCTTCGCGCCGTCGTCCCGATTGTACAGGACCAGGCGAGCAACGTCATGAGCCTTCTTATCCTCGAAGGCAACCTGCCACCAGTTGAGTCCGCGACCCGCCACGTAACCCGTGGCTTGCTGACCAGTTCGCTTGGAATCATCGTCCCAGGAGGTCAAATCCTCCACTGTCCTAGTACTACCATCGAGAGCTTTATTACAGTGAAAAATGCCAAAGTTGCACAAATTTGCTTAACTCTAGACTGCGCGGGCTGTAATTCTAATTCAAACCAATTTCAAACCAATTTCAAAATTCCAGCATTTTCATGCTGTGGCAACCCCGCGGGCCTCCGCGGTGTGCGATTTTTCATTGCATACAGCCCCACAAACTTGACTGCAACGGGAATGCCAAAAGCCCGCCAAAGAGCTGGCGGGCCTAACGACGGGCCGCCCGCGGCCATGAATGTCGGGGCCCGCGCGTCTGGTGTGGCCTTTCCACACGGGGCCCCACACTCGGAGCGGCGCCGGCCTTTGCAACGTGTGACAGTACGCGATGGGCCCGAGCGATTTACACTGGCGGAGCAAACCTCCCACACGCAGGGGCGCCACAATCAAATAATGGGCGCCGGGCGCCTGGCTGCCGCCCCGGTTTGGCAACCCCATACAGGCATAGACACTGCGCCATGGGAAGCAAGACACGGGGCGCCCACGCCCACCCCCGATCGGCACGGGCGATACGAATCGGGCAGGCGCGGCACCTCTCCCAAGAATACCGGCGCCGGCAGGTTGGTAGTGCCTGCGCCAAGGGCCCGGCGGCGCGGCTCGTTGGCAATCAGTGGGCTGCGGGGCTTCGCGGCAATCGGCATCGGCACGGGCGAAGAGCTGCACGCCCCTGCCCTTTGGACCGCTTCGCACACCGGTACGCGAGGCCCCACCGAATGGCCGACGGCTGCCCTTCGGAAATTCCGAAGCCCATCAATGCCCTTCGCTGATTTCAAAACGCCATCGGCCATCTCGCACGCTTTCAAAATCCCATCAAGCCTCCTGCGCAATTTCAAAACGTCATCAGGCATTTTGGCCAATTTCAAAACGTCATCAAGCATTTTGGCCAATTTCAAAACGTCATCAAGCATTTTGGCCAATTTCAAAACGTCATCAAGCATTTTGGCCAATTTCAAAACGTCATCAAGACGATATTCAAAATGCCGTCAGAATTCCGTCAGATTCCGTCAGAATTCCGTCAGAACCAAGCTACCCATCGGGGAACGGAATTCTGACAGAATTCTGATGGCGTTTTGAAATGCCTTGATGATATTATTTGGAATGTGCCCAAGCCCTATTTTTCTTTCTTTGCCCAGCGGGTGTCGCCGCCCGATGGAGTTTACTGAACCAGGGGCCCACCCCCTCCGGCTTTCCTCCTTGTCCTGTCGGGCGTCGCAAATTTGCTCCGAAGAGCGGCCACGCGCTGCAGGAAGGATGCCGCATGCTCCAGGCGGCCCTTCGCCTTCACGGCGCGACGTTGACTACGTAGCGCAGAGCCGCGAGGGAGACTATCCCCGCCGCGGCCCCGTCTGCGTCCTCTTCACGTCCGTCTCAGGTAGCCTCGCGACCTACGAGCAGGCGCGCGGACCACTGCAACACCAAGACGAGGAATTTTCCCCGGCAAGTCGCCCGCGCGCTGGTTCTTCCGAGCCCATCCCGAAGCCCGCCGCGCTTGCTTCCCTCGGCGATGCTGCCCTCCGGGCGCAACATCTGCTTTTGACGGTCGCAGGGCGCTTTTTGGCTTGCCTTGCGACGAAAAAAGGGGCAGGGAAGGAACCCATGCAACAGACTGCGGCGCTCGCAGGCCACCTAACGAAGCCGAGAAACCCAGCGTCACATGGACGCTGCGAGTCTATCCTGTGGCCGTTCGGATCGGAGTTACGACCCGCGGGCAATGTAGAGTTGGCCAACGACGAGAGCCGCCTTTCGGCCCAAGTATATTGCCACGCATTTCGGCGCGACCCAACGCACACAGTGGCGCACTAGCTTCTCCGCTGGATTCAGCCCGCAGCGGTCTGAACTGGGCGAAAAAGAAGCAAATGCGCCGAAACATCAAGACCAAACCGCAGCGCCTTCTAGCACGCAGGCCGCGCCATTGAAGTTTTGATTTTTGAAAAGCCCCACAGTTTGAAAGTAGTTTGAAATTGTTTTGAAATCATTTCTGGGCCGTGCGGTCCAGCGTTAAAAATTTGCGACGCGAAGTTTCCAAATGAAAACTTTTTGTCATGCATGAAAGGAGTATGAATCTTTCTGATTCAGGGTCGAGGCGTATATCGCATCGCTTGCATGACAAGCGCCGCTCTTGCTAGGATCTTTTGCAATACAAATTTTTGCTACTCACGAGTGGATTTCTGTGATGCTGATACATGCATAGAAGGCGAGTGTTTCATTTGGAAAGGTTTGCAATACAAATGTTTCCAAGTTCGGGGGTGGGGGCATTTTTCATTGTAATAATCTAGCTGCTCGACCCGGAGGTGGTGCACAGTCGGGCCCGTTATCATGCAGCCGCCATTCTTGGGCGGGCCGCCTCCGTAAAATTTCGTGGGGCCAGTGCCGTTGTAGGTCAGCGGGAGTGCGTCTCGCCGATCGTAGTAACCCTTGTAGTCTGGAAAAAGACTGGACTGCCGCGCTTGCAGTTGCTATCCTCTGCAAAAGTATTAATATCGCACGAGTTCGTAGAAGTAGGTACTTGCAGGAGTACAACACTAGCATGACAGCTTTGGCGTTGGTTTCCTAGTACATGTACAACTACCTGAGTCAGGATTATGAAACGTTCCATTTTTATTCTTTCGTTCTGAAAAAACTTGCAAAATGCAGCTTCTACGTGTACGTAGTACGATACTTTGGCAATGCATAGGTCCGCGACCGGCACGAGCTTTTCGGGAACGGTTTTGTCCTTGTTGGTGCCAACTGGCTTCTTATTAGTGCCTCCTGCGCCAACCGGAGAAGCAGGCTTTTTTTCGTCCTTGGGTTTTGACGCCCCCAGCAACGGGTCATCTTTCGGATTCCCGCCCTGAGCTTTGTCTTTAGATCCTATGGAAAAGCGCACTTGCGGCAAAATCTTTCAGTTTCACTCAAAATTTCTATTCACGTAAATACTATTTGCTTAATAGTTCTGCGTATACTTCTTCCTGTGCTTCCAGGAGAGGAGCGAGAGCAGAATCACATCATGATCATGATCATGCCAATAAGGGCGACGATAATAGAAAATAAGCCCCTGCTGCTGGCGTGACGAGAGGTTGAAGACACTGCAGCTGCAAGAAGATGAAAGGGACGACGTGTCACAAGTGCATTATTTCATGTGATAAGTCCGGCACCGCAATCGTCTGTTCCCCCGCCGGAATCGGGGTCATTGGCTCCATTTCCCCAATGCACCCTTCCTTCTTCTGCAGCAATGCGGTCTGTTTTGTTTTTTTTTGCTTCAATCAGATGGATGGAGGCCAAAAAAAGAGGGAAAAAAAAACGACCACAGCTAGAGAAACAAAACGAAAACTAGACTCCAAAAGTAAGTAGTTAAAAACGCACACCAATTTCACCTTCGGAACCGCCTTGTCGCCCTTCTTGCGACCGCTTGTGGCCCCGATCACATCCCGTTTCCCCCCTCCCGGCTGCTGCTGGTATTGCTGCTGCGTCGTAGTACGGTGCGGGCCGCGCGAGGAGACAGCGTACCCATGGACCGGTAGGAGAAAAGGAGAGGACGAATCACTGGTCGTCGACAGGATGAGAGCGGCGGCGAGAGGAGACGCCGGCATGGTTCTTTTCGCGAAGAAGGTCATTTTCTTTTCAAGGACAGCGCCGGTAGTGCCTTTTGGTTTTGTGTGCTTGTTCTAGTCGTGCATCAAATAACGAACTGTGTGTAAGTATAGTATACTTTTGACAGCAAAGGGGTGCCTGCGCTTGAATGTGCAACTACTACAGGCTTGTTTTCTACTAGATGGGAAATACTTCCAGGTGGAGATAAATCTGATTTTTATTTGCTGGTGATGTTTATTCAAGTTCATTGCGGCGTCGTCCTTGGCCGAAGATTCCCGCGGTCTTATTTTCCTCGCTATTCAAAACTCACTTCGGTTTATAAAGTCTTCGCCTTTTTCTATGCCGGGGGACGAACGAACAACGAAAACGAGGTTGCACGAGTGGTAGGTACGATGTTGAAGAGAAACGAAAAATCGTCGTGAGTTGCCAGGCATGAAGGTGTAGTAGAGAGAAAATCTCTACTTCTTCAGCCGGCACTTTGACTTTCTACTTGCACCGAATGTTTACAACCATTGTCTATTCCAGACGAACAGAAGCTAGAACTTTTTCGTGCATGCAGCGGACGAGAAGATAGACGGGCATAAGTACAACTTGTGAAGAACATACACTTTCTTGCGAGAAAACCGAAGCAAACGACCTGGTGCAAACCAAAAACGAGCACGTCAACCTTCGAGGACGAAGAGAACGAACCGAAAGGATGGGTCTTTGTGCTGCATGACAAAGAACTACTGATATCACCGAAATCGCATGATGAAAAGGTGCCAACTTCGACAACCTAAGCAACTCTCCAAAAAGCAGAGAGTTTAGTCCCTTTTGTGCGTCGTATATTAGTTGATACAAGAGTTGATCTCTTTGACAAGTGACCCAGAAAAATGGCAGTAGTTTTCGCTGCGAATAAAGCAAGCAAATCAACAGCATATCGTAGTGCGATGAAGGCCCAAATAGTATTCATAAATAAAAAGTCGAGAGTTAGTGTGTATTGTGCATCGTCTCTAAGCCAACGATGAACAAAACAGAATACGGAAACTAGGTTTCGTAATGCTCCAATGTGGCGCGGACTTTGCAAGTGTTGTCCTTCCATGTGCTATCCTGAGAAATTGTAGCCTCCCCCCACTACTTTTATACGATATTCATCTGCACCTCGAGGACGAGAGGAAACTTCATTTGTGGAAACAGTACAAAAACCTTGAAGGGCACCCTTGGAAGGTCCTTCCAATGCATGGCCCCCTTCGTCCCTGTGCATACCAAATACTTAAATTGTACCACGACTGTGACTCGGAAAAGTTGTTAGCTAAGGCGCGCGCGCGCGCGCTAAGTTGTAAACAAGTTTAGAGCATGCTATGTATGGTATGAAGACAGGAGGGGGAGGCTCGTGGTGCACCGAGGATACTGGCATGATGAAAGCGCGTCGCGTGAAGATACTTTCACGCCGATCCGGATCCCCAATCTCTCGCATTCGTCCTTCGATTTCATCTTCGAGCAATCCATGCAAGAAAAAGATGTTGCACCCAGCAGTTCGGCATCGTAGATTTGCCGCACCCAATCCGGCGTCGAGGATGTTGCCGATCCCTCTCGAAGATTTTCATATATTTTTGTGCCGGTGGGAATAATTTTACTTCCCCAGGCACAGTGCTTCCAGTCACGGATCCAATACCCTTCCGTCCCCTCGCAACTTTCCAATGAACTGCGGATCTCACAACTGCAACAGGGATGGAAGCCGCCGTCGGTCCCCGGGCAAGTAAAATCGTTTTGATTTTCCACTTCCTCGCAATCCGGGAGGTGCTTCCTTGCTTTCGCCCCCTCACAGCAATCCTGGTCGAAGATGGCACCTGTTGTAGCATCTTCACCGCCGGACGGTGCGCCTTGCTTCGGGCAGCAGACGGCGTCTTTGGCCGGTCTCGCCCAGTTGCCCAGATGAAGCTTGCTGCTGTCGCCATCTTGTTCACCAGCAGAAACCGGCTGCACCGACTCAATGTAGGGCCACGGCCCGGCGAAAAAGCATTGCGGGTAAAGCGGTCGTGGGACACCATTCATTGTCGTCTTCCTCCGTCGCGCCACACAACGTCTTCGGGTCCGCAACTTCAACTTCTGATTCTGTGCGAGCATGATTGTTTATTTTGTCCTCTTGTTGAGCAGGAGTCTTCGGCTGGGTCGCGCCTGTGGACGAGTCTTCCTCTTTGGGTGATTTTTCTTCTCCGACCGACTTGCCCGATCCGGCTCCCGACGCCTGCAACATTTCATCATCCCCTTGGCTTGGGCTTGTTGCCCCCGGCGCCGGCACCCGAATCTTGTCCTGTGTAACGGTGGTCCGTGGTGGGCTTGTGGGCTCAGGCTCAATGCACCCTTCCTTCTTCTCCAGCAACGCAGTCTTCCCCGTCGGCTCCTGGTCGAGCTTCTTGTTACGGCCGCTTGTGGTCCTGATCGCATTTTTTTTCGTCATCTGCAGCCCCGGCTGCCGCTGCTGCTGCGTCGCGGCGATTTGCGAGCTGCGCGAGGAGAGTGCGTACCCCTTGACTGGCAGGAAAAAAGACGAAGAAAAATCACAAGTCGTCGACAATAACACTGCCGACAACCACATCGGCAGAGAGCAAAATTTGATGCAGTTGAGCGTCATCTTTTCTTCCTACGGTGCTAGTGAAAGGGCGCAGGAATTCCGACTAGCAGGAAAACAAGCGCAGCTACAGTCGACTTTCTTCTGTGGCAGTTGTAGAAGGAGCACCTATACGAGTTTATCTTTGTTTTCTTGACCTGAGGCCTTGCCCAAGACTTGTTTGCCTTTTGCGTGCTACTACAAGTCGATGATGTTATTCGACGCGAGTTCTGAGATTGTTTGAACTGTCTAGGGGGTCCAGAAGATTTGCTGTCGGCATTGTACGTAAATTTGTTTCATGCTGGTGTAGCTACGGAAAAATGATTCCGTCCTTCCGTTCTTCGGTTTTACGTTTAGGTCTAGGAACGCAAGATTGGTATTTTTCACTTTTTGTAGACAAGTCAAGAGCGGTCAACAAGAAGCAACTCGTAAGAAAAGACGCAGACGAATTCCAACACAAAGAGAACGAGCAGATAGAAATGCGTGCGATAAGGTAAGGCGGACGAGGACACTTACCTATACCGAAGGACGACCATCTCTTCATCACACGCGCTGACTTCTTTGACTGCACGAATTCATCGGTTTTATTTCGGTACGAAGCATCAGCAGGACAACCAGCACGAATGGAGGACCGATTTTCTTTGGCTTTTCTCCTACAAATGCACGAAGCCGAGAAGTTTCTACTTATTTATTCGGACAGGATTTGTGTTGGAAACAAACGACATCTTTCGTTACTTCTCCGGGGAGTAGCTAGTAGTTCTTGATCTTTGTCAGCTGCGCGCCAAACACTACAGAAGCAGCAGCGAAGATGCGGCGTTTCTTGCTGAACAAGCAACTCGCTGCCTCGCACCAAGCTTACGAACCGTCACTATACCTGCTTAGACTGCCTAGTCTTATCTCAACAAAAAAACTGGCGGTAGCAGAAGTGCCCTGAACTGTAGAAACAGAAACGACCTTCATCCAGGTGACGTGATATTCTCCATGATCTCAAGTTCGAGACATAGGACATTAAGCGTGAAACAAACGTTGGCGTTGCTGCATTTTGAATTATTTCGAAGTTCTACTGTCAACTGCATGTAGATGAGTTTACAACAAACTTTCAGTGTAGCATTTGAGCTTCGCTCCTGCAGCGCAGGGGAGTAAAATTATGAAATCGGTAATATCGATCCCCGCTTCTCAGCTTTCGCAGTCGACCACGTCCAGCGTGGTCAGCGTCCCTGTGCATATGGCGTTCTCAACTGTTACATTCTCAACTGTTACATGGATTTGGATTTGTGATGCAAGAATTGCAAAAGTGATAGGTGGGAGATTGCGCCTGTAGCATTACAGATTCCGCACAGATTTAGGTGCTGTTTAGCCCTAGGCAAATTTGTCATGCGAAGCAGCTTGATCGCGTGGATGATGATGGTGCTTTTGCATGCCAAATTCATGTAGCAGATGAGAATGTAACGTTTAAGAACCCCATAGTGCACTCCGCGAACTTGCACCCCGGACAGATGAGCCCGACCGTGCACTTTTGGACTTCCGCATTTTCCTCGTCGCAGGCAACGTAGTTGTGCGTCACCGGGTTGTGTTCCTTGGATTCCGGGACGCCAGTGGTTACATTCCCGGAGAACTCCTTGTAGTTCAGACGACCATTGTCCACTCTCCCCTGCTGCGTCATCTTGTCGCAAATCCACTTCACTTCCTTCATATGCATTGCAAAAGTACCGTGCTAGTACACCTAATTTCACCATGACAATTTTTTTCAACAGAAGCAATATGTCATGCCGATTCGCGTAAAGAAAGTAAAGTACTTTTGTCATGCGTGATTGCAAGTAGTAGCACGACTACGATATAAGATTTTGCATTGGATAGTTCATGTAGGGGTAGCTGTCGGGGACCACACGGATTTCGACGCCTTGGTCCATGGTACCAAATTCTTGTATCACACAGACAAAAAGAAAACGTAGCAAGCAGTAAATCGCTACATTCGTCTTGCGCTATGATGTCGAGACAAAACTCCAAATTAGTACGTGACGACATGTACCAAGATTATGGGCCGCATCATCAAGATCAAGCCATGGGGTGCTATTGTCACACAGAGTTTGATGAAAAAGAACAAGAAGATTTATCTGTGCATGATTTTCACGAAAGAATACAATTCCGGCTCTCCTACTCTTTACGTCGTCTTTTTCTCTCTGGATATCCTGGCCGCAGCGCAAGTCCGGCCGCGTTCCTCGCTCACGCTGTTGCTCCCCGCGGCTTTTCTTCTTCGAAAACAAGCTCGCAAAAAACGCGTTCGCTTTGAAGGTTTGTGGTGTAAAGTGTTTGTCACTGTCTCTATTCAGAGAAGAAGTTTTGTCGAGCGACGAGACTCCTGCAGGGTTCTTCTTCTTGCTGATGATGTTACTACTGGAGTGGTTTTGGTCGTTGTTTCTGCTGTTTTTCGAACTTGCGCTAGTCATCCTTTTCGTTGTGTCTGACGTGGTTGTTTTTGTAATACGGTGCAGACGCTGCAGATCTTGTTCCTCTTCATTCTTACTTTGCTCGCTGTGAATGTAGTTCACCCACGAAGATGCCTTTCTTCCGACACTTCTCTTTGCTGCTCTTTTCTTCACCACCTTCAAGCCCGCCGCAAAAATCCTGATTCCACCTCCGCTTGAGGTGCCGAGCGACGGTGGAGTAGATGTTGAGCTTGTTCTTCTAGAACAGGAAACAACATTCGTAGTTTCTTGTGAAGACGACCTCCAGGACGAGAAAACGCCGGGATCTTCACTTGAAGTAAAACTTGCACTGTGGAGGAAAGACGAAAGCAGATAAGTGAAGGCAACATGAAGAAGGAAAATTTTCTGTAGTTGCTTTCGCCTGTTATTTCCAGCGCTACTCCTACTTCTAGTAGAGGGTGAAGAATCAACTGCGGCTGCAGGTCCTCCTACAGCCCTGGCGTGAGAGAAGAACCCGAGATTTTTACTGAGTCCACCGGAGGGATGAGAAGCATCAGGAAAAACCGATGTTGAAAGCAAACTGGTACAAGCACTGCCGCAGCGCCGCTTTGTCCTTGTAGTCACGACGCTCGTCCGGACGCGAGCTGCTGCTGAAGAAGTAGGAGGACCACTTGACATCTTCTTGGAACTCCTGTCCTTCCTCTGTCTTCAAAGCGAGTGAAGAATTATATTGGAGCTAGACTGATACATAGTTGTTGGCCTGCGAGGCCGCTCTGTGCTTGTGCTAGTACGATGCGACAAGCAAAGACGACAAATCGACGACATTGATGAAACGCTGAAACGCCAATCACGAGCAGGCTGCACTTTTTTGCTCATCTCACACCTGGTTCTTGTTGTGCGGACTCTCAGTCGCATATTCGATGTTCTTTTCACCCTTATTTCCCACAGATGATATTCTTTCGCCCTCCCCCCTGCTCTCAATTTTTTTTTCCTTTATTTTTTTTCTTCCTTGGAGCAGAAGAAGTTTAAAGTCGTATCTCGCAACTTGTCTCCACCGCATCTGGAGCGCAGGCAGTCCGCCCCGAAGCGAGCTACGCAGTTTGGGTTACGAACCTCAGTGCTGCAAGCACCCTCCGCGCAGCTGCGCTACGGCACCTACTTCGGCCTGTTCGTAATTTGCTCGATTTTCTTCAGTAGAGATTACAGTCATACTTCTTGAAAGTCAGTTGACGCAGCTTGATAAAAGCCGATCAGGCCCCGTGCAATGTTCTTTTAACAGCCGCTCCAATTGTACAAGAAAGTTCATTTTATTCTGCTCCTTCGGTTGTTATTCATTTTTTAAAAGCGTATTTATTTCATCCTGCATTCGATTGTTTCAAGGTTCAGTGATACTTCTTACTTCTGTAGCTGCTTCAAAAAAAAAAAAAGAGATGTAGTGGTCCTTATTATCATGCGTACGAGTGCCAGAGAAAATTTTCTAGTTCTCACAGTCCAAGATGTGGGTGAAGACGGTGTCGGTGTCGCTGCAAGCTGCTTCCGCACAGGCGCCACAGGTCGTACCCACTGTGCACGCTTGCACTGCCCTGTTCACGCCCTTGCAACCGATGTAGTTGTGCGTTATCCTGAGTAAAAACGTACCCACACCAGAGTTGTAATGCAGATTTGCAAAGACAGGAAGACTTGTAATGCGCACCCCCATGAGAGCCATTTCCAATCGTGTTTTGGAATTTGTGATACTGTGAACAGGATGAGCAGATGAATCTGTGATGCGGCTGCACTTGCTAACCAGCACTACACTGCGGGGTGCAATTTGTCATGCGTGACTCCCAAAACTCCTAGGTTTGTGCTGCAAAATCACCATCCTGACTGTGGTGTGGGGACGTTTTTACTCAGGATATGCGTGACCGCTTGTTCTGCTGTTGCCGGCGGTTTGCCGTCGAGTTTTAGCGGATTCCCGAGTTTGTAGTGCAAAAATCCGCCGGAGGCAACCCCTTGGCGCATTGTTATGCATTGCAAATATTTCAATATTACCACCGTGAATTAGTTTGGAAGGACGCTCGGGAGCAGGCATGTTGACAACTCTGTCATTCGTTCGGCCACAATTATAATGCAGGTGCACGTGTTTGCCATGCGAACAAGCTTCTGTCTGCCGTCAACACCTATGTTGCGAGCAAGGAGTGCATGGCAAGACAAACTTTAATTTTCCAGACGCAAAAATAGCAGATAAAAAACATATTTGCATTCGCATATCCGTCATTTTGTCGCAGATCCACATGATGTCATTTTGAATGGACAGGGTCACGGTGCCGCCGCACTGCGGCAGCGCGTCGCCGCCAGCGCCAGTACCTTGCTTTTCACGACGGAGGTGCAGGTCCTGTGACGTTGTGTGTTTTTTCGCATTGTTCAGCGTCATTTTGAAAGAAGTAGTGGAAGACCCTTGTTTCGTAGCAAGACCGGCTTGTTCCTTCTGCTGGGCTTCTTTTTTGGAATTGCTCAACGTCATCTTGAAAGCGGTAGAAGTAGAAGTTGATTTCGTTTTTGTAGAACCAGAGAGGAACTTGTGCTGCGCCAATTCCTGATCCTCCTCCTCCGCGTGTTTGTGCACCTCTTTCACCGACGAGTGACCGCTCTCAGAGGTGGAAGCTATCCTACTTCCAGACGATCCCGTGCCTTTTCTCGCATTCAACATGACTTGGAAAGAAGCAGAGGACGTTGTAGCGGCGGAAGTTGTAGATGAAGATTTTTCATCCTGCTCAAGAACTTCTACGCCAGTCTTTTTCGAAGGATCTATTTGGGTGACTTTGAAAGAAGTGGTTGTTGTTTCTTCAGGAGCTCTATCGAATGTAAAAATGTCTGGGTCTGGAAGAATGCAAGTAGTTTGTCATGCTTGTCTCGCATGACTCTGGTTCTGGAATCTGTCATATATGCGCAGGGCAGCAGCCTCTTACCTCTCACGCAAAAACGCAGTTTGTCATGCGGGAAGCGAAACACATAGGAGCTCAGAAACTTGTCATGCGTGGCTGCGTATCGCAGTGCGCCCACCATGCACAAACTAGCATTACAAGTTTCCAGACCCAGAGCCAGATATTTTTGCATTTGATAAGTTCCTTGGGACAGCTCATCATCGTCGTTGTGATGGTGGTGGTGGTGGTGATGATGGTGATGATGATGGTGGTGGTGAGGGTGACGATGGTGGTGATGACCTATGCATTTGTACAAAAGTATCGAGCTGGTATTTCAGAATCCTAAGCGACATACAAAATTTTCCCACGATGTGAAACAACATCTCCAACGGACGATGGCAAACTTGTCACACAGCCGTAGAAATGCAATCAGGACTAGCTCCTCTAGCACGAAGATATTTTTGCACTGAATATGACCATGGTGATGGTGATGATGGTGATGATGATCCTCATCCTCCTCCTCTTCGTCCTCCTCTTCATGCTCCATTTCGAGGTCATGTTGCTCCGCGGCCTCGTCCTGAGAAGTGGTCTTCACACGAGTCTCATCAAGCTGTTCCTTCTTGTGGTGCGCCAACAGCTCCTGGCTCTTTATTTTGTCGTCTTCCTGGGTAGTTTCGATTTCATTCTCCCGCGGCCCGTCATCGTCCCCCGGTGCGCTTTTTTTCGAATTCAGATTGATTTTCAGAGACAATGTTGACTTGTCCTGCCGTTTTTTATCGGAAGTAGCTTTCTTTCCCGAAGGAGCTGGCGTAATGTGCTGGTCGTGTTTTGTTTGTTGTAATTCCGTGGTGCTCTTTGAGTTGTAGTAGTGGTTCCCGACGAGGGGGGAGAAGGAGGCTCTACTTGTTCTTTCCGCGCCCCCATTAAAAGAACCTCTGGCAGCTGGTACAGCTCCCGCCGAACAAATTATCACCGGTAAAAGCGCGAAGAAGCGTGAACTACCCAAAAGCGAAAACCGACGCCCGGCCGAGTAAAAACATGACTCGGGCACGGTGCTGCGTGACATTTTCATGATCTTCTTTGCGCGTTATGTCTATCTCGTACTAGAATTAGAATTTCAATTTCAGGTTTTTATCTCTCACTCCCAACTGTTTGTGTTTTCTTCAGAAGCCCTATATTCGTTTGTTTCGATTTCGAATATGCGCGTTCCTCTCAAGCCGAAGCCGCGGCTCTCGTGTGAGAATGAAGTTTCCGCAGGCGTCTGAAAAGATCAGTGTTGAAGTACGTAAATCGCACTCGCGATACTAGGCTGTGTCTACTAAGCACTTCTTTTGTCCAACTCATTCAATGCCCCTCGTTTTCTGCTTTTCCCTCGCTATCACATTGCAAGCTAGTATCTCACGTATTTTCAGACCCCTGAAATATCCTGCTGTAGCAGTTAATTTTGCCCATAACTTTGCCCCTGCTCTTCGCACTCAAAAAAGAAACCCGCTCACTTTCCTTGACTTTCACTTTGGATGCCACGTTAAAGCAGCGAAGAGACGAGCATTTGAACAAAGTTAAAGCAGAAAGCAAAATTGGGAACAATCACAGACGTGGTCATGCGTCGTTTTTTAACGTTCTTCGTAACCCCCGCTCGATAACCACCGGCTTACCGAATAATCCATCACATATACGACCACCGCAACATCGTGCACAACAGTTCTGTCAAGAACTCAATTCCAAAGGAATAAAGAGGAGAAGCCGCAACGGCAACACCAACAGCGGGTCACATAACTGGGAGTTCTACTTCGATTTCAGACGAGTTTCAAAAGCGGTTGTTGAACTCCTTTTATTTTCTTTTCACCCTCACCTCCCTCCTTTCCAAAAAAGCCGCCAGCTCAAGCCTCTTCTTCGTCTTTTCCTTCCTGCAGTCGATGCGAACTAGCGTCGTCGCGGTGCCCCCAAGCGACTTACAGTACGCCTCCGGATCGGTGCATTCTGCGCACGTATCTGCTAAAGAGCAGCTTTGCATGCCCGCGCTATTTTCCTGCTCTCCTCCTCCGACGTGATGATCCTTATCACAGGATATGTACTTGTGCAACTTCCCCTCGTCGTACGAAGCCGCGACGATCGTCCCTCTTCCCGGCTTCGACCTGCGGCGCCGGCGTTGCGTGTCGCGGTGGGAGAGCTTTTCGTGGTAGTGCAGAACGCCCGTGGCAGCGTTGCAGATCCACTTTGTATCGTTCCGCTTTTGCAGCTCGAGCCCGCTCAGAGGGTAGCACTCCCAGTCCACTCTGGGATCGCGGCGCCGCTTATGTCTTGTTTTGCGGTGCTTTTTTTTATGTGGAACTACTGCTCCAGTCGAAGATTTGGTGAGACTCGACGTGCCGCCGTGCTGTTCCTTGTCGTGCAGTTCAGTTTCGGCTTGTTTGCGAGGAGCCGACGTTCGTCTTGCTTCTGCATCACCGCCTTCATCATCGGAATGAGTTGGATGTTCTTCCGCCGATATTTGTAGTCCGAGCGCAGCAGCACCGGTGGCTTCTGATGGCATAACCTCTTCGTCCTCCCCACTGTTCACGCGGCTGACTCCGCCTGCAGCATCGTGGGGAGTGCGTCGCGGCGCATGGTCCACTTGCTGATGCTGGCTGTGTGAAGTAGTAGCATCCTTGTTCTTCGCCACAGCTTCTTCCTCGAGAAACGCGACATTAGAGTTTCCGCCCCTCTCCTCCGAATCCGACACCGGGTTGACCTGCATGACAGGGGCTGGCTTCCCCACCCGACTGGCCTCCATTACTCCATTGACGCTGGCGACGCAAAAGGCAGCGGCCGTGGCGATTCTCATTTTATGATTTCTTGTGTCTGCTTCTAGTACTCAAGACGCAATATTACTTAGTCTCCAAGCAGCAGAAGCAATAGACCGTTGCAAGCCTTTAATCTTAATGTTTCACGACACGCCCTTGAATTAGGAAAAACACAGTCTCAAGACCAAGACCTCTCGTCGTGCCAGAATTGTGAAAAATGTCACTCACGCGACACTCAAACATTTGGCCTCCAGTAAAGACGGACCTCGTGTGGTGCATGAAGACGAGCTGCATTACCTGCAACTAAGAATTGCCGACCCACAACGTACCGGAGGTGTAGGTAGCTGCAAAAGTGCTCGTGCGAGAACACCTCTGTCGACATTTTCAAACGCATTCCCGCTGTAAAATTACACTTTCATCTTGACTTCCCATTCATGTTGTCGGAGTCGGTCCCCTATGGACTACATTATTTTGATTTTCTCCGTCTTTTGTTCGTAGGAAAATAACATGTTTTACGCAATGATAAACATTTTGAAACCTTCGAAAAAAAGTTAATGCTGGTGCATCAAAGCGGCCCTCCTGGGGAACGACTACTGGATTATCATGTGGTCGCGGTCGGTGTTAACCGATCATATACAAACACAACCATTTTCATCCACCAACACCACCATCTCCCCATCAATGTCTACTAAGTACTCCGCACACAAATCCCGCTCCGTGCCACCGTCCTGTCCGTTCACGGATTAGGACTGCAGTCTGCAGTCGCGAGGGTCGTGCTGCTGGCGTCCGGACAGCCGTCCGCGCCGCTCAAGGCGGTAATGCAGGCCGTGTTGCTGGCGCCCACCTCCCCGCTCTCGATGGCTGCGTTCGACACGGTGCAAGCGACGTAGGTGTGCTTTCCCGAATTCGCCGGCGGAGTGGCCGGGGCCGCGCTTGCGGCTCCCTCCTTGTAGTGCAGCCAGCCCTGCACGGTCCCGCCCCCGCGGTCGATCACATCGCAGATCCATTTCACGCCACTGGCAGGCGTCAATGCGAGGCTCTCGCCGCACTGCACGACGGGGGGAGGGGGGGGTTCTGTGTCTTTCTCACCCTCCTGCACGGACAGGGCAGATATCTTCGTGTCCTCCTGGACGATCACCCGGTCTTCGCGGAGCAGCTTGTTGTATCAAGTGGAGAAATGTCTGGGTCTGGAAGAATGCGAACTTGTCATGCAGATTTTACATGGCCCGTGACGTCTGTGATGTATTCCCTGGCATCACAGATTTTCTGAGTGCTTCTTGATGCCTATTCCGCATGACAAATGGCCTCCCCGCGTAGCAGAAACTGGACTCCTCTTGCTGGTCATGCAAAACAGATTTCTCTAGAGTCCAAAATTAGCATCACAGGTTGCATCCTTCCAGACCCAGACATTTTTACAATCCATATGTTGTTGTGCCGCATCAAATTATGCCCGCGAACGGCAATGCCGGAAATTGATAACAGGGTTGCTGCGGCGAAGACTGCTCGGTGGAACATTTTTTTTCTGTGCTGGTGCAATTAGGTGGTGTACTATGCTCTCTTTGGTTTCCGGCTAGAGTATTCAAAGAACGACACACGACATATTGATATTCCGTGTCAGAAAAGCAGTACTGAGGTTTCAGAGGGATAGTTTAGACGTACTCGTGTGATGAGAAGCTTCTCCTGGCTAAACAAGGCCCCGAAAGCAGCTGCAGATTGATGAATCTCTCAATGATTGACACAGCACCAGTAGGCCTTGTTGCAAGAGGAGCAAAATAAACGTGCTCACGACAAATGATGTCTGCACGACTCAACCCATCCGCTGCCTCTTTGCTCTCGTCGAGAAAGTGAGTGTGAACGGCAGAACAAGTGGACCTACTCACGGAAGAACGAGTGGACCTACTCGCTTTGGAACCGATAAGGCACAAGACGAATCATATGTAAATAATAACTCGTCCACGTTCTGTGCGAAAAGAACTTCCCCACATAATAGACGAAAATCAGAAGCACGAAGTAAATCAGTGAACGAGTGCATTGACGGAGAAACAACACCAGCACGAAAGAGAAAGACGGGACGGCATCGGCAAGTGTACGCACTACTATTTGGAGATTAGAAACTTGGTGCACAACGAATATTACCCCACTGTTGCAAGAAAACGAAGTGACCACATGCACGCAGAGTAATTATTTCTCACTTGTCGAACACAATCAAGTTCGCTGCCTTCAAGGCCGGAATCCCACGGTTGGGTCGCGTAGTCTTCGCAGGAGAACATGCGGTGTAAATAAAGTCATACATCAGCATCAGCATGAAGCATTCCGTGTCTGCATGAAGAGATGAAAGCACACTAGTAGGGAAGATGATCCGATGCGCTGTTGGAGAAATTGTCGTTGTTGAAGCAGAGTTCTTTGAGGCACAAAAATACTACGTACAGGCAGCATTTCACTCCAACTCTCCCCGCACGAATTTGTTCCTTTCCGACTCGAACGGCACGGACCCGACCGCGGAATGTGCCCTCCTGTTTTCGTCCTTTCGCTTCTTCGCGTCCTTCATGATCTTTTGCTTCTCCATGTTGTTTTTCATCTGTTTGGGTAACCGCTGGAACTTCTTAATCTTCGAAATCTCCCTGCACGCCGAGAACTTCTCCACTAGTTTCTGCTTGTAGTAGATCGACTTCTTTTCTCGTTCGGACACAGTGCCCAGCTTCTCGCTTGCATTCGCCTTCCAGATCCGCACGTTGTGGTCCTCAGAGCCGGAGAAAACGAATCTGCCGTCCGTGGAGAACTGACAGGTGAGAACTCTCTGCATCCGTTTCGTGTGGTAGCAGTGCTTGGATTTTTGCCCGTCTCTACTCCAAACTCGGATGGTTTTGTCATAACTTGCGGACACAAATTCCTGCCCGTTCGGGGCGAAGTCAATGTCGAGGACGGGCATCTGGTGGTCCTGGTGGACGGTCAAAGCGTGAGTCAGTTTTCGCATGTCGAAGCTGTAAAGATGGCCGTTTTCGTTCGCCGCCGTGAAGTGGGTGGGCTCTTGCGGGTTCCAACAAAGGGCGTTGGAACGGTTTTTCAGGAGGACCTGATACAAGATGAAAATGGATGGATTTTATGGAAAATGATGAAAACCGCAACCATAAATTATGTGCGCAAATAAATACCAGTGCTGAAATAAATCTTTCTTTGGAATTCTTGCATCCATACATAAGATTCTGCCAGAAGCGACTCTCTTCTGATCTTCTGAAAACCTGAAATTATCACATCTTCCGAACAAAATACCTTTCTTATCGCTCCTTGCTGCGTGCTTTGCCTGAGATCGTAGAGTGAAATGCTGTTGTCCGCCGCGGTTGCCGCGATTAAGCAGGGCTCTGCCGGGTTAAATTTCGCGGTGAAAACCTGTTCGCAGCCCCATTCTATGCTGGACACCGGTTGGGAGCGATTTCTGTCCCACACATCCACGGTTTCTCCAGTTGAGATTAGCATTGGTTTTGACCAGTGGTGATCAATACTAGTAATAGGACTGGTCGTGCGGTAGGTGTGCTTGGGCAGAATTTGATTCGCACTCGTCTTGTCCACATTGTAGTTACTCGTGTTCAGAGCGTGCTGTTTACTCGCGAAAGCACTGGACGTTGCTTCGGCTTCGTTCTCCAAATTTGAGCCGTTCAACTGGTTCAAGTCCCACCAGTGGATGCACTTATCGTCTCCGCAGGTGAAAATGGAGTTCATGGAATTCAGATTCGGCTCCTCGATAATCCCCCTTACAAACCCCGTGTGCGCCTTCCACCGACTTTGCACCTTGCTGTAGCCCAGGTCCCACAGCAAGATCTCGCCGTCGCAGGCCCCGGAATAGAGCCTCGTGGCGGACACGTTGGACCGTTTTATGACTCGAACGGCGTCGAAGTGATTGTCTAAAGCCTTCACAAACGGTTGCTCGAACATTTTTTCGATTTTCACGGAGTTCAGAGCTCGCTGGTATTCCCTTTCGCGCGCGAAGGGGTGGAGGATGGGGTCCGGATTTCGCTGGATTTTCGTCATCTCGTTCGCCTTCCCCTGGTCGCCTTCCGCGGCGTGGTGGAGCACTTTGATCTTCATTTTTCTGATTTTTTCAGAATAACTACAAGTCGCTTGGAAATTTTTGTGCAATGAGAGCTATGTTGACAATGGTTCAATCTGGTCGCTTCCTCTCTGCTCAAGAATGATACTTACACAGCCTCGCGACTACATTTAGAGCATTTTGCCACCTGAAAGGAGTTGTGGGAAAAATCTGGACGTTGATAATTCGAATTCCTCACTGAAAAATCATCCATCGCCGGCTCAATGCAGCTCCTCAATATCGATCTTTAACTGGCTGCATTTGTAAAGAATGATCCTCTGCGTACGTTGCATTTGTGCGATCCCAACTGTCTAGGCTTCAGGATTTCCCTCTCGGATCGCACATGCCATCATCTTCAGGTGATCTGTGTAAAGATGTCGCCACCTGATCCTGCGACACATCAGATCCAGACACACCAATAGCAGCCTTGAGTCAGCACTGCATTCGGCAATTTTCGGAGATCTTCATTTGCATTTTCGCGGAGGTCTTTCAGATCTAAATTTCCATTTCTCAGATGCGTCAGGGGGCGACTGTGTGTATCGTATCACGGACAAACCCTTCTGCTGCAAAGTGCAAAAACTAGAAATGGCTATAGCTCCACGATGGAGGCGAGAACTACCTCAGGATATAGAAAAGCACGTGGCGGTAGTCTACATCTACTTGTAATGATTGATAGAACTTGCTGAAGATCAGTCACAGCAGCTGCACGTGCGTGGCCATGCTGGCACCAATGCGGTTCATTTATCGTCCTATGTCACTTTCGCTTTTTTTATTGTCGCTAGATTTCATCTTCTTGCTCGAAGACTTGGGAGTGAAACGCACCATGAGGTGCTGGCGCAAAATATTCGGATTTGTCAGCATTTGATGTTCAAGTCCCAACCACAGAACCGGCGAAAGAGGATGCACATCGAGAAGCTCCTTCTTGTTCGTTTCTACTCTTTAATTCCACTCCAATTCCTCCGGCAACACCTTTTTCCCTGCGTCCTTCACACTTTTCCGTTCCCGATCTCTCTGCAAGGGCTTTCGCATGTCATACGCATCTTCCTCCCCGGAATAGTACCCCAGTACCGTGCGAAAAATCACGTACCCCAGCTTTTCGTAGAACCGGACCGCGGCGATGTTCGAGCCCCGAACGAATAAATCCGCGAAGTAGCAGTTGAAATTCACGTTCTCACTCAGCTCCTCAAAGCAGGCCATGAGCTTCTTCGCGACCCCGTGTTTCCTAAATTCCCTTGCGACCGTGACGGCGGACACGTGGCTGTGCCAGAGTTCGTTCTCCCCCTCGACTTTCCCGATCAGATAGCCGCACAAAATCCCGTCCGCGGTTTCCGCAACCAGACAGCACTCTGGCCAGGTGAGAAGGTATTTCAGGTAGAAGCCCGTGCCGAAAGTCTCGGTCCACTGGTCCAGGTTGATTTGCACGAGCCGCTCCAGATCCGTCACGCGCATTTGCCGCACGCTGAAGGTGTGCAGGTGAAAATCGTTCGGGAGAAAGTCGTAGGAGGATGTGGCGGATCCGTTTTGGTAAAGACGTTCTTGGGTTGATGTCGGGGATCTATCTGTTTGCTCTTGCTCGTCATGGCCTACTTCCAGCGCCGTGGATGGTCCGAACAACTTTCGCACAGCTGCCGTGGTTTCAGGCTCGAGTGGGTTGGTGGTTGAATGCGTTGTTTCTGCTGATGTCGTGTTTGGGTCGTTATTTTCATCACGTGTTTTTATCTGCTCCACCACCTCGAGGAGATCGAGGAGATTTGTTTTCTCATGCTGGGAAGGCGTCGCAGCTCCGGCATCGCTTAACCGCGAGGGGAAGGAAACTTTGGCGCTTACCATTTTGGTGATGTAGAAGTTCTTGGAGCAGATGGACTCAATAAGCAATGTATTTTTAGATAAGTAGATGAAAACACAATCGCCAGGGATTCGATATTTATAAGGTGGAGTTTTTCTTTCTGCACTTCACGACATGGACACTTACACATGTGGTTCTAAACTCACAAAACATAAAGATGAATCACCGTGTGCCTGCTCTGAAAATGTTGGCACAGCCGATTCCGGTTCAGAAGCGTACAGAATGAGAGCGCAAGACAAAGGCAGAACTGGGCTAGGTTGTAAAACCGCTACGAAACACTTACGGGGGCCAAGAAGGTGTTCTAGAAAGATGTGGTCACCAACATCAGAAGCGCCACCTTCCTTTCCTTCGCGAGGAAAGTGGCCCCGCAAATCAGAACCTATTCCCTGGGAACAAAAATAACGGGCATGCCGGAGTAAGCGACATTGGAAGTCAATGGACGCCACATTCCGTCGGCTTCTGCTGCAGGGGTAAGTACTCGCGCGAGCTACTCTGTAGCAACTTACGGGCCAACCTGGAGGCGGCAAGTGCGAACTTTCAAGCTATGCATGCGCACAACCGGAGGAACGAAGGCGGAGGGCGTCGGCGAGCCTGCATGCAAGAGATGCCGCCGAGCCGTTCAGCGCTGAACCGAAGCCGGCACGCAAGCAATCAAGCACACGCCACCGGCCTCGCCGGGGCACTGGCATAAAAATATCAGGGACCCTCTGGCGCCGCCCCCTCGTCCGCCCGCGGTCCTGTGGGCCCGCCTACCGGCAACAAGGGCCGCGCGGGACCTCATGCCCAGGGTGGAACGGAAGAACCCGGCCCGCCCGGCCCGCGCTCTCGTGGCGCGGGGCGGCTTGGGGGCCGAAAATAGGGCGCCAAATTGCGCCAAGTGCGCGGGCCCACGAACGGGGGGCCGGCGCCTTTTGTTAATTTGCTCGGCGCATCGGCCCGGCGGCGTCGGCACCTAGAGGGCCTGGGTTTCGCAGCCTTCAGCGTTCTCCAACCTCTTTCGATGTTTTGCGAGACGAAGGGCAAGAGCCGCCAGGCGCTGGGCCCATCGCCCCGCTTGGACGGCCGTAGCCTGGGCAGTTCATTACGCCGCCGGCCCACTCAGTTCTTTGCCAATGGTGGTCGCTAGCAAGCTAGCGCGAGGGCGCAGAGCGTTCCCAATGCCACACATCAGCCGGCTGTGGTTCGGGCGCCGGTCGTTGCAGTTACAGCTGACGCATGAGCTACTCTCTCAGTCTAGTTATAAGAAAGCGGGCGACTTCTCCTCCCGTTCGCCGCGGCTTGCAGTGCGGCGCGCGCCCCCGCAGCAGCGGACGGGCAACATTCCGCCCCGCCTGCCGCCCGGTAGGACCCCAATCGCCACAGCACTGGCATGCCAAAACGGGGGCGGCTTCGTTCTCTGCCTTTTCGCGCGGGGCCTCCCTGGCTAAGAGAGCCCGTCGGCGGTCGCCGCGAGCTGCGACGCAATCGCCCGCGTGCCTTCTTCGGCCCAGGCGGCCGCTCGCTGTTCGTAGTGCAGGAGCGACGTACCACGGCCCTGCCTGCCGCGCTTCACCCGGCTGCAAAACTGACGAGCGCGCTGCCCCGAATGTCAAAACAGAACGCCGCCAGCTGCGAGGTCGCTGCTAAGGCAGCGGGCCGGCGCGCAAAGAGGCCGGCCCGAAAGGGCGCGCGAGCTGCGGCATTCCCGAACGCGGGGCGACGGTGATGAAAATCGCCGCGACCGACTCGGCGGCGCTGAGGCTCATGGGGATCCACTCCAGCGCGGGGCAACTAATACCACCCGCGCAATGGATCCGCTCCAGCTGCTCCAGCTTCGGGCTTTCGACGCCAGAGCCCCGCCCCACAGCTGCCACGACTTTGCTGCACTCGGTCGCTTCCCAAAATAATGCAGAAGTTCCGCGGGACCGGCTCAGCTTGCCAAGGCCGCCCCGTGGAGAAAGGGGCGGCCTCGGGCACCTTGCCCGAGCAACGCCCGCGGGCCCAGCCACCCGGCGGCCCTTCGACCTGCGACCGCGGGCAGTTTTCTGATCTATGACGAAAGCCGGCGGGCATGAATATCCATAGATGCGGCCGGATCTTTTTCATCGCGTCGGCCTTGATCGTGTAACTGTCGATGGATCGCGGGGCTATTCTTTTATTTCGCGAAGAACGAACACAGATCCTCTACTCTTCAAGCAAATTTGAGGTCTCATTAGTAACAGAGATGAAGATTAGTGCAGCAAATACAAACTCAAATGCGCATGAATGTTCAACTGAGATTCAAGATCGAGAGCCACTTGCGTTGCCGGGTCGATCAATACATCATGCTTGCAATTGCATTGATGATCTCGGGAAAATTATTATTGTCAACAGCACGCGACAAAAAGCTATATTCATTCTATCCCTGATAGCGACATCATCGCTCGACACGTCACAAACCCTTTCAGTATCATTTTTCACGCCGTACTCAAGTCCGTCCTCAAACACCCTCCATGCCCCGCAAAGTAGGCATTTTGCCCCGCGTGCCCGAACTCCGCCGCCGTTTCGCCGAAACCACTCCGCGAGAGCACCACCGCGTTGGCTTCGCTGACTAGATACCAGGACACGAACGCCGGCACAATCCCGTTCAGCCGTTGCGCGCCCTTGGAGCGGTCTAAATGGGATATTTCGTCCGGATCCAGCATCTTCAACTTGTCTACGCGGAGCAGTTCCTGCACTTCCGGCAGATCCAACACCCGTTTCGTGTCCGTAGCGAGGTACCAGGCTGGGTTGAGGAACTGCTGTTGCACAGAAGAACTTGTAGTGGTTACTCCCTGAAGATGCTCACCAGCCGGAACACTGCTCCGTGTCGTTGATGATGTGAAACCGCCGAACAACACCTCTTCGACCTTGGTCGCGCAGGCGAAAAAATCCTTCACCAGAGACTGCAGGCCGTGTCGCGAAGGATCCCACCAATTGCTTTCGTTGCCTGCACGGAAGTGCAGGGCGATGTATGGACGGTAGGCGGCGAAAGACTGCGCCTCTTGAAGATCATATTCCGCAGGGGGTTCGGGTATTGTTAGTGATGTCGGAACATCATGATCAACTTCTCCCCTATTCGTCGAAGTGGCAGTTATTTCATCCCTAGACAACAGGTATTTCCCTATTTTCAGATTGTCCTTTGCGTCTTGGATTTGGTTCTGTAAAAAGAACCCCGGCTGCACCAAGAAATTCCATATCGCCCGGTTCAAAAACGGCGTCGTCCCGAGCAAGCCCAGCTTTATCGCCTTCTCCCGTAGCTTCCGGTGGCGGAGGAATTGCCCCGTTTCGCGGATGTTGGTCTGGATCAGCAACGTGTGGGCGCGGTTGTCCATCAGCCAATCTAGCTCCTGGTGAAACCGCAAGTCGTGGCCGTTCACCATCTCCATGCTCGCATCGACGTCGGCCACGCGCCAGTCGATGTGGTTCGGGGTGAAAAGCAGGTCGAAGGGGACGGGGTTGTCGGAATCGATGAAAAAATCCCGGTCGAGCAGCAACGACAGCACAAACGCATTGACAATGCCCTGTGCCCGGTCGCCGTGGCCGCCGCAGAGCGTGTGCGGCGCACAGGTGTAGACCAGGCGGGGGCGGGAGGACGGATGTAGTGGCGCTTCCTCGTCGTGGTCCGCATAGTTGATGCTCTCGTTCGTACTAACTCCAGCGTCGCTATTTTCTACACCTGGCACCAAGTTTGTGTTGGAAAATCTCGAGCGCCAGACGGTGTAGAGGTAGTTCCTATCTTGCTCCGTAGGTTCGAGGGGTTCTTGCACGATTTTCTCGCAAAACCTCGGCAGTTCCACAGCTTCTTCCGGGTGGTGGGCTTCGGAGGTGTATCAAGTGTAAAAATGTCTGGGTCTGGAAGGATGCAGAGGTTTGTGATGCAGCTTCGGCGTGACCCAGAAGGGCTACCATGCACGTCCCAGCATCACAGGTTTTATTTAGAAGGTCTCTTAATGCGTAATCCGCATGACAAGGCCCTTCTTTCGGTGGCCAGAAATGTGCAGCCTTTGGCTTCCATGCATGACAGATTTTTGAGTCATGCGAAATGCGCATCACAAGTTCGCATCCTTCCAGACCCAGACATACTTATTTGCATTTGATAGGGTCAGAACCTCCACGATTTCCCGGAGGTCTATCGGTTTTTGGTTTTGATGTTCATCACTACTTTTATCCGCGTCTACAACCCCGGATGTTGAGGCCCCCGTTCCTGTTGCAGTAGATCCGTCCTCCTCAGTGTGGTGTTTATGCCACGTTTATCCAAGAAAAAAACTGTGTTAGTGTAAGTCTTTTGGGAAAACAGCATCACAAGTTTGTCTGCCATGACAGGACAAACTTGTTATGCGCAGATACAAAGGGAAAACACATAGGAAGCGAGCCGGTCATGCATGTCGAGCATCACAAGTGTAACTGTTTCGCATTTTCTGCATCACAGATTTACACTTACACAGTTTTTTTCTTGCATAACGTTTCGTCAGTGACGGAGAAATCGAAGGGCGGTTTGTATTCCGTGACCAGAGGCTCGTCGGGATATTGTACTGAAGAGGAGGACGAAAGTGATACGACCCACTGCCCTTCTCCCGGGAGGGTGAAAATCGTGTCGTTTCGCGTGGAATTGTCTGCGTCCTCTACCACCGGAATGGGAATCTTCAAAGTCGGTGTTGACTTCATTGTCTCTGTTCCATCCGCTCTGTAGTTGCCCGATGTTGTTGTAGTGTCTCCTCGCTGTAGTCCTTCTAGTTGTACTGCGTAGTCGCAGAACCAGATGTTTTCATACCCCAGTTCTGCGCCTAACCGCGCCGCAATGCTCCTGGCGTCCAGAGAGCCGTGCTGCTTCCGCCAGATGAGCTCGTCGAGTTGTGGTTTTCTAAGCCACTTTTTGGTCTGTTTCGTCTCGTCAATGTAGGAGTAAAAGCCCTCCCGCAGGCGCGGTTTTCGGAGAATCGTGGGCATGTTCGTCATGGCCTCCTCCTCCGATTTCGTACTTTGCGATTTTTGCGGGTCAGTGTTTTGGCTGCCGTTCGTAGTAGTCTCTGCTTCTTGATCGTTCTTCTGTGCAGCATCTTCTTCGGCTGTGGAATGATCCTCTGCTTTGGTTTCATCTTCAGAAGCCCTCGCTGCTTGTTCATCTCCAACAGCGCCGTCAACCTCTCCTTGTTTTTCGTCTCCTGTTGCTGCGCCACCAGTTCCCCCCGCACCCTGCTCCTCCTCTTCAACCTCTTTAAAAAACTGTATTTTCTGCGGCGAAACGAAATCAGACAGAGACAATGCGCCGAATTTGTCCGGTGCGTAGTTGTGCCTCGGCTGCGGCTTGGACCAATCTTCTAACAGAACCACTTTCGCCAACCCCGAGACGTCAAACCCGCTGTTCAGCTCGGTCGCGTCGGCGGCGAGCAACGGGGCGTTCTCGTTCTTCTCGCTAATTCTCACGACTATCAGCCTTCCCTCGTCTGGTTTCCGATCGGTTTTCGACGATTTCAAAAATGCGTCGCTTTGCATCAGAAACTCCGATTTTTCGTTAAAAGCTTCAATGTCCTCCTCGGCCGTGCGCGTCGGCGGGATGTCGTATAACTCGGGCGCCGAATATTCTTCGTCACTACTTGAGGACTCTGCTATCTTTCTCTGCTCCTGCTCGTGTCTACTGCTTTCCACAAGAACCGCGGCACGGATATTATCAGTACTTCTTCTATCGCTTCTTGTAGTTTCATCATACACCTTCCGCACTACCTCCTTGCACAAGTCAGTTCCTCCGCTCTGTGGGAAGAGGCGTTATCAAATGTACTTAAAAATGTCTGGGTCTGGAAGAGTTGTTATGTAGATTTTACATGACACATGACGTCTGTAATGCATAACCTGGCATCACAGATTTTCAGCGGGCTTGCTGATGCCTATCCCGCATGAGAAATACCCTCTCTATGTGGCACAAAGTGGACCCCTCTTGCTGGTTATGCAACACAGATCTTTTTGGAATCCAAAAACAGCATCACAAGTTGCAATGTTCCAGACCCAGACATTTTTGCAATCCATAGGCGTCGCAGTAGCGCGGTTTTGCCGACCATTGGGTCCTCCTGGATATGATCCTTTTCTGCTGCTACTTGTTGTGCTTGTGCCGAGCCCATACTAATTACCCCTGTTGGCCCCCCGGATGAAGCAGAGCTTCTGGCGCCACTTTGTTGTAGATCCGCCGCAATAGTCAAAAACTCTGCCAAATCGCAGTCCTCGTTGCTACTCTTACAGTCCTGAACCGCGTCGGCGCTGCAGAGCTCTTCCTGCAGCTCCTCGACGTACGGAACAGCGAGAGCACCAACAGCAGCGGTGGAATGTTTTTCATCCTCCTGAAGATAATTTTTCTTCCTGCTCAACACCTCATAAGCCCGGGGCGAGATCTGCAAAAATTTCTTCGCCGATACGGTCACGTCAGCGCCACTGACGCGGAGCAGCACTTCCAATTGGTGCAAACTCTTTTGCGAAAACACGCCAAACACGTAGGCTAATCGGTCGAGCCACAGTTGAAAACGGGTGATGAAGTGGATTCCGCTGCTGGTCTGGTCGTCCACAAGAAACGGACTGACTAATGCGTACAGGAAGGCTTTCCTTGGCACCGCGTTTTCATACTGCAACAGCTCGCCGGAGTGCAGGGAGAGGAAGTAACCCAGGAAACAGTTCTGGCCAGCTTCTTGGACAGCCTCGCGGTCTTTTGACCGGAGCCAATGCTTCAGCTCCAGCAGCTGGATAAACGCCTGCTGGAGGATCTGGACGATAGACGTTTCATGGGTTGACCCCTGCTCGACGTTATTTGTTGCGCCGGTGTCCGAACCAACAGTCCTTTCTACAACTGCTGGCGCCAGGTTCGCCACCATCTGTTCCAACTCATGAAGCGGAATCGCTTCTACGCCGGTCGCGTCGGGAACTGGGTGGAGCAACTTTGCGTACTTGTTCTGTTGGGCTCTTTCTTGTCGTTCTGCATCAGAAATTATAGTACTGCTCCTCCTACTGTCCGCGACGAGAAAGCACTGGTGACAATACACACTCTCCGCAAACTATCGCAAGAAAAAACTGCTTCACTGTGAACTTGTGATGCAGAAAATGGAACACAGAACGATTTGTCTTGCTACACCTGCAAGACATTGGATTTTTAAGCGTATTTTTCCTTGGGAAATGCGCATGGCAAATTTTCTGTGTCATGCGTAGCAAACTTGTGATGCGGTTCTTGCAAAATCATCACAGTGAAACAGTTTTTTCGTGAGATACAAACCGCTCTACTGCGTTCAACGCCGCTTCCAAAACCTTCGCCGCCTCGCGCGCCGCGTCTCTCCGTGCGGAGGCGATGGACACACGCTTCAGCTGACAAAGCTTCTCTTGCTGATAAACGCCTATTTCTTCATCACTTTCTTCAAACTTTCCAAAATACGCATGAATCTGCTCTTCCGTGGAATCTAACAAAACTTCCGCATCTTTCAAAAAGGTCTCCGTGTCCGGGATTAGTCTTTATCAAATGCAAACATGTCTGGGTCTGGAAGAGTGCGCGTTTTGTGATGCAGTTTTTCCCTGACCCATGAGGTCTGGAATGCAGGACCTGGCATGACAGATTCTGTGTGATCTCTATCATGCCTATCCTGCATGAGAAACTCCCTCCCAACTTGGTCAAAAGTGGACGACTTTTGGTAATCATGCAACACAAATTTTTGGATGATTTAGATTTAGCATGGCAAATTGCATTTGTCCAGTCCCAGCTATATCTGCAACGCATAGTCTTCGCTTCAAATCCAGGACCGACTCGGTCATAGACTTCATGACGCGCACCGCTTCCATATCAAATGCAAAAATGTCTGGGTCTGGAGACTTGTGATGCTGGGTGGCGTATCATGAGGAGGCCACAAGTGCTGGCTCAGCATGACAAGTTTCCGCGCTTCTTGGTGTTGCCTATTCTGCATGACAAACTGCGTTTCTGCATGACAGAAAAATTGGGATCTTGGGTAATGTGCATGACAAATTTAAGAGTCATGTGAGACAAGCATGACAAACTTGCATTCTTCCAGACCCAGACACTTTTACATTTGATATTCCAGGTTGCAGCACGAGTCCCCGGATTCCGTGAAAAACTTCTTCCTCCCGGATCCGTCGGCTTTTTCGTCTCTTCCGCATTGCGGTAAGTACTGGATCACGCTCTTCGCTTCTTCGCGCGGCAAAAGGTCCTTCTCCTCGCAGCCGAGGTCCAAGCGGAGAACCTGCTGTGGGCCATGCTCAGGGGGCGGGGCAGACAAATTTTCTATCTCCGTTGCACGAACGATCTCATGACTGGTGCTGGAAGCAAGTAGGAATAAGAGCGGATGTTGCAACAGCGTCCGCAACTGCAGCAACAGTCTTCGAAAGCGAACACGATCCATCATGGGAAAGGACGTTGTCGAAGTCAAAAAGAATCTATCAAAATGGCATTTAAATCTAGTTCATCGATTGCGTGCAACCAAGGCACTACAAATGATAAGTAAACATGGATCTACTTAGACTTAGTGAGTGATTGTGATGCGCTGGTGGGCCGAGAAAGAATAAAAATGTAGGCATGTAAACAATTCTCAGATTCAGTAGCAAGTGTGTGCCAACAGGAGGTCATGAGCTGGATCTTTTCAGATCGTGCTCTTTGAAAAACAAAGAGTTTGTGCTGCAAAGCGCACAATTCGAAGAACATGCTCCAGATGAAACAAGCGAGGTGGAAAATAAAACACAAAAGACCAGTATAGCTGGTAGACCGAAAAAATGAGACGAAAGAGGTTCTCGCACGTAAAAAAATCCACTTGCAATAGGTTGACAGATCGTCCGCTGGGTGGAATGAGTTCTGCTTCTGGACACGACAAAACAGACAACTTCACACGACCGAAGCACGAAAAATCGCAAAACTCGTGAGATTCATCGTCCTCTCAAGAGAAAATACCATCACAAACACGCTCGATGAGCACTGCTTTTATTTGTCGTGGTCCAGCGCTTGGTGTAATATCACCATCAACACAGTGATTCTAGGTGGGTTGGCTATTTGCTCACTTTCGTCGACGTGTCTGCTTCATACCTTATTATTTCTATCTGGGGGGGAGTAAAACGTTCTCAACAAAGTACCGCTGGTGCAGTTGTAGATTCCTTGTTTAATATTGTACTATTCGTGAGGCTGAGGACTCTCTTGACATTCATAAAAACTTTTCGGTAGGTCGAGAATCTATGCTTCGATTCGGATTCACGACAAAAGACAGATTTTCGGAGGACTGAGTTGAGTAAGGCAATTGAGTACTCATCAGGGAAGATGTAGTAGTAGTTGTGAGAAATAAACGTACTGACGCTATAGTACAACGATAATGAAGAATGTTGGGTACAACTTGACTTGAAGAATTTGGATTTGACCCCTTTGACTTTCTAGACGATCGACAGAACAACTCCGAAAAAAATGATTTAGATTTTGTTCCATCCCAACGACCACGACCCCGTGGTCCTCTCACCACCCTCTCCCATACTACCCAGCCATTTTTCCCTTTTTCATGCCCTTCGCGCGCCGCATCTGCTCCCAGGTCGGGTTGTACTGATATTGCAGATAGCCCCCCATGGCAAACTGCCTGTCCCGGCGCTGCTTTTTGTTATCAAATGTAAAAATGTCTGGGTCTGGAAGAATGCATGTTTGTCATGCTTGTCGGGCATGACTCTTAAATCTGTCATGCACATTGCCCAAGAGACGTTCTTTTCTGTCATGCGGAGACCACGCAGTTTGTCATGCATAATAGGCAACACCTACAAGCTCCGAAATTTGTCATGCTGAGCCAGCACTTGTGGCCTCCTCATGCTACGCCACTCAGCATCACAAGATTCCAGACCCAGACATTTTTACATTTGATATTTGTTGTAGACGTACCACAAAAGGTAGAGCAGCACCAGCGGGATAGCCACGTACACCAGGAAGTCGACCAATCCAAAACCCTCCTTGTCCAGGTCCGGAAAGATCCAAAAGAAGGTACTATCGTCGTCCGAAGCCGTACTGTCGGAGCCGGAGCCATTCGACATCGACTCCTCCTCCGGCACTGTGCATTTGTGAAACTTGTGCTGCTTCAACGTGGGGTTCGCTTCGTCATTTTCGCTCAGCGCAAAATAGGCCGCCACCTCTATCTTCCGATATAGTGTCGGGACCTCGTAAATCAAAGTGCACACCCCAGGTGCTGACCCACCATCGAAATTCTCCCGAGTGGCGAACATGTCGCAGCCGAACGCAATGCACTCCGCTTCACACCTCGACTCCAGTTGGTCACTCCTCAGGTTCATGACCCGGTACATCGGCTGAAATCGCTGAAATCCGAGGGTCGCGGTTTCTGTCCCGGTGCAGTCCAGGATATAGTTTGTGAGGTCCCGGGGCGATTGGTCGTCTGCCCCGCCTAGTCGCACTCCGCTGTCGCTGCACTTCGTCGTCACTTGATCCCGTAGGCTTTTGCTGTAGGAGCAGGTCTTCGGCATCGAGCCTCTGATCGCACACTGGTAGGGGTCATGGTACTCACTGTACCACGCATTTTGGAACTTATTCGACACCACGGGGTTAATTCCTTTCGTAGTCGCGTAGACCAGATACCCCGCGGCGAGCTTTTGCGACTTGACGCCACACGTTTTGTGTGGCGTCGCCTGGACAAGAAGGCAGTGCCGTTCCGCCTGCAGGCCGCTCTCGCCCATGTGAGACGCGAAGACGGAGCAGGTTTTCGCATTTGCACACAGCTCCTGGCACCGTTGCGTCAAATAGTACCGGTCCGGATCCTGCAAAGTCGCGCCAATATACGGCAGAACGGTCTTCACGTGCCGCACCTCGCACCAGTCCGTTGCGGCGGAAAAGTTCTCGCAGCTTCTTACTGGGTGGACCGCACCATTGACAGTGCTGTCAGCGGAAAAAACAGGAACCTCTGCGAGGTGCTCGCATCCTGCGAATTTTGTGGCCCCGTCTTCCATGCCAACGTCCAGGACGAAGGAGATGGTACCATCACTGCACTTGCTGGCGAGACAAAAGTCGATCCGTTGCAGATTCTGTCCCAGGAGCAGCAGTGCCGTACTAGTTGACCCCGATAAAAAGCTGCAGCCCCTTCTTCGGGGAATAAGACTGGTAGGCAGGAGCTTCATGCAGTTCTTGTTGGCGCCGAGGCTTTATTCCTACAGATAAAGCGACTGCTGCTGTTCTTTTGACAAGATAGTAGAATTTTTAGCCTTCTGCTACTTATATACTTGCTTTGGGACGAACAGGATGAAAAAAGATGGAAGAAAAATTGATCGCGGGATAAAACTTAGGCGGTGTTTAGGTTGGAGGTCCTGGTGTGATGTCTGTGTTGCATTCTTGCATTGTGCGAACTTTTTAAACCCGGATGTGACTAGGATTAACCATAAGTCATAGTTCATCTTTCGATTATTTATCATCGATTAGTACATTGCCAATACTTACTTACTGTTCTTGTGCTCCTCCTGTTGTACTTTTTGTTCTCTTGGAATGTAAGTTATCTCCATTGTCCTGAACGACAGTACGAGGAAGAGGAAGAACTACCGTGTAAAGAACGACGATTTAGTGCTAGGCAACTTGTCCTCGCTGTGGAACGAAATACCATTACGAACAGAACATGAACGATAACCGATAAACGAGTACACAGACCGAAAAAAGATGATGGAGATGAGAACGAACGACAAAGATGGAGATGAGACCGAGAAAAGATCCTGTTTTGATGAGAAGGAACGACCGAGGAGGAGGATGGATGTTGCTAGTCCATTAAAAATGGTGTCAATATTTATATACCGAAATTTGCGTGCCTGTTCCTTCTTTCCAAGCACTGCAGCTACGAAGTGCTTTTCATTCTACTGCGCAGTGGACGATCACAGAGCGAGGATGAACACCAGGTGGATGTTGCCTTCCGCACCGCGACCGATAGAAAGACACTCACTCGCTGGAAGTGCGTTCTGTTCTTGATGTGACATCATTTGGCACAGTAAAACTACTTCGTCTAGCTTTCTTTGAAACCCCTGCGATCTTGAAGCAGGAGATGTAAAGTGTAGTGATGTAGATGTTGCAACATGTACCTTCAGCCAGATCTTGTTTTCCGCCCTCCTTGATGTATAGGAAGTTCCTAGGGCAGCTGTGGAGCTTCCTTCGTATGGCATCGCACAGCAGAAGTGCTGCGGTCCCCCTGGCTACGCTTGTTTCCTCGCAACGGGGCTTACTTCGTATTTTCCCGGCAAGCTCTATCAACTGCAAAATTCGATCTGGGTCTGGAACATTTCTGAGCAGCTTCGATTATGTTCGTAGTGGCGCGAGCTTTTGTCTTTCGTGCGATATCAACCCCTTCGCGCTTTGTGTTTGTCAGGCTTCGGCGTCGCACCGTATAGCGTACTGCAGTGTTTTAGAGGTTCGTGGTCTATGACTATGCATATATCACTAGGTCGACGTGTGGCATGATCACAACTTAAGTACTCCTTTCCAGCGGACCACCCAGATACGAATTTGCATGCAACTTGCATAAGGCGAGTCCCACAGCCAGTCTTGGGTCTTCATCGATCGGATAAATCCTTTCTTGGAAAATGAAGCCGTCCTGCTTCGCGTAGGTATCCAGGAAAAAAAGTGTGTAAGTGTAACTGTGTACGGAAAAGCAGCATCACAAATTAGCTTTGCATTACAGGGAAAATCTGTCATGCGCAGCTAGTACGTGGAAACACGTATGAAAGTAGCGTATGACGCAGATCCAGCATGACAAGTGTAACAGTTTTGCACTTTCTGCATCACAGATTTACACTCACATAGTTTTTTTCTTGCATAGTAGGCCAAGCCCGAGCAGTGGAGAAAAAGGACGAGAAGGAGCATGCCCACTCCCATATCAACTGCAAAAATGTCTGGGTCTGGAAGATCGCCAGGTTTGTCCTGCAGATTTTGCATGACCTATGACGTCTGTGATGCATGCCCTAGCATCACATATCTTCAGAGGACTTTGCGATGCCTCTACCGCATGAGAAATGCCCTCTCCGCGTAGCACAAACTGGAGTGCTATTGCTGGTTACGCAATACACATTTTTTTAGCATCCAGCGACAGCGTTACAAGTTTAGAATCTTCCAGACCCAGACACTTTTGCAATCCATAGCCCAAGTACCGCATGCTCGCGTGCTCCCGCAGCAGGGCGGTTATGGGAGTGTCAGGATTGAAATCATCAAAGTGTCATGCATAAAAAAACGCGATACAAAAATAGACTCTATTGCAGAGGACGCACGGGAGGCAGATTATAGTCCTGGTAAGGGTCAAAAGTTGGACTGCTGACTAGCATGACAGAAGGCAGCTCTTTTGCCCTAAACCGCATGACAGACTCGCATCCAGGACCGGGAAAATTTGTCATGCACCGACTGCAAACTGTAGGTCTAACTTGTATCCGTTTTATGCATCACAAATTATTGCAACTTTGACGATTTCAAACCTGACAGTTCCATAGCGGTCAGCTCGTAGTTATGGCGCCGGATCAGCAGAAAGTTCATCGAGCACCGGATGGTGAACAACAAACCCATCAGCGGGGCGTGCCAGGACAACCCGCACACCCAGTCCCGGGGGTCGCAGTCATAGTCGTCGAACCCGACCTCGAGAATCTGGTGGCGGAGCAGGTGCAGGCAGCCGACATACATCCACTGCAGCAAGGCTTCCCAGAGAAGCAGGGTAAAAGTCACTTTCACGGTGATCTTGCTGGTGCGGACCACGGTCTCTCGTTTTACCAAAGGGAGAGAACACGACGAGGGGATCTTCACTGGAAAATGTGGTCGGGAGGGGAGAAGGGATAGGAGGGTCGTCGTGGTGAAAAGCTTGCTCGCCGTTGAAGATGCACGACTAGGTAGTGTCCCGCCAGGGGAAGTTCTACTTCCTCTTCCTCGATGAACTCCTGCATATAAGGTTGATGTATGGCTACTCTGTCGTCGTGTATCCAATCCAAGGAGCTGTCTCTCATGCTCGAGCAACAAAATCTCGTGCTGTAATTGCAACTCCTCGGAGCAAAGCCGGTGGCGTGGTCGCCGGGACGGCCGGTGCTCACTGGCGGCAGTGGTTGCGAGCGGATTAAAACGCGCCATTTTTGTACTTTGTTCTTTTTTTGAGTAGACCTCCACTTTGCAAGAAAATCAGCGTCGGATTGCACGTTTTCTTGTCAAGGAAGTCAATGGCGCGTTCGTTCCTCGATGATATGGTGGATACATCTTCCCTACTAAATACCTCCTAGTAGTGTCGACAATTCTATACTCGTGTCCATTTATTCGCCGGTTTTCGTGTCGCTCGGCAGATACTGCAGTAGATCTACTTACTTACTCGCTGTTCTTCACGAGCAATGTAGAGACTCATCGCCGATGATGAACCTATGCGAGCAGGAAGCTCAAGAAGAACATCAGCTGCAACTTTCGCTTGTGCTGCGCGGCATTATATATACAACTAGCCCGCAGCAACGGCGCAGACTCAACCTGCTTCGAGGAGGGAAGGTCCGCTTGTTTTGAAATGTTGTGTGTTCCTCCTCTTTTTCTTCTCTTGTTCTTCATAAAAACCACACATGGCCGCTAGAATGCGTTGTATCATCTTCGCTGGTGGTACTAGATGAGAAACAAACCATTTCTCAACTACACACTTCGTTGTCCTACTTCTCGCACCACATCAAAAGGCCGCTTTCTTTGTTGTTTCTTTGAACCTAGAAATGCCACGGCCGTTATTTTGCTTGATCTTTGATCCTAGAGTTGTTGTTGTTTTGACACTGCTATTGTTTGATGATGCTTTAAAAATGTCCAATCGCCAATCTGTGATGTAAATTATCAGAATCATGTGAAGACACGAGAATCCTCTGTATCGTCAAATCATCGCGCGCCGGGTAGTAGAGTAGAGCTCCTGGCTTCTATGAAGCTGCCGCTGGGAAAATCATCTGTGCTGGGGAAAAGCAGCTCAACAGGGCTCCTGCTGATGTGCAGACCGTTCTTCTTTTTGTTGGGTAGGCGTAGGGAAAGCACCTGCTCATGCTCATGTGTGTCGCTGGGAATTTTTCTTATGATCCGCCACCGCAACACCCGCCAAAGGTGCTACTTGAACTCTGCGTATTCGCGCCGATTTGCTGTGATGGTGTAATAGTATGTTGTGCAGTTCAGTACTTCTCATCTTTACCATGACAAAACGAGCAGACTGATATAATTCGCGTGCATGGAAAAATGAAAATCACCAGAAGTCTATACGTGCGTGTTCGGGTCCTTTTCGTTTTTGTTTATTGGCAGCCTCTTCGCGATTTCCATGAAGACCTCTTTCACGTTTTTCCCGCTCTTTGCTGAAGTTTCCAAAAAAAGGATGCCCATCTCCTGGGCGTAACTTCGCGCGACCTGAGTGATGATGTGTGGCCAGTGTTGTTCAATACTTAACTTGGCAAAGACAAAGAGAAAGACCTTTTACAGGATGAAACTTGCCGAGAAAAGCATGCACTGTCGGGTTGATCACCACGCAACACAAAATTCTAGTACTTCTTCTATACCTCCTGCTCTACTTGCCTCGGGAAATTCGCCTCTACAAGGTCGACCTTGTTTCCGCACAGCGCTATTACCAGCGACTCTTGCGCGGCCATGCCTTGGAGCTCTTGGACCTGGAGTTGTAGTTTTAAAGATGATATTTTTCATGCGCATCAATAAATACCCGCAATATCAAATGCAGTTTCTGTCACGCGCAAGGTGGAAACAAATGCCAACGCTGCATATCCATATGTTCGAAAAAGAATAAAAGCATCTCAGTGATATAAAGTACCCATGATCGCGCGCCGTCGAAGCTCTCCCTGCTGGTAACGTCGTATACTATGACGGCAGCGGCGGCGCCCCTGATTTTATTTTCACAGTGACACTTCCACTTGTGATGCAAAAATCTGACGCATGAGATGAAAACCTGTCTGTCATGCCAGCACCCTCGACGTCGACAATCAACTTCATCGTATTTTATTAATTAAAGGGAATGTACCAAGTCCATCCTTCAATATGTGCTATACCTGTAATACATCGGCGCGAGACTCCGATACCTTTCCTGCCCCGCGGTATCCCATATTTCGAATTTCACGAGCGCTTTTGGTTTCTCCAACTCTACCGTCTGCGTCATAAAGGCGGCTGGAAGTTTGTATGTATGGCGGATGATGATCGCACGAATTAACGGAGATGCAATGGCAATGGAAAACAAAACAACAAATAATTGCTCATTTTATTACCTCCTATTGTCGGCTCTTGGTTCTCGTAAAATTCTTCCTTTGCGAACCTTACGACCAGACATGACTTCCCTACACTGGCGTCACCGAGGAGCACCAACTTAAAGTGGTGCGGCGTTTTTCTTTTTTCTTTCGACATGCTGCTGGTGTGGTCCTCGAAGGGATTTTGGCTTGCTGAATCCTCTTCGACCTAGCAGGCTTCTACTGACTGCAGCTCTACTACTCCTTCTTGACTCCTGCGGCTCTTTCGCAGTTGAATCTGAGTCCTTGCGTCGGCGTCCTTTACTTCTTTGTTCTCCTCGTAGTTATAATTTCCGCTACTTGCTTCTTTCTTCACTTGTTGCGGTGCCGTCGTCGACTTGCTATTCCGAGTTTTATCTTCGCGTTCACAGACACAACGCTCGGTATGTCTTTGTTGTTGTACTTTTCCAAGCTATTGGGAGTGGTTGTTGCGTCAGTCGCTTTGTTTTTGGAGGATGATTTTCGCGTAGGACAGCTGCTCTTTTGTACGAAGGAATCAAACTGCTCACCGTATGAAGTCGGGTCCGAGCAACTACGTCCCGTTCGTGAGCTCTAATTTTAATTTTCTACTGGGCGAAAATACTCTCTGCTGCTGTAGTCGTTCACCGTGTAGTATATTTTTCGCACGCTTAGCACCTTGCTCCGGTCCAGACTTCCAAGCGCCTTATTTTCCGAAAAATTTGGGCAGCTGCGACTCGTTCCAAATCACGCGGCGAGCAGAAGAGCTGCTACAAGCACGCGTGCAAACAAAGCTGACAGTAGGTCTTTGCGTGTGAAGTAAGTAGTCGAAGTCGCCGGCGTCTGCAGTTCTTGCGAAAACAGGAAACCGGCTGTGTTGCACTGCGGTTTGTCGTGTAGACGTGCTACTAAAAACGCGCTTTGCCAGTTCTACTTCCGGGGCGAGAGTCCCGCGGACCGGATGAACGTAGTAGAAAAAGGGCCGCTGCCATGTCTTCGCCTTGTTTTATCTCTCACAAAATCTGCTCCGGAATGTTGATGTTCTGTCAGTTTCGCAATAGTACAACAGAAACTATTGCACAACTTCTACACCGATCATGAACTAATGTAGCTTCAAAATTGGCTGAGGACACAGCGCTGGTGCTTGCAGAAATTTCCGAAGTCGGGCCTAAAACAAAACTTGAACCGCAACCTAAAAGTGATAAAAATGTTCGAAAGTGCTTTCTGACTCTGGTCCTTATCACTGTGAGACGGAGACGTTTGCGATCAATGTATAAATGTGGGGCCTCACCACGACAGCCTAGTGCGTCTTAGTGTTTCTAAGTAGACATCATGAAAATGAGGACTGTCCTAGAAGTAGATCTCGTACGTCTGATCATATTTTTGGCAATCATGAAGCCCTCAAGAGAGCCGCCATGTCGTGTGTCTGTCTTTGCATCTACTTCGCTCACTGAGTCGCAAGTCCTCTTTGACAGGCTGCAATCTCGTGTGGCTCTAGTACTTTGAAGATGCGGGGCCGCTCGAATGTTCGGGGGCTCTTGCTCTGAGTAGAGAACTCCTGATTTCAGCGTGCTCAAGAGTGTACTACAGAAGTTGGTTACCAGGAGAGAACAAGGTAGGAGATTGATCTAATGCTGAGCAAATCAGGTGGCGAATACTTACTGCAGATGCCTTCATTCTCTTTTTGAATCACCATAAGTCTCGAAAAATGCCTGAGCTTCTTGTTTCGGATGCACATACTCTTCGTCATGGTTTCTGCTTTTCAAAAAATCGTGCTTTTAGTTCGTCTTGTGACAACTGTAAAGTTTTTTTGCCATCTGCAATATCCTGATCTCGCCCCGTCAAGAGAAGAAGTTGTTCTGAGTCACGTCTCAAACAGAAATCCAGGGCATTTCCGGATACCCCGCTCGACTCAGCCCCTCCCGGTGTCTCCAGGTGTCGTTATCAAATGCAAAAGTGTCTGGGTCTGGAAGATTCTGACACCTGTCATGCGCGTTTTGCATGGGCCATGATGTCTGTGATGCATACCCTAGCAATACAGATTTTTTGAGGGCTTCTTGATGCCGATTCCGCATGACAAACGCCTTCTCAGCGTAGCAAAAATTGCATTCCCTTTGCTACTCATGCAATATAGATTTTTTTGGAATCCAAATGCAGCATCACAAGTTGCATTCTTCCACACCCAGACATTTTTGCAATGCATAGTCGTAAAAGGTTTGCCAGGAAACCGGTTTTCCGTTGTTCACAAGGTTGAACTATCAAATATAAAAATGTCTGGGTCTGGAAGAATCCGAACTTGTGATGCGTGTTGCGGATCATGATACAAAAATCTGTGTTGCATGACTTGCAAAAGGTCCCCACTTCTGGCCATGTTGAGAGGGCATTTCTCATGCAGAATAGGCATCACCAAGGGGCTGCAGAACCTGTGATGCTAGGCCCTGCATTCCAGACCTGGCGGAGCTTGAAAAACTGCATGACAAATCTCGGAATCTTCCACACCCAGACACTTTTGCATTTGATATGAACATCTGTCGCGCGAATTTCTCCCCGCCGGCCGCAGATTTTGATTTGTTCACGCTGTTTGCAGAAGAAGTAGCGGGTGATGAGGTGGACACTGAATAAAGTGGACCTACAGGCGGTGCTGGCTTAGAAGTACTAGTGCCACTGTTCTCCTCTATCAGACGCAAATATGTCTGGGTCTGGAACAAAGCAACTCGTCATGCTAAATCTGAATCATGTAAAAATCTGTGTTGCGTGATTACCATAAAGCTGTCCACTTTTGACCTAATCGAGAGGCAGTTTCTCACGCAGGATAGGCATGATAGAACTCTCACAGAATCTGTCATGCTATGTCCTACATGCCAGACCTCATGGGGCATAGAAAACCTGCATGACAAGTCTGGCATTCTTCCAGACCCAGACATATTTGCATTTGATATCCTGCTCGTTTCTGCTAAATCTCCTCCCCGCGTGTTCCTCCACTTTGAGCCAAAACGCGATGAATTCGGTTTCCCCCAGCCTCTGTTGCAGTGCTGTTTTCGCGTTTAACCCGGGTCGCTCGGCGTAGCAGACTATCAAATGCAAAAATGTCTGGGTCTGGAAGATTGGGGGAGTTTGTCATGCAAATTTGACATGACCTGCAATGTCGGTGATGCATGCCTTCGCATTACAGATTTTGTGAAGGCTTTCTCAGGCCTATACTGCATGAGAAATGCCTTCTCAGAATAGCAAAAATCTGAGTGCCGTTTGCTGCTCATGCAATACTTACAGGTTTTTCCATCATCGAAAGTTAGCATCACAAACAAGGTCCGAGCACGGGGACAGAGTCCCCGTGCGGCGACCTTCCGGCATTTGTCTGCGCGGTGGCACTGGGCAGGCAGGTCGCTCGCAGCTAGGTAATTCGTTGCGCTTTGCATTCAATGACCCGCGACGGGGGGGCCTCCTGCGGACGCGGCTCCCCTGCTTGCGCGCACTAGATTCATTAGCCTGCCGCGCGCAAAGATAAAAAGAAAAGAAGAAACTGACGCCGGGTCTGCAGCCGGCCCCCAGGTTATGGCGCTGCGACAGAGTCCCCACATTGCCCTAGGGCTTTTCTCTGCCCCCTCCTTGGCCGCGCGGTGTGGTTAACGGGGAGCGCTAACAGCTGGCCCCTAGGCCATGACGCGGGGACCGAGTCCCCGCGCTGGCCTAGGGCTTTCGCCCCTCGGCCGCACGGTGTCCGGGAAGCGCCCACAGCTGGCCCCTAGGCCATGACGCGGGGACCGAGTCCCCGCGCTGGCCTAGGGCTTTCACGCCTCGGCCGCACGGTGTCCGGGAAGCGCTCACTGCTGGCCCCTAGGCCATGACGCGGGGACCGAGTCCCCGCGCTGGCCTAGGGCTTTCGCCCCTTGGCCGCACGGTGTCCGCGAGCGAAGCGCTCACAGCTGGCCCCTAGGCCATGACGCGGGGACCGAGTCCCCGCGCTGGCCCAGGGCCTTCGCCCCTTGGCCGCACGGTGTCCGGGAAGCGCCTGCAGCTGGCCCCTAGGCCATGACGCGGGGACCGAGTCCCCGCGCTGGCCTAGGGCCTTCGCCCCCTGGCCGCACGGTGTCCGGGAAGCGCGCAAAGCTGGCCCCTAGGCCATGACGCGGGGACCGAGTCCCCGCGCTGGCCTAGGGCCCTCGCCCCTTGGCCACACGTTGACCGGGGAGCGCGCACAGCTGGCCCCTAGGCCATGACGCGGGGACCGAGTCCCCGCGCTGGCCGAGGGCTTTCGCCCCTTGGCCACACGTTGACCGGGGAGCGCGCACAGCTGGCCCCTAGGCCATGACGCGGGGACCGAGTCCCCGCGCTGGCCTAGGGCTTTCGCCCCTTGGCCGCACGTTGGCCGGGGAGCGCTCACAGCTGGCCCCTAGGCCATGACGCGGGGACCGAGTCCCCGCGCTGGCCCAGGGCTTTCGCCCCTTGACCGCACGGCGTCCGGGACGGAAATGGTCACAGTTGGCACCTAGGTCATGGCGCGGGGACATAGTCCCCGCGCTCACCTAGGGCTTTCGATCGCCCCTCGGCCGCACCGTCTCGCGTGACAGCTTGGGCTTTGGGTCCAAACCCCACATAGCAAAGTCCGAAAGTTTGGCTGGGGTGTGTCCGAGAGTCTGCCCGGGGTGTGTCCAAAAGTCTGCCCTGGGTGTGTCCGGGGTGTGTCTGGGGTATGTTCGGACTTTTTGCCTGGGGTATGTTCGGGGGTCTGTCTGGGGTATGTCTGGGGTGTGTCTGGGGTGTGTCTGGGGTATGTTTATACCCCACCTGTTGGCTTTTCGGCAAAAAATTGTAGTCCGCCCGTGATTGAGGAGCATTTGCATACCCCTGACACACCCCCGAACATACCCCCGAACATACCCCTCGCATGCATTTTTGACCAGCTGCTGCAGTTTAGATAGTAATTCCATTCTTTCCAGACCCAGACATTTTTGCATTTGATACAGACTTTCAACCAGATCCGCTGTAGTTCATCCGTCGGAACCTGCGAAAAGGCGCCACCCATTTTTTTTACTTGGGTCGTTGCTAGGTATTTGCGATGAATTCTTGCCAGATGAAGAGGTTGCTAAGAGCTGATGATGAAAAGCTGTTTCTTCTAGTTCATCTAGACGTCGCATCTTCATAGTTCTTTTCGGGGACCGACCGAAAACAAGAACAGCTGCGACGCCGATTGCAAATCTCCGACTCCGCGCTTGCGAGACAATAATTCTGAGAATCTCTACTTGCTTTTCTCGAGGTTCCTCATTGCCGACTTTCGATGCTGGTGTAGTTGCCCTCTGAAGATGAAACTTCTTCAACACAAGAACTTCCGGTATGATCAGAGAGATGATGCTGTGGTCGAGGACGTCGCAATGTGTCAATGGAATGCAACCGGGTGATGTCGCGGCAACAACTTGGTCAACTACAAATCGGACTGTTTCTACTTCACTTTTGAGAGGATGCTCCTGACTTCTTCTTGTTCGTGCCAGCAGCTGAATCCATTATAGAATTTTTCGCATTGCAGCTAGCCGCGTCTTTGTCGTCCTGCGTTGTTGTTGACGAAGAGCAGAGAGGAGCTCCAGCTTGTTCATTTTCACTCGGCACGGGCGAGTACGAGCTCTCTTTTGTAGTTCTTCCAGTCTTGTAGTTATTTTTACCATTGTTCGCAGCTGCATTATGATTATAATTGTTCTCCCCGCCGTCCCCGTCGTTTTGTTGATCATCGTCCCAAACTTTCTTGAACAACCAGCTCCCAAACGACTGCGCGTCCTCCTTGATCATTCCCGTAATCTCCTTCCCAAACTCCCCGAAATCGAGCCCCGAGACCTCGTTTTTCACGTTCTGCTTAATGCTGTCGAACTGTTCCTTCGCTTTCACCGCATTCTCCTGCAACATGAAGTGCTGCTGCAACTGCATACTGTAGTCGAAACTGCAGCTCGGGCAGTGGTGGAAGTGGGGTGGGAGGTCCTTCTTGTGGGAAGAAGATGTTGTGGATGCGACTGCGGGTTCTCTCGAAGGAGCTGTTGCTTCGTCCCAAATGGTCTGCAATGCGGCAGGTGTTGCTGCAGAAGCGGAAGCGCTAGATGAACTGCTCGTATTAAAGGCGGTAGTCGAAGAACTTGCTGCACTACTGTTGTTGTTTTTATTTTTCCCAGCATTTACTTCCACTGCCCCAGCGTCGCGGTGGTCAACTACACCTTGTTTATGTTCCAAGCACTTCTTGCAAATCATGACGTTGCACTGCGGACACGAAAAGTCCCACATCCCGGACAAGGCGTTCTGATTTTCCTCTTTGGAATAATCTTTCCCGCACGCCCCGCACACGTCTCTTTGGTTTATTTTAACCTGTTCTACCTCTGGCGAAGGTGATTCTTCTTGTTCTACTTTTCCCTCGTCTTCGTCTTTTGCTTTGTTCCCACCAACTACAACAGTCATGGTCTTCCCGTTCTTCTTTGGCGAAGATGAAAATCGGGTTTGCGGCTGGCCCTGTGCAACCCCCACCTGTCCGCCCACCGGCACGTCTAACACCCCCTCGATTCCCTGCTCGATCCACGCCCCACTGTGTCGGACCACTTCCTTCGCGTTGGACACCATTTTTCCGGATTTTTCGCTGATTTCCATAACCCCCCTCGCCAGCAATTGCCCAGACACCTTGTACTTGCAGAACGGGCACTGCGGCTGCCGCAATTTGGAGAAGCACTGTTTGCAACAGACGTACTTGCACCGGGGGCAGATGAAGTCGAAGATGGAAGAGTCTTCTTGGTAGCAAATCCCGCACCCGGATTTCGATTTCTCCTCGTCGATTAACTGGTTTTCTTTCTGGATCACAACATCCGGCACGACGATATTCTCATTCGCCCTTTCTAGCATCGGTTCGATCTTGTTCTCGATCAAATTCACGGTTTTATCCGCCACTTTCTCACCAAGGAATTTGCTGAAGTTAATCGCGTTGTTCAGCCCCTTGTGCAAAACAGATTCAAAATCCTGGTAGTTCAGGAGCGGTTCATTTTCTTTGTCACGTTCTTGTGCAGCGCCGTTTATTGCGTTCTTCTGTTCTTTCGCTGATGCAGCTTTAATATCCGAGGTTTTACTTTTAGCACCTTTGCTAGCAACCCCCTTGTCAAGAACATCATCAAGCTGATAGTCCAGCGCCCCGGTGCTGGCGATCCGCAGCCACTGGTGCTCACAAGCCTGCGAACTGTCCAGCCTTTGGTCCGGATCTGGCTGAAGCAATGCCCGCACGAACTGCTTCGCAAGGAGACTCGGCTTGCGGGTTGTTTTGCTGGTGGGTAGCTTTGACGAAGAGGAGGAGCCATTGTTGCCGTTTGAAGACGTCGCCGATGTTGTTGAAAAGCGTTCAAAAAGGCTTTTGAAAAAGCTGCCTGCACCACCACTTGTTCCCAAATCACCGCTAGAAGTACTGTTGTTTCCGATGTCCCAAATGGGGACTTTCCCCTCCAAAATCTCCTTCTTCATCAACTTGTTGTCGCTGTCCACAAACGGACAGGAGTTGGACAGTAGAAACACGAAAATCACGCCCGCCGCCCACACATCCACTCTACAGTCATACCCTTTGGATTTCCCAGGTAGCAGGTGCATCTCCGGCGCCATGAACGCCGGAGTACCCAGCCGGTCACGTAATAGCTTCACTTTTTGCTCACTTTTCCCGTACGCCGTCGTGTCAAAATCCGTCATCACCTTCACGGCCACCCCGAAATCTCCCAGTATGACCCGCTCAGGTGTTACAATCTCAAGCATTACAATAGAATCTGAGATCTGTTTTGCATGATGGGCATGACAGACTCGCAGAGCGTTCCACTTTCTGCAATACAAATTTCGCCAGATTGTAGTGGGGTTTGGGGCTCCGGAACTTCTCATGCGCAATCCCACGAGAGTTGGCTAGATCATGCACTCTTGCATCACAGATTTTCAGATTCTATTGTAACGCTTGAGATTGTAACACCTGAGCTCGTTATACCCAGTTTCAACGTTTTCAGGTCCGCAGCGAAGAGAAAGTTGTGCGGTTTCACGTCCCGGTGGCAGATGTCGATGGAGTGGAGGTAGCGGATCGAGTACAAAACTTGCTTCATCCATTTCGCAATGACCGATTCTAGAAACGGCTCGGCTCCTTGGTTCTCCACGACCGCCTGCAAGTCCCCGCCGGGACAGAATTCCAAGACGAAACTGTACTCATTCTCCGACTCGAACGCCTCGAAAATCTCGAGAATGTTTGGGTGGCAACAGTATCAAATGCAAAAATGTCTGAGTCTGGGAGATTCCGAAATTTGTCATGCAGCTTTTCCAAGCTCCCCCAAGTCTGGAATGCAGGGCCTAGCATCACAGGTTCTGCAGCCCCTTCGTGATGCGTATTCTGCATGAGACATGCCCTCTCAGCATGGCCAGAAGTGGGCACCTTTTGCACGTTATGCATCACAGATCTTTGTAGGATTCGAAACATGCATCACAAATTCGGATCCTTCCAGACCCAGACATTTTTACATTTGATAAACAGAGCGCGAGAATCTTGATTTCGTGGAGGACTTGCTGCTTATTCAACCCCATCCGCCGCATTTTCTTCTTGTCAATGATCTTCGCGGCACGGGAAGATATTTTATCATTTGCTGGAATAGTGGATGATGTTCTACTTCTTCCTGTTTTATTCATACCGTTCGGCGGCGGGGGGAGTAGTAGATTCTGGTGCTGTAAACTGGCCCGGCGCGGATGAGGTGGAGAATTTGATGGGACTCGGAGGTGAGGGTTGTAGTTTTTATCATTTTTGTCATGATCTTCCAGCTGCTTCAATAATTTCGCATCCTCGCTTCGCACCGAGCTTCTCGGTACGCGCATCACAGAGCCCAGGTCGGAGTGTCTTCTCTGCAGCACATCGGCGCAAGAAAAGTTCTTGTTGCTATTATTCGCCGCAGCAGAGAAATTTTGCGACGCGGCCGAAGCATTTCCAGCACTCGCCCTGGTTGACCAGCGGTTTTTGTTCACCCCAGCCGCTGGAGACGCTGTTGCGGACCCTAAAGTCGCTCGTGAGTCCAACGACGGGGAGCAAGAGGGCGATAATATCACTGTCGCGTTGGGATCAATGTTTCGATCCACTTGATGTTCATCTGGCGAAGAAGTTCGGTCTTTTGTGGAACAGACCGCTGGCCGCGCACTATCAAGACCAAGACGACCTTGATTTGTGTTGCTTTGCCGCAACTGCTCCTGCACGGTCTGCTCCACAGCTAAATTCGCACCGCTTCCGTTCGAAATCCGATTGGAACTGAAGTTTTCTTGTAGTTGCTCTAAGAAAGTGCTTGGTCGTCCAGTTGCACTACTTTTACTACTACTCCCGTTCACTCGTACAAGTTCCTTCGGCGTCACACGATACACCGTCGCGAACCCGCCCGAGCCTAGCTTCTCGTGCAGATCGTAGGAATTCCGGAAACTCCTTTGCTGTTGAAAAAAAAGCCGGCCGGAAAAAATTCCGTTTTGCAGTGTTTCATCCGTGTACGGGACTTCGAAAGCAGGGGCAGAACCTTTGTGGTTTTGTGTCCCAATCGTGGACGAGTTTGCTTGTCCCATCTTGGCGTGCGAAAGTGGATTCTCGTTGGAGGATCTTCACAAAAGGCAGCACCTTCGACGGGACAACATGGTAAAAACTTCTCTTTTTCGGCCTTGCTGTTGCATCACGGAGAAGACGTTACCGCTCTCAAAAAAATTCTCGGCAGTTTTGATACCGCCAGAAGCGGATTCCTATTGTTGTTCCGTATTCGTCGTGGACGAGCAGTTGATGCGGCTCGTATATGAGCTTTGAGTTGTGACCAGCTTGTGCTAATCAGGAGCTGAAGTGTATCTTCAAGAGTTGTAGACGGCACAGCACCCCACAACAAACAAAGTCTCTCTACTTGTCTTCTAAGCCCAGAGAAGATGAAGGTGATAGTGCTGTATCCCACAACGTTGATCCTTTTTGTCATCGTCCCGGAAGATGTTCTTTGAAGATTCTTTCACAGGAGAAGTAGAAGCTGTCACATTGGATACCCAAACTCCTAAAGCCCAAACGTCGTCAAGATATTAGTGATCTCTCGAGGATGAAGAACACGAGCACGACAACGACCGGAAGGGTAGTTTCAAACTAGTACGTGGGTCAAGAGCGTGTTGAAACTTGTTTTGCAGCGATTCCCACGAGCACGACGGACAAGATGGCGCGAATGCAACAAAATGCTTGCGCACACCCTATCATGAAGGATAACGCGACCGAACTCGGAAAAATCATCTTCAAAAGAAATCCGTGTGCTCCGCTTTCCAAACGCGGTCTCGATTGAAGTCTAGCACGCGGCAGTTGGTTCTAGCGTCACTTATTCTCGCTTTTACTTCTGCTAGTGTTTCGTCAAACTGTTGATACAGCTGTGCCATTTGCTTGTTCACCGGACTTCGGCTGGAGATGAAGTTGGCGTTGTTTCGATGATCCTGTACTGTGTCGCCCTCCTCTGCACTACTTCTATCGGAAGATGCCTCTTCAAAATCCGTGAAATCCCGCCAGAGTTTCGGAAAAACGCTTTCCGTGTCGAGCCGGCAAAGCATCCGGTCCTCCATGATCATGTGCACAATGTCGTCTCTTGGTGACGGATTTATTCGATCATTCTTCTGCTCTGCCATCTCTCCTCCTCCTCGTTGTCCTACCAAATCCAGCACCTTCAACCGAAACGGCAAATCCATGAACCGCGCAAACGACATCGAGACCGCCCCCATCACCCCCTGCCGGGTTTCCCGCGTCAAGAGCTCATCGTAGCCCGCTTCGGGATCCCCTAGCCCGGGCGACTTGATCCCCAGTGTTAAATGGACCTCCATCACCCACGCGCGACCATTCGAATCCACAATCATGTCGGCGGTGAAGTGGAAACCGTGCGATTTACAGGCGGAGGCGTCGGTGATGTAGGCGTTGCCTTTTGCCTTGCCAGAAGTTCTGCTTGCCGCGGCAGTGTCTACTTCTTTGTCAGCTTCTTGTTTGCCCGCAAGAGGCATACTATTTATCGCCCCGACCTCGTCAAGAACATCATCATCCACGGTGCAGATGTTTTCCCTTGCTCCCAGCATCCAAATGCCCAGCGACTTCTTCACATTCTTCCACACCTCTTCCCTGTCCAGCCCATTCTCCTTCGCTACGAAGTGCTCGAGCCAAAACTCCAAACTCCCCCCCGACATCCCCTGCAGAAAATCCCCGGACAAAATTTTCGGGATGTGGTGCGTCACGTGCATCAGCTTCGAGGACCTGAGTTGTCTGTCGTTGGTCGTGTAGTTCTGCTGTAACGTTCCGGACCGGTAGTATCCGTGCTTCGAGACATAGACCCTGAATGGATCGAGAAACGTGAAACCCTGGATCCTAATGTCGGTCTTCACCAGCGTATCGACCTTCTCGATTTCCCCACCAGGCGTAGCACGGATGTTGGGAATGCGGGCCAGCACCGGGTTAGAGATGTACAGCTGGACGACGGATTTTTCCTGAATTGTGTTCGTTGGATCTTCTTTTTGGATTGATGACATTGATTAATGTTTCGGCATCGCTTCCCTTTGAAATCTGTCTTGCAAAACGGCTTGACACCTATGATGTATGTTAGATCATGACATCTCATGTATTGCAGCAAAGAACGATGCAACATTTCTACCTTGTTATCCAACTTCCCGCCCTTCCAACCAGGCGCCCCGTTTTCCGGGGAGCAGAAAGAGAAATCAACTCCATCGCCGATCCAGCAGCCGTGCTCCCGATCTTTCCAATTCCACACGGTGCAGTCAAACGTCAGCTCGTTCAAATGCCGCCGCTCACACGCCTATCATATGCAAAAATCTCTGGGTCTGGAAGATTGCGAGATTTGTCACGCTCACGCTTGTCTGGCATGACAAAACAGTTTGTGATGCATGTCCAAGAAGAGACCCTTTTTCCTGTCATGCAAAAACGCAGTCTCCCATGCGAAAAACGCAACACAAAGAAGCGTAGATATTTCTCATGCTTGGCTGTGCATTACAGAGCGATCACTATTCCCAGCACAGCATTACAAGTTTCCAGACCCAGACATTTTTGCATTTGATAGCGCCTGCTTGCAGTCGAACTCCGACTCCGCGTCCCCTAGTTTCGCCAGTCCGTAGCACTATGGAAGTGTCAGAATCAAAATCGACAAAATCGAAAAACTTGTGATGCATAAGACCAATACCAGTTGGAGCCTCAGTGTGCAAGCGGCGCAAGACAACTTTATTTCGGGAGCATCGAAAGCCAGTTTCTCATGCTGTTTGGGCAAAGAAGACTGCTCCTGTCATGCTACTCTGGCAGCACACTGCATACCCCTAAACAGGCTTACAATCGGTCTCATTTGCCTGCTACCCAATACAGCCCTCCAGTGCCCTACATTTTACGCATCACAAATTTTTCGACTTTGTCGATTTCGATCCTGACACATCCATAAGCACTGCGCGTTTTTCAATTCCGTGAACTGCGCCGCCCGCGCTTTCTCAGTCAATTCGTGCAAGTTCCTCGTCAGTTCAATCCCTTGCCCGCCAAAGAGCGCGCCCGGCTTCCAGATGTACACCGCATTTTGGACGATGGAAGAGAAGCCCCAGAGTTCGTCCTGGTTGTCGGGCAGGAAAAAACACGGGGGGTAGAAACCAGAGAGGTCGAGTTTCTCTAAGTCGTTATGCATTGCAAAAATGTCTCGGTCTGGAAGGATGTAACTTGTCATGCTAAATCTGAATCATGCAAGAAATCTGTGTTGCGTGATTACCAACACCCGTCGTTATTTTTTACCAAGTTGAGGGGGATTTTCTGATGCAGGATAGGCATGCTAGAATTCTCACAGAGTTTGTCATGCTAGGTGCTAGGTCCCAGACCTCATGAGTCATAGAAAACCTGCATGACAAACCTGCCAGTCTTCCAGACCCAGACGCTTTTACACTTGATAGTCGTACTTGGTGAGCATCTTCCGCACCATGTTGCACTGCGCGTCTTTCTCGCTGAGTTTGGCGAGAAGCTTGTGGGAAATGGTTAGTTGGTGGGGGACTGAAACTGATGATGTTTTGTCGCTGTCCCTTATCAAATTCGGCTGCATCCGGTGGGTCGACGTCGAGTCGGTTGAGGGTTTCCAGTGGCAGGCTTGACGTTTTCTGGCAACATAAACAGATGCCTTAGTTTTAGTATTTCCTTTATCATTTTTCTCGTCCTGATCTTTCTTTGCTGGTGCAACCACAGCGGGCTCCTGCTGTTCAACGTGTATTTCGTCTTGTTCAATTTCCTCCGCAGTTACAACGAAGTTCTTTTTCCCCCCTCCACCGGCTCTCTCCTGTGTTCTGTCCCTGTTTTTTCTCTTCCGCGTTTTCGCTCCCTTTCGCGCGAGGTAATCCTCGTTGTAGGCATTTTTGCCTGCAGTTGTACTAGTTTCCTGATCGGTAGAAGTCGTGCCGGCGCCTTTTCCTTTTCCTGCAACTACTGAAGAAACAGCAACAGACACTGAATCGGTGTAGTTGTAATCGTCGTCAATCACAACATGTTTGTTGTTGTTCTCCCCGAGCTCCCCCTCCGCCTCCGCACGACCAGCAACATCCGTTACAGCTGCACATTCCTTTTCCAACTGGATCAGATTTCCGTCGCTGTTGCTGACGTAGACAAAGTTCAGATCGTACACATCGTTCGCGTATCAAGTGCAAAAGTGTCTGGGTCTGGAAGATTGCCAGGTTTGTCATGCATATTTTGCATGCCCCATGATGCCTGTAATGCATGACCTAGCATCACAGATCTTTAAAGGGCCTTCTGATGCGTATTCCGCATGAGAAACGCCCACTCCGCGTAGCACAAACTGCGCTCCTATTGCTGGTCATGCAATACAGATTTTTTTACCTTCCAAAGACAGCATTACAAGTTGCAACCTTCCAGACCCAGACATTTTTTGCATTTGATATCGCGGAATTCCGGCACCGGGTGCAGGTTAAAGCATCTGATATCATATGTAAAAATGTCTGGGTCTGGTGGAAGAATGCGCGATTTGTCATGCAGCTTTTCCATGACCCATGAGGTCTGGAATGCAGGACCTAGCATGACAGATTCTCTGCGATCTCTCTCATGCCTATCCTGCATGAGAAACTCCCTCGCGACTTGGTCAAAACTGGACGACTTTTGGTAATCATGCAACACAGATTTTTGCATGCTTCAGATGTAGCATGACCAGTTGCATTCTTCCAGACCCAGACATTTTTACATTTGATATCTGAGGGTTGATGCACAAACCTCATCGAGAAGAACTCGGAGAACGTCCGGCGCAGGTCAAGGTAAATCAAGTCCACCGGGAAGTCAACCATAGCCGGGTCGTGGTAGGCCGTGCCGTGGTTCATGGCAAAGGTGAGGAAGCGGTATTTGTTTTTTGTTTTTTTGGACAAAGATGTTGGACGAGATACTTCCACGAATGGCACCACGTCCGCGTCAGTTTTGGCGTAAAAGTCTTCCTCGCTGTCGAACTGTTTACTCGTCTCAATAGCTGCTTTGTAATTTTCCGCAAGGATGGCAGTGTACGGGCAGGGGAACATCAAGGGGTCGTTATCTGGATCGACGTCGTCGTGTGCGGAATCAACAAGGGCCGCACTCCTCGCAGCTCCATCGCCACTTGATGTTCCGGTCGTAGCCGTCGCGATTTCAATCTCTCTCCCGTCGAAAGTTGTGAAAGCAACGCTCGGAACAGAAGTACTACCGCGTAGTTCTTCGATAAAAGCCCCCCACCTATCATCCAGTCTATCCGGTCTGCCATTATCAAATGCAAAAATGTCTGGGTCTGGAAGGATCCGAACTTGTGATGCGCATTTTCGAACACAGAAAAATCTCTCATGCATAGGGAGCAAAAGCTGCCCAATTCTGTCACCAAAATGGGGGATTTCTCATGCGGGTTCGGCATTGCGGAAGCTTCTCGAAACCTGTGATGCTGGAGCTTCCATGCCAGACCTTCTGTGTCATGCAAAAACAGCATGAATCTTCCATACCCAGACATTTTACAGTTGATAGCCATGCGATGAATGCAACTCCTCCACAGGCTCGTGAAAGCGCTGCAGCAGGGCAAAAACCGGCCAGTGAGACGCGAGCACGTCATAGGCTGCGTAGAAGGGGGATTGGTAGGTCAGTACGAGCCTTTCGGCTAGGTCAACAAAAGTCAGCCGGAGCTCGTGGAGGCTGGGAAATTTGCTTAATGTTGTTGCTGTTGTGTCGAGACCTCTTCGTGAAACCGGGAAAGCATCCAATTCAAACTCCGGATCCTGCAATCGCACGAGCCTCTCGCCCAAAGCCAGAACTGATTGCATCGGCGACTGGTTGTTTGGGCTTCCTTCTATTTCTCCGGATGGACCAAAATCTACGCTACTTCCCCCGAGCTCGTACTCAAGACGAGGCGGCTCGTGAACTTCCGTGCCTCCGGTTGTAGTACCGGTCAACACCGCATCTTCGCCCACAACAGCACTCGGGTCCCACGCTAGCCCCGCAAACGCCGCGGCGAAGCCGAAGAGGCAAAGATGTTTGTTGTCCTCTTTGTAATCTCCAAGCACTTGAGGAGCAAACTGCATGAGTATTTCCAGAGGCAAGTTCTTCAACGCCAGTCGTCTATCCAACCGAAACTTCAGCTCGTGCGCGTATGCCTCCATCCGCCCGTCCGGGTCGACACACTCCGATTTTCGGTCTTCCTGGTACAAAATGGTTTCCTGCAGTTTCGCCAGCGTCCCGAAAAGCGGCCAGGGCTCGTGCACGAACCGCAAGTAGTTCGGCGCAAGCTGCGTCCGCTCCGCGGTTAAGCCGGAAAAGCGGTAGGCGGTTTCTTGCTGCGAAAGCTGGTCCTCGGTCAAATCTATCGCACTTGAGGCGTGGAGCGGGTCAGCGGCGTCGGTTTTGTCCTCGGGTGACACAGCAGGAGCTTCTGACAAGGCAGGAGTGCTTGATGATGTACCAGCAGTTTTGTCTGAAGACGTGACGAGCGGAAGTAGCGGCATCTTGTTCATCTGCTCTAAAGCAGCTTTCCTTTTCGTTCTACCTTTCCTCGCCTGCAGTTGAGCACCAGCTTGATGTTTGTCTTCCTCTCTTTTCTGCGCCGATTTCTTCAGTAATTCCCGCCAGCCCCACCCAGAGCTGCGAAACGTGTCCCATAGTAGGTAGAGAGAGGAAAACCGCTCATCCACCAGTAAGAAGATCCGGTTAAACGTGATCATCGCCAAATACCCGATCGGGCAAGAGGACTGCATCTCCTTACTGGGCTGTAAGAATTTGGACAGACTGTCTCCCGCGATAAAGCCGCAGTACCCCCAGGCCTCATCCAGCCCTTTGCACGACTTCCCCGCGTGGAAGGGGTGCGAGATCCAGCTGTAGGTGGTCAAATCGTGCTTGTAGTCCTCCCAAATCAGGTCGTCCGTGTCGCTGTTCAGGTGCCGTCCGACCCCGCACTGGGCAACTTCCGGCGGCGGGGGATTGTCGTGGTCGAACGCAGAGACGAAAACCAAAGCAACGTAAGCAAAAACGAACCCGCAGAGGCAGCCGAGAGGCGGCCTGCGACGAGAATGGACAGCGGGTTCTTTAGAAGGGGGAAACATCTTTTTGAAGAAGATTTTCATGGTCAAAAATGCACTTGTTACTCTTGTTGTGTTGAGGTGAAACGGTGCAAATGCGTACTTATTCAAAACCGAAAAAATTATGCGCAACAAAACAGCTTCTGCAAACACAAAACCCAAACAGCAAGAGCGCGCGTGTGGGAGAAGTGAGTGCGATAAAAAAAATTTCACAACAGGATTGGCTTTTGCAGCCCATCACATCTTCTAAAATGAATCGAGAAAAACAAATTGAAACTATCCGAATAAACTCAGGATGTCGGACCCCCGATCTATTAGCGCCTTTTTGCGCGGACTTCCAGTACTCTGCGTAGATGAAGATCATGACTGTGCGTGCTGGTCATAGTGGCACATGACCGACAAATTGTCTGAAACCTTGACAGATGTTGCTCGTCTGTGTCATCTACCAAGAAAGACAAAAAAAAACCATCGATCCATGCCATTGCCATTCGATCATCAAGAACATCAAAACTAATCGATGACTGCCACAGTTGCAGTGGTTAACGGTCAACAGGAGGTGAATACTCGTCATGAAAGCAGCACTTATGTACCGGAAAGTCGAATGACAACAGCTCGTATCAACCGCGGCGGCAAGACCTTTGCCGTATTACTGTTGCTAGGATGTTGCTTCATCATTCCGACCCGTTCATGTTCACTCGATGATCGATGTTGAGTTTTTTACTCGACAGAAGAACTTACACTTGCTTTACGAAATCTGCTTTTACGCAGAATTTTCAATATTTTTACGGAAGCACAAGCACGCGAAGGACGTCGTGAATAAAGAACGAACTCGAAACGACAAAATCGTATCCCTGCGACGTTCGTCATCCCCTTCTCAAAAATCATACCCCTGATAGCCTCCGCGAAGGTTGTCGTTTAAAGCACGAATATTTTCCTCCACCACCTCCTCCACCTGCTCCCTTGGATTCCGAAACCAATTTTGGAACCACCCGGCGTTTTGATTCTGATTTTGGTGTCCGGCGTCTTGCTCTTGATTATCTTCTCCATCTCCGCGATCCCGCGCAAACAATCGTTGGAAAAACGGCTGATTGCCACCTCCTCTAACCGGTGGTCCCTCGTAGACCGCCTTCTTCCCTTTGACGCCCTCCGGCCGGTTCACGCAAAAATCTTCGTACGGCCCCTTCTGGTAGTGCGCGTAGTGGTTGTCCTTATCCACTTTTTCGCCGCAAACGTAGCAGAAAAAAGTTTTGTTCCGGCACAGGGGGGAGGGGCACTGCATGAAATTGCACCCGGACTCCCGTTCCACGGGGATTGAGCACACCGGACAGCGGCACCAGTTCTCCTCTTCCAACAGCGTTTCTAACTTCTGATCCCCTTGGCTCGTCTCGAGAAGGTACTGTTTGTAGTCCTCACACTTCGCGAACTTCGGGTGCGGCTTTTCCCCGCACTTGGGGCAGAATTTGTGACTGCACTCCGGGCAGGTCACAGAGATCAAATTCTGGTTCACAATGGTCTGCGTCTCGCATTTCGGGCAGAGCACGATTTTCCCCGTTTTCGGCTGGAAAATTTTCAGGCGGAACTGCAGAAATTTCTCCCACAGCTCCTCCAGTCTTTCTCCTTCCGCGATGGTTTTCCGCTGCTGCTTCTTCAACCGCAGCTCCGTCTCGATCAAGTGCACTGGAATCGTCGTGGCTGCATGAAGATTATTACTCGGGTCTTTCTTTTGCTTCTCCCTGCACTCTGGCATCGGGCACGTCAATTCGTCGTCTGCGACCTGACCGTCCGTTATCTTCGACGTGAGAAAATTCAAAAAATCTTCGCTGCAGAATCTGTGTTTGCAGTCGAGCGTGATCATCTCGGTCTCGGGAAAATCTTCAAAACACAGCGGGCACGTGTAGAGCGGAGGGGAGAAGAGGTGTTGCTGTGCTGCTGCAGGAAGAGCTACTACTGGGTCGGCATCTCGGCAGACAACAGCGCGTGAACGTGGTCCAGCTTCAGTACTATTTTGATTTTCTACACCACCCGCATCCAAGCCCACCTTCGCCGGCTGTTCTTGCGCTTGTTGCCCCGTAGTTTTGATTTCATTTGGCTGCGGTGAATTATACACCCCTGTACGACCGCCTCTAGGTGGCGCCGGAGAATTTGCGCCAGCAGCTCCCCAGGTAACACGCTTGATAGTACTCCCTGCTGGTTGTACTTCTGCTTCTTCTATGTAGCCGCGATCGTCGGTGGTTTTCGTTGCAATTATCTTCTCCTTCTTCGGTGGTATTCGCTCCTCCCGAATGGCCACCACCGCTGCTGGTTCGTTTTCGTTTGCATGAAACGCATATCAACTGCAAAAGTGTCTGGGTCTGGAAGAGTGCCAGACGTGTCATGCAGGTTTTCCATGACCCATGAGGTCTGGTATGTAGGACATAGCATGACAGATTCTGTGAGAGTTCTATAATGCCTTTCCTGCATGAGAAACTGCCTCTCGATTAATTCAAATGTGGACAGCTTTTGGTAATCACGCAACACTGATTTTTACATGATTCAGATTTAGCATGACAAGTTGCTTTGTCCCAGACCCAGACATTTTGGCATTTGATAACGCATCCGTAATAGCGTTCAACTGGTTCCGGAACAGCACTTGCTCCGGCGAAGTTGAGCCTATAATCGCTTTCTCCTTTTCTACTTCCACCTTATGCATTGCAAAAGCATCGCACTAATATAAACCAGCCATGCTCCGGCTGCCGCCGGAGCGCAAGGCTGTTGGGCCGGGGCAAGGCTGTTTGCCGCTCGGACCACAACCCCACGGGCCTAGTAGGCACAACGAAACATACTGGATTCCTGCCGCCGATTTGCGCCGAGCCAAGCCGCAGGACCACTTGCGCGCTTCCCGCGCCTGTGGGCGCTCTGCGCAGGGAGCAGCTGCAAAGAACACCGGGGGCGAACAGAAGCCGCATGGCGGGAGAGGGTGGCGCGAGAGGGTGGCGCGGGAGGGTGCGCGAGAGGGTGCGCGAGAGGGTGGCGGGGAAAGGCGCCGAACAAAACAAGTCCGCGAATGGCCTGCAATGCCAAATATGGGCACTACCATGCGGATTCGCGCCCGCTTCTTTGTGCTTTTACCCTCTCGCAGACCTCTCGCAGACCCTCTTTTTGACCTCTTTTGGGGGTCCCCGCTAATAGTCCGGCTATACTCGCGGGTAGAGGTCGACAGAGGTGGCCGAGAGGTGGCCAAGAGGGTCCGCGAGAGGTCGCCCCTTATTCGCAACACCTCTCTCCACCTCTGTCGACCTCTCGCGCCCCCTCTTTTTGACCTCTCTGCACCCTCTGTGCCACTTAGGCGGCGCCTAAGGGTGGGCGCTTACTGCGGGCCTTATTCGCGCACCCTCTCGCGGACCCTCTCGAACGGGGTCCCGCGCCACCTCTCCACCTCTGTCGACCTCTTTTCTACCTCTGTCGACCTCTTTTTTACAAAAAGACAACAAAAAAGGAACCAAAAAAAAACAAATTTTTAACATGAATATAATGTATAGTAATTGCATCACAAATTTTATCAGAAAGAAAAATGGAACTTGTAATGCTAATTCAGGTAAAGAGATAGGTTTGTCATGCAAGATCGCGATTATTACGAGTACGATACTTTTGCACAGGATATACCTCTTGGTCCAGCAATTCCGTCCGGAAAGCCCTCTGCGCTCTAGACGACCTGGGACCACCACCACCGCTAGAAGTTGTACTATTTCGCCTTTCCCGTCCCGAGACGCTGTTCCTCGCTGTAATTTTGGCTTCGCGCTTCCTGGCCTGGCTGGCTTTGTCCAAGATGGTCTGGACGAAATGCGGGTCGGTTTGCTTTTCGTCCTCTTCGGCCTTGTGGTCTCGTCCTGGGGACGTTGTGGCTGCTGCTGCTGCTGCTGCTGCTGCTGTTGCCTGCCCAGTCGGTACCTTCGCCCCGTACCTCGCTTGCGCCAGCCGCTTCTGGTTCGCCGCCTCTTTCCGCTCCTGCAAATAGTTCGCTGCCCGTTGCGGGTCCAGAATGGTGTTTTCCGGCAGGAGTTTTTCATTCTTTTTTGCATCGAAGGTTTCAACCTTTTCTCCCTCACTGTGCAGCTTTTCCCACCGCGCACGCTGCGTCGCCAGGTCCTCGGGGGTCTTGTTGTCCTTTTTGTGCGGCGGCGGTGCAGGAGTAGGACCAGGAAATCCACGATCTCCTTCTGCTAGAAGATCAAGCTGTGATCCTAGCACTTGCGGTGCGCCGACAATTTGGTCAGCGAGGATTTCTGCCTCGGCAGTGGTTTTTCCCGCATCCCAAGCCGTCTTCGCTTCTGCTGCTTCTCGCAAAAGAAATCGCTGCTGCTCCTCCTCCTCCTGTTGTTGTGCGGCCAAGGCGAAATCTGCGTCTTCCTCCTCCTGCAAAGCCCGCGCCAAAGCCAAATCTTCGGCCGTGGCGGTTGGCTTTTTCATTTTGTTCTCTTCTCCAGGCGCTGCAGGAGCAGCAGCTCTGGGCGGCGAAAGAGGAGGCGGCGGCCTGGAAGAGGAAGAGGAGCCACCGTGTTGGTTTCGCGGATAGGGAGCAAATAACGCATTGTCACCTTGTGTCTTTCGAAGATTCGTCGCTGCATGATATTTCATCGTATTGTTGTTCGTATAATCAGGAGTTGTTTTTACTCCAACAGCAGTAGGCGCTGACATGCCGGCAGAAGTGCTGCTGCTGCTGCTGCTGCTGCTGCCCTTGTTGCTGCCTTTTTGAAGTTCTTGTACATCGCTGGCGTTTATTTTTTGCTCCGGTTGGTGTTCCAAACCAGGAGCAACAAGGACGTTTTTGCCTTGTTTCCGTGCCTCCTGCTGCTGCGATGATAGATCGGGCGAGAGGGAAAACGTCGACCACGGACTGCTTTTCGCGGCAAGAGGACCTCCGAAAATGGAGGGCGGCGCGTGGTCTGGGCTGGTGTAGTTTTTGCTGCTCATAATCGATGTCCCCCCTCCTCCACCTATCGCGAGCTCTTTTCCCGTCGGCGGTCTGTGAAATGGGTTCGTCGGGGACCCGGGGGCGAGAGAAATGGGTCCGAAAATGCTGGTGACATATTTTTCTTTTTTCACGACCTCCGGAAGAGGAACCACCGGCTTATCATTTTTCTTGGAAAGGAGAATTTCCTCTTGCTGCTGCTGCTGATGATGTTCTTCTTTCTGTGCGTCCACCGCTGTTAGTTTATTTTTCTCTACTACAACTTCCGGCTGCAACACAGGAGCTCCTGCTGCCACTCGCGCAGCAGCAGATTGCTCAGCTCGCTGCTCGTCTAAACGCAGCGCAGCGTTTTGCACCTCCGGCGGCACGGGTGCTGAGTTATCGCGGGTAAGAACGTTGACCCGACTGTGGTCTACCTTCTGCGGGGGGAGTGCCTGCGCGAGACTATCGCGAAGCTGCTGCAGCAGGGACGACCGCTCTTGTTGCGATTGTGTCTCTTCTTGCAGCTTCTCGTGGTCTTTCTCGTCGGTCGTGTCCCACCAGTCCTGATCCGACCCGCGGTTCTTAGTCTTATTCCCCTCCTGGGACGACGTCGATGTTGAAGCAAACCCGAACGGGTTGCTGGTCTTATCTTTTACCGCCAAACTCGCTTTCGCTTCGTTCCGCCGCCGGAAGTCATCCAGTAACCGCCTGTCGCGTGCTTCGGCTTCTGCCGCTCTCGACGAGTAAATTGGTAGGGCGCGGTATCGTAAGGAAAAATCCCCCCTCCCCATATCGAAAAGGAAATTTGTGATGCTGGATTTGCGTACACAGATTCTCGCTGTCTTGCAGTAAGGCATCGCAGCCAGATCCTCAGCCTAGGTAGGGGCGTTTGGGTCTAGTTGTTTCGCATTACAAACGGCTGCCCCCTAGGCCCAACAGCATGCCAAATCGCTTCCATAATGGCCCGGAAGCCCCTGCACTTGTCTTCTTGCAAGACAGACGTGATTTGTGGTCTCAAATCAGCAACACAAATTTTCGGAGTCATACTGTTTCGATATGGGGAGGGGGGATTTTTCCTTTTGATACGCGGCCGCCAGCGGTGGCGCAGCTGGAGAAGTCCGTAGAGAGAGAATAGTCTTCGGATAAATCATTATCTTGATTTACATCGTCTTCAGATAAAAAACCTTGTTGCTGATCCTTCTTTTTTAGCCGCCACCTCTCCACTTCCCAACCCGGCTTCACATCCAGTGTGTACGTCGGTATCCAAGAAAAAAACATTGTAGGTGTAACTTTTCTGGTGGAAGAACAGCATTACAAGTTTGCCTGGCATGACAGCAAAAACCTGTCATGCGCAGATAGCACGTGAAAGCGCCCTTTAATGGACCCTAAGACGCATGCCAAGCATGACAGACGCAATCATCTTGCATGTTGCGCATCACAAATTTACACTATCAACGTTTTTTTCTTGGATAGTCGGTACACCGATTTCGCTCCGAGCGGGAGGAGCTATGACACTTGTCACTGTCGCTGGAATCCAAGTTTTGCTGGAGCCGGAGAAGTACAATACTTCCTCGTCTTCTTGATAAAACTGTAGTCCGCCGTGTTGTCTCGACGTCCCACTTCTCCTCGTCGTCCCAGCACGCTGGTCAACTTTCACATGCGCCAGCACAGGCGCCGCGCGATTCGCCAGCTGTACCGCAAGCCGCTCCGCATCGGCGGCGTTTCCGGTGCGCAGTGCTTCGTTCAACAGGCCTATTGTGCGGTCCCATTCGTTCAACAAGGCCGCGATTTTGCGCTTTTCTCCGTCGGCTTGTGGAGGTGCGTTCTTCATCTTTTGAAAACATCAAAGACTTAATATTGCCACGCGTGATCAATATGATGTATCACTTCTCGATTGTAATTACATCACTTGGGCTTCAAAGCCGAGCCAATTTTCGCATTCTTATCTCTCGCTGCAGCTCATCTGCGCGGCGGTTGGATCAGGAATCTTTGACGGTGACTGCTCCTCTCTGAAATTACCACCTCTCAACATTTCTGATTTACTTATGTGCCCGAAAAGAAAACAGGTCATCCACGTATCGATCTCACTTCTTGCAGCCTCCCAGAAAACAGTGCAGAAGCGAAAGACCTCCGTGAAGATGGCAAGAAAAGGACACGCACAGCAGAACGCGGTGACGAACCAGCGAGGTGGACCTTGTTCTTACACCTCACCCTTCAATGCGCCGGCCGAGTTTCATCTAGTTTGGCGTTCCGTTTGCTTCAATCTTGGTCGTGCAGTGCGAATTCAGGTGTTTTTTCTTGAGGACAAACGGCTGTCTTCAATATGCTTCAAGTACAGAGACCTGTGGTCGTTCTCCGACCTGTCTAAAAATATCCCCGGCCTTTATCTTCTTTCCGTGTTTTCATGCGATTGGTTCCAACACGGCACAAGCGTGCAGCATCGCATATCTTCGCATTAAAAAGAAACAACAGAACTGGTGGACACCAACACCGATGATGAGTGTATGTATATGATATCTACAACAAGGGCTTGCGCTATTCTTTGCATGATGAAGATACGTTCTCTTTATAAATTCCACAAACAATGAAGGCTATGTTGCTACTAGTACGAATGCAATATGTAGAAATTGCGGTGCGTGACCGAATATTATCAATGAATGTCAATCTCCAAATCCATCTCATAATATCACGTAGTATGTTTATCAACATCAAAACATTCTTGTATGTTCTTCCAAATCCCCATCATGTGCAAGAAAGCCAACATCGTGTTGCTTATGTGTAATGCTCTTTCTCCCCGCACCAAAATAAAAGGAGAGCACAGATGACAATTAAAATTTTTCAGACTTCTTCACTGCAGGTGCAGAACAAGTCAAATAAGGGGTATTTCTCTTGTAGATAGCCCACTTTGGTGGAGGTTCTGAACAAACGGCTGCTCAAAAGGACAGGGGAAAACTACAAAGCAGAACTACACTATCAGTAAACCGCTGCATCAGCGCTCTCGGAAAAATTATCTAAATTTCTAATAACGCGTTCGATTTCCTTGTAGAAGAACGCACATGCGTCAACGGTCTTTGCATGCATTTTTGACATCCTCAGTCTTCCTCGTCCGACGACGGGTCGTATTCCGACCCATGCATAATTTTTGACATCCTCAGTCTTCCTCGTCCGACGACGGGTCGTTTCGAGCGTCGTCCGACGACGGGTCGTCCCCCGATGACGGGTCGTATTCCGACCCAAACAGGCGAGCATGCCATCCCACCTCAGGCACAGATTCACCCTCGGGCTCACCTTCATCAACCGAAGAACCTCCGTCCGGGGGAACGTAGAAGTTGAGGCACTCATCCACGCGGCGTTCCAATTCCAGCAATCGCGCCCCACACGGGTCCAGTGCGGCCAATTCCTCGGCGCGTATCGTAAGAAAAAATCCCCTTTCCCCATATCGAAAAGACACACTTCAGAAAATTTGCCATGCTGATTTGTGACCACAAATCGTCCCTGTCTTGCAAAGAGGCAACCCCACAGGCCCCGCCGCATTATGTAGGCGGTTTGTGATGCTACTGGGCCTATAGCATAGGCCTGTCGCATGCTAAGCACCTAGGCCAGCACCTCTCTACTCGGGCTTGATATGGGCTTGCAGTCCTCGACTGCAAGAGAGATCCGATTTGTGTAAGCAAATCCAGCATCAGAAACTTCGTGTCGATATGGGGAGGGGGGATTTTTCCTTTTGATAGCGCGCTCGCGGTCCCCTGGATCGGCAAACCCGGCCTCCAGCGTCTCCCTATCGAGTGCAAAAAATATGTCTGGGTCTGGAAACCTGTGATGCATGTCGGTGAATAGAAAGCGCATGGTGATGCGCCGCCAAGCAAGACAAATTTTTCTGTGGCTCCATGTTGCGTAATCCGCATGACAAACAGCCTTCTTGCACGACAGACAAGAGGACCTCTCGCTGGCCACGCAATACAGAGCTCAGCGTCATGCCAGACTAGCATGACAAGTCTTGCACTCTTCCGGACCCAGACATATTTGTATGTAATGCATACAGCCCAAGGTCGCGCAATTCGTCCAGCCGCGACGAAGCTTCGTCCAAAAATGGGTCGACGAGGCCGAGGTGTCGGTTGAATAGCTGCGATGAGGATTTTTCAACATCTTCACCGAAGTTGCAGTAGAAGCTGCCAGAGGATACTGCAGGAGACCCACCATCCGTCGCAGGAGCACTTGGCGCAGCCGGCTTGGTCATGCCGGCGGGGGGCCTGCAGCGAAACAGAGTTAGCGCATTTATGGGCTCCAAAATGCTGCTCCTGCATGAACCTCCTTGTTCCCCTGCACTAGGATGAACGAGATCTCCTGACGAAGAAGCTGCTGCCGCGTCGGAAGATGATGCTGCCCCGGTGGAGGAGGTCCACTTCCTCCTGAAAAACTCGCGACACATGCGATGCGCGCACTTGAGTTCTTCTTGTTTTTCCCTGAACTTCTCTATCCGCGCGCCCGGAGTGTTGCCGTACTTCTCGTCGGCGCTGCTGTGCCAAACCCGGACAGCCCGGGGACGCAAGGAACAATCGATTTCCCGCTCGGTTTCTTTGCACAGCCGCCGCAGCCACAGCATATCCCGCTCCCGCTCCCGGCGCAACTCCGAGGCCAAGGCCTTGCGCTTCCGCTCGTTTTCGGCGACCATGTGCCCGGCCACCCGTCGCCCGAACTCCTTATGCATTGCGAATATGTCTGGGTCTAAACGATTCTGAGACTTGTCATGCACGTTTTGCATGGGCCATGACGTCTGTGATGCATGCCCTAGCATCACAGATTCTTTGAGGGGTTCTTGGTACCTATTTCGCATGACAAATGCACTCTCAGCGTAGCACCAATTAGATTTAGATTCCTTTTGCTGGCCTCGCAATACAGATTTCCTTGGAATCCAGATGCAGCATCACAAGTTTACACCCTTCCAGACCCAGACATATTTGCAGTGCATACTCCTCCCCACGGGACAACAGCGGTTTTTGTGCTGCACGGGGCGGCGACGTCGCGGTGCCACTTATCAGAAGGAAACATCCCCCCTCCCCATATCGAAACGAAGTTTCTGATGCTGGATTTCCGTACACAGATCGGATTTGTCTTGCAGTACAGGACTGCAGGCATATGTCAAGCCTCGGCCGAGAGGTTTTGACGTAGGCGCCTAGCATAACAAACGTGTATGCTCTAAGTCCAACAGCATCACAAACCGCCTGCAAAATGCAGGGGGCTCTCTGGACTTGCCTTCTTGCAAGACAGACAAGATTTGAGGTCACAAATGTGCATCACAAATTTTCAGATGGATGCGTTTTCAATATGGGGAGGGGGGATTTTTCTTTACGATACCACTTGCCCCAACACCAGCGTGATGTGTTCCAGAAGGACCAGACGGATCTGAGCCGCTACCGCCCGGCGTCGAGGCCGCACCACCACTCGACGATTTCAGCGCAGGACCCTCACCAGAAGTTGTATGCAATACAAATGCCCCGTAGTACATGTACAAGATGCATCACAAATTTCACCAATTTGGAGCGTAAGAACACTTGCCATGCTAAACTAGGAACGAAGCCCAGTTTTTTCATGCAGAAACTGCATTTGTACGTGTACGGGAATAAATTTCCTGTAGATAACTTGTACCCTCATTGCACGAGGGGGACGCAAAGGACCAGGAGCCCCTTTGCAGGCCCGACCTATGATCCCCACAGCCCGTTTGTTGCAGCATCCCCTCGGCGAGGTGCTTAAGCTCGACCGGAAAATATTGCTGCACGAAATGGTGCAGTAGCCTCCCGACGTCCCTCTCGTCGAGCAGGACCTCTTGACGTACGCGACCAGTGACAGGATCGGCAACGAGAGTTTTGTCAGGCAAATCAGTTTTGTGCCACCAGTCCCACCTGTCCAATTCTGATTCTGAACGAATTCGCAGGTTGAACAGAAAACGGGCTAGTTTGTACAACACACCAGACTTCCACAGAAAGTACTCGTAGCAAGGGCGCTCTAATTCGTCTCTCTTCGCCAGAACAGGTAGTTTCGGAAGAGACAACTGGCCGCGAGCTGTATTTTCGTGGACTTCGGCAATTGGAGCGATTCGGTGATGCCGGTCGTCGGTGCAGGAATTTATTTCGTGCAGTTCGTCAGGCCCCCTCGCAACGGCCTTAGCCCAATACTGCGTCCAGAATTTTCTGAATTCTGCCTCCATCCATTGCGGCAAGACTTCCGCCTTAAACTTTTCCTTCCAAGCTGCCAACGCGCGCGCGCAGGCCTCGGACTTGCAGGCGGGGTTTATTTTCAGCCGATTTATTTGTAGTTCATCTTCATCGCAGCCTGTTGCCTCGTCCAATACCTCCTCGGGACTTTCACTTTCTGCCCGCTCAAACGCTGGCAGTGGACAAGAATTGTTGTATAGTAGGCAATCCTTGCGCTTCAACTGCTTTAGCATGTGATCGCTGGCTTCGTCACGTAGTGTGGTGGAAGACATCAAACTCCTTTTAAAGTAGTCAACACAAAAACGCCAAGAAAAAGCGTCGTTACCGCAGTCAACACGAAAACGCCTATCCTGTTCCACCCGATGGCGCCGAAGCTTTGCGCTTGGCCCGCGGCCATACAGATCCATAGCGTGGTCGGTCCATCGTCGGGAATCCGCGTCACAGGGTGCGGTTTCCAAGAACTCTCTTTCAGGGGTGCTATCACGTGCAACCTGTGGATGTGGTACATGATCTTGTGGTCATATATCTTGTGGTCATATACAGCGACACATGATGACTCCGAAGCTGCAAGCAAAATACTCACGGAGCCCTGCCTTGCCGCCATGCAAAGCAAATGTATCAGAAGACTCCTAAGTAGTAGTTGTCATAAACTTGAGCTTCTGCTTATCATGCTCTTATGCTCATACGAGAAGAGCCCCCAGTGTCACAGCCACGCCATTAACATCATCAACTTCAGCAGTTTTGCACAGGATAGCACTCTAGCTGCAACATCCTCGCCACCACAATCAACCACCGCCCCAAGGTCCGCGAGAAATAAGGCGGTTTCTCTGCCGAATACAGTGGGTTCTCTTCCAGCGAAAAATACCGCCCAGTGCTTAACGGGGGACGACCAGGCGGTGACCCACCACGTGCTCGACAACCCTCCATCACGATTTTGGTTTCCAGTCGTTTACGTCCGATATCTCTATAGGACCAAAAACATCGCGGCTCGCGGGACGGACACAATCTAACCTTGTCGAAAAATCGCTGCTCGCGGGTCTCCGCATCGCACAGCCACCACTGCTCGTCAAACTTGTCGTGCAGCGAAATTTCTCTCGGAGAGGAGAAAACGTAGGATGGAGCGACGGAGAAAAAGTGGGGTTCTGCCCGTGAGAAATCGTAGCCTGGTCGTGCGCTTCTACCCTTAGTACTCTTCCGGAACCAGAAATCATTCTGAAAGTGAAACTTCAGCGTATCCGGCTGTCTGTACCGCAAACCTTCCTCATCTGAGGGGCGCCGCTGCCGCACACGCTGCAGGCACACCCGGCTACCATTATTTCCGCCACTTAAATCCGTGTGTGCTTTAATCTTAAACCGAACTGAACCGTTACTTAAATTATAACCTGGCACTTGTTCTGAGGACGCACCAGAGGACTGCTCCTGCGATGCAGCTGCACTAAAAAATGCGGACTTGAGTAGGGGAAAAGCCTCGATTTCTTTACTCGGGTTCCGATATAAGAGCACAAACCACGGGTGCGCGTTACCCTTCTTCTGTTGCGCCAAGCACCACTGCTCCTGCAGTAGCGGCGTGACGGCGCCATCTGTTCTGCCAATGTCTTCCGCGGTGGGGGCGTAGACCTTCCACAAATAGTCGAACGGGTCGAATTCCAGTTTCTGCACGCAGTGGCAGTGTTCCAGCACGGAAGACCACTGGACGAGGTTCGAATCCCCATGCAGGAGACCACCGCCGACCTGGTTCATGATCTCTGCCCGGACCGGCGGCAACCCGAGCCCTTTGTTATACCCGTTGGTAAACTGAAACGCTATGGAGAGAAAAAAGTTTGTCACAGTCACTAAGTTGCAGGTTTTGCATTACAAATCTTTTTTTGCATCACAACTTCTCCTTGTGTTGCAGAAACACTAGGGAAATCCCTCTCGAAGTGTGGCTGTGATGCATTTTTACGCATGACAGACAGTTTTGTCTTGCAAAAATGCCCATGAGTGATCGTGACGAACTTTTTTTGTTTGATAAACGCATCTGTAGTTTTAGTACTCCTTGAAGCAGACTCGCACCAGTCGGTACCGCGAAAGGCGAACGCCTCAGCAAGGGCGCGGGTCTGTCGGAATGAACTACTCCAGCCCCGCGGTGAATCTAACAGAGTGAATTCCGCATCCCCCGCGACACAGAAGTGGCTACTTTCGGCCGTTTTTTCCGGTAACCGCATCAAGCAAACGCCGTCGACGGCGGGGTTCATCGTCTTCGAAGATTCATTTTCGTCCAAAGATGACAGCACGACTCGAAAATTCCGCCGCACGTAGGTGTCCGGACTCTCTGCTCCTGCTCTACCCCGAACAAAGTACAGGAACCGTGTGCTGGCACTGGCCTTCTGCTCCTCCTGGCAAAAAGCGGCCGCTTGCGCTCGTTGCGCTTGCTCGCTCGCAGATAAAGAAATATCAGATAAAGAAATCGCAGATAAAGAACTCGCCGCTAATTTCAGTTTCAGATGCAGGTTCGGATTGTAGACGGCCCACTGAAAATCCGCTGGATCATAGGCGAGTCGCTGGACGCAGTGGCAGTGCTGGCGTTCCACGAATCGGCGCCGTTCCAAGTAGGCCTTGAGCACGGCTTTTTTGTGTTCATGCCATAGCGCACCCGAAGCTTCTTCTACTTTCTTCGCTCCTGCCATGTTGACTTGCCAAAACCGATCCATTTCGTCCTCCATGTCGGCCCACGACATTATGGAAGAAAAAAAGTGTGTAAGTGTAACTTTGTAATGCAGCACACGCAACAGAGTTACACCTGTCATGCCAGACAGCCACGAAGTTTTCTTTTCCTGTGTGTTTTCCCTTACAGGCCACGCATGACAGCTTTTCTCTGTCATGTAGAGCAATTTGTGATGCTGTCAGCCAAAGATAGTTACACTAACACAGTTTTTTTCTTGCATAGACATGATCCCTGTGTCCATGGTCTCCCCACGCGCATCGCGGCCCCGCGCCGCTCGGCACTGCGGTCGGGTTAGATCGGACACGCAGACATACGCAATTTTCCCCGTCAGCTGGGCAAACAAGCGCGGCATCTTCGTCAACAAGTTTCTCAACCGCGGCGGCGGGAGCTGCGGGGTCTCGTGATTTTTATACACGGAGGTGTCCCTTCCAGACGCGGCCTCTTGCCACTCCCACACCGTGGGTGCCGCGAGTGGTCTGTGCCGAGTCGACCACTGGCGCAGCTCGTCGGTGCCAACCTCCTCCCGCGCCACCTCCTCCAGCTCTCGCACAGTCATGTCCGCGTGCGGGTACAGCCGCAGAGAGGTCAAATAGGACCACGGTGAGTAGAACCGGTTTGCTTCGCCATGCTGCGTATAGGGTGTTGTTCGTGGTGCTGCCCCCCCGACCGTTTGACCGACGCGCTCCATGGCTCGAAAGTGGGCCAAGACATTATGGCGTTCCCAACTGTTACATTCTCAACTGTTACATGAACCTGTGATGCAAGAATGGGAAAAGTGGAAGGGGGAAGGTTGCATCTGTAGCATTACAAATTCCGCACAGATTTAGGCACGGTTTAGGCCTTCACAAATTTGTCATGCGGAGCAGCTTGATCGTGAGGATGATGATGGTGCTTCTGCATGACAAATTCATGTAACAGTTGAGAATGTCAAGATTGAGAATCCCATAGACATTCGTGCCGTTGCTGAAATACAGGTAAAACGGGTTCTCGCGCACCTCTTCGCGTTTGGATATCGTAAGGAAAAATCCGCCCTCCCGATATCAAAAAGGAAATTTGTGGCGCTGGATTTGCGTACACAAATAAACTCTCGCTGTCTTGCAGTAAGACATCGCAGCCAGATCCTCAGCCTAGGTAGGCGCGTTTGGGTCTAGTTGTTTGGAATTACAAACGGCTGCCCCCTAGGCCCGGCAGCATGTCAAATCGCTTCCATAATGGCCCGGAAGCCCCTGCACTTGTCTTCTTGCAAGACAGACGTGATTTGTGGTCTCAAATCAGCAACACAAATTTTCGGACTCATACTGTTTCGATATGGGGAGGGGGGATTTTTCGTTTTGATATTGGAGCGTAGGAAGCCAGACCGCAAGCCGGGCAAGTCGAAGCTCAACGCGTCCGTGTGGTCGAAGATGATGTTGGTGGCTGTACTAAGCTCTAGATCCTTTATTCCGTCATCGCGTGGTTCAAGCCCAGCAGGAAAAGTCGTCGCAGTCGCTCTACTAATCTTATCAAATGCAAACATGTCTGGGTCTGGAAGAGTGTGATGCTGTTTGTGCATGGCACAGAAGGTGTAGCATGTAAGTCCTAGCAACACAGATTTTGAGGAGGTTAAGCGATGCCTAATTATCCCCATGGCAAGTTTGTCCCTCTTTTGGTGACAAGAAATGAGCAACTTTTGCGTTCCATGCATGACAGATTTTTTTCTACTGGTCTCAAATGCGCATCAGAAGTTTACATGTTTGTGTTTCTAGACCCAGACATGTTTGCAATGCATACATCGCTACACGCTTCGCCCCCGTGGCGGAGGCCGTTGCCAAGGCCCACGCGGCAGTGTCGAACGGGGCCACACTGACAAACCCGTGGTCATCCGGGGCCTCGAACTGAGCTGCGGCGGTTAGGAATTCTTGGTTCGGATCTCCCGAATGTTGCTCAGGCGCGGACCCGTCGCCCGCGACGGTTGAAGACGCTGGTGCAGACGACGATGCACTGGCGCCACTGCTCGGCGACAGCGAGGACTCCTCGGGGGATGTAGGAGCAGTGTGCTGACCCGAATGACGAGACAGAGGCAACGACCAAAATTTCGCCCCATGCGGTCCCAGCACGTGCCAACGCAAAACCTGGTGTGCAGTTGACGGCTGGCGCCACGGCGACGTCGCACCGCGTGTGGTCGAAGGTGACAGCACCGCCACGAGAGGCCGCAACATCGTGATCTCAAAAGCATGCCTGTTTTCAGAGGGACCAAGGACACCATACGCCACGAGGTCCGCAACAGTAGCGGTCGGATTTTTCTCCCCTGGAAGAGACTCGCCCCGGAAGGTCGCGACGTCCGTAGCCACAGTGTCAAACGCAAATAAGTGTCTGGATCTAGACGTTGGCTCCACTTCCAAGACCTTTCATGCATAAGTACTTGGCATGCCCCTCGTGGTTCTGTAGTCTCCGCACAGTTCTTTCCCATGCCCCTCGTGTCACGCACAAACGCAGTTTCCCATGCGGACTACGCAACACAGAACCACACAGAGAAAAATCTGACATGCTTGGCTGTGTGTGCATTGGCTTCCGATTCGTAAACAAGCATTCCAACTTTCCAGACCCAGATCGATATTTGCAGTACATACACATCGTAGTGCTGTAAAACAGTGGTAGAAGCACCGGCGAGAGGATCCACAAACTTCCGGGAATGCAGGAATTGCCGCCAATACTCGTCTCGCCGGGCGTTCCTGATAACCCAAATCCCGCTCAGACTCACCAGTGGCCGGGCCGAGAATCCGGCGCTCGCGTAGGCGAACAGTTTGCGGACGTCGTCGACCTGGTCCTGTTTCACGCGCATGTGCTCGACGTGATAGCACCAGCAGGGCAGGTGCTCGGCCTCCTGGTCTAAGGCGGCCAGCTGCTCGTCCCGTATTGATTTGCCCGCCGTGCGGAACTCCGCGAGTTTCTTCTTACCAACCTCTTGCGCCTTTTGAGCAAGGTCGTGGGCGTTGCTTTCCTTCCTCTCCCGCGCACTACGATTTTCTTCCCGGTAGTATTCATCTCGGCCCCGAGATGTTCCAACCACTGGCACCATGTCCCCAGGACCGTTGAACTCCTGCTCTTGCGGCATTGGCCTTGGCCCGGTCTCTCCCCACTTTCTGTACTGGGCCTGCCGCGTCCACGGCTCCGCAAGAAGGGGCAGAGGTTTTCCTTTTTGTTTTGTACTTTTTTCTTTTTGTTCTTCCTCCGCCTGCATTAACTCCATGTCCGCTGCCCAAGGCCAGATGCTCCGCTCCGGCGCTGGACCCCGGATCTCGCGCACAGCGCGTTGATGCTCCGTGCTCTCCAAAAAACGCCGGCACTTATGTCGGCTTACAACTTCTAACACGCGGAGCCGAGGTCCCGCCGCAAAATCCCGCTTCGTTAATCTGTCATCCTTGATTTCTTTGTGCAGCTTTCGATAGAGATTCCGGGCGTGGTGCAGGCTCAGCCGCTGAAAATCATTCGTCAGCTCGCTCACGTCTGTGGGCTCCTTGGTCACGGAGTCACTTGATCCGCCAATCCGGTCACTGGCCGTAGACATAAGGGCTTTTTCTTCTTCTCTTTCTTCTTCTTCTTCGCTGCGCAAAGCCCTCTGTGGTCGTTCTGCTCCTGGAGCATGCGTCTCTGGTCCTGGGGCGTACCCCAAAACCTGCTGGTCAGTCGTGTGACGCGGGTTATGGATTGCAAAGATGTAGTTGACTGGGCGTGGAAGTTGTAGTACACTCATCTCCATGTCGTGTTTGTCATGCGCCTTGTTCTGGATGTTTACTAAGAACGCAAGAGCGTATGTGGACGCGCCAACGTCGAGGACTGTCGCGTGAGCGATTACATGCCGTCCTACAACCAGAGAGAACACTCCTAAGCTATCGAGGTACCCTCATGGTCATGGTACTACGGATTTCTAATGTATATGATTCTTCCTACTACTGGCTTCATACCTGAAGCCATTCTGGCACTATGTTCCCTTGATGTCCATTGTCATGGTTGTGAGTGTGGTTTGTGCCTGGTCGCGCCACGACAGACCCACAAGAGTTTCCTGATCGACCTCTCTCTGCGAAGAGAGTTAGTAGGCCTGAATATCCTGTGTCGGCATTTCCTGAGATGGTTGCGCGTGGCCCCGCGTGCCACGACAACATCGCTACTACTTTCCTGAGTTCGCGATCATCTGTGACGCCACATGCGCCGTGCAGATTTCCCCGTCGTGTGCTGGATCTTTCTAGTCCACCTGTGATCCTACTCATGATCCTACTGCTGATCCTCTAGACCCATCTACATCATTCTGGACCTCTCTGATCATCTTGGAGCATGTAAGGCACTGACATCAGTCCTGCATGAACTGCAGCTGCGGGTGCGTGAACCCGATAGCTAGCTTGTCCCCGCACAGTTATGAGTTATTCAGGTCGATAACTAGTTACTGGCAATAAACTCACTGATGAAGTGAGTTATGTTGAGAGCCCGTCGAGGACTTTTCTACAGAGTTATGAGCCCACGGCTGACGTGCAATAGCAATAGCGAAAAAGGTTTTGAGGAGGTTTATCAATGCCTAGTACCCCGCATGACAAAGTCCAGATAGTGTCGGTGGAAACGGACTATTAGTCTTGCTGTCCATGCACATTTTGACAGGGATTTCATTTTGTATGATCTAAAACGTGTTGTATCACAGGATATTACTACCAGCCGCCTTCCAGAGGAGCATTCAAATAACTACATATTTGCAGTTGATAAGGGTGGTATTTGCGCAATTCGTTCCTCAAATATTCGTGACTGGCGTTGCATCCGGGCAGTGTGCGCATCGCCGACGCAGCCGCGATCGCCCAGTCATCGAAACGACCGTTTTCGGCGTGAAGCTTTTCACTCGAGGGTGTGCGGTAACGGGCCCCCTCGCGATTCATCTCGCGCGCCGTGCGTGTAGTGGTGCCCACGTGCGAGGCGGCCGAGGCGGCGGAGACAAAAAAATACGATCCCGGACTGGCATGACCACTAGAATTGAAACTATCCAAGGTCGTCCTCGTCGTTGTTCCATCTCCTTCTAGCACCGGAGGAGCACGTAGAAGAGCCGTTGTCCACTCGCGGTAGAGTAGGTAAGCTGCGACGGACCACAAGTAGAACAGTGGGCCGGGAATGAACGTATATCAAGAGTAAAAATGTCTGGGTCTGGAAACTTGTGATGCTGGATGGCGTCTCATGATGAGGCTACGAATACTGACTCAGCATGACAAGTTTCTGAGCTCCTAGGTGTTGCCTATTCTGCATGACAAACTGCGCTTCTGCATCACAGAAAAACGGAGCTCTTGGGTAACGTGCATCACAGATTTAAGACTCATGCCAGAAAAGCATGACAAACATGAATTCTTCCAGACCCAGACATTTTTACAGTTGATAACGTAGTAACCCTGCTGATGTCCCGACAGGGGCGGAAATATGTTAAATATCAAATGTAAAAATGTCTGGGTCTGGAAACTTGTGATGCTGGGTGGCGTCTCATGATGAGGCCACAAGTGCTGGCTCAGCATGACAAGTTTCTGAGCTTCTAGGTGTTGCCTATTCTGCATGACAAACTGCGTTTCTGCATCACAGAAAAATGGAGCTCTTGGGTAACGTGCATGACAGATTTCAGAGCCATGCCAGACAAGCATGACAAACATGCATTCTTCCAGACCCAGACATTTTTACATTTGATATTAAAGGACCTTTGTGGTCCATTTTCGACGGATATGGTGCAGCTGTCATTTTCGTCCTGCTCCTGCACGCCTGATATAAGTTTTGTCCACCGCGGCCCGATGGAACTGTTGTAGTGGAGTGTGAATCTTCACACAAACAAAAAAAGACCTGGTATGTACTTGAACTTGCGTATGCAAACCAAAGCAGCAAGTGTAGGTATAGGCCTTCTAATGTAGCTAGGAAGTGAAAAGAGGTTCTTTCGTGTTGATCCTAGACCTCTACGATGATCAAATCTGACACTGTCCGTCAGATCAAAGCCCTGCGCGACAAAATGGTGGTCAATTGTACCATTGGATCAACATGCTCAAGAACGTAAAGGAGTGCTGTAGTTCCCACTCCATGATAAAGATAAGGCACTTAGCTCTGATCCACACCGCGGCGGCGCGGTATTAACGCTACTGAAGTACAAATAAGTTCAAATAAGTAGGAGATCCTTGTCTTCTACTCTGATGGCAAAGATCATTCTCTGCACCATCTAAATAGAACTACCAAAACGTCGTGCGACAAAGCTCCTGATAACAAGCTACTATTGCAGATCGAAAACTTCCCCTTCTATCTTCGTTTTCTTTTCTAGCGGAGATCTGTCCGAAGATGCACCGTACTGATAATGGCGGTGGTGGCAGTGGTGCATTGCAATTGCTTGTGCTTCTGCTTGCAGCTTACATTAACTCTAATACAACCTCCGGGCTTATCAATACTTGCGACCGTGGCCGCTTTCTTTGATCCCGCCTAGTGTGGCTTTCGATGTTGTCAGAATGCAGTTTCAGTTGCTCTTATTTATCGTAACAAAACTTGAGGGCAACCCACTTCTAAAGGTCGGCCAAGACACGTCTTGGTCTTTCACAACGTGGAAATAAACCTATTAAACACCTGCAACGACACGAAAAGTTACGCTTCAGACCAACGCGCAAGCAAATGCAAGTCCCCAGCTCGTTTCTGCGAGCTGCAAGATGTTGACCTGCTTCTTGTCGTGCACGTTGATACACCGTCTGTGACCAATCAGAAGAAAACCGATGAATCCCTCGTACAGAGTTTCGTTTGGTTTGCAACTCCCCCTGGTGGACGTGGAAAAATGAACCTAAATCACGTTATCCGCAGCTGGTTCTCCTCGGCGTCTTCGGTTACAATCCGTAGAAACACCTCATCCAAGGTAGTTTTTGCGATGCTCCATTCCCGTATGGGTAGGTTGCTGTCGACGGAGCTCTCCGCACGATCCGTGCCGCGCATAATTCTTTCATTCTCCAACTTGTCGAAGATCAAACTCACGTCGACACTATCGGACGATACAGCAGTTGAAGCACCAACACCCCCATGATCACTTTTCACCACCACCGGGATCTGAAACTGCAGTAACACCCCCCGACTCTCGATCGGGAAAACCGTCGACAGCTTGCACTGGTTCTTCAGGAACGCCAAGATTCTGTTCTGTTGAACCTCCTTCTGCTTCAGCAGTATCAAATGTAAAAGTGTCTGGGTCTGGAAGAATGCAACTTGTGATGCTGAATTTGGATTCCAAAAAAATCTGTATTGCATGAGCAGCAAAGAGAATGCAATTTTTGCTACGCGGAGAGGACATTTGTCATGCGGAGTAGGCATCGCGAAGCCCTCAAAAAATCTGTGATGCTAGGGCATGCATCACAGACATCCTGGCCAATGCAAAACATGCATGACAAGTCTCAGAATCTTCCAGACCCAGACATTTTTACACTTGATAAGCAGCGACATTTGCTCACTCGACGCGTAGTTCAAAGCGATTGTGAGCATGTACCCGATCTATCCTGAGTAAAAACGTCCCCACCCCATCGCCAAGTTGGTAAATCTGCAACACAAGTCTCCAAGTTTTGGAAGTTATGCATGACAAGTTTCCATCTGTATTGTAGTGCTGTTTAGCAAGGACAGCCGCATCACAAAGAAGCCTGCTCATCCTGTTTACAGCATTACACATCCCAGAACACGAATACAAATTCCGCCCTTCCTCTTGCGAATGTTCCTTCGTTGTGGATCGGCTCTGCCGACCGGGTAACCCAACGCCTTGCATACAAATGACCGACTTAGGCGAACCCCGTTGCGGGCATACAAATTGGCCGTACGGAAGGGCCCTAAGCGCTACATACATAGTTCACCCTAAGCGCCTACCACTTCGGTCTGGGACCTCGTCTACCTGATCCTGGGGGTCCACAGCGCACTAGCCCTTTGCTAGCATAAACAGACTGGGTTCTAAAAACTGACTTAACTCCCTCCATCCTTTCAACAGTAAGGCCATCATAAAGGTGCGCTAAAAAA